TTATTTATATTTTTTAGCAGTCATTACAATCAATCATTTCACTGTCTAGAATTGTTATCGCAGAAAATCTATTTGTATGTTGTTTCATATGACAAACTGGCTTATTTGAGACAAATAGACAAGTACTAGAATCAAGCACATTCAGATATTGTTGTATCATTAGAAAATTAACTTTTAAATGCTTTAAAAATGTTCTTGCGTTTCTCTGGGATGTTTTCTGAGATGGTATGAATATTCAAACTAAACCTAATAAGCCTTATAGTCACAATAGATGTGACGTCGAGTGTTCACAGATGAACTACACTACACTACACTACTAAAACACTACAGACCATACGCGAAATAATATTCAAATGAGACAAAACAAAAATTCTACACCATTTATTCTGAACAATTGAATTCGATATTTGGTTTTTCATTGTGTTTCGTTTCAAACAAATTTATCTCCGACAAACATTGTTGATGATCTCACATTAAGCAAACATCATTAAACAGTACTAAAAAGCATTACACGCAAAAAAAATTATTTGTAGAGTGCAAAAATTCCGGCAAATTGAACTAGTTTGCAAGATTTTTTATTTCAAAAATTTGACGATAAATCGCGGAATGTGAACTTTTCCGTTATTATTTTAATTACACCCAGTCACACGAGCTTAAAATCAAAATCTTTCAACAATTCAAGTTCCAGACAATGAATTAAATGCTCAAACATCTTTAGATAAACGATTGAGTAAATTGGTTTGTTATTTCTTGTTTTAAGTGCCGCCACTTTTAAAAGAGCGCGAATGTACAATTGAGGAAGCAATTATCCCTTTGTTTATTTCTAAGGGGTTGCTGGAAATATTCATCTAATATCCCATTGATCTGGAAAATTTTCTCTCAGTTACAGTTGTTAGTATAGCTTTACTTTTCGGTGCCAAATAAATAAGCATGTTCATTTTTTATCTTCCGTTGACTTATTTTGTTCGAAGTTTGCTTCTGGATCTATTCATGCAATAAAAAATATGTGAAAAAAAAAACAAAATTTTCTAATGCAAGGTTGTAAAAAATTAACATTTAATATAATTTTAACTTTTTTTTTGTAAAAAAAAATACAATTCAAGCTATATGTCCATTGTTAATTTCACCCGTTTATTTATTTTTTTCATTTGTATTCAGTTCGAAAAATTGAAGCCGCTGGAATGTTCCCGAAAAAATCACATTATTTATTCATGAATTCATGAAAATCACGGAAATATCAATGTTCAGTTAACATCAATTTCCGTGCTGATTTCAGCGAACTGATCTCTTTTTTTATGAAAAAAAAAACATTTGAAACAGATTATTGAGACAATGCGATTCAAAGTGCCACGAGCAAACATATTATTCAAAAAAGCTTCGCTTATTATGTTCTTTTCTGGTTGAGAGCCAGTGCCACTTGAACTGTTCAAAGCCCTCATATAAACAGGGTTCTGTAGAACAGTGACATGTCGGTACAAGACCAGTCTCGCGCCGCCACAGACCTCGGCAGCTTTTTTGCCGTCCCGCAACACCCACTTGATTGTGTATTTGCTTAACTTTGCTGCTCAAAACGGTGACTTGAATCTACCAAGAGACCAACCCTCGATTCCGTTCACGTTACTCTCTTAAATTTAATTCATATATTGCAATTCAGTAGAGAATATCGCCAATTGATACTATTTCCAGAGAGTAAGAAGCTTGATGGCAGGGAGAAATCAAAATCATGTTTTCGAGATTCAGCCTCTGCATTACCTATCTAAAAATTTGAGCGTTTCACTTTTCATTTTCACAAGTACCCTGACCGAGAAAGTGTGAGTGTTTATCTAAGACAAATCATGCAATGTGTCGCGCGATAAATTCGACAGTTTGAAATGTCCATTGAACACCTTTCTTTGGTCTGTGTCTCCATTTTACGCACAATTAATTCACGTTTTTTTCATTCATTTCCCAAACAATATTAGAAAAAAAAACGATTTTGAAGTTCAGCCGATTCAACGTGTTATTTTTATGGAGACTGCCGCTCACACCTCTTCTCGTATGCATAAATTTTGCCAATTTCCGCTCTGATTCATATCTTTCCGTTATTAATACAGAACCCCCGAGGAGGATGACCGAAAATTGATGACAAACGAATTCATTCTTGACATATTGCGAGCAAAATATTTGACCGTATTATTATTGTTTTCTATCCCTTTTTTCTATTCCGCTCAATTATACTAATGGATTTTCTCTTCATATCAAACTATTGTGAATACTTCGTCTTCAATTTTTAAGTGATGTGCGATTGCCATTTCCCGTTGTATTTTTTTTGTTAAAATACTGGTAAGAAGGTGTCAAATTTGATTGATTAAAAAGTTACTAAGAACAACTACGTAATGATTAGATGTTGAAGGAAGTTAGCAGAAACTCAAATCAGTTTTGTCTCAAATATTTTTGTTTCAACATTCATTATTTACATATTTTAATATTTTATTTTTACTGTATCAACTTTTAACGGAATCACATCAAATTATTCACATAATGCAGTAAAATTAAAGTTTCCAATTTTCCCAAATGATTCAATGAATATCGATTTATGCAGAATAAAAAAATCAGTGTCGAAAAACAAATATTTGAAATTTTTCTAATTGTAATTGCTCTTATTTATTACATTTTTCATAGCAACTCAGAAAATATAAAATATGAATTCCCACCATCGTATTAAAAGTCCAACAACGCGAAACTAGGCGTGAAGGGCAAATCAGGAATATCGGTCACTTGGTCACCACAAAGAATTCTTGCAAGTATATGCATCCTATATAACCACAAAAAATAATAATTTATATAGTTTGAACCCATTTTTTCATTAATTGAATTTCATATGTTCAATTAAGTCATTCTGATGTATTTACTTTATTTGACAGTATTTTCAATTTTTCAACAAATTTGTTTAAATTCCAGAACACGCATTTTTCCACGAGTAAAGTAAAAATTGATATCTGTTGAAAGCAATGTATGAAATCTATATGCGAACGAACCACATAATAAAATATTGATTTTTTTTTCAATTTTTCTTTCTATTGCCCATATGTAAATAATTGGTTATATTTTGCGCTAGTATGGTTTTTTCTCTTTCTCTATAGAGCCAATTGTGAAAGAAGAACAAGTAGGAAAAACACGAATGTCCGAAATTGAAAATGTTAAGATTTATTGGTTTCCGTTACACTGAAAATTCATAAAATGAAACCAATTTCAGTCTGATCGATTTATAGCCTATTTTTCAGGCATTCCAAGCTCATCCTATCTCAGCATATTACTCAAAATTGTGATTATGAAAAAGGTACCATCTTTAACAGCTCTTATTGTCTTGAATAATTTCATATTGAAACGAAAGATCCTTTCAAAAATAAAATCGAACCAATTCTCTCCGAATTTGTTACGACGATTTTAAAGAGTGCATATTTCGTTCTTCAGGCTTAACATGAAACAATGTAGTTGTCAATTTTCGACTAGTATACACCAATCCTCCAATAGTTCGTATTTTCAAATTCAAGATAATTTCATTTTATTGTTTTGTTCCCAATTTTTCCAAGTTCCTTCTACTGTTTATTTCATATTTTTGAGCACATTGCTCATGTTTACTTTTGAGCAGATAGCAACATTTCAAGAGAAAAACACGAAATAGTTTCTATAAACAGTGCTTCCAGTTTGCAAATGGTTTTTGTACCTTAACTATTTCTGTTTCTGTCGACAGTTGAGTCACCAAGAATTTGAATTGTTTGCTTGTTTAACTACAAAGGAAAATAAACCAATTCTCGAGAATGTACAAGATTTTTTTTCAAAAGATAAATGAAAAAGTATGTATTACGCGAGTTCACTGAGTATGAGAGCAGATTAATATATGCAGTTTTATGCGGGCATGAAACAAATTTCATAGAATTCAAAACGCCACTAAATCATGTTTTCCCATTTCCGTCACATTTTCACACGTGAAAAACAAAGTCATATAGTGAAAATGCTTGAGAACCCTAAGCTCTTTGATTTTTGAGTATCGGGAAAGCAAAAGACCAGATTCATAGACAATCGCTCTAAATCTTAAATGTTTGTGTGGGCTCTTAATTAAAAGTTTATTCATTCGAACTTGATTCCTTTTTCCAACAAGAATTGTTATTCAACACTTTACCCATCCTCATTCTCATTTCCTGTAAAAAACGAATCCTATTCAATATTTTCAATATATTAGAGGTCGACTACTTAAAAAAACAGTTGATTTTTAGTCCTTGCAAAAAAATATCACACCCGATTTTTTTATCGTTGCCTCAATTTTGATAAGAAGCTGATTGTTAAGGAATAGGCACTAATTATAGTATATCAATCAAATAACAATTGCTCAAATAGTCGAAAAATCAAAAACTCAAAAAAAAATTATGACCTTTTGTTTCCATACATATTCCAATGTGTGCGAACTATGTGCCTTTTTTATTATTCCCCGTTGCTATGAGATCGTTTCTTCTTAGTATTTCTTTAGCTACGATTGCAAACAATTTTTCGGGTCCTCCTTCGCTTCGGTTTGCAGAATATTGTGTTAGATGTCATTCATCTAAAATTAACAATGAATAATCGTTTAAAAAGTGCACGACTGATTATGGTGATACCGGTCGACGTTAACTATGCTAATGATAAGGCGTTTGAGTCATATATTAATAGTGCACATCATTTTTTTTCTGGACTATACTCTGAATGAGCTAGCCCTGTTTAATGACCATCAGATCACAAACCATAGAGTCGTAATGGTCTTCGAACGTTGCGGTGATTCATCTAAAAGTTTTTTTGACTGTCCTCTCATTTGTTTGCTCGCAGGTATTTGTTGAAATTCGGTTTTTCTTCTTCTTCTTCTTCTCCTCTTTCGTGCCCTTCTCCGGGACGTCAAAAAAAGGCGCAAAGTTTCGCGTCATTTCACCGCTCTCGTGTCAATTCTCGAACATTTTCAGCGGATGCTGTGATTTGAAGATTGCTGAATAATGAAGTATCGCGAGTTTTCGGAATATTCTATTCTAATTATTCTGCTTCTACCATCGTTTACGGTTGCCAAATGCGTCATCACCGGATTGTGTCATCCGCATACTCCAAATGCTGTCGCGCCGTGCGTCGTCAATCAAGATCCTGTGCCATTCAATTCGTCTAGTCCCGTCTATGAAAGATTTACTAAATACTGTGCAGATCTTGCACTGAGTATGTCTATTCCGTAAGCCAATGATGAAGAAAGCAAATTATTTTAGAAGAGTCTGCGGTATGCTGTACACCTCCTCAAGCTGATCATTTTTTGAAGCAATTAACGTCAGCGGAATCCATCTTAGGAAGATGTCCATCGTGTTTTGACAACTTCGCAAAGCTTTGGTGTGAATTTACATGTTCCCCACATCAACACTTATTCGTGGAGGTTCGTTTGGTCAAAATTAAAATCTGAGCAAGATCGAGATAAACATTATCAATTTATAAAAACGAGATAAACCACATTTCAGCCGGCGGCAGTGAAGCCTATTGATCCTGCTGTTAGCTACCTTCGTGAAATGCCAGAAGCCAGTGAATATGTGGAATCTGCTACTTACCGAATCTCTGATCGTTTTGCAAAAGACATGTTCAATTCATGCAAAGATGTACTGTTTCCTAATTCTATCTTAGCTCATTTTTTCTTTTCAGGTGACGTTTTCTGGAAGACAAGCAATCAGTATGATGTGTAACACAAACCCATGTACTATTGAAAGCTGGCTGAAATTCATTGGCACAAAAAATATCGCAATGAATATTCCGATCAACACAAACTTTGAAATCGTTCCTCTTGATAATTCAAGTAACATTCAAAATGCGCCATATATGGATGTGAAGTGTACACCGTGCAATCAGCCAGTGAAGCCTGGCGGATTAGCTTGTGCCCGAATGGAATGCAACAAGGAAGAGTATGAAAATATCATTGACTTGGACGATGGAAAACTTTCAGTGGTAATTTCAAAAAAATGTTCTCTTTCTTATTTTGCTAAACTTCTAGGAATTGTGTCAAATCCGAGGTCTCGATTGCAACAAAGTATTCGTTTTGATGACAACATTTGGTTGTCTCGCTATGATCTTTTGCGTCGCAGTGTTTTACACGACTGATAAGGATTACGAAGTAAGACAATATTTCGTCACAAATTGAATAAATTCATGATTAGGCGATTCAACGACCAGCAAGCGGCAGAATTAAACGTACAGGAATCTGGATTCAAAAAGCCATTGAAGAAAATGTGAAACTACTAGGAATAGTGAGAAATGAAAACATAATAATCAGTAGTTAATGACGTACCTTCATTTCAGAGAGCAGCTCAAAATCCAAGCTCATTTTTCTTATCTGGAACGTTAATCTTGTTCTCTCTTGGTGGAATGGTGTATCATAAGGAAAACAACAATGTAGCCGATATGTGGTCTTCTCCACACTCAAGAGCTAGAATTGAAGAAACTGTTTTCAATAATTACTTTGGGTTGGTTACAGAAACCTGATAAAAGAAAGACATCATGCAATCATTCAGAAAAGTCAAGCGCTACGAGCAAGTAATGTTCCTAGCCAAAAATGGATACACAAAGGAAAATGGTCTGACTGGTCCAATATTTGATGCAAAAACCTTTGAGGAATTCTTCGATCTGATCAACCAAATTCGCGCAATAACCGCTTATGACCGGAATAATAGAACAATTACACTCGACGATGTTTGTTATCGGCCGATGGGACCTGGATATGATTGCTTAATTATGTCACCCCTCAACTATTTGCAAGGAAAAAAGAGTAATATGCTTTTGAAACAGTCAATTGTTGTGGAGGACGAATCTGAGGATGATTTTGACTATGAGGATACTGTTCAGACAGACAATGTCTGGAACAGACACATAGACGAATGCATAAAGTAATCGCTAAAATATAATAATCAGGTTTATTGAGAATTTCTGAGTTTCAGAACCCCGATGTCTCAAAGAACGTCATTCAATTTGAGTTGCTTCGGCACTTACGGTGGACCGTCAAATCCGAATCTAGTATTTGGAAGAAAACCAGGCGATAAATTAGTAAGCAAACACATTGTGATCAAATAATTTACAATTGTTTGCAGTTCCAAAGTGCAAATTCTATCATAGCGACATTTCTTGTCACTCAGAACACAGAAGCGGAAGTTGAACGAGCTGAGCTATGGGAACTCGAGTTTTTAAAATTCTGCCACTCTTATACAGCGCCTTCAAACGTGTTATTCTCTTACATGTCGGAACGATCAATTCAGGTTTCATTAAATTAAAAACCCAGAAAAATTTTAGTCTCGTTTTATTAAGGATGAAATCGAAAATGATGCAAGCAATGAGATTGTAACCATCACTATTGCGCTAGCATTTTTGATTGGATACGTCACATTCTCACTTGGAAGGTACTTCGTATGCGACAATAAGCTCTGGTCAATCCTTGTTCACTCCCGCATTCTTCTGGGATCATCCAGTGTCATCATCAACATTTTGAGTTCGTTTTGGTACGAAAAAAAAACTCATTTTCATTTGAAAAGTGGATTTTGTTTCAGCGCATGGGGTCTTTATTCTGCGTTTGGCATTCATCCAATAAAAAATGCTCTGATTGTGCAATTCTTCATGGTCACTGTCATTGGAGTGTCTAGAACATTTTTGCTTGTTAAATACTATGCACAGAAGCGCGTTGAAGCGAGTGTCTATCTCGGTCCGAAACATCTTGACCAAATAATTGGGAGTGTCACCGAAGTCACAATGCCTGGAGTTATTGCTAGCTCATTCTCCTGTGCATTTGCTTTTCTCACCGGTTTGAAAGCCGCTCTAAATTTTTACTATAACGTCAAACGATTCAGGAAGTTTTGCCCCGATTCCAGCCATTCGCTCATTTTGTCTTCTCTCGGGATTAGCAGTTATGATAGATTTGTTTTTACATTGCACCATCTTCATGGCTCTTTTCGTTTGGGATACCAAGAGAGAACTTGAAGGACGCGCTGAAATATGTGTGTATTTGAAACTTGACGATCCAGAAGACGCGTATCTCGTTGGAAGAGAAAAGAACACTGACACTTACTCAAGTCAGTTGTTCCGCTCAACGTTTGCTCCATTCTTGATGAAAAAGATTGTTCGCGTATTTGTGGTACGAATCAGTTGATGCCTATAAAACACTAAAAATAAAACATTTAGATGATTGTTTGCCTGGCATCCTTCGCATTCTCGATTTTTATGTCCAGCCACATTGAAGTGGGATTAGATCAAACCATGGCGTTCTCTGAGGTTATCATGAATCTGAACTGATTTAATAGCAGATTTTTTGTTTAGGACAGTTATGTAACCTATCATATGCATCACTTGGACAATTATGTAGATGCTGGACCACAAGTATTCTTCGTTGTTGATGGTGAAATTGATTGGCACGAACACACGGTGCAGAATCGTTTCTGTAGTCTTCCGGGATGCGATGATGATTCGTTTGGAAACATTTTGAATTATGCGACGTCAAATACTGAGTGCGTGTTGAATTTTGAATTTGCTCGTAATCAAACTTGTTTAGATTGACTGGTCTTACCGGCGAGAATTACAACTGGATTGATAATTATCTTCAATGGATATCGAGGGATAGTCCATGCTGCAAGGTGTTCGTCGACGAGCCAAATGTTTTCTGCTCAACAAACCGAAACCAAACACTGAATGGTAAAGGATTCTGAAGTTGGATATATTTGTAAGAGTTTTCCTGCAGACAAAGATTGTCGCCCTTGCATGGATTTCGATTATGAGGCTAACCTATACCCGAAAGGTTCAGTTAAGTATTCACGGCCATCTCCCACTATGTTCTATAGACATCTCAAAGATTTTCTTGAAGACACGCCAAATTCGGTGTGCGTTTTTGGGTAATTAAGCCATCTCGAAAATTCTTGACATAATGATGGAATTACAGAGGAAAAGCCCAGATGAAAAACGCGATTTCCTTCACATCGAAGGGAACTGTACAAGCATCACACTTCATGACATTCTTGCGGAAACTGTCAATCAGCAATTCGTCTGATTTCATTTGTAATTGAAAACTCTAAGAAGCACAAACAATTGTTAATGTTCGCGTTTTAGGGACTATGGAGCGTTCTCGAATGGTTGCTCGCCGTCTCGAAAGAGCAATTGGTCACAAAGCGAAAGTTTTTGCTCACAGCAAAGTTTTCCCGTTCTATGAACAATACTCATCAATCCTGCAACTCTTGTTCTCACAAGTGTTGTGCAGTTTGACTGGAATTTTCTCAATTGGAGTGTTAACAATGGCTCTTGACTTCAAAGGAATATTGTGTGTTGCGATATGTCAAGTTTCCAATTTTTTCCATGTTCTTGCCCTCTCTCATTTACTTGATATTCAAATGAACGCAATGTCTGGATCGAATTTGATTGTGGTATATTCAGGAAAAATGATGAGCAGAATTACAAATAATCGTTTCAGGCGACAGGAATCTTCACCGAGTTTGGATTGAACGTCGTCAAATGCTATCACACCGCAGATTTCCCTTCTGCTGTTGAGCGTGCACAATATACTGTTGCCAATATTGTTCCTATCATATTCTCGGGTCCAGTCGTTACAATGGCTATTGCAACAATGTTCCTTGCCACTTCTAATCTTCGTATCATCACGGTATTAATTGAATTCACGTATTTTGCTCCTATTTTAATATTTCAGGTGTATTTCTTTAAAATGATAATGATCATTATTTTGTCTTCTGGTCTTCATAGTCTTGTTATTCTTCCGGTTCTCCTTTCCTTTGGTGGATCGAGATCCCACAGAAAAACGAACTATGTGTCTCATGGAAGAACAACACCATGCGACGTGGAAAGCAAGTTATTGTACGTTTCAATACAATAAGACAATTTAATGAAATATGTTCAGGTCAAACACAGCCGAAAGTCAATTAGCCACCTATCAGAACGAAGAAGATCCAACTAATGTTTTAGAGCAGCGTCTGCAAGCCTTTTTGGAGACGAATGTTGACAAAGAATCTTCAACTAGTAAAAACTATGATTAGAGAACATTTTTAAAATGATTGTTTCAGGCGAACATTCGCCACCAAAAGCCGCTGTGGAAAGCTTAAGCAGTAGTGGGGAAAACAGTCCAACAACGAAAAATGTCTGAACGCTGCATTCTAGTCAAGCAACCGTCGTCACAGAATAATCGTTTAAAAGCTCACATCAAACTGAATCTACTCGAATTTTGTGTCGTAGTTGCCCTAGTAACTTATTCATTCCCTGTGTAGTAACGTGTCATTTTAATGCCAAAATTTGTTAAGAACATTTGCGTGTCTTTTACGTTGTAACACGTGAAAGTTTTACGAGTATTTTTTTTTTGATAGAATTTGCATTTCATTGTAGGCCTTGCAATTTATATGTGCTTTATAGCAAACTATTTTTACCCTAAAAATACCTTATCGAAGCCATAGTCTGTTTGATTCTGTATTGTGATTATTATGAACAGGAGTCATATCTAAAACTAAATTTTATTCACCACCGGTTTTGAAAATGTGATCTACAAATTCCCATCCCGATCTTTGATCCCCGTTTATTAATTTTCTTAGAATATGTGATGTACGCTTTTGTTTTTTTTATAAAGTGATCAATTCTCTTCCCAATTAAAGAAAGTATAAAATTCATATTTAACTGGAAATTAAACTACATAACTTAAATTTCGCAATAAATTTTACTCAATAATTACAACAAAAAAGAGGTGACTTTCTTAATAGTCAATTTACGCGTATCATATACAAATTATTGAAAATAATTTAAAATTAATACTGACAATAAAAAAAATCTATACGCACGATTTTATTTCGAAAAACCATAATTTTTAAAATTCTGGCTAATATCTCTCAAATTATTTAAATCATTATATACGGTAAATTTAAATAAAATTTTTTTAAGACGTGAATGTGATGTCTGTTTCGAATTTGACTTACATTCGCTAATTTCAGTTAATACAATTGAAATGATCATTATTTCCATATGTAGAATTTTCCTTCAAATGTAGGACTATAGTATCACAATTTTTACGTAGTTTCCAATGAAATAAAAAGATTATTCAATTTCTGATTTTAGATGTAATGCTTAAATGTTTGTATAGGCGAACTGGTTATTTTTCTGCTTACACGTTGTCCTCTAATCTGTTTCATTACCGCTAAGACATAAAGAAATGTTCTATCATATCCAAAAATCAATTAATTGCATTATTTGTTGAATATGGTTAGATAAAACTAATGATTTGAAGTTGAAACTGATCCTTCATTTCCACAATTACACCATAATTAAAAAATTACATACATATCTAATTTATTCGTACGCTTAAACATGCTCTAAATAAATCGTTATTCCTTTGACAAAATTGACTTCTTTATTGGGTACAACATTAGAAATAAAAGAAAGCAATTTTCATCAAAGAGAAACAGCTAAAAAGGAATTAGACAATTAGAGTTATAACCATATCGTATTTAAATTTGCACGTTCAATCCCTTCAGCTGCTGGATAGCGTTTTGAAGATACTGGTCTTTGAATGATTTGTCGTTAACTTGTTTGTCCACCTAAAAGTGTTTCGAATTTACAATTTACTATAAATTGCAAGCATACTCCATCGTTGATGAGCTTCAAGAGCTGCTCCTTCTCGAAACGCTGTTTAGTCTCTTCGGTCTCCTTCAAGTAGTCGATGCGTCTCTTTAATTCCGTGGCCACAGATTGGACGTTCTTTCTGTAAGTGGCTTCAAGTTGGAGAGCCATGCTTTCCTTGAGAGCAACTGGAAGGCTTTCCTTAATGGCGTTCAACGATTCAGTTTCAGCAGCAGAGGTCTGAAAGAATAATTACGTTATAAATTAGTTTTACATTGAAATGTAGCACCAAAAGTCATTGTTGTTCATTTGTTTTAAAATTATTAATTATAATAAATTATCTGCTCGAAACTGCTTCTGCATGGAGACAAGCATTTACTCTAACAATTTTCGTTATTCGCCTCAATAGCTCTTAACTGGTTTAAAATTTCAAAATCCATGTTTATTTTCAAAGCGTTTTTGGCAATAATCGGTCTTTTTTTATTTTCTTCATTTCCTCATAGATATCTACCTTGCGGAACTGAACGGCGTCCTTAAGATCTTCAGCGATGAGTCCCTTGAAAAAGTTGACTCGGTTTTGGTACTCTCCGTACAAATAGTTGTCGATCTTGTCTAAAACATATTTTTCATTGGAAAAATTTCAGTATAACTGATTTTACATCCAACTGTTCTGGAGATGAGTAGGTAGAACAAAATCCATCCAACAGTCATGTGTCCTTGCTCCTCGAACACCCACAATTCCTTGTTGACAAGGAATGCGAAGAGACCTCCGTAGAAGAGGTATGGTCCAGAGACACCAGTAACCTTATTGAATGGAGTGAACCACGAATCGGGCATCATGAGCATTCGGGTCTTTGGTGGATACATCGGGCGAGCTGGGTACGGATAATTGACCTGAAATTAAAAAAATGCAATATCCCAAATTTTCATTCAAAAATTACCAAGTCTCGCTCTGGATGCTCCTTGAAGTCTTTCGGAATTGCTGGAAGTGGCTCTGGTGCGGACCATTCCTTGTTGCAATCGTCGAACATCGATTTTGGTGGATGAGCTTCACCTTTGAGTGGGATTCCTAAATAGTTACACTTTACTCTTATTTCAATGTTGAATTCGAATTATCACCATTGAAACGGAGGGCGATCTTCTGGAAGAAGTTTGGAGCCTCATCGGCTTGTGTAGCTCCCGCAGCATCTAAACAAAACCCTTTATTTTAAAAGAAAACGTCAAAAATTCTAATTGAAATTTTGAATTGAAATCTTACGAGTAGAAGCAGCATGCGCCAATCTGGTTGGAATGATAATCGCACGGGTGCTCTGACCCAAAGGAAGACAACGGCTCAACGACATCCTGGTACCCTGAAACAAAAATTTAGAATTTTTTGAATCATCAAAAATTAATCACGATTTATTAACAAATTCATTGAAATTAGTGCTACGAAACTTTCATATTGATGTAGAAATGAGAATTTTCAATGTGTTTCCAAAAAAAACGGCGAAGAAATGATAACAAAACACGAAAAGACCATAGAAATAGGCGGCATGCGTATTTGAACAAAGTCCGCCCGTCTCCGCTGTCTAATATCTCTCATTTTCGTGGCGGGACACTACTGCAAGGCTAAACGAAGAGCAATGTACACACTGAAACTTCGTTTTGCGTATGATTTACGGTGAGTGAGAAAATCGATAAATATCTCAATTTTCTTGATTTTTGCAATTAAGCGCAATTTAATTGCATGATTTTTTAAGAATTATTTTAAAACGAGAATATATAATTTTCGAAACCAATAGAGATGATTGCTATAAATAACAAAATGCAGTTATAACACTCAATTTCAAACAATGACTTTATTAACTGCAGTATTTTGATTCAATGCTCGGTTTCTGATTGTACCATATTAAAATTAAAAAAATTATTTTTGATTAAAAAATTTGAAAAGTTGAATTATGTTGTTTTGAAAAGTTTTCCAAATTCATTTCCTTGCAGAATTAGTAAACCAACGATGAGTTTTAATAAATTCATATTACAAAAAAAAATATTATTTTTTATGCTATGAATAAGCCAATACAAAAATATCGTTTATCATATCAAGTAAAAATAAATATTTCAAAATTACAGATACACATACACAGTTATTATGGTCAAGATAGCAAATTATTGGTACCCGTTCAACGATCGAGAAACCAATTATTTAGAGTCGTGCCAATGTGCTGTACTCTTTATCGGATTTCGAAAGAACGTCCTTAATGAATTTGTTGAATGCAGTGCGGAATCGAACCGACATTAGATTATAGAAAATCGGATTCAACGCAGCAGAAACATATTGAAGGAGACCTGCAATTAGCTGCAAATTAAAAACAAAAATAATTTCAATATTTTACCAGTGATTGGGTAAAGGAATAAACAGAATTGCGAGGAATCACACACAGTTTTATTGTATTGGACTATTAGGCGCTGGATATGATGCGGCAAGTAGCATATGAAAAACACCGACGTTACAGTAACTGAAATTTGAGTTTTGATAGTTGTTAAAGCACACTGCTCAGATGTACCTAGCATTTTGATGACCATTTTGTGCGCTTGTTGGCTTCTTGGTGGTTGGAAGTTGCGAGTATGGATTGTTAACGGGAAGCTTTGGTTTTGGGAGGAAGTTGCAGTTAATCTGGGGAACTGTAACCTAATAATTCTTTTTAACCAAGCGGATGGCAATTTTAGACCTGGATGCTATCACTATTACTGGTTCCAACAGGAGTATGGACGGTTGTTGTGGCGGACATCTCATTCAACGTAGCTGCAATAATCGGATTCACAGATTACGCATATCTTTATTGAATAATTTGTAATACCTAGTATTCTTATGTAGCAATAGATGATAAAAATAAGCGGCAACACGAAGGTGATGATCATTGTGAGCTTAACGTTTTTCATAATATCGATTACAGAACAAATTGCTTACTTCAAATGAGTATGGCAAAGGAGCGTCGGGTCCAGTTACTAAATCACATGTTCCGAAATGTTCCATGGGGTGTTTGAATCCGCAAAAATCGGGCAAGACTCTCTTGAACTGAAATTATGGCGTAATTTGTCGGTAATTTTGATGAATTTCTGAAACCATTAGTCCGATGTAAACAGAAGGAATAGTTGCAATTATCCAGATGAGATAAATAAGCCACATGACTCTGAAAATGTACAATTTTACACTAAATTGCTAATTGACTTACTTTCTTCCATCAAATAAAGCTCGGTGATTGAATGGATAACAAATTGCTTGGAATCTTTCCGCAGTCAAAGAAACAATCGTTAAGATCGATGCAAATGTGAACAAGGAAATGCAAGTGCCTGTTGTTCAGAAATGAAGCGTAGATGGAAATGCTAGTTAATTACTTGTGAAAGCACAATATCCATTTATTGGAGGAGGATTGCCATTTCTCCAGATATTGATAAGATCAAACGAAACTCCAATCACAATGAGGAGAAGATCGCTAATCGCCAATGACGCCAAGAAATAATTGGTATGAGAATGTAATGAAGCCGTCTGAAACTATCAGAATTTTTGGTGTTCCTTTTAATGCAAAACAATCAAGATTTCTTTGAAGTGCAGGAACTAATCGAAGAAAAAACAAAACCTCTTTCACTTCTTGCTGTCGTCAATTTATGCTTAATATAAGGGTTTAACTTATAATTACTACGAATTTCGAAGAAAAAAAATGGCAAGTGCTTACTAATCCTGGACATTTTGTCTGACTATTATTAAAAAAAAAAACAAAGAATGTGATTTGTGACTAAAACTAAAGAATTTTATTGAAAAAGTTTTATCCAAAAATAAGCTTTTCTATGTTACAATATGTAAAAACATTTTTACCTTGCATATTACAACAACTGTCAGCAGATTACCAACAAGTCCAACACAGCCCACGATGATGAAAATGATTGTCAATATTGGAATGATAAAAAATGGAAGGGACGGCCTGTTAGAACGTGATCAATAATGTTTCCTGTGCATAACTGGTTACCCATGAGAAATATTTGATGCATTATAAGAGCTCGGAAGGTTCCAAGCGGATTCCAGAGTGAGTTTAGCAAAAGTTTGCACTAGCGGAATATCACAATGCGACCGTAGCGTTTCCATCAATGTCGTCATGTTGCTCTGAAATGGCATATTCCAACTGAAACTTATTTTATAAATCTACCATGATCATCGGATCAGTTCCTTTTAACACAGTTTTCTTGATGGAGTCAAATGTGACTTCCATCAAAGTCATCGTGTCATTTACTTGAGGCATACTGAAAGTAAATCATTTTTTAGGTGTATTTATTGACGGTCAAAAACCAAGTTTTTTATTTGTCTTATACGGTGTTATACTTACGAAAACGACGTGAATTACTTATTAATGTAAATACAACTTGGGATTACTTTCATGAAACTTGAGAAGCGATTCTGATCAATTGTCGAAAATTTATATGTAAAATAGGGAAATAAAAAAAAGAAAGGATATAAATCAACCGCAGCTCACGAACGACACCCGAATCTGAAATATTTTAATTAGTGAAGCTCTGTGGCAGGTCTAAAAACCAATGGGCGTGGCTGCACATGTTCTCTTCCTCTCTCTCGCTTTTATTCAAATGAACACCAAATTCTTATTCAGAATGTAGTTTTAGTGGATTATTCAATTTAATGAAAAAGTCATAATGATGTCACACATATGTTTTATACCTGCAGATTGAGATAGAACATCTAGAGGTAAACGATTCAATTCAATTAAAGCAATAATCTTCAAAAGCTTGTTGAAAATGATTCAAATTATTTATAAATGTTATTTGAATTATATGAAGTCTACTAATAGAGGATTGATGACTCAGTTGTTCAAAAAAAATTTGTGGAACCTAAACGATTGATATTTCCAACTAGCCAAACAAAGAAGGAAGAATTGATCCAGACTTTCTGAAAAAGTCTACAATTACCCACAAAAGGTGTTGGGCATTATGCCCTAATTTGTTTTATTATTAATGGAGACCATTTTTAATCATCGGGTATCAAACGTGCTGGTCATTAAATTAGCGCTAGAAATTTCGTTTAGATGAATTGTTAAATGAAAAGGGTAATCTGATTGGTCGGTTTCGAAAAATGCCTGTGCCTTGCAGTTTCAAATTTCGCTCAAATTAAATAAGTACGTGACATTTGATAGTTTAGTGCATAAAACCATGATTTATCTTCACAATAAAATAAATGAAATTTTGGAAACTATTCAAAATTAAAAATTGAGACGCTTCGAGACGCCCAACATCTTGAAAATAATGGCGAAATGGCCAACAAGACGTAGGCGATTGCCGAATCAAGTGGCTTGACAATATTTGTTTCATTTGAATCCGTGAATGAATTCACCGATTCTAAGGAAAAGCCGCGCGCTTCCGAGTAGGAAAGAGCGTAATATCAAAATACGCGTTTGCTGCTATTGTCTTCGAATGCACGATATGAGCACCATTAAAGCTCGCAATGGTCAACGTTCGAGAATTGCGACCAAATCGGATGAGTAATGTATCTGGCATTGTGAAATTAATGGAATAAAAACAACACACAGTGACGTAGTGAAAACGCATTTTACAGACAATTGTTAATGGAATTGGAAGATTTTTGACAGAAATAATGTGAAATGAAATTTGCGCGATTAAACCGCCTCTATATTGAACTGAGTGCTCTAATTATAGGGGGGAGTCATCAATTATTTTCCAACACTTTTTCCAAGCATCCCAATTTTTATGAAGATTATAAAGTTGTTGTGCATAACAATGCCTGATTAAAACGCAATGACCATAAAAATACTCGAATTTCAGTTATAAAGTTTATTTTTTTTTAATTTTAGGGTTATATTATTAAATATACTAAAATCTATTCAATATTAATCAAGAAATACATCCTTTTCAAGCGAATTTGGGAAAGGCAGTATAGATTGAAACCTTCTCAAACGTTTTGCCAAAACATTCAATGTGATGAATTAGGTGGAACTTTCGGAGCACAGAAAAGAAAATACAATTGTATGCGTTTTTGTCCCATTTTTCCGACTTCGAGAGAGACACGATCAAAAGTATCGCATTGCATTCACTTTTTTTGTGAAACTAATCGAGAAATCCAGGAAAAAAATGGAAGCGGATTTTCATTTAATAAATAAACAATCAAGATTCAAACAATTGTGAGCAGAAAAAAAATAGTTTAAAATCGAAGAAAGGATTTGATTAAGAATAAACATAAACCAGATGTTCAGTGGGACCATCCGAAGTCACAGGTTTCAAACAATTTTTTGCCGCGAATCGAATTTGAATAGTGGAAGTTTGTGGACTGATATGTTTACTTTCAAAATGAAAAGAAATATTCGTTTGAAATAGGTGATTTGTAAATTTAATTAATCTTGAAAGGATTTTGAAAAGGATACAAAATGCAACCTTCGTGACTCACTTCAAATCACATTAAGAGATGCTGCCATTCCATTGTATCAGGATTGCACAAAAAAATGCAATAGGGAATAAGAGTAAAAGAAAAACAGAATACATAAGGGTAAGTTAATGAAAATAATGGAAGTGTCATCAAAGAAAATGGATATTTTTAAGACTGCAATGCAAAGATGCCCTCTGGTATGAGTGAGATTTTTACAGCATTGTAAACATTCTACGATTGTTGAATTCAACTTGAATCTGGTTCTGTACACGCGTTTTGCCTTTGCAGATAAGATAATGATAGGTTTACTCTTTCTCGGAAAATAAATGGAAAAAAGAGCAGCGCAAGTATAAAAATTACAAAATAAAACACTCCACGAGAAAATTATTTGTTGAAGACATTTGAAATGAAAGAAATTAATCAGGTGGATTATTTTAGGCGTAGAGATTTTTTGAATGAATAACTGTTCGACACAAAGAGCATGTAAAATGGAGCCGAACATTCTAGCAAGAAAATTGAAGAATTTAGCCAGTATTTTGTGTCTCGTTATATATATATATATATATATATATATATATATATATATATATATATATATATATATATATATATATTCGAAATAACATCTTCTGTTGAAGGTAAATCTTAGAAAATCACTTTAAATGTATTTCACGAGCAGTCATCTCAACCAAATAATAAAGTATAATTAGTTTGACTAACTTTATATTAGCAGCATATTAGCGCATTCTGCAAAAGTTTAGTTTTTGTTCCAAATTTATGCTGAGTAGTGTCTTCACCGACGCTTGAGCTGTTTTTATTAGCTAGCCGAGAACAAGAAACGAAAGCTGTAATTTTTCCAGGCGGTGCGAGTGAATGATCTTTATTCGATGGCAGAAACCACTAACAAAAAAATTAATGAAAATGAAATCAATAATAATAATAATACGAAAAATAGTCTGATTGCTAGTACAATCTGCAGTACATCTGAATGAGAAAATAATATCGTAAGATTTTCTTATCTGGCCTACAAAATACTAAGAAGAAAAGTACGATTATTCAATACATGTTTTTTTAATACATAGGCAATGACAATCATTGGGTTCAAACTTCTGTTTTGTTTTGCAATGAGTTCGTATTAATATTCTAAATAGCAACAAACGATTTAGGAATATCGCACGAAACAAACAAATGAGAACTACTTATTGCAAACTTTTTGTTGTTATTTACAGCTAATTTATGCAACAAACATCCTAACAAGAAAACTCGATGGAAGTGAGAAATCATACAAATTGTGTTTTACAAGTGTTTGCTCTAAATACACATAAGTAAATATTGTTTGACAAATATTTCTAAAATTCATTATTTTTCAATTTCCGTCTATCCGCGTTGCTTCCTGGAATGGAGTTTTTGTCAGAACAATTTGATTATATGCTCATGTGTGTAATATCAAAATAGTAATTCTATTGTTATTGATAACTTTTGCAATGGCGGCGGAAATAAAAAATTAGCTCAATAATATTGGTAATGGAAGGAAAACCTCGTGAATTTTTTTTTGCTCAACGTTGTTCAAAACATTGAATACATGTTCTGGATAAAATGATATCCTTTCAAAGATTGTTATATGTTAAAAGTGAAAAGGTTCCTAATTTATGTTCAAACCAAAGATAGTTTTTTGCTCGTTGGAAGTTTTTAAATAAAATTATAACAATGAAGCAAGAAATGCATTTACTTAAAAATCAAGCCAACGGCATGAGTCATATTTTGTTTCTTACTTTGTGACTGCTAATCAAGACTTAAACGTAAATGACTAAAAAAGGTTGAGTCTTAAACATAAGTTAGTTAGAATATAGCAGATATATGTATATTAAATAACAAAATATTTATATTTAAGGCAACGATTTAAGATTCATGGACAGGTGATCGTATGTAGGAAGAGGTAGCTGACTAGATATTCTTATCTTAATGTAATTCTGCAATAGTAACACATGCATATCTACCGAAATTTGTATGCTAAGTCTTCTGGATATCGATGCCCGTCGAGCTATCACCGAAGATGACGAATCACCAAATATTACATGATAACTAATAGCAAATAATAATAGTTTATTTTCCGAGCTCGTCAACTAAATCAACCGGGGGTAGAAAACTATGTTAATCTTAAAATTAATGTATAAGATGGTTATAGTATGACAAATGTTACAATTCTAGAAGTTATAATTTATTTTGTGACTTGGTGAAGAGCATGAGCCAAATAGGCAACATTGTTCGATGAAATTCCAGCAACAGAAATGCGGCCATCCTTGGTCAAATAGATCGAATGCTCCTTGATAAGTTTCTCAACCTAAATTACGTTGCTTTGGTACAGTTAAAAATTGAATAATTTACTTGTTGTTGGTTGATTCCAGTAAAACAGAACATTCCGATTTGGTTTGTAATGTGATCCCAGTTACGGGTGGATCCTTCCTTAGCAAGAAGGTCCTTAAGTTGAGTACGCATTCCGATGATTCGGTCAGCCATGGTTTTCACGTCTCCGAGCCTGTTAATAAATTAATTCTGAATTGAAATTACAGCTCTTACATACCACATATTTTTGAGAGATGGATCCGAGAGAATCTTGCTAGCAATTCGCGCTCCGTGAATTGGTGGGTTTGAATAGAGCGGACGAATAAGGATCTTCACCTGCGAAGCAACGCGAGCAGCTTCGTCAGCGTCATCAGTAATGACGGAAAAAGCTCCAACGCGTTCACCTAAATTTAGAATCTCCTATATATAACATTAAAGTGACCGAAAATACCGTAAAGTCCCATGTTTTTGGCGAAGGACTGGGCGAGAACCATATTGTGCCCTTGTTCAAGGAAGTATCTAACAGCAAACGCGTCATTGTCAACATTTCCAGAAGCGAATCCTTGGTAAGCCATGTCGAAGAATACAAACAAGTTACGGCTTTTCACCACTTCGGAGATTTTCTTCCATTGGTCCTTCTAAAAATGAATGTCATGATAATTTGATTACAAATGTGATTTTTGATATTACCGTTGGATCGACTCCAGTTGGGTTGTGAGCGCAAGCGTGGAGGAGAATGATCGACCCCTCTGGAATGCTGGCAATGTCAGCAAGTGCTCCAGCCTCGTCAAATCCGCAGGTTGACTTGTCATAATAACGGTAGTTCTTCACGTCAACACCAGCAAACCTTAATGTACTTTTTATAGATGATGAAAAATTTATCTATTAACATACTTAAATACTGGAACATGGTTTCCCCAAGTTGGAGTTGGTTGATAGATGGTCTTGACTTTGTGGTACTTTGCCTGTAACAATGCCAAGATTCCATTTATTTTTCACTATAAAGTCTCACCAAGAATTCAGATCCAATTCTGAGAGCCCCAGTTCCCGAAATGCTTTGAACGGTGACAATGCGCTTGTTCTTAATAACATCAGAGTTCTCACCAAGAGCGAGTTTTGCAGCAAGGCTAGTGAACTCAGGGATTCCAGCAATTCCAGCGTACTCCTTGTCAAGGTTAGCGGCAATAACTTGCCGCTCAGCTTCCTTCACTGATGGAAGAACGAATGGTTTTCCTTGGTCATCGCGGTAAGCCCCAACACCCAAATTGATTTTCTTTGGATTTTTGTCGGCTTTGTAAGCTTCCGTGACTCCAAGAATCGCATCAGGTGGTCCCATCTCAACATGCGACCACCAGGATCTGTACAAATTTCACAAATTAAACCATTACTATTAGAAGAATCGTACTTTCCGCGGACAGCTGAGACGAGCAATTTTTTCGAGAGACTCATTTTGAAATGGAGAGCTGAGAAAATCACCTGAAAAAAGCTTGTAAGGTAATTACATGTGGAAAAATGAACATAAAATGAACATTGGTAAAACATCATTTGAGGAGGTGATGATAACGTGTGGGTACAACAAAATTTGCTGAACAAACTGATAGATGATGATGAACCATAAACAACGTCACGTTTTAATGATAATAGGGAATACAGTTTTTTCCGTAGAGCGGCCAAATTGAATGGACGGTTCAATGGCGAAAACGTGCAAGAACAACAAATTCGATGGATGAGAACGGCACAGCCCGAGTTCCTCTAGCTGTCGCACTCAACAAAAAAATAGAAAAGAGACACCGGAGAGACAAACAACGTCCTCTGGTTCTCTGTTGCTCTCGCCTTGACCCATTTGTGCCGTCATTTTACCAGAATCTGCTTAAATTAAGCAGTCTAGCGTTCGAACATCATGTCACGTCGAAACCAACTGCTTAATTGAATTAAAAGGAAAACAACGATAAAATCAGATAGAGAGATCAGGAAACTAAACGCAAAAGTTCGAGAAAATTCATGGTTCCTTGTATGCATTGATCGAGATGAGAGATAATCCATTGACATACATTTGAACTGCAGCCGATGAGGATGACGTAGAATTGTGAATTTTTTTCATTCTTGTTCGCTCATGGTGTAAAGTGAGTGTGAGCATCCTGTTTTAATAATGGTCCATTGCAGAGAAATTGGCGCATGAGGATTATCGAGAGATTGGAACTTTGAGTTATAAAATAACGTGCAAAGTTCTTTGGAAAATCTGGAAATGTTATCTGAAATTTAAGATATTAGACAAACAATAATGTCGTAATCAAAGCAACCGGTTGTAACAAAACAACAGAAACTTGTACATACATAAATTTGATTTAGTCCCAAAATTGAAAAAGTTTTTCATCGAAAGTGAATTTTTCTTCTATCCTTTACATTTCATAACATGAACATTATATGAATTCTAGAGTATTTTTTCCATTATTACTCTGAAATTGCTAAAAAATTCTTTTGGCCTGAGATTATTTTCGTTTATTGACAACTATATAATAGTTGCATTGAAGTTTGCTAGAGATATGGGTCTTGTTAGAAAACTTCCGAACCTTCCGAAGAAAGTTCAAGGAATCATCAAATGTTCGCAATTTTCGAACAAATTTAAGATTCTAAAAATTTTTAACAAGTCTCAAAATAACCAATTTTATGCAGTTTCCTTCGATTATAAGTATTCAAAACTTAAGTTTATATAAATCGTATTTTTGGACAACAACGAACGTGTCCTTATTGTGTTATGGTCGAGAAATTCGGATTGTCCGATATCAGGAAATAGCGAGGTCAGCGCTAGATTGAGATCTATACCACCCCTTTCGCGACGACGGATTGGCGATCCATTGGTACGTTTTGCAGTTTTGTCATTCAGAAATGTCCGTTCCAACACCGAACAAGCGTTTCCAACTTGAGAAAGAAGTTGTCGAGGCTATTCCTGATTTGTGGGTTATCCATGCTAAAGTAAGGCTTTAATCAATATTGATAATATTATTAAAATTATAATGTTTTATACTAACATTCACTCAAACAGTTGTTATTTTAACTACTTAATACGTATTGGAAATTACATTTGTTTTTTCAAAAACATTATTTGAGGTTTTCCCGGACGAAAGGGGATTTTTCTCAGAGTCTTACAATAAAGTTGAATGGGCTGAGAAAATAGGATTCAATGAAAATCTTGTCCAGGTAGGATGATTAATTTTTATGTCAAAAACAATTCTTTTTTTTCTCATTTAGGATAATCATTCATTCTCCAAGTATGGTGTTACACGTGGCCTACACGCTCAGCCTTATATGGGCAAGCTTGTAACTGTTGTCAGCGGCGAGATTTTCGATGTTGCTGTTGATATCCGAAAAGGAAGTCCAACATTCGGAAAATGGCACGGTGTCTATCTTAGCGGAGACAACAAAGACGCGTTCTGGTTGCCGCCAGGATTTTTGCACGGATTCCAAGTTTTAAGCAAGGAAGGTGCCCATGTCACCTACAAATGTTCAGCTGTTTACGATCCAAGCACCGAATTCGGTATAAAGGAAATATAAAATAATATTTAATATTTTGATTTTGAGGAATCAATCCATTCGATGAAGAAATTGGTATCAAGTGGCCAATCACTGACAAATCTGCTATTATTGTCTCAGAACGCGATTTGAAGCATCCATCTTTCTCACTCCTTGAGAACTAATTGCAAAAAAATTTTTTTAATAAACAATTTTATTTATGGAAAAATGAAAAAAATTTCTGCACCGCTCTAATATAAGAAAACAAACATTTTTTTGCGTTTTCCAAAGTCCCGATTTTTCTTCCATGTTTGCCACTAAAATGAACCTAAATTTAGCGAATTCGCTTTTTTCCCCGAATTCCCATATTTGCGTGTGCTTACTCACTCGAGAACAAATATCAGGTAAAAGCAAGTTGAAATACGCCGATACGAGTTTGATTTGTAAAATTACATTTCATTTATTTGATTTAAGTAAAAAAAAAAACGAACTGAAGTGGATAGTATACTTAAAATGTGAAATCAATGAGCAATGCGTGGTACGCCTACAGTGTGGAAAAATTGACAAAATACTTGTCAGATGAGCATTGCTGAGAAAAATACAGAAATTGATCGATTTGGTCTTGATTGAATTTTATGATCAAATTTAGTCTGAAAATGACTACAAATAAAACTGTATCGACATTAACCTAATATTTTTCAAATATACCAACTAAATACAGTTTGGGTTTTTTTTTAATTTTTTAATAGGCAAGAGATTTACGAATAGCACATTGAAAACAATTAAATGTATTTATTGAATAAAATTGTATTGTTTTCTATTTGATCCAAATTGTTCCCTATTCGATCCAGAAAACTTAAAAAAATGAAATATCGGTTCATCAATTTCCTTTCGAAATTGCCTTTTTCAAAAATGAAACCGTGCATGAAATCATTTTCTTTTTTTTCTGAGTCACAATAACGTTTGCTTTTTAGTTGACATGTTTTCATTGAAACTCGATATTGAATGGAAAACGCAATCATGTTGCATTATTCGAAACCCGAATAGAAAACGCGTAGTCATCCCAAAATCGGTGTTTCACAACAAAATATCCATTACAGTAATTCGTCGTCCGGAAAAATTTAGGGTGTGTTCCTGTCGGCAGAATGTTGTGAAACTTGTTTCAAGATATTCGGGTGATCAAATATCACAATGATGAGAACAACAATCATATGGGCGTGATGACAAGATTGAGAAAAACGTGAATGGAACGAGAATCGAATAGTATGTGAGATGGAGAAAAAAAAGGAGTTCGCCCCCCCCCCTACTCATTCAGATGACTCAACAGTTAGCCAACGCCCACATCGTTTCTATAAAACCCTCGGCGGAGAGCAATTTTCCAGCAACTTTCTCCCGTTTTGTGATTCATGTTGTTCTTCATATTCATTCTTCGTCCCGGGAAAAATTCTTAATGAAAAAAGAATGAAACGCGAAATATGACTGTTCGTTTCCCCCCGAAATTTTTTTCCTATTTCCATGCCGCTCGACAATTTCATTCACCGCAAAAATCTGTGCAAACACGTACACGTTTCCATAATAGAAGGGTCACCGCATTTTGTAGTTATTTCAAGTAAAATATCACTACGATTTAAGAGGCAATGGCAGCGATGTCAGTCAACAAAAATGCCTTTTTCCGTTGGTGCCTGTATTTGTGGCAGTTCTCCGTTTCTCGCTCTCTCCAGATTCACCATTTCGTATGTGTGGCTGATGGCTGCGTTCACGTGAGCGCTCTAAGAACATTCTCGACCTGCGCGCTAGTCACGCCCAAACAAAACCAATTTCGAAAAGCATATAAAAAGTACCTGAGTAATGTGCTTCGACTGTTTGTTTTTTTTTTTTTCGAAACCGCACTCAAATTTCAAATTTTAATGTGACCATTAATGTACCATCTGGATTCAATGCATTAGATTTTTTTATTGTTTTCGTGCACTAACCATTTTGAGAATTTTTTGCAAGAACAGATTCCAGTTTCCTATGCCAGTTTATATGCCAGTTTACCTCCAATTAACTCAAAAATTCGTTTTCGATTTGAAATCAGTTCATTTCTGAATATGTATGAGTTTCAGTATACCTTTCATCGCCTACGAAAAATGACTTTGGCTACGAGACACGCCGACTTTGCTCGCCGCGATATTTGGAGAGAGAGCGATCATTGGCTCGATGACTTCAACGACTGGCCAATTGACTGGCCAAAGCCGAGAGATTTCTTCAATCGGGTAAGTCGAAACAAAATTATTTTCGAGTAAACAACAGATAAGATTTTTATAGAAAATGACGTTCTTTTAGTTACTGTATCTGAACGATGAACAACAAAATTTTTAGCGATCAGTATTTGACAATACTATTGATGCACTACAGAGTTTTTGAAAAATTCTTACAACTTTAGGACGGCAACATTGAACAATGAAATTCATAATTATACGAATCCTAGAACGCATTGAACGTCGACCATGAAAGTTAGAAAAGGAAGCGCGTTTTTGCCTATTCAACATTTTTGTCGGCGTCTCTTCGCCTAACACTCAGCGCGCTATAATTTTACTGGTGAAAATCCGGTCACAACTCACTTCTCTTGCCTCGAATTCATCCCCATTATGCGTCAAAATGTACCCAAATGTTGACAGTCGCTCATCTCGGCGAACAACACAGTTTTAGTAGCCATGTATTCAACATATTTTGCATATCTGACTCATCATTTTTGTTTTAAATCGTTTTTTTTTTTAGAAAAACGTTACAAAGCACCGAAATTCTAATACAATTTTACAATTACAGTTCTCTCGCGATAGCGACAACTGGTGGAAGGACTGGCCATCGGATTGGCCAAGAATGGATGCAATTATGCCAAGAGTATGCAATAATTAAAAAAAAACGATTAAAATATTAAGTTTTCATTTCCAGTTTTCAACACAACTCGATCGTATGGATAGAAACTGGCGCAATGATCCATTCTGGATGGATTTGTATCCAAGATGGGCTGAGCCAATTTTCAAAGAGGGAATTGATGTCAACTCACAAGTCATCAATGATGAAAGAAAATTTGCTGTCGATGTGGATTGCTATCAATTTCGACCAGAGGAAATTCAGGTAATGGGTTCAATTTTTTTCATTATTTTTATTTCTAATGTTTAGGTCAAAACTTTGGACGACACATTGATGATTGAAGGAAGACATGAGGATGTTCGTGACAAGGACAACTTCACCAAGATGTACTTCATTCGCAAGTACCAACTTCCAAAGGATGTTAACTTGAACTCTATCCAAAGCAGCATTGATTCGAAGGTTATTTAAATTTAAAAAATTGGTTCAAACTAATGTAAGCATTATAGGGACGCTTGACTGTCGAGGCTCAAAAGCATCCAATGGCTCTTAACTCTCGCGAACGTTTGATCCCTATTGAGGGAATTGGCCGCAGCTCTCCACGATACGATTCTGGAACGTATCGCTCCCAACGAGGACCAAATTCTCCAATTCATGTTCAAACTGAAAATGATAACCGAAGCGCTTCAAGCCGTAGTGCTTCAAGAGCTAATGATAGTCCAAGAACTGATGGGGTTTACTCGTCTCATTCATACAGGTATCTCTTTAGCAACATTTTTGTTAAACAAAACATTTTTCAGCTACCACCGAAGCGATTCTCGCAACCGCATGTCGCCACATGATTTGACCATGCGAAATGAATCGAGAAACTACAGCCCACGTCAAAACCTCACCAGCGGTAAGTTGTTCCATAATTATGTGCTTGACAACAATATCTATTGCTAACTACTTTTGTACTTATCCGTTTAGAACTTCATAAGACGCCTGAAACGCGTTCCCCAGGCAAAGAGATGTTTGAAACGATTCGTAACAATTTCGAGCAAGGTCATTCATGCAGAATTTGGTCTTTTCCCTCAAAAATGAAACATCTATCGCAAATTTCATTCTTTGCCTCTCAAATCGTTTTCCCCAAACTGACCCTGACTAATTTTAATTCAAATTAACACAACAACAACAACTAGCAAATAATTAAGTTAGCAGCCCACATAATTTTTGGGTTATCTTTAGCTAATTCGATTAACTCTAAACATTCAATTTACAGGAACATACGGAAATGGAATTAATGGAACTGTTCAGCATGAGGAGCGTTCAAGCTCCCGAGCACAATCTCATAGATCGGAGAGCAGAAATGGTTAGATTTTGCTAATAGTAATTATGCTACGGGTGAATTCTAGGATATCGTGTTGAATCACCTGCAAGTACCACCAATGGAATTTTGCGCAACGGAAATACCGATTACGGAAAGAGCGATTCACCAAACTCTACCCAACGCGAATATCGTTCCATTCAAATACTTCGCAAAACCTATTAAATTGTGCTCATAAGCAGCTCCCGCTTTTTCATTTATTCATCCCGCTTAATAATAATAATAACACCCATACCACAAAAAAAAATCACCGCCAAAGCTTTTACAATTCATTTATTCCAAAAAATGCTTTTATATGGTATATAATAAATAAACATTGCCGATTTTTTTATGTGTACTAATTCTAGAATGTTTTATATGCAAACGAAGGCAATGCGAATGTTTTGTGGATGCTGATTCAGATGGGCGGTTGGCAACAAGGCAAAATATCAATAAAATATGAGCATTATCAATTGTTTGAATCATATTCCGTTTAAAATCGTCTTGTCGACATGTCGCGTCAAGTTCCTGCCATCCGGAAGAAGGAAATCATTTACCGTCGTAGCTACATTAATGAAGTAAGAAATATTAATTATTTTCGAAAGTGCGCCTAGCTCTTGGCATACTCTACTATTTCAGATTAATGATCGTTTTGATCAGGAGTTTGAGAAGCCCTTTGTTGTAGTTCGTCGTGAAGTTGAGAGACCTCCAAGCGTTCTTGTCAGCAACTACTATCCACCATCCAGCGTTTGTTGATCACGGAAATTATTTTGATAATGTTGATTTAAAGGATCAGCTAGCTCGCGTTAATACGAAACTTGACGATATTCTGTATTACCTTCGCAATGTCTCACCAGCCATTGTCAACGATGTGAGTCTTGGAGAACATAATTGTTTGACACAACGTCTCGCTTTAGAAAATGCTCGAAAAGTCAAAAGGTGTTGACAATTGGCGCTGGCAAACAAACAGAATCAATGAAATTTGTGATCGTCTCGAAAAATTGGAATTTTTGCAGAACTCTGATGTTTGAATCAGATTTGGCGGCCGGGTGAAAGTAATGTTAAATTGAATGTTTAGGTGGATGAAAAGAATTTGCCGACGGGAATGAGAATTACGAGACTAAATGACAAAGTTGAACGACTTTCGACGAATCAGAAGAATCTCGAGACTGCATTTCAAGAGTTGACTTTGAATCAGGAAAGCATCGACAAGCTTCTTGTGAGTTCTCAAAAAAAAAACTGCAAACTCTGAAAAATTATAATTTCAGCAGCTTGTGAACGACACTAGAATGGATTTGGAGGAAAAGATTAACAACATTAAACAATTAGGAGATTCCAGTTTGATTTGCCTAGATCAAAAGGTAATTCAAAAATGCTGGGAGAAATCAAATTTAATTAATTCAGTTGGACGATTTACAACAGGACCAACACGAAACTCATCAGCAATTGAAGGATTTGATGCATATATTGTCCAATTTATCTTCAAGATCCTCTTCGGTTAACGAAAGGCACTATGGGTATGCAATTATTAAAATTATGAAATCTATCAAAAACGGTTGAACCTTCAATGTAATAATTTTGTTTGCTTTTCAATTTTTGGATTTTTTTTTGTTAAAAAATACTTCACTCATATATATATAGATAGATCAAAATCGTTCATTTGCTCATACGATTTCAGTTCTCGTCCTTCTTCCAAAGCATCAAGCGTTGGAAAAGGTTTCACTGTAAAGACGACACCAAAATCACCACCGCCACTTCCAACAGATCATAACTTGAAATCTCGCACGCCAACGCCACCAGTCACTAAAAACGACATTTCATCAAAAAAATTGAAGCCGGCCTCAAAGGCTCCAAGTGTCGATGTTTTGAAACGTCAACCGGACTTCGAGCAAATTCCGCTTCGTAAGCATTAGCTAATCATACAACGCGCTTTCTGCGAACAATACAGGACACCCGATAAATTCTAAACTTTGCATTGCAACTATGGATAATCAAAAAAAAAATAAATTTTAAAAAATAAATTTACATCAACAAAACCCATAGAAAATCTATCAATAATTGAAGTTGCAAATTTTATGACTTCGACGTTGCATTAGTCAATTTTGAAAAAATCCAAAATGTAAAGGAAAATCACCTCTTGATAAGACTGTATCTGTATATGGAAAGGTCTCTGAAGGGGCTTCTGCAACTTGAGCTAAGAGAAACTTGACCTTTGCGATATTCCATCTTTCAAACCATCAATTCAAAATGCCTATGTTTTTCATGACTTATGAAAATTTATAAATGAACTTATGCCCTGAATAATGCAATTCTACTCAGATCAACACTTGTCACCGACGAGCTCATCAAGCGGAAGTTTCATTGCTCCATTGCGTATTGACGAACGCAGATCCTCTCAACCGGCTAATGTTTTTCAAAACAATAAGTTTTGAGAAATGTTTCATGTTGCTCCTTAAGTTTCTGTTAATAGCAAATTCTTTGAACTATCTTCGAGCATTTTTACTTGGATAAATATTTATCATTCTGACGACGTTAATTTCCGTAGGAATTCTTCTGGAATCTTCCTTCTCTTTGTTTAATTAACGAAACCCCGTGCCTTCATTTCGGTAATGAAAAATCTGTGACGGCGGAAGTAAACAAACCCCATCCAAAGTTCGTGGAGGCGTCATATTCAATTCATGAAGAAACGAATGATCTCGATACTCAAAATGTCTACCAAAAATTCGATCGACAAAGGTTTGCAAAACGTGACTTAATCGAATATTTGGCAAAAACGCAAAGAATTTTCAGCTGCAGCTATTTCATTAGACATTAAATTATCAAGCTTTTCTATCAATATTCAATAGATGAAAAAAATGTCTTGTTTTTTTTTCTGTTTTTAACTTCTTCAAAAAAAGTTCGGCTTTTTAGAAAATGAAACGAGCTCATCTTTTAACTATATTTTTCATGTCTTTTTTGGTATCTCGTGACTTCTTGAAGAGAGGAAATTGAACTACAATATTTAAAAAAGTTATATTTTGTTTATATTTTTTAAAATTGAAACCTTCTTTTATTTCTGAGGGGTTTTGCAATAGAATTGGCTGTCCTTGTTTAGAGTGGACCCACTCAACAACAGACAATTTTCTGTCGCAAGATGACAATTTATTCCCAATTACAAGATTAAGAACAATTAATTCTCATCCTTCTTTGGAAATACAACATCAAAAATTGGGCAAAAAACTGTTGAAAGGTTTCATTTCAACTATTTTAGTGAGCAATGGTTAAACAGCAGACACTTTTCACAGGTTTCAGATGTTTAAAATTGTTTTTTTATACAAGATTTTAAAAAATTAGAATACTAAAAATACCTTTGGAAGATTTTTAAAACAATTATATAATTATTCTAAAAAGCAAGCTTTTTAGAATTATATCTGAGTACGATTGAGTCATAAGGTTTTGTAAACAAATTCTAGTTCACGTGAATAAAAAAAATTCTGCAAAGCTAAACTTTTGTTGCGCGAAATTAGATAATGTATTCATTGCATTAAGGCGCAAAATAATTTCTATGTTTCACACTTTAGAATCATTAGGATTAAGATTAAATTTGATAAGGTATATAATCTCGTTCAACATTAATGTTAGAAAAAATATATTTTATAAATTTTCAATAAGCACAACGTTTGATTGAATGAATTTCCAGCAAAAAAGTCGATGATTGCTAAAATCCTGGCAAAACGAAATGTTTGGGCGGTATGCGACAAAACTCAATATCCACTTTATTACATGCTCCTCATCTTGGGTTTAAATCAATCAATTCGCCCTAACAATCCAAACCTTTTTCGTTGCTACAGCTGGTTTGTGTTTTTTCTTTTGGTAAGCATTCAAAATCTACAATCATATGAACAACATTTAATTAGGTTTTCACAACTGGTCGCAAATTTCACCAAATTGGTGTAAAACCAAATGGAGATCGTGAAACCATTGAAGAGTTTTTTGGAAATCCGAGGTCTTTGATCACTCTCTGCAATGCGTTGCTATTGTTGAGGTAAAAACTGTATTTCCGACATAATTGAAAATTTTGTTCAGTGGTTTGCTCGCATCCAGCTTACTTTATAATCTTGGGGGAAAACGTCTTGGACCTTTAAAGGTAATATTATTTTTTGGAGCTTGCGGCAATATCTCGTGTTTTGTTTAAAACTAATTTGATCAAATTTGATATTTATAATCATATAACACCCAAAAAATAACTTGAAATTATATTTCAGTCATTGTGTGAAATGACGCTAATTAATCGTTCAAAGGAACATACTAAACGCCATTTTGCGTTTAACATATTTTTAGCTATGTTCACCGGATCATTGGCGCTCATCATGGCGGCAACTTATGCTTGTATGTCTATAGAGATATCTATTATAACGAAATGTATAATTATAGTGAGTAAATGGGGATATCTTGTGTATATCATCGGAACCCCAAATTTGTCTTCTGAAACAATATTTTGCGTTGTTTTGGACTCTTACGCGGTACTGACTAGAATGCTCATTTAATTCTAAACAAAGATTTCAGCTTTTTATCTCGAGATGCGCCATATCGGCAGCTGCAATTTTATTTTATCAACATTGCTCGGTAATCCGTAGAAGCATCAAACATTTGATCAACGAAATGGTTCCCGATGAGCAAGAAGAGTATGGAAGTTATCCTCAAAACAGCAGCTTTTTGGTTTAGTGACCTAATTGGGCGAGCGAATGTTTTTCTGCCGCCTAATTAAAAAAGTTGAAAAAAAAACGGAAAACGAGGATATTCGTTATTTAAATTTCAACTGTTGAAATACAAGTTTTAATGTTCAGATAGAGATATATTAACCTTTAGATGTCCACTGCCAGAATCAGCGATGCAAAAAATTCATGAGTGTCAAAAAACGTATCAGAAAATCGCAAATGGTAAAGCAGTGATTGAAGAATACTATTCTTTAGCATTATTTTACGCATATGGGGTTTGCATCCCAATCTTCTGTTTTTTACTGTTTGTTGCAATGAGCGCCAAAACGGTAAAATTTAAAAAATTGAAAATTTTCATAAACAAATTACTTTCTAGATCTGCTGGTCTGAGACTTTGTCGATTAGCATTTGGATTATCAATGCAGTGGTTGTGCTTCTTCTTTTCAGTATTCCAGCATTCAAAATCCATGAAGATGTATTTTTTTCGATTTGAAACTGTTTTTTTTAATTCCAGTTAAGGGGGATCGCCTACTCACAACATCATTTCGCATGTATCACGAAACATTTCATGAGGAACGCGATCTTACTGTACTCGCCCAAATAACTTTCTTCGTGTTTCAAGTTCATTCGACCAGATTAACTTTGTCAGCATGCAATTATTTCTATATGAATCGCAGTATTCTGTTGAGTGTAAGAAAAAAATCTAAAGGAAACACAAGTAATTGTTGCCGTTTGCAGCTGTTCTCCTCAATCCTGACCTACTTCTTAATATTGTGGGAGTTTGATGTGAAGAACAAGGAGGATATCAATTTGAAGAATATAACAAGTCATTTTCGATTCAAAGTTTGAAACTGCTTTGTGTGAAATAAATCTGTTAAACAAAAACACGAAGCAAGGTTTTTCTTGAAACTTGCTGGAATTAATATTGTTTGTAGATACAGATGTTTATTTTTTAGTTTAAAATTAAGAGTTGCTCTCGCATCGGATGTACGCACGGATTGTAACTTGACACTCTTTCGATGGAACTCTGAATCTCCCTTTAAATATCAATAATTGTTGCCAATTGTTCCAATCGAATGCGAAATGTTTTGAGATCAGGCTTATGTATCAATAAAATCGCAGAATGTTGTCGTTTGTAAAGCAACAGCCACTTTTTATTGCCACTAGTAGGCAGACGCGTTTGACGATAAAAAATATAGAACCTCCGATAAATTTCCGAACCACCAAATCCAATATTGTGCTGGATATTATTTGTATACATCTAAAGCGTAATACATCATACTCGTTCAAAAACGTGTCATGATTGGCTCATAATGACACATAGCCGATGACACGAAACAAGAGATTCGAGAAAGAGAGAGAGAGAGAGAGAGCGAGACAGGGCCGACCGCGGATAAATGAAGGAACACTACGGGGGCCCGTGACAAAAACGTCTCGAGTAGGCTAGGCCAGCTGTTGTGGTCCCGTCGTGCTCACTATTCATCTCTCTTGCGGCCAAACCGTCTTGTTGTTTTCTGTTCAACAAAGGAGAGAAGGCGTCTCTCTCTCTCTAACTCTTTAAAAAATAAACCAAATCATCTCGTGTTTCAGGTGAATGAGCAAAAGCAAATCACGGTTCTCATTTTAACAACTGCACAGAGTGATTAATCTCAATCATTGATTTTTTTTCTTGAGCTAGCCGCGTACTTTTTATTTCCACTTCTCATCTCTCAACTTCCTGCATTATCCGTCAGTGCCGTTCGAATTGTTATTGCTGCTGCTCAAAGCAAATCTTGATTGACATTCATGGGTTTCCCCCTCAAAGCAAACCTTTCCGGTGTTCACCGAGCCGTTTAGTTCGGTTTTTTTCCTTGAAATTTATTTGCTTCGACACTATTTTTTCTCGGATCATCAGTTCGTTTAGCGAAAATTTTCAATAAAAACTGTTGTATTCCAATTTTGGTGAAAATTATACAGCAATGATGCAGTGAAGGAAATCTTGTGTTGACCAATACACGACAGGTATTGTTTTGGGAGCACTGAACACACAAATAAGAACCATAACAAGCATTGTTTGTCTTCCACCTGATGCTAGCTCAGATTTCCTTGAAAAAATTTTCATCGTTGAAAAATAAAGTTGTTTATTTAAGGAAACTGGATTTATGAACATGCTTTTAATACTAAAATTTGTTAAGTTAATTGGTGTTAATTTGAATCATTCGCTCTTTATTATGCTTTCCATATTTATTTGCCCATTCCAATTTAAATTCATTGTTTTTTTTTCGAATAATCGTCGCCCAGGATATGGCGAAATTCTATTGAAAAACTTTAAATATGCGTTTAAAACGAAAAGGCATATTTCCTGTGCATTGCCCAAATTCGGAAATAATTTCAGTGTACATGCACTTAATCATCTTTATTTGTTTTCGTTTTCCCCTATAATTCACTTCTCTGCAGTTTTTAAGGAATTTGAAACAATTATTTGTATACATCTGCTCATTCATTTTTTGTCGTCGCGTTGAGCTGCCTTGGATACATCAGCCGCGTTCACTTGTTTCCCACTTCAGGATCTCCCATGGCACAAAAAAACTTTTTTGACGTTTCTGACCTTTCTCGTTGATGATTTATTTGTATAAAACACAAGAGTGCTTAAACCTATGAAAATGTGTTGCTCCTTCATCTTCAAGACAAACGCAGAAAGAGAAACATCCGTCGAGTTTTGGTCCCATGGGTGTGACCAAAGCGGCACTTTTAGTGAAGTATGCAGTTCGTTTTTTTTTCTTGACAACTCGTATCATCGGAGCGCGAGAAACAGTGTGTCACTTGCGGCATCTTTTGACGCGTTACGACCGAAGAACTCGTTTTCAAAATGTGTTTTGTCCCCAAATATACCATCGAACTACGCTCTTTAAGTGAGTCGAATGTTTACAAGTAAAGGCACTCGGAGAAAAAAAAAACTATTTCACAAATAGTAATCCAACATGCAACGCGCGATTGACCTATGATTTCTCTGGAATTTATATTCATACACGTTATCAAATTCTCACTCCGGAAGTTTATGTGCATATAGATTTTTCCATTGCGTGTTGCCGAATTTTCAATAATTCCTTTTCGGCAAACTATTTCCAAGGTTATCTAAACAATACAAACAAAACAAATACTATATGTATATGTATAAGATGGTATTTCAATGTTTCATGAAAAAAGTAGAAATAGATTAGTGTGGATGTGAATTTTTGTATTCTTTAATCCAGTTAAGCAGTCATCATTGAATTGAAATGAAGTTTGCTCATTTCAAATTCACACTTTTTTATCTTAAATACTCCTTTTGCTGCTGTGCAGTTTTGAAAAAGAAGGCTTGAAAAACTTTGAAAAACTAGTTTTGCGCAATCCATATAGAGTTTTTAGAGCATTTAAATAGTTTTTACTGCTTTTCTTTTTTGCAAAATCGGCACGGAATCAGTAAAAGGGCATTTGTGATTCTAGAATTAAAAAACTTTTACAACGTCGTGGGCGCAATTCTGAGAAATACCCCCACCACTCCCCCCCCCTCACCGTTGCCTACATCATTTATTGAATTTCTAGCAAGTGTTAACTTAATTTTGTATACATAAATCGTATAATTAAATAATATACAAGTTTTGCAATTATATTAGTTCCTGATTTTTATTTTGAATCACATTCGACATTTCAAAGTCTCTGAGGCACCATTTCATTCATCAAATCTGCGAAAAAGCTATTTATGCGAACATTTTTTTCACAACAGCTTAAATCATCCATATATGGAAGCGCGTTTATGCTCCACGATTTTCTCATATTTTATGTAATCCATTAACATATATGAAATGAATGCTCAAGGGACGCCAAGAGGCGGCTCTTTTATCTAGCTCGTCAAACATCACGGACCATCCTTTGTTTTGATATGTGAACGTGTCGAAACGTGCTCAGACCTTATTGGTTTAATTAAAGATTGCTGGCATAAAAGCAGCGTGTATGTGTATATCACGTGCACAAGTGGTCCGTTTCGATCTTCAAGTTTATTGCCTCATTTTGTGTTCCGTGATGCTCACGAATTCGCGTTTTAATATTCTCCGCGACTTTACTTACTTCTCACAAACTTGTTTAGAGAAAAGAAAAAGTAGAATATTTATACATCATGTTATATGTTTGACAATTCCTATTATCTTAAACATCGATTCGATTCATAAATTTTGTCTGCCATCTGTCAATGTTGGGACAATGATGCCGTAGATTCTTGTATCTTATTTTAAGCATTTCCCATCTCAATGAATTAAAGTAATATATTCCTAGTTTTGCTTTCTTCTTTTCAAAGTATCTTCTCTATTTTGACGAGTCCTTTTTATTGCATTCCCACACTTTTTTTGCACACGAACATTTTGTTCTGTCCATTGGGGTGTTTTCTTCTGGCGATGAGTGAAAAAAATCCAAAGGTCCGTCTTTTTCTTTCATTTTGTTAAGACGTGAGAGCAGCCACGCATAAATTCTGTTTTTTTTCTGTGCTCCTGCGCATTATTACGAACGGACGACAGATATGCGACGGAAGTTGACAAAATAGGTGTGCGTGTATCGAGCGCTTTGTTCGCCGAAAAATCTGTTCCTTCTTTGTCGCGCTGTATTCACACACTCACAAGATTGTTATTCAAACAATGAAACGTGTGGAAAAAAAAGAAGTTATTTTCTAAAAATTGATTCTATAACCACTATTTCAAAAAAACTGTACGCATAGAAATCCTATTCAACATGCATCTTTTATTTCCTCTCAAAAAATGGACAAATATTTGGTCAGAAGGCCAATAGACTAGGCGTTTTATTTTATTTTTTGGGATATTCGTACGAGATACCTTTTCGTTTTGGTAATGTCAAGCCATACATTTTATTTCGATGTGTTTCATTTTTATGTATCCTTTGTTGAGGGACACTCATCGGGTGTCTCATTCAAAAAAACACTGACCTCATTATTTTGTATGCGGTAGGTGGGTTGTCTCCGAAATCGTCCTTTTCATTTTGTGCTGAATTTGATACAAAACCAATGGTATATTATAGATTATTCTACAAACCACATAATAATAATAATAATCGTTTGTATATGTATATGAGTATACTCATAATAGCACTCGTCACTCATATTTTGCCAGCATACCAGTTATTCATTTAAATTCACAATATGTTCTAAACTTTTTTTTTCCAATTTGTTCAATATTAAACAATATATTCTATATCATATCATCAATCTCCATTGATACACAAACATTTCAATATAATATAAGTTGATTCAAGAAGGATTGATTGTAAAGAAAGCTTACATTCCTCACACATTTTTTTTGGTCGCTGCTGCTTTTTCTCGCATTAAATATTTCGCTTCTCACTGATATACATAGGTTTTCGAATATGTACATATTGACCGCCACCCGAAATATTATGTGTATTTTTCACAATGCATTCCCATCGAATATATTTGGAGGTGCATTTACGACCATCGCAAAGGTTCCACATTATCACTGTTCCCATACTGCGCCTCGTCCAATGGTCTCGCCCCGTTTTAGGGTGCCGTAAACGCCATGGCGGCACATATAATGCGCAAAACCGTCGTCGTCACGGTCGGGTTTATCATTATTCATTTTCCATATGCAATTTGCGGTGCACCTTCATCTTCACCAATAATAATCGCGTGAGAGACTGTCGGCAAGTGTTTTACAAAAAAAGCAAATAACGACAAGCCGAAAAAAATCCAAGCGGTTAGTGATTTTTAATATACCCAAGACTTGCGTGCTGAATATATTTATTCGAAAGCAATATCTCTTATTTGCAATATTTTTTTATAGCGAACATGTATTTCTAACACATTCCTTTATTCATTTATTGTAGTGAGAATTGCGCCTTGTTTTCGTATAGCAGGTGATAATTTGCTCGAAATTAATGCGTGCTGTGAGTGACTGATTCTCTCAAAATCGTTCATTTCCCAGAATTTCAATACAACATGTACATATGTAATCCGATTCAATAAAAACCACATCGAATGGCTAGCTTAATAGTGTTTTGAGATGTTTATTAAAACGAGGCGGATGTTCGTTGAAACGCAATCTTGAGATGAACGAGACAGAAAAAATCTAGTGAGGGACATATGCCATCTCAAATCGCTCGTACTTTTACTCAACAGATAATATACATAGAATCAAATATTTTGTTCAGTCGCCTTTGGTTTTTGCGTCTTTCCTTCGAAACGTGAGAAATATTCAAATTTTCAAAGCGGATGCCAATGCGCGACGCTATTTAGCAACTACTTTCGTTTTCACTTTTGAATGGACCACTTTGCCCGCGGGTTGAACATTTTTGCAAATGAAACAACCGAGCATCCGCCCTTCTTTTCTGTTTGTTTTGTTGGCTATCATTCAAAATTAAATTCGACGACGGCAACAAAATTTTTTTGACCGCCTTAAATATTTGCTCCTATAGCTTCATGAAATTCAAAGCAATATCAGTAATAATAATAATAATAGTAAAAAGAAGAAGAAGAAAAAGAAAATATTAATCGGTGTTATACTGGTCTAAGACCAGTCTGCGAAACAGACAATGTTTAATTTTCGGCTTTTTCGGTTGTGATGGTCCAATTATAACAATGAATAACAATAATGAGCAATGGAAAAGTACTCCGCATCAACCTTTTTCTCACCCTTCACCCCCCCCCCTTGAAAAGTCCATTATCTAATTTCTTAAATTGGCGACTCCCTCTATAGCAAAACTTTTTTTCTCCTATCTCTCGACTTCGATTTCCTTCAAAGCAACTTCGCTGCTCGTTTGCAAATGTGTTTTGCAATGTGATGGTATCGCATTGCTATTCGGAACGTTTTCAATCCTTTGTTTAAGTTTTTTTTGGGATACGTCGCTTTGAAACGCATAAATTCGTATGGTTTTTTTCTTCAAAACAATTATCCCGTACGAAAGTTGAACGTAATAAATTTCGACTTTTGGCAGTTATACAACCTGTTATTTGCTACAAAATTGGGCAAATGGGTTTCAATTTGAAAATTGAATTCGCTATTGAAAATTGGCAAATGCCCAAAAAATTAGGGAAAGGTCGTATTGTGCGGTTTGCGCATTTAGCTTATCATTTTGCTCATCCCGGAATTTTGCTCCAAGTCTTCTGGCATTGCTTTTTTCTTTTGGTATTTTGCCCATTTTCCAAGGTCGTGCAACGTCAACATTATATATATATATATATATATACTAAACTCTTTATTGTGTTGTTTGATATAGTGAGTCATTGAATGTGTTTACTAAAAAAAATTGAATGCTTCTACTACAGTTTTCATTTGAGTTTTATTCATTCATTCATTTCCTTTTTGCGCCGAGTATGTTCATTTCCATCATCGGAAGTCGACCTCGACGCACAAAGTTGTATAAATCAGGCGCGCTCTAACCATTTCAACATCTGTCACCAGCGCCCACCCGGTGTGTGTACTATCTGACATTAGAAATGTTGCAACTCGAACCACCGTCATTCATTTGACAAATGTGCTTTTTTTGTGTCATTTTGGTTTTCAAAAAACCACGGACGATGGCGGGGAGGAGGTGACAATTAGGAAGCAGAGAAACAGAGAAATAGGGACGGCCGATCCGAAGTCGAAGCATTCATTTGGTGCGGTATGCCCGTGTCCCTTTGCCGTTGTCTCCCGCGCGAAAAAAAAACATTGTTCGTGTCTGTATGTGTGTGTGCACATGCACAGTGCAAGTGCAATTCGAGACGATTTTCTTTCACCAAAAAAACATTTGCTAGCTTTTGTTCGAATTTCTCATCGCCTTACTCGAATCTGAATGTGAGAATTCGATACCCTCGCTGGATAAAATTCTTCGCGCCACTCAAAATTGTGAGGCGTTTTATGAGCAAAAGCTACATTAATCGGTTTCTTAAATTACATATTTGGTTTCTTGTTTCGGTTTTATGGATGAGTTTCGCCTTCTGTTCGCACCAATGGCGCGTGGCAACCCACAATTTGGTTGCAGTCGCGTTTAAAACGCATCGTTTCGTGTTTTTTCGCCTGTCCGCCCATACACCCATCCATCTTTCCGCCATCTTCGTTCATGTTCCTCAATCGTGTTCGTTCGCAATTTCCAATGAATTGAAACTTGCAGGTAATGCTGACATTTTCATGGACGGGTAAACGTAAAAAGAAGAGCGACGCTTCCGATGGCGGTTTGAGTCTAACGAAATCGAAATCCACTTCCGATCACGACTCGTCCGAGCCATCTGTGAGCCGATCGACAACATCAACGGGGTCAATACACTTCGGGCAGGTAATATTCCAACTTCCGTTAAATATACCGAACTCCGGTCAATATTAATAAATGCGGAAAAATGTTTTTGGCCCAACTTTCACATTTTTGTTATTCCGTTGGCAATTTGAAATTACCATAAACTGAAAAGAACAGGATTCACGCGTTTAATGTCGACTCCGTTACCTTTTACAACCTATTTTACTACTCCTCATAGAATATTCATTGCAAAAAAATGGGTACGAGATTTATGTGAGCGAAAAATTAAATGGGCTTAGTATGCAAATTTCTAGAATGAAATCGGCGCCAAAATGCAATCATACTCATTTCATCGAATACAAATAGGCAAATTTTTGAACGCTAGCGGTTATGTTGATGAACAAACAGCTGTCATAATTCTAAATGCACAATCTATCAATTTCATAAGCGAAACCTCAAGAAAAAAAAGTGTAATTTCTCTCTAGACACTCATTTTTTCTCCGCCACAAATCGACCACAAACTGACAAAGAGCAGTGACAATGTGCAATATCCATCAAACTAATGCTTTCTTACGTGGAAGTAGGCACGAAATTGCGTTTTTTTTGCAGAGTATTCCATTCACGTCATCGGTGGGTACAAGTTTCAAGGAAGCAGAATATTCTGGACGCCTTCTACTTCACGGACTTCGTCTTCAGGAGTTCCCAATAGAAGCGTTTGAAAATGTCGATCTTCTCGATATTGTGCTACTTGGTAATCATATTTTTATTTTCAATCGGTTTGAACATGTGTGCACACCAATTAGTGCACAATGTTGTCCTGAACCGCCGACAAACCTCGATTGAATTATTCGACCTAATTATTGTCGGATAAGTGCTCGACGGCGGGTAGTTTTTTGACCGAGGGTATAAGCACCACCTGCTTCATTACAATAAATGAGATGCAGCATAGCATACTGCACAATTAATTGACAATATGTGTTTGGGCGTTCAAGTTGAGGGAAAATTGACACTAATCGGTATAATGAATGAAAAAAATTTCAAATAATATTTCAAAATGATTATCTTCATCAAGTAAGAAATACACTCCATTTTAATTTATTCGTAGCTAATTGTGAATTGTGAATATTCCAGATATAAGCGACAATCGACTTTCCACACTTCCAGCTGATTTTTCTCAGTTTGACTGCCTGATCTCATGTATTGCAAATAATAATCGTTTTCGCTCCATTCCTACGTGTATATGTTCCATTGAACAGCTTACCTACATTGACTTTAGGTATAGATAGAACGTAATTGTCAATTCCCAATTGCATATTTTAGTTGCAACGAGATCTCCCATTTACCAGATGGACTTTTTGACCTGCCATTAGTGACGATGCTTCTAGCAGGAAACAATATTTCTTATTTACCAGAGGCAATACGTAGACTCGGTCCAACTTTGACCTATCTTGATCTTTCTGGAAACGATATTTCCGTATTGCAACCACATCTTAGATTCTTGAAATCGTTGAGAGTTTTGAAACTCGGTAAGAATGCAATTGAAGAATTCCCATCAGGTACAGAAAAAAAACGATTTCTACAGTAACGAATTCTAAACATTGTAGAACTCTGCACGTCGCTTGAACTGCGCAGTCTAGATTTGTCACAAAACAATTTGTCCTATTTACCATTGGATTTTATCAAAATGAAGGACTTGCGAAGTCTTCAGTTGTCTTCCAATCCATTGAGAAGTCCGCCGATTCATGTTGCCGAACGAGTAAGTCAAATTTGTGTTTCGCAAAGAGCAACAAACGAATAAATTAACAGGGCATCGTGCACATTTTCAAATGGCTCGAAGGTCGAACATCTGGATCCGGCTCCTCAGTCGGATCGCAAGATTTCCTCAATGACAAACGGCGATTTGTTATTTCGTCCGAAAAACACAACGATCATAACCAATCGAGGTAATTGCGAAGCTTCGGGAGACATATACGTATTCCTGCTGCTTTCGGCTAATAGGCATCTCATGTTGTTGGAAACGTAAAAAGACGAACATTTTTCGGAACAGATGGTTTTTTTCAACGTTTCTTCCGCGAGAAATGTTTGTCATTGGGTGCTTGTGATTAATTGAAGGCGCTTAATCGTAGACGTCGTCGTAGTAAATAGGTGATGAGCAAATTGCTCGTCACGACGGCGGCAAGGCAATAAAACAACCAGGGGGGATAAAAACAGCAGCGATGGGTGAAACGAATATGATCTCTGAAACTTTAACTCAATAATACATTAAAAAAAAATTTTAAAGATGTCTCACGTACCGTTTATCTGTTGTCCAAGAAGGTTGAAATTGAATACGTTATATGATTGTATATACTAGAATTTATGTGAAACAACGATGGAAATGAAAAATGAAACATGGCTATTATAAATAATGTTTCGATAGATATATAACAATGAGCAATTTTTTACATTTACGGAAAATAGTTTTATACGTTAGGAATTCTCAAGAACTGTTAACCGTTTCCTATTTCATATGTACAAAGTAATAGCTGCTAATTAGTCGCTTTGTAAATCTAACGGTTATAAAATATTAGTTTTGCCACTCAAAACGCTTTGTGCTTTAACTAGATTTATAAGCATAACTAACTTTCAGAACATCTCGAGGTATCAATATTGACAGTTTCAAGGCATATGCATACGATAGCAAACCTGAAAATGGAAATGTCCCAAGGACAAAAGTAAGTAAATAGTGAATATCTCGCTCAACTTTACCAATGAGTGCAGTTTCAAAATAATATGTCATTTTCTGGCTCTTACCACATCACCTTGAACTCCTTTAAAAACGCAGGTTTTTTACATGTGATGTTGTCAAACTTGTCTGTTTTTTTCCACCCGAGTGCCAATTTTTAAGTGATTATTTTTTATAGTTTTTAAGAAAAATAATCTCACCTATTTATTAAGTGCTGCATGATGTTTAGATAGAATTTCACATTTGAATATTTTAATCCAATAGCAAAATATACCTTCACCATATTCAGCGTTTTCTCGATTTTTAGTTTTCGCTTCAGGAGATAACGGAAATAAAATCAAGCGTTCATCCAAGGCCATCGAATGTGCAGATAACGCAAAATAAGATAACTTCTCTTCCGTCTACTAGAGAAGTCGTGAATGGAAAAGGTATCGTTGCAAACTAATCTGTATTGAAGAAAATAATTGACTCGATATTAGAAAATATGCGATTGACCGACGAGCAGAATAACAACAGCACTAAAACAATGGTCAGCTCAAGTATGAACTAAATAAAACTTGATATCAGCTTGATAATTGTAATTTTAAGCGAAAAAGCCCGTTTCGAAAGTAGCACCAATGATGAAAAATACAAGTCGGCCAACATCAACAACGCAAAACGGAAATATGCAATCGGTAAGTTATTTATTTCAATCCGTTGTAAGTTTAATCTGATTTTTCAGAAAATTGGAGCTATTCGCAAACCTGCTTCAACGAACGCACTTACTAAAAAACCATCCGTACCAACTAGCAGTGTCAAAAGAGAGATTCCCGTGAAAAATGATGTTTCTAAAACAGCTCCGGTTAGAAAGTCGATGGAAACTAATTTAAAGACGACAGCGCTGAAAATTAATGCTGGAAGCACCACCACATTAAACCGTAAGCATTTATGAACATGATGATGCATTGTTCAAAATTTTAGGAGCGACTGGAATTCGCCCTGTTGCAAGTGATGTGGAAAATGCACGGAAGGTGATGCGTGAAAAGCTGGGACCGTCGTTTGCAACGACAAAAGGCGATATGGCTTTTAGCATGCAAATTTCTGATGGCGTTGAACTTTGCAAATTCGTGAACAAATTGCAACCATCTGCTATTACATTGGCGACACCAAATGATTCCGTAGGCATTTTATTGCAAATCTCCTAGTAATTTCGTGTTTCAGTCAATTGCCTCAATGCGTTCGAAGCTGAATGCGGAGAGATTCATTCAGTATTGCAAAAAACTCGGTGTCCCAGAGGTTTGATACCTAAAACATTTTGCAAAAAAAATACTCAATATTATTCAGAACACCATGTGTACTTCATTGGATATTCTCTCAAAGAGAAATCCGCAGAGAGTTGCTCGCACATTGCTGAGCATGGTCAAACTTCAAGCGCTCCAAGTGTCCCCAACAAACTCAATTCAGTGTTAATGATTGTTTTGTCGGGTAGTAATATAAATAAACATTCAAATACAACGGGTTAAAAAAACAATAACCGAATTGACGAAATGATACAAAAAATGCCAGAAGAGCAACTATACAAATTTAATACGGCATTTAAATTTTGGCATTTTACGTATATACTGATCAATATGCATTTAAATATACATCCGCATTGAATGCTAATAATTACTTATTACTATTCGTCAGCGTTGTCTTCATAATCAGCTTCTTCTCCATCACTGCTTGCCTCATCATCATCAATTTCGATGTCAGAAGAGTCATCGTCGACTTCGATTTGTTCGACTTCCTCTTCGAGTTCTTGTTTTGTTTTCTTCATATCAACTTCATTCATATTTTTCTCATCATTTTCGATTATTTTTCTTTTGCGCGGGTCTGATTTATCCTTTAATTTGATTATTTATCAATTTTAGGGAAAGATTTTCTTATAATACCATGCTGTGCTTATTTAGCAATAGCGCATTCTTGTATCCGTTCAACTGCTCCAATAAAATGCGATATTCAACGTTGTGATCTCGAATCAACTCAAACACACGACGTAAACTTTGAATGTAGACTGAAATAAGCAGTCATGTCTTATTCTAGTTGAACGATTGCTCACGTTGAACACTATCCATGTCAATCATGTTCACTTGGGCATTGTCGAACAAATCCTTCTGTTCCTTCACGATAATGGCAGCCTGTAAAAGTATGAAATTGACTAACTGAGCATCATTATAACGTTTATGATCATTCGAATGTAATCATAAGTGAGTTATCGTATGATTACTCAGCATTCTATTTTATAGTAAATTCATGAAGAAAAAATATAAGATTCCAAATTTCACTGTTTAAAATTAATCAATATTTGCTTTTTCAAAATACTTTTCTTATTTTATTTTGTTCACTAATACTTATTTCATGAATTTGCGGCCATATCTCTGAAAAAATGATTGTCGGTTACGGAATGAAATCTACGGCTGCAAACCGCATAAATAAATAAAGTTTAATTGAAAGTTTTGAATTGGCCGAATTGAAGAGGTAAATAATTTAATAGTACGTTTTCATTTGCAGATAAGAATTCATTTATCAAAAACTATTGAAAGTGCAATGCCTATGATAATAATTGTCCAGCCGACTTCGATGAAATTAGTAAAAGGATATGTTCTTAATATACTCAAATAGCGAATGAGTCAGATTGTTATTTTAATAAAATTTGTATTGTACTTCTCAATTAATGAAGATAACTAAGTCCCAAGAGGCTATTGGAAGCTTCAGAATTCAGATTTTTTCTTCGGTTTTTTGCAAATCAATGACAAAAATATCTTTCATCATGGCTAGACGATTTAAATATCGTTATTCTTTTTGATAACGCAAAACCGAATATTTCCAAGTATCGTGTATTATTAAAACCTACGATCATAGAAATATACAGTTAAAAAAAAAACATAATTCTCATTGTCAACCGAATTTTTGTGAGTTAAGAAAAAATATCAAGCAAAGCAAAAAATAGATTGATTAACAAATTTTGAATGTGCATTTTTTTTAAGTAAAAAAAAATAACAATAAGCATTCTATACATTTTGTGATAAATAATTAAGATATTTGAAACAATTGGAAATCGTTGTGGCCACGTTCTAGTAACTAATTGACAGAAAATATTGTTATATCTGACTAATATTTTTTTAAAATTTATTTAAGCAATTTTTTTTTTAAATTTATTTAAGCAATTGTTATCATACACCTTGACGCAACTTTTTAATGCTGCTTTAGATTCAAATACATATTTCAGACAGTTCAATTCCATGCTGATGTCTAAAATGTTGTTTAAAATAAAATTAATCGTTAAATAACAAAATATAAGTTAGCGTCCGGTTAGTGTGAACATATTCAAATCTCACCTTCGCGTTTATATCGAAAAACTGTTCCGTCAAAACAAGGAATTTTCGGGCCAAATCACATGTCTAAAACAATATTTTAAAACTTATGTTCATTCTATAGCACCATCATGTTGTAGTGAGTCAATCCATTTCTAATGTCATTAATTTCCTCTTGATGACCTAAAAAATGATCTCAAAATATCATTACATTATTACCTTACTTGTAAATCCCGATGGATATTTTTTCGCATAAAGCCACATATAGCTGAGAGGTTCTTCCGAAATATCGCCCATTTTCGACGATCAGAAATGCCTTTCAAAATTTTTAGAATTAGAATTAAGGCATTAATAATATATAAGTAGTTTGTATTTAATCAAATTAACAAGAAATGTTAACAGAAAAATTAAGCAATTTCGCAATCGTACCAAATAAGCTACCGTTTTGCAATGATATTATGATTTTTGATGGACATTGAAACAGCAGAGAAGTGAGAAGGAAAGATAAAATGGAACGGAGGGAGAAAAATCAATCGTCCATACGCTGTGCGCTGGCCGAGTAACGCGTCTTAGCATTGCGACCCTACGCGTCGCAACTCGGCCGACATATTAGCACTTTCGTTATTTCACAATGTTTTAGAATAGTACGCGTCACTTTGCCTATTTTTCATTGAAGAATGGAACGCGGTGTGTTGTTTTTTTTGTAAATTATTAATAATTTGATTTTTTTTTTAGTGTTTTTTCTGATTGAAGATGTCGACAAAGAATTAACTCACAAGCTATACATTCGAAACGTGTATCAAAACGCTTGTACATGGATCGAATGGTCGGTATGCGTTTCAAATAAATAAATGACGTATTTATTATGATTCTTTCAAAGGTTCATGGGTTTCCTTGGATCTTTTTTAGTGTTCTGGCGTTAATTGTCGCATACGGAAAGGAATTTGACGCTGAAATTCAGCACGGTTTATTATTACTTAATTTGGGTAAAAATTAAAAAACGCGTATAATTTTTTTTTTTAAATATTCATTTAGGTTTATTTTTTGATTTGACGCTGATTGCTTTCTTGAAGTTTGCATTTCAACGACAAAGGCCGATGGAATGCAAAGGGCAGGTAATTTTGAAAAAAAAAAATAGTTAATTAAAAAAGAACAGAGTAATTTAGTTTCTCGAAAACTCAGTGGATATATATTCGTTTCCTTCTGGTCATACTTCCCGTGCAGCAATGCTTCTGAAAATTCTGCACGCGTTCCATTCAACTACTGCAATAGTTTTGTTTCCATTGCCATTTATAGTCGGAATCTCGCGAGTAGCATTAGGGCGTCATTATATTAGTGACGTGGTTGCGGGTAAAGTTTAAGGCAGTAATTCTCAAAAAATTGCTGTTTTGCAGGAGCTGTTTTCGGGTACCTTGAAGGAGTTATCATCTGCTCTATTCCGAAAAGTGTAAATGCAGTGTTTAGAAGCTTGCTTCGATGATTTTTTGCAAAAATCAAATAAAAATTTACTTTACAAGTTGTGCTTAACTTCACATCTATGTTTTAGTCAATTTACTTGTTTTGTCATTAAAAAATCATTAATAAAATTTTGTACAGATGACAGATAATGCGGCATTTGCTGCTACCGAGAACGACCTTTTTAGGGATTCTCCAGTTAGATATTTGGGTAAGAGCTTTGAAAAAAAAATCTTTATATTAAAATGTATTTTTCCATGCAGGCTACGCCAATGAAGTTGGGGAAGCATTTCGTTCAATGGTTAGACCACTGGCTGTTAAATTCTCATACATTGTGGCTTTTGGTTACGTTACTGCAGATGCTGTCGACAAGGGCTACAAAACGTATAAGGTAATTTAGTGTTGTTTTATTGATAAAATAAAAAAAAACAAAGTTATGTATTGCTTTTGTGAGCTGTGTGAAATCTTATGGCAAATCATATAGACAATTTCTTATGGGATTGGAAAATATTTTGGTAAAACTACAAACATTTAAAACACATAATTAGTATTCATAAAGAACATTACATTTACTAAATGATATAAAAGCCAAGGTATTTGAATATTTTGTTCATCTTGAAGAAAGAATTAATACTTTCGTTTCGAATTGATTGCCATTTGACAAAGAAACTTTTTTATTATCTATTGTCGGAGTCAAGCGACTTGACGAAATTTAAAAAATTATTGGCTATGTGCAAATGCGTCTCGAGGCAGCGAGAAGTACGCGAGACTGCGTACATTGCATTATGGTGTAGGCGCATTTAATATTCAGTCAACGAAAAATTTAAATCTACACTGATTTCGCAAATTTGAATGCTCCGCCTGCTTTCAGTCGTTTGATGCCGACAATACATTTTCAAAGTAAGATATTCGTAAACACTATATATTCTTCATTTGAAACCAACATTATGTTATATAGCCTACTAAATACTTAACTAGGATTGATTTTCTTTGATGTGCAACAATCAATATTATTTTCTGCAAGAGCTGATTGTTTCGTAAAATTATAACCCTTGTGCTGAATTACAACGAAACAAAGCGCTATCATTCATTATGTGTTTTTTGTAGTTTCAAATCATGCCTATCCGTTTTGTTTGTGGCGTAGAATCTCGCGAGTAGTATAAATTTGAACTTTGATACGTGACTTTTCTAATTTTTATTTACGAAAATGATCAATGATGTCATGAGCAATCAATTAGCGTCCACTCTAAATATCTATAGATCATTATTGATATTTTCACAATACATATTACAGAATACTAGTAAAAATGATGAAAAGAAGGTGACAAAAGTTGGAATCAGTGCTGCGGACACACTTATCTGGCAGGTATGAACTCGATCATGGTATTGATATAAAAAGTTTTTAGACATTCGCTTCGGTTCTGATTCCCGGTTTCACCATCAACCGTTTTTGTCATTTTTCGAACTTGGCATTGACGAAGTTTGTAAAACAGGCATTGTATCTTAACTTGTCGTAATGCAGGGTTTCTAAACTGCCGGTCGCAACTCGTAAATGGACAGTTACTCTTTTGGGTCTTGCAACGATTCCATTCATTATCCACCCAATTGATAATTTCGTCGAGATCTCGATGAACAAGAGTATCCGCAGGGTTTATAATGACGCCAAGTGATTCATATGCATATAGGATATTTCGTATTTCGCATTATTTCGCATTCAATTGTTATAGAAACTTAATGTGATATTGAACATATTTTACTAGTCTTATTTCAGGAATCTTGTGTACTATTAGTTCATCGTTAGAAATCAGAGATTTTGACCCCTTTCCAAATGATATTTGCTCAATCAACAGTGTAAAGTCCGGGCCTCTTATTCTTGGTGAAATTTTTGCAAACCTCTCGCCAATTTTTATTTTGAAATGAAATGTTCAATTCGACATCGTTATCAAACTTTTGTTTTTTTATTGTCTGGGTCAAAGTACCCACATATTGTGCGTCGGTTGCGATCACACTCTAGAATCTATGTTGCAGACATGAACAAAATTTTGCGCGGAGTTATCAAGTTTCGCAATACTATACGTGTTGATTTGATCGAACAGTTCAATAAAATAAGCGACCATCCCGATGTATGGAATTCTAATGAATCCAAGTATGATAAAAACTGTTTTGTAGCCAACAGCTGTGATGTTTACTTGCATGGATTCTCGAATGCTACCAACAAGATTCACTCAATCCCAAGTCGGAGACATGTTTGTTGTTCGAAATGCAGGCAATATGGTTCCAGATGCCCCCAACTATGGTAAACGCTGGAAAAAAAACTGAAACTTAAGGAGGAAATTATTTAAGGTCGATTTTCGGAAGTTTCTGTGAACACTGAGCCCGCTGCTTTGGAGTTGGCGGTTAAACGAGGTGGCATTCGACATGTTGTTGTTTGTGGACATTCGGATTGCAAGGTAAAAAATAAAGTGTGTTTTTTTTAATTCACTCTACAATGTTTAGGCAATCAATACACTTTACGGATTACATCAATGCCCAAAAAATTTTGATGTCGAATCACCAATGGATCATTGGGTCAGAAGAAATGGGTTCAAATCAGTTCAAAGGTACACTTGTTAAAGACAAAAAAGATGTAAGAAATTATGAAATAAAAACAATTTCCGGAAAATATCGTAGGTTTTTAACTGATTTTAAACAGCTTACTAGTCATTTCTATTGGACGGAAATTCTATGAAATATTAAAAACATTTTTAAAATCTTCGAACATTATTGTCATTTCTTGTTTTTAGGTTGAACGAAAGACTGCATAAAGGTCCATCGTTGATGAAATTTGAAAGTGAAGTATCACCATCACAATCGTTTGAAGCAATTATTGATCCATTTGAAAAGCTGACGGTTGAAGATAAGCTTTCTCAGGTAGTTTTGAGTTTAGAATAGAAATTATTCAAACATTCGGGAAATGATACAGATATACACATGTTAAAATATTCATTATCTATTGCTAATTTCATTCGGAATCAACACAATTTCAGATTAACGTTCTTCAACAAATGATTAACATTTCCTCTCATGAGTTCCTCAAGGAATACCTTGAAAATGGTAACAGATTTTATAATTTATAAAAAAAACTGAGTTTTTTTTTAAGGCAAACTTCATGTTCACGGAATGTGGTTTGATGTGTACAAAGGCGAAGATTATTTATTCTCAAAAGATAAAAAGAGATTCATCGTCGTTAATGTAATCAATACAATTTCTTGAAAATGCTTTAGTTATATTTTTTTTAGGAAGAAACGGTTTCAAAGTTGCTTGACGAATTGAATGCAAGATGTCCAGTTCCAACAGGCGAAAATGAAAAAGTTGCGATTACGCATTCCAATTGAGAAATATATTGTGTATAGTTGTACATTCGTTGTGATTATCGCATTCCAAATCCCGATATTTGCAGTTTAAGTCATTTTTATATATAATTTTCAGTCAATGGGTCCGTCGCATACTGTACAATAAATGCTTTTCACTGACACAGAAATCACAAATGTGAACAAAAACGTTCGATGTAAGCCACATTGCAAACACGCCAATGTCTGAGGAATAAAATAGAGTCTAGTGTAAAAATACTTCTTCCCGATTGTCGCCAAAAAAGATATCGTAGATTAGTCGTTAGATTGCCAAATTCACCGAAATGGAAGTGATTCATTTTGAGTATGTATGATCGTTGAATTATCGCGCGTGCATAATGTTTTGCGGGAACAGGTTTAAATAGATGGTCATCTTTTTGATCGCTAAAAAATTCTATTCATTTTTGCTTAGCCATCAGATAAGGAAATAAAGAATTATTGTTTATTGATTGTTGCCTTAAACGAGTTATATATTGCTGGTTCAAACGAGAATAAATTAACTAAACAAGAGTTAAAAAATTCAAAATATCGGAATTTTAAGGAATGAGGAACATGTTTTCATAGAAATTAATCTACGTGTACAAGTGAAATTTAAATATAGGGGCATGCGACTCCAGATGTTTCAATGGCCATGATTGACGTCGGATCCAATGCTAAGAACCATTTTCCGGCGTCAGCCCCTGTTGCGGAACAAGTCAAGATCACTTGTCCAGGATATTCAAATTCTCCAGAAGAGTGCACATCGTAGATATGTGATGTTGTTCCAGACGGACAGGTGTAAGTCGTTCTTAATTATTATAAATGTCGTCATGCATAAGACATAGTATGTTACGAGCAAGTTGTTCCGTCACCGTAGTTCAATGCTTCAACTCGTCCTAGCATGTATACAAGTGGTACATCTTCAGATGCTGGGCATGTGCCAAGTCCGAGACAGTTCGGAGAATAAATATCTGGACATGCCGGGCATACTGAAATTGTGCAGTTTGTAAATGTCATGTTTTGAATTTCTTACGATCTGGCACAGTTGTGGTTGTTGGAATGGGGGTAGTTACAACTGTAAAAATGGTATTCAAATTCGTTTCTTCTTTCTTATTAAATTCGACTTTTACAGTTTTGTATTAATTTTCGATATTTGTAAAAAAAATTATTGAGTAATCCTCACACATTCTGTTCACCAATAGATAAACCGAACTTGTCAAGTTTGAAATTTTCTATAATATAACTAATTCAAGCAAAACTTAAACCTTCAACTTGTTGAGTCGGTATGCATCCTGCTGCATACTCAAGACCAAAATGTATGCACACCAGAATGAACAACATGAGGAAATAGTTCTGGCAAGATTAAAATGTTGCAATTAATTGCGTCTCCATACAAAAATAGAAGAACTCCGGTTTTCTTTGTCTCCTCCTCCTCCTCCTCTTTGAAGGCGTATCAATATCCATGCAATGGCAAAATGACGTAATTTGATAATCACAAAATATCGCGTAAGAATAGCTAATGAGTTAATCTCATAGAACATCGCAAAATTGATAGCATATTTAAGTAGATACGTTTGGTTAAATTTTGTACAGTGCGTGCAATAGTGCACTTTAAAAAGATTTAATTTTATAAATTTTGATTTTTCTTTAAATTTTCTATGAACTATTTCAATAAAGCACCGTTCCATGGAGTCGAAGTCCATATTTTACACGTACACAAAAAAATTCATGCATCTAAAAATCACTGGTTTTAATGCTTTAATGTCGGTGCTCGAGTATTATCGAAAATGCAAGATCAAGACACCCCATGGGTTCGTGTTTTAATTGCCGACACCTCTTATAACAACACCGCTCAAAAGGTTGGAAGCTTTTGGTTTTTGGGCATAACTTTTTGACATCAAACTTTTTTCCATGAACTTTTTTTCCGATTGTTTCTTACGCAATTGCCGATATAATGAGCTATTAAACATGATTCGTGCTTACCAAATAAGGTTTTTAGGCCATTTTTTTAGAAATCCGTAAAAACACATTTTTTGGATATGCAATTTAAGTCAGTTTTTTGACCGGAAAGATAGTTTATTAACACAAAATCATTGAAAACTAAAATTATAGGATTCATACTTGGTTGCGAAGCCTCGGGAGTCAATAACTGCTGGCTCCCGCGAGCCATGGAGTCGATCAAGTTGTCGATGACCGAGAGTGGAATCTTTTTCCATTCTTCTTCCAATTGTCGGAACTTTTCGTTCGAATTTGTGGCGGTTCTGTTTGCCATTCTTCTCTGCAACTCTTCCCACAAGTGCACGATCGGATTCAAGTCCGGAGATTGACTTCTCCAGTCCATAACCTTGAAGTGCTGACTTGCGAAATTCAACACGGCGTTGTCTATTCTTCTCCGAAATGAACGGTTTCTTTACTGGTCTTCTTCCGAACAATCCTGCCGCTGATAAACGGCGTTTAGTTGTTGATACCGAAACCGGCGATGGAGATTTAGCAAAAACTTCGTGCTGGATCGCCGGTGCCGTCATTCGCGGGTTGAATCAACATTTGAAAATGTTGCTCCTGTTTGACGCCCTGCGTAAATTGCCCGTTGTTGTTCAACAGTCATGTTCCGCTTTTCTTCGATAGTGGACATGTCTAAAATTACAAAAAAATAACGGCGTGCAAAAAAAAGCACAGAAAAATAGTAAAAACTTTTGAAAAAATAAAAGTTGAAAAAGTAAGCAAAAACTTCACACATAATTGCGTATGATAAGACTACCGTACCAATAATTTTCTAATTATATTTATCAATATATCTGAAAGTTTCACCTCGATCCATACGGTTTCGATCAAGTTATGCCCAAAATATCAAAAGTTTCTAACCTTTTGAGCGGTACTGTATATGGTCTAGTCTGGCGTGTAGCTCTACACAAGACCACCCTGTAATTGTGTAATACGAATGGATTAACTTTGATATTATACTCAGGTGATGCTAACTAACTATATTTTGCTAAATATTGGAATGATCCTGCAAATTTAAATTGAAAAAATGAACGATATTTACCAAAATTTATTAAAACAAAACAGTTTCAACGCAGTTTTTACCTGCCAGTTGAATCTAAAGCAATATTGGGACTTAGATTTGTTATCCATATAATTCATAAGTAGAACAATTTACAAAACATTATACGTTTTAATTACAATGCATATTTCAATCAATTTTGCGAATATTGTAATTCCGCACTCGGCAAACATATGGCTTTGGTGGCGCGGTAATTCCTCCAACAGTGCGCTCAGTCGATGGAATTGGGTCATTAGCGTCGAGCCAGAACTCGAAATTCTGCATTAAACTACAGAAGATCAAGTATAGTTCCGCTCTAGCAATTTTTTCACCAAGGCAGATTCGTGGTCCAAGTCCGAATGGACGGAATTGCTCTACGGGACTGTAGCAACCTTTCTCGTCCAAGAATCTGAAAACATCTAGAAATTACTTATCTTGTTGATTTTGATTATTACCGTTCAGGATTAAACTCCTCTGGGTTCTCAAACACGTTTGGATCGTTAAGAACTGCACCAAGTCCAGGAATAATTTCAGTATTGACTGGAATTCTATATCCTCCAATTGTGCATTCCTCCAGTGCTCTGAATTTGAATGCTTAAATGATTTTCAAGATTTTTTTTCATACTTGTGTGGAATAGCCCATGGCAAAACGTTGGCAAGTCGCTGAATCTCTGAGAGCACTGCTCTCACATAGGGAGTCTCCTGCATTCGGCGCATATCCGGCTCATTGTGCCCAAATACTTCAACAACTTCATCATGGCATTTCTTTTGAATGTCCATATTCAACAGCATGTAGATGATTCCCCAACGTAGTGTTGTCACTGTTGTCTCCATACCACCTGTCCAAATATCTCCACAGACAAGAATGATTGAGAGGTCGCTACAAGGTTTCATATGAATCAGCGTAATGTGTGACTCATTTCATACCTGAAGTTCTGTTTTCCGTCCTCTTTACGCTCAACCATGTATGACATAAAGTCTCCTTGATATTTGTTGATCAAATGATCTTCAAGAATGGTTCTGAACCAATTCTGTAGACGAAAACCGCTTTTCTTGTAATTTGTCCATTTCCGCAAGAAGCACTCCGGCAGTTTTTTGAGGATTGGCCAACTGTTTACCAGGAATACTTCACCAGTCATGATCTGCAATTCAGGACTCTTCGAAAGCATTGCCACGTGAAACTACTTCTCGCACAACGGTGTTAATATCTCGAAGTTGTGATTGGAATTCCTCATCATTGAACAGAAACGTTTTCCCGATAGTGATCTGTTGAATGACATTTGCAATTGCTCCACTAAACGGTTCTCTCAAGTCCACCAATCCCTAAAATTGGCAATTGTGCGCAATTCCGACTTGGTTATTTTTTTACGTTGTAATCAGCAACTTTTTTGATTTCAGATTCCAATGTTCTCGAGTGATGCATGATCAATTCGTCCAACTGGGATCCGTACAAATGCCTGAATTTCACCATAATCCTAATTAGTTTTCATTAATCGAACCCCATGAATCTTGTAATCTCAGCTCGCATTTCCTTCCATTTTTGGCGCATTGCCAATATGACTCCATCTCCATTGACACGATCATTAAGGAATAAAACGAAAGACTCAGCACTCGATCGTCCTGATGTGATGTTTCCTGCCATGCATTATTTTGAACATTTTGAGATTTTCTACGAAAAATACCGTTTGTTATCATGCCCTCATGAATAGATTCGTAATTTGCCAAAATAACAGTTGGCTCTGAAAAAAAGCTGAATTAAACGGTGCTGAGAAATTGAAAGAATTACGGGAAATATGAAGTGTGAACACTGGTCCATAGCACTCTCTGTATTCCAAAAACGTTTGTTCCGGGGTCAATACTTTTATCTGTAAATCTCATATTGTATTTAGTACCGATTAAACAATACTTACCGATAGGGTGTTACCAACAATTGGTAACGGTGGTGGTCCAGGCGGATAATAATACATTCGCCATATATTGCTAACAATGATGTAGACGAGATGTCCATATCCAATTCTTTTGATCCAAAACACCGGTATGATCCATGTTGGGAAGAAATTCCCAAGAGTGTTGAAGAATGCTGTATACATGTACATTATTAGCACATGTGCTAAACCGTATCGAAGCCAGTCGGTGATGATCAAGCTCATTGCGCGAACCATTTTCAGCCACGAAAACTGAAAAAATTGAGAAATTGGGACAAACCGTACTGTATTTAATGCTTTTCAACACATTCATCGTCTTCTATTGTTTACGAGAAGAATAGGGCAGAGTTTTTTTGTTTGCTTAGAATTTATAAAATGTGACTCATTGAAGCGCAACAATAACCGTTCGCTCGGCCGACGAAATGGAAATATCGAAGTCACAGCTCCGGTCGGTAAAATACAGTGCCGAGTAGCGGCAGAATTGTTTTTGTGCGCGGTGATAAATAAAAATATTATTTAGTCTACCTGCTTGCAAGAAAACATCGTGCGATTGACGTGAGAAGTTGGTGATATACGATTTCCTTGCATATCGTCTTATATTTATACTGACATTGAAATCAAGTTTACTATGTACTATGTGTTTGAGTCCTTCTAATTTGGGTCGGTTGTCCTTTAGTTAACGGGTATCATTCGAGAAGTCGGTATTTGCGACCGTGTGTTCAGCATTCGACTTCAACGAAGTTATAAAGTAATAGGGAGAGGGTGAACACAGAACTGATTAATTTACAATGTCAGTCTCGCAGATCTCATCTTCTGCAGCGTCTCGTGGCGACGAACACAGATTTGCACTTCGAGAAAAATAGACGGAAATAATTTGAGAGACCCCCCTCTTCACAAATTCGGTGATAACATCGCGGGCGGCAATGAATGTGAAGAATTTTTAAACAATTGGATGACAAACCTATAGCGATGTCTTAAACCATATCATATGGTTTCGCCTAATGATGATTCATTGCACTCTTCAATGTCATTTTACCAACGGAAACTGAATGTTCGAAGTCTGAGAGAATTAAAATATTTGTTCAAATCTTATTTCTGTAAACGTACTTCTGTACTCTCAACACAAGGCCAAGTCAATAACACAAAAAATAAAACACACGGGAATTTGCTCGAAACTGTCTATGGAAATTTCAAAAACAACTCGTAGAAACAAATTTTCTAGGCAGTTTTTGACACAGTTACGAGCTTCTCTTTAATTACACAATTAGTAAATTCGATGAAAACAATTAATATATTAAAAGGTTTTTTCATAATCGTTTCCCCCAATTAATGAGCATCTAGCAGACATATAGAATTTAATAGGCATAATAATATTATCAGGGAATCTGGAAATTTTTAAGGCGATCATTAATGCCGTGTAGCAATTTTATTACAATCGAAAAAACGGACGCCAAAAAAATATCCGAGGCCTTGATTCGAATTTGAATTTAAACAGTGTAAATTCGCGTACTGTATTGCGACTTACCTGCGAGTTAAACAAATCGGCGCTGGGTGCTCGCTTTTTTGCGATTGTAATATTTTAGTACTAACAAAGTTCACTAAACAATCATACATATCAAGCTGAAAGTGCTACTTGAAATAGAATCACCGAAAACAAATAAAATATTTGATCTAATAACAATTTTCAAAGGTTATTGTTTACAAATGTGACATCATCTCTTGTACCATTTCATATCGAAACTGTTTACTCAGAATGTTGGTTGTTTTTGAAATTCAGAACCTTGTGATAGACGAATTCACTAAGATATTTTTAATATCTCCATTTGACAAATTTGTTTTTTTAGCTTCGTGTGTAAAGTATCACTAGTTTTCCATTTTTGAGACATTCTTTATAAAAAATTTGCTCAAAAGTAAAATTAAATAAAAATGTTAAAAAAAAAATAAAATTTTGTGCCAAATTGGTGCCATCGTGCGTCTTTATAGGGTTCTCCAAACAGTTGGCAGCAAATATTCTAATTCCAATGCTAATATTGAATTGTGCACATTATTGATACAAGCATAATAACTCAGGAGATTTGTCTGTCTAGAACAACAAAGCTGTAATTTGAATTTTGCACAAATTCAACGGTAATCAACCGGTCTCATCATATGTTATTTAAAAAATTAATTTTGACGGAATTTGTAATTTTTAATATCTGATTTAAATTACCATGCAACAAAATTAAACATTCTTATAAAAATGTATTAGAATCGATTTATTTCAAACCAATATCATCTGGCACAAAAAAAGTTAGGACTGTACACACGAATGGCAACCAAACACATTATTAAGTTTATTATAATTATTATATTAAATATTAATATTATTAAGTATACAGTAATTTTTTCTTAGGAACAATTTTAGCCACTGAATATTCCAGTGCACGCAGTTTGTACAATTTCGATAGGTGTGTTTAGTGGTGGGACTCCATAGTACCATTTTCCGGCATTTGGACCAGTCTGCTGACAATATGCAAGGACTATACCCGAACCCACTAAAATTCTATCGAAAAGTTTTATGCGTGTTGTTGTACCAAGAGGACAAGAGAAACTCGTTCTTAAAAGTACTTCTAGTTTTTAAGGCAAAATGAGTGGTTTCACTTACGAGCAAGTATCAGCATCTCCAAAATTAATTCCAAGAATCGGACCAACAAGGTATTTAATTCCAACATCAGCTGCTGATGCGCAGACATCAAAACCTCCTCCTAGACATCCGCTTGTTGGATAAACAATCGGACAAACATAGCATGCTGAAAACAATACGGAAAATGGAGAAAACAGTAAATAAAGTTGCTTACGTGCCGCTACAGGAGCCATTGTTGTTGTTGTTGTTGTTGTGGTAGCTAAATAAAAATATTTTGATAAAAATAGAAGATGTTATTCTTAATTTCTAATTTCGGAAAAGGGGTTTTTTTGATTTTTTTTTATTAATCAAAAAATTGAACCTGGTTGAATTCTCATAAAAATGATTCGCTTTGAAGTGAAAAAACGAAAATATTCAATCTTCTAAGTTTTCAATCTTGCGTACCAGCAGAAAAAATGGTTAAATATTTTCATACATTCAACCTGCTGCGTTGGAAGGCATAATTCGATCGGAAGAATGTAATGAAAGAGTATTATCGTGACAGATCTTCGAAAAGTTGAATGGAAATTCGGTGGCATCTAAGAGAAGCTAAATATGAGAATATTCGAGAATGCCGACCTCGTACCTGAGAATAAGGATATGAGGTTAATTCAATTACAATGCGCGACTGACTGATAAATTGATCTAACCGCATTTCTTTATCGAAAGCTGCGAAAAACGATGTCATTTTTTTTTAGTCCGAACAGGTCAAATGTGTTACCGGTGTTGATGTTCATTTATTGAAAACATTGCATCGCTCTTGATGACTTTGATTTTTTAAAGTCAATTTCTTCCTTGTAAAAATTCCCATAAAAGTTAAAAATTTCAACAAACTATTTCAAAACTACAATTGAGTAAACAAAGATTCGGTTCAGCATAGGTCAATCCGTTTCGATTAAAATTAGCAAAAAAATGAATGATTATTTAATCAGCCTACTTCATATTTCGCTGTTTATATTGATGTCTAAATTTATAAAGTATATTAAAAACTTGTTTTTCTTTCTAAGCAATAGAGTTTTGAACTACCCGACTCCAAAAGGATATCGAGAAATGTTAGATTTCGCAATTGAATAGTCGTTATAAACAACTACATGGTCATCACGGAGATAATAAATTAAATGGTGGCCGGAAGACGGAGTGAACCTTCGAAGAACCAGATAACCACAGTTTGTTTGAAATTAAAAAAAATATATGTATTAGTTTTATAATATTTGTTTCTCAAAGGGTGTGAAAAATGAATGAAATAAAAACTAATAGGGTTAATTAAAGAAAAAAAAAATGAAAGAAAATGTAATCAAAAGGTTATATTGTATTTTTTATGTGGTTTGACACCTAATTTCCCCGTTCACAAATTTCGAATTTTTCATGCTAATACATATTTTCAGATACGGTTTATTACTTTTATTAACAAAATTTACAAAAATAGATAACAATGCAACAACAAACACAATACAACAAATAGGAGAGGATAACATCGTGGGACATATCTAGAAAATTTTTGAAATACATATTAACTAGAAAGTTAATCGTGTAAAAAATGAAAAATAAAAAATTAGAAACAGACTGACGTTAGTAGCTGCTCAACAAGATTATACTTCGATTCCGTAGTGTTCCTGGACTTTGATGGTAGTGAAGATGAGAAGATAGTATTCTAGCTGAACTTAGTTAAAATTAGATCATGGAACTTGATTTATTTTTTTCAAAAATTGTTGAAATTAATATTCATAATTCATATGCACTCTTACCATGCGTCCGATGTGAAAATGATTTTCTTCGAGGCAACCTTGATAGCAGATGTTTAGTCTTTCTGCACTTTTCGAAATCTCGGCAAGATGAAACTGGTTGAATTCGTTGTTATCCGCGGCGAGAAAATCCTAAATTTAATTTTTAAAGATGAAATTATTATTAAAGTAATACATGCAGAATATTATAAACTGGCAGATAAAAAGTTTCACACAATTCCCAACCTGATTTGCAGGTGCTGAAATCAAAACTTTTTGCGTATCTTACGATTACTTTCACAAAATTTTACTAGAAAGCACGAGCATGAGCGTTAAGTTCTTTGATGATATTTCGAAACCGATTCAGCGCATCCTAAAAACAATAATCATTTGTTGCGGCCATTTCGTTATTGTTGTTATTACGTGAACACATGAGTGACTGTGGAGTTCGTAATCGCAGCGAGCGTGGCAAACTTGAATCGTCACAATTTCGCGGATCATCAACTTTTTCATCTCTCTGGTGAACTCATCTTCTATGTCGCACACAGAATCCTGAATGAGATACATGTTTGACAAATCAAATAAATCCAATATTTTTCTTACGAGTTCCTTATATACACCTTCAAATTTGTTGCGAAAATTATTCCAATAGTTCTGGCAGCTTTTTTTCATCTTTGAACCTGAAATTACTTTTAACATTTTTAATTAAATTCAGTCTTATAAAATTTAAAAGAATTAGTAAAGAGTAAAGGAAAAACAGCAATATGTAAGGTTTTCGAAAATATGTCCCCCATATATATATATATATATATATATATATATGTATGTATATATATATATATATACATATTAAGGTATGTTGCAGATAAATTTTATTTTTGAATCGATTTGTGCTATTTAGAAAGTAATCTGAAATTAAAAAAAAACTCCGAACAAGAATAGTTGAATAAATAAGATGATTTCGTTGTCATCCAAGAATACGCGTTAGATATGAATTTCGCGCGCTTTTCCAACAATAGACTTATTGTGTGATGGAATTTGCTTTAGAAAAATTCAAACAGATTTTTGTTGCATCAAAATCGAAAAATAGTTGAGATTTGCAAAATTAACCAGTACATATTTTTAGCTTAGGTGACTAAAAAAACGTAATCAAAAACACTCGTATCAATCTGAATTAAATGATTTAATAAACGAGCCGATTACCAGTATGAGGCATCGGAAGTATATCTTTTAGAGATGTATGCAAGAGTGACATGGAGCAGAAAACATAGAATAGCAAGGAGTTTTCGCGAACAACCGCATTTGCTGCTTCTCCAGATGTGTGCGATATCATCTTTCTTATTGTTTATTGTGTGATTTGAGCTCACTAATCAAAAGTTTTGTCACAATGCCGATTCCTTCGGCTGCTTCTGCGCGCTTATTGTTCTCTCTCTATTGTTCTCTATGCGCTTTTTTCTAGCGGTTTCTTTTTAGGATTTATGATAACTGAGATTCTGCGCAGATGCTCGCGTGCTCGTATTATTTCACGGATAAGCCAAAGAGAAATGGTGGTTGAAATGTCGTTGATACGTTGTTGATATAATTTCTTTCCATCCAGATTTGTTAATGTTATAAAAATGCAAAATTCATAATTAGCTATCGACACCTCTCAATCTTAAAAACATGCAAGAGAGAGACAATTTTTTGAATATAGGAATACAACAAACGTAGAAAATCAAAGAAACAATCCAAACAAAATTAAAGTAAGACGAAAGTAGCATTTAAAAATAATTAAGTGAAATTCGACATCTCCAAGTATTGATTCGTTTTTAGAAGCTTACAAATAAGAAATGTTAGCGATGTTGTCATTCTCCTACCATCGAATGGGTAAGAAATGTGACAAGATTGAAAACATCGAGTTTTACTAATTCTAAGTCATTGTATTCTCATTCCAAAATTTTTCGAATTTTTTATCCTCTGAAACTAAACTTCGCTTTAAACTAAATCCGCCGGATATTTCAATTTCCATATTAACTTTTCAGTTTTCAAAAATGTTTTCTTCTGCTATCATAACAATTTTTAATAGATGTACGAAGCATTTTATTAGTCAGTTACATTTCACAAAAAAAACTAGATGGTTTGTTAAACAGGGTAATTCTCACTAGAGTGCAAAAAATATCAACAAATGTACAAATGACAGAAAAATGTACAATTTGGGCAGGTAACCGGCCAATCAAAATGAAGTTCTTGCAAACCTCAGAATAAACAGGCATTTCATTATTAAAATTGAAAAAGTAGATAATTTGGAAAAATTTGAATACACAAAAAACACAGTATGTTGAAATCTTATTTCTATTTGATTAAAAAATACAGAAAACTAATTAACAAAATTGGCAGATCTTTATGGTGTTGTAATGCACCATTAAAAAGGGCATGGGTAAATATAAAAAAAAAACAACGGAGCGGTAAACCAGTTTCAAAATCAAATGACAAAGTCTCCGTGACTATCGCGTTTAAGACAGAGTCTACTGAAAAAAAAACTAAACCATGAAAATCAAAAATTTTAACAAAATTCGTACCTTCTTATTTTTTTTGCTCTTCGCCTGATCGTCAAACTTTATGATTTTTCTTTTCGGAGCCTTTGAACACTTTTGTGAAGACGATGGCTCATTTCCATCCAAACGAGCCGATGTTGCTTTTTTCTGATGTCTCTTAGTTTCATTCTTAGTTCGTACTAATGTCGGTGGCGCGGACTTCCTATCCTTTTGTTGCCTTGTGCCACTTTTCACTATTTCCGGGTAATCCGTTACGTTTTTCTTTACCTTAAAAAGTCCTATTGAATTAAATTAAATTTTTTTCCGTACCGAGTTTCTGCTTGACCTTCTTGGCCCTCCATTGGTGACACCACCCGCTACAGCTGTGGAATGCGCCTCATCGTCGGAAATTTTTACTTCTGCAGGTACACGGCTTCTATTAATATACCCTCGCCGTTTGTATGATCTTCTTGGTTGTTGATCAATGTCCTCTGTACTGTCTGATGACATTAGAATGCCATCGTCCACTGGTGCTCTGAGAGCCACGTCTTCGACAGCAATTCTGATTTTAATTTGGTCATTGCTTTTTTGACCGCGAGAGATGATCCTAAATAGTGAAATGTGCTAATTTTCTTGAATAACAAATTGAAAATTGACTTACAAGTTGTCTACGTAACTCTTGATTTCGCTGACCAACGTTCGAACTGCATTGAGTTGGAGCTGCGAACAGAATTAATAATTTTTCAACTCGTTGTTGAACTTTAGAAATCTCAAATTTAAAAAAAAAACATACAGTTATGTACAAATGGTTGTGGTTGTCGTTTAAACAACAATCTCGAACGTAATTCAACATATCGAATTGATGTTCAAGGTTTTTCCTCATTTCCTGGATATGGGGGTCCTCGACGTCTCGAATAGCTCTCTAAATCTCCAAACTTAAATAACCTAAAATAATTTCGCAAAAAAATACAATTTCTTGGGATACGAGCGCAAAGTCAGCGCGGAAAGCAGCCCAAGTCATTTCACATTCGTCATGGATAGAACTGAAAAAAAATTTAAAAAAAAAAGTGGAACACTCAAAAAACCACTTGCCATTCGTCAAAGTATGTTTGAATATTTACAACAGCAATGCACAAACGTTCGTATTCTTTCTAGAAAAAATAAATCATGGCGAAATTGAATATTGTAATTCAAAATATTCTCTGCCATCATTTTTGAATAAATAAAAATTACTTGCACACAATCGTGCTCGTGATGGCCTTGATTGCAGGCTTGTCGGACACTTTCTAAAATTGTTGCAGTTCTATCCAGAGTATCCTTTTGAGTCTTGGTATAATCTGTCTCGACATTTTCAACCGATATCTTGAAAAAAATACAATAAAAAATCCACGACCTTTAAAAAATATCCTACTATTCTCTCGTACACCCGTGCAAATAGTTGATCAAACTTCTTCCAGGTCTGTTCGCAAATATGCTGTTTGTACCTACAAACCAAACTAATCATGTGGATTAAAATAAAATATTATCGACTTACGTTTCATCAATATATTTTGCAATCTCGCAGGAGATTCTCACAACTGATTGAGAATTACTCTGAAAGTTGAACAAATTATTTGAATATAGGTTAGATAAAGTACCTCTAACAATTCATGATTATGATGACCACAGTTGCACTGTCTACGAAGATTTCGATTTATTTCATGGAGACCATTCATTTCTTCAAGCTTCTTTTCGATAAAATGGTCGTTGATATCGTTGTATTTCTAAATTCAAACATGGTTTTCTGAAGGTAATTCAAAATTATTACTCTTAAATCTTCATCAACCGGTGCACATCTAGACGATATCCCGATCCAACAATCAATACACCGTTTTTCCCAGAAAACAACGCCTTTTATTCAATCGTCGGAGACTTAACCCACTGCTCCACGTAGAACACAGTGGCGACACGAACAACTTCTTGAACTTCAAAGAAGCAACGCTGAAAAAATAGCCGACCAAAATAAAATAACAACATTTTTTATGATGCTACTCTTTTCTCAAAACCAACAAACATTTTTAACAAAATTAAAATAATAACGACTTACAATGAGATAAGAGTGATTGTGCTTATTTCGCGAGCAAAGTCTCCTGATCAAATGTATCTCATTTAAAAAACCAAAAAGCTTATTTTTTTTAACAGTGATATAGTTGTCTTCAATTTTCAGAAGCGCATCCTAGAACAGAAATTTTTTTTTAAGATATTGGAAAAATTTGGTGCAATTTGTTGATTTACTGGCGCAAAGTCGTTTTGGAAGTTGATCCAGAAATTATCACATTCATTTGTCATATCGTTGAATAATGAAAAGTTGATTATTTTCACGAGCCAAACTGTACAAACGTCGTGGAATAATAATTGTAAAGATCATCAATAATTTTGTCAATAACGTGCAATTATTTCAAAATTTTCCGAAGTTTCTATTAGACCAAATGATTTTAAAATATATATTTGGGTGTCGACTGAAACGTATAAACTCAGATATTTCTGAAATGAAATGATTAGAGCGTCCGCTGGCATAGAAAATAACAGAAAACATCAAAGGAGCATGCCACAAATGTCTTATTTTGCGCCACGATCAACAACTATAGCAGACCTAGGTCAAATGAAGTGCCGACAATTGTCTCTTATTGAAGCTTGAAAAAAACTAAAAATTATGGTTTTTTCCAAATTGCTTAAACTTAGAACTCGCTGCCAATAAAAGAGGCCAATATTTATTTCTGAAAAAAAAGCAACAATAATTTTAATAAAAGAAACTGATAAAATCTGACTGGAATTGACTAGCGAACGAATTACTTATTTTCGTTAGAATTTCGAAAAATTACACCATAAATGACGCAAAATTAAAGAAAAATCCGTTTACTGTAACCGGTAAAATTAATAATATTTTGACGTTAGCAATTTCTCTGTTAAAGAAAGGAATGAAATAAAAATTTTAAAAACCTGTACAACAACACAATTTTAGTTTTATCTTCAAAATTATAAAAATGAAAAGTTATAATTCGAACATAATTTTAATGTAATAAAATGTATTATGATTAAATACAAAATGAGAAAAAAACGCTAAAAAATAAAAATGATAAAGGGAGTATTATCGACAAATCGGGATGAGCAGCTCTGTGTGAATGAGGTCGCCGCTGTACCACACGACGGCCGACCCTCAGTTGCCAAAGGCACGTTTTCGCACCGCCATCTGTATCCGCCCGACGATATTTACAATTGCAACATGGATAGTAACAATTGTGTGGAAATAAGTAAACGTATCAGGAATGTGATAATTCCGCATTAAGAATGAGTTATAAAAACCGATCTTATTTATATTGCAGTTGTTTCAAAATACTTCTTGTCAAATAAAATATTGAATTTTGTTTTAAAGCTTTCTAGCGTTTATAAATCCGGTTGATTAAAGGTCTTTTATTGGCCAGGAGCAAGTTAATTATTTCATTTCAACAGAAACGTCTAATTTTTTTTATAAAAAGTAAACTATGTTCATTGTGTGTTAATTTTCAAGATACATACGCCAAAATTTGGCAACTGTGATCACTTTTCATTTATGTCGCTGTTTTAGGTTCTTTTTGAATATTTTAACAGCATGCCAATAATCTTAAACTTCAAAATAATTAAAATTAAAATTTGACTCTTACAAGGAAAGTCATTTTAACTCCCATTTTGGAATTTTTTGTAACTTTGCACACGTAAACTAGAAGATCTTCTGAGTGTGTTCACATAATTCCAGCTTGCACGGTGGGTTACAGACGAGCTATGTTGATCTGAAAATTCAAAGAGATTTTGTTAGGAAAAATAACTTTTATCTTTGTATTTTTAAAATTCAATAATAGTAATAGTTTTGACAAAAAAAAGAACATTATACACAATCCTGTACTCTAAAATAATTTTTTTAGCTTTTATTAGTTTTATCGTTGAATTTATTTTTTAATAGTAAATTATTAAGCTGAAATTCGTTTTTGTTTCGATCAAAGCGTGTATTTCAACAGGCATACATTAGCTCTAACTGTATACCAATATTGTTTGTGCCAAAAATTTGCACGTTAATTGCAACATTTTATACAATATTGCTACTGTGAAAGGATTATCGTAGAAATTGTTGTTTTTCCCTTATTTTTCAGCTATTATTTTAATATCCTTATAGAGCCCAAAGTATAAATAAGCGATATTGTGTATTGATTAAATATAAATTGTTAATTCCTAAGTAACCAGATTAAGTATTAATGTTTTAAAATCGAACTATTTCTGCAATAATAAAATGATTTAAAAAAAATAATTATTTAGAAGATCTTTCCTTAAGCGTTTTAATCACATATGTATGAATTGTGGTCCTTGTGGTATACAAAAAAGAAAACGACTGGTTTCTATCATTTTAAACAATATTCAATTTCATCTTCGTTTTGTTTATAGCACTAGCAGGTGCTTAGACATTTATGAGAACATGCAGTCTCGCCACGAGTCCAACCAAGCCAATTTCTGATTTCGCGTCGTCTGGACCAATGAGCCGTCGAGAGGCGTCCAAATCTCTACAAGTCAGGGAAAATGTTGTCTTGTGTGCGAACATTCAGTGGACACTAGAATGTCGAATATGTTCCCATTTATTATGTTGGAGGAGCGTTTTACGACCTTTATAAATTTGAATTCAGCGTCGGCAAGAGACAAAAATAGTATGCTCACTACTTTTACCAATTTTCAACACAACGCTGAAATCGTAAATTCCATTAATATTTAATGAGTGTCTCACATGTTTAAAACTCTTAGTTCGAACGAATAATGCTGGAAAAATTTTATTACTATTATTACGCCATCCTTCACTGTGTATCTCGTTAATATTAAAGTTTGATAGAAAAAAGTAAAGAATTCTCTAGAGAATTGCAGTTGTGTGTCATTCAAGATAATTTAATGCCAAATTATTCATAATTATATGTTTTGATGTCAATTTGCATTCGATTTCTCGAAAACAAACATTTTTCTATGTTATTAGTCGATCATTTTTATTCGTTTCATAACAAAACTGCTTGCATAAGTGAGATGTTGAATTGCTTACTGCCGAAAACGCGCACTATCCACGAATACTCCGGATATTTGAATCTACCCACATTTTGCATTTTTATTTCTCAAAGCTTTTCACTAATTCTGAGTAGTCTCGAGAAAAATTTCATTATCTTTCGAAATTGTTCTGACATTTTTAAATTAACAATTGCCCAATTGTACAAGGATTCGTAGTCACGCGTTTTCCCCCCCAATTCTCACTTAACCAGTAACCCTTCTACTCAATTTTATTGCTGCCTGCAGATGGGATCTCTTGAAGGACTTCGCAATGAGTGCATTGCTACTTGGAACGGTTTAGAAGAGAATCTCGAACGCTATCAGCAAGCACGCGTGTGTTTTTTAATGATCGATATACGTGCTTCAAAACAGATATTCCAGAATCGGTATGCAACTCTAGAGCATCCACTCATGCCGGACCTTCTCAATTCATTCGATGAGTATTATCGTCAGCTAAGATTGGAGAGAGAGAAATGCTCACAGCTTATAGATGAAGAGCACGATCACGAATTAATTCATGTAAGTCGTCTAAATAAATATTTTTTAAAAATTCGATCGTTTGGAGAGTTGACAGAATTAATGTCAGTTTATTGGTGTGTCAGGAAATAATTTAGAGTTAAGAAAATATTTTGAGTAGCATTGAAAAACTGCCACCTTGCTGAGATTTTGACTAATTTATGACTAATTTCTATTTTTCAGCACCATTCAGAAATGTTGTACTGCACTTACACACAGATGCGAGTGATTGCCTCAGCGACAAATTATGAAACATTTTACGCTGACACACGTCGTCGTCATTAATTATGTATCCAATTGATATCATTTTTGTCTGCGTAACAATAAAACATCTCAACTCAAAAGATTTTATATTGTTAAAGTTCGATTAAACATAGAAAAATAAAATCAAAATAAAAATTAAATTCACAAAAAAAGAAGTAGTTGTTCTTATATAATTTATTCCAGCAAACTTTTTCTAGTTTTAATAGCAATTATAGCAAAAAATCACAAGTCTCATATAAAAAGTAAGATATTTATATTTTTTTGCCTCAACCTTCCTTCTTCGTTTTGATAGAGATTTATGAATTTCTTATTTTGACAAATTCTCAACCGCGGGACAAAAAAAAATCCATCAGTTCGTCTTGTTTCCGGCAAGGTTTTTCAACTTCGATCTAGAATATTAAGATTAGCATTTATCGCCTTTAATCAATTAAATTTACTTTTGATTCAGGGGATGGTTCACAAATCAATTTAATTTCTCATGCTTGATAGAAACAATATATAAATTTACCTGAATGTCTTTCAGCAATCTGTTTTGAATCTATGGGAAAACTGGAATTGAGCGGAGATATTGATCTTTGTTCTGGCTCAAATATTTGTCGAATTCACATGTTCATGACAATCTCAACCCTTACTGGTTTTTCAGCGAAGACATCCCCTTCTTCTTTCGATTCATTCACTAATTCTTCTTCTGATTCTTTGTCATAATACCCATCGGATTCTTCATCAGATTCCTCATCAGGTACATATAAGCAACATCCGTCCTTATGATTGCACCTAATTATGAATTTGAATCAAATTATTGAGTGTATCTCGTTTATTCCTACTCATCGGAATCGTATTCTTCGGATGATTCTCCTTCCTCCAACATATCTTTAGCTTTGCCTGATACACTATTCATTTCATGTTCATCTTCATTAGGCAATTCGCTTAGCCTATCTTGGGATTTATCTTTTTGCTTCACTTTTTCACAATCTTCAAGTAGGTGCCGTCTTTGGATTTGCACAATAATATCAGTTACCAGATATGTCTTCAGCTGTAAATGTATTTTAAATTACTAATATAAAAATTTGTATAAATCGCAATTAACATATTATTAATCAGCCAATATTGTTTGTTGGTGTTAAGAAGAAACCTACATGAGCTAAAAAATGACAATGATAGCGCCTATTTGGTTCGTTGTGACTTCTAGCAGCCATACACCTTGCGTAATAACTGAATATCGATGCTAACAACGTGTCGATTTCCTTGTAGTCCTTGACGGATTGCTCGTCGTATCTTTTTTCGTGCATGCTCTAAAAACTTATATGTATATTTTTTTTGAAATTCTCGATTGCTTACGTAAACACGAATAAACAATATAATCCGTTTATAATTGAGAAACCAAAATTCTTCACAAGCATCTCTTAAATCGTTTGGAGCGGCTTCCATTGGAGATTCTGAAGAAAAAAAAATCATGATGAAAAGATGATTGGATTAGAGAACGCAACTCGAAACAAATATGGGGTGACCAATGTGAAAATGGGAACGAATGCGCAGAAAATTGATCACTTTTTGATAAGAGGAAGATCACAGTTGTACGTTGGTACTTTTGTGAGGTTTCAAATGAAAACAATCTATTAGATAGAAAGACGCAGGATGAAAAGAGTTTGTTTGTTGCAACTTCAGCAAGTCTGCTCAACAAAATGCGAGAGAAAACTAATGTTGCGTACGCTTATTGGCTTTCACTGTTATAGCATCAAAGCTGCACGCAGGGAGAAATGCATATTTCGAAAAAAAAAGTATTTCGCATATTTTTTTTTTATTTTTAAAAATTGTTTTTCTTATTTTCATTCCAAATTCATTTTTTAAAGTTTTAAATCAACGAAAATATCCAGTTATTGTAGGAAATAATAAAATAGATGCTTTACCTTCTTTTTGTCGAAAGTGCAAATATACAAAAATCAAAATTTCACGAATAAAAATTATTATTGATTGGAAGGTTATAGAAGAAATCTATGCTCTTAAAAAATTGTTTGTTGCCATTCGTGGGAGAACAATTCGTCCTCATTACCTTGATCATGGCCATATAGGCCAGTTAATTTTTCATGCGTAGTACTTTATAATGTTCTATACATCTCAGTGAATCAGAATGGACGCGACGGGAGCGTCAGAGCGGACACCGATGTAATTTGCTGACCATATATTACAAGACAATGTATGTAGAAATATTCTAAATAATCATTACATATACAAAACCTTTATACGATTTCACAAGTATTACTATTTAAAACACAACGAAAATTATGTTGAACATATTATTAAAAAATTATTAATGATCTTTGAAAATTGACCGACCCATATTATTCACCATTGTTTTTGATTAGTTAAGAATTTTAACATGTGAAAAATAAATTAACCAGAAAAAAAGACCATTGCAGGATGTGCCAACAATTTCAATTGGTGTGTTTAATGGAGGCACACCAAGATACCAAATTCCCGCTTTCGGTCCAACTTCAGAACATGTAGCAACTACTAGTGGTGGTCCTGGAACTATCAATCCAGTGAAAAGTTCCTTGACGCTGCTTGTAGTTCCTAATGGACAAGCAAATGAAGTCCTGCAATTTTCTAAAATTATAAGATTTTTTCATGCAATTTTTACGGACGAGCATGTATTCGCATCACCAAATCCGAGATTTAAAAGAGGACCAAGGAGGTATTTTATTCCCACTTGTTCCGCGGTTGCACACAATGATGATCCCAAGCAACTGCCTTGATACAAAGATCCACATACACTACATGCTAAAAACAGGTAAAATTAAAAAAATAACTATTGTTATCAAGTAACTTACGACTTGGGGGTAACGTTTCGTGGTTGTAGTCGTAGTGGTAGTAGTAGTTGTTGTGGTTGCTTTTTTAGAATTTGGTCCCGTAGTTACTATAAATGGTGAATTTGAAATATTTGTTTAATAAGTCTGGTTGTTAAGTCTTCATTTATGTGGTTTATTTCATGCTCATCCTATTATATAAGTACCGTGAATTCTTTGGTGTTATTTTCTAAACCGCATTTTAGTGATAAATAAACACAAAAACACTGTTCATATTTAATGTTTGAACCATAAGTAATATTTTTCTAATTTTTAATATTTCAAACAACCATCATACCGGCAGCGGTCGTTGTAGTACCAATGATTGGCGGTGGTGGCTCTGGTGAAAATATTTGGGTTTAGTATAGTGTAATAGCTTAGCCTAATTCCCAGAAGCCACTCAAAACTAAAAACCAAATTCTTCGGAAATTAGCATGCAAAAAACCGAAAATAATCACCAAAGCTTGAAAAACTGTCTTTTCTAACTTGTGTCTTAGAATGACTTATTTGGGAATTAGGGCAAGCCATGTAATCACAGTTTTAGTAACCATCCGTTCATTGAATGTATATCAACAGACGGTTAACTGGAGGTATGGTTTTATAGATTAGAAAAGCTTTATGAGCATATTAAAATCAATTTAAATATTATAAATCTTTGAAATCATTTTTACGTTGATTAAAATCTCGTTTCTTTTGAATTCTTGATTTGCCCCAATTGGCAGGCGTAAATTTGTGTGATAAGATAGCAAAACTATGATTTCCATTTGTTTTTGCGTTCAATGAAAAAAGCTGCTACTATAACGATGGAATTATCACTGAGAAAAACGAAAGAATGTGATATTAAAAAGTTAATTTCTTAAATATTAAAAAAAACTATTTTCTACTATTTCTCTTTTTGGTATTAGTTTATCCGATTTCGACACTCTCACTAAACTCTGTTGGTTTGTAATTTTTTACTTGAATGTTTTAAAGAAATTTAAATTTTTTTCGTGGTTTTTTGTTTAATTTTTTTTATTAATTAAAATCTTTTATTCCACGAATCGTTCAAAACATTATTAAGTAATCAATCTGTAAATTAGAAAAGAGCCAGAAGAACACTAGACTGCGTACATTGCATTATAGTGTACGCGCATTTAATATTCTTTCAACGAAAAATTTAAATCTACACTGATTTCGCGAATTTGAACAACCCATCTCCCTTCAGTCGTTTGACGCCGAAAATAATAGTTCATGCTTTAAAAATCAGATTATTTGTTGAAATCTTGTTGTACAACAGATTATCTAAACTTTAGAAAAGCAGTGCCGTGAAGTGATAATAAAAATGTTTTAAATAGTTGATATTGCTTCTTTATGGATCCCGCTTGATGTTTTCGATAAAATATTAATATAAAAGTATGATATTAACAAGTTAAAATATTACTGAAATTTAACCATAATAATATTTGGTAGTTCAGTTTCAACGGAATCAAACATACCATCAACTTGTTGCGTAGGCAAACAATTTTCAGATAATTGCATAATGCTGAACAGGAATAAAGTACTAAGGACACAATTCATGCTGAGAGAGAATGGCTTGACTGAAGTTCATTTTCGGGAACGATGCGCGCCAAGTTCAATCTGATATACCTGATTTGGCCGAGAGTGTTCAATTCTAATCAAATTATCAAGATGAAATGCTTGCATAAACGATAAAAATGGATATGGCGTTATAAATCTTTATAGCGAGAAGCCGTTTCCCAAAGTCGTCTATATTAGCCACTGAGTAAATGCAGTTGATATCAAAACAGTGAATGAATATTAGCATTGTCGGCAATTATCGGCAACATTGTCAAGCGGGTGATTTGTTGGGGCTTCATACTTTGCAGCATTAAGACGAAGGGCGATTTTCTCGTAAGTTGTCAAAGGTCTGAAATTATATGATGGTTTTTAATAAATATATTTTCACTGTTATAATAATGACACCACTATTAAATAGCTTAAAACCTGACGTTTTGAGGTGAACGACGAATACAATGAGGATGTCCGCCGGAATTCTAAAAACGCATTTTGACATTTGTATCTTTATATGTTAAACCTGTCCGTCATCCGGAAGACGGATTGTAACGTTTTTGCCATGAATTTTTCCGTCGTGATTGCTGGCTCTAACATAAGGTCTTTCCAAAATCGGTGGAGGACTGCAATCAAAGTATTAAAAAAATAACAGATACTGCGTTACATGCTATCTGTAATCGAGTTGCGGTTTGGAACATTGACTGGAACGCCGGTTGGAGAAAGCTAAAATTATAATTCATTGATTGCCCTAAATGGCCAAATTTTTTGCATGCTGCTTGCAAATAATCAAAGCATTAGCCTTATAGCAAAAAATTGAAATTATTAAAATTTGAATTAGGTGTGACGTTTTCGGACTTAGATCAATATTTCAACACTTATTGTATATATTTCAACAAATTATACTCAAGATTAACAAATTTTTTGCTTTCAATTCTATACTCTTGTGGAAATTGCAATAGAAGCTGGCAAGCGTTGCGTAAAATAAACGATCTCTCGTGTTTCCGTCACCGTTGTCGTCTTCTTTTCCTTAACAACCCGATCAATTTGTCCGCTCTCGATTTGAGTTCGTAGTTCCTACAACAATGCTATTGTCATTTAGAAAACCCGTTTAATGCCGTCCTTCAATGGGGTGTGTTTCATTCATTAATCTTTTAGTCATTTGTTTTTGTCAAATCTCCCGAGATTGCCTGCGACTAACTTGAGAACAATTACGCATTAATAGAACGGGTATTTCGATCCAGTTCGATTTACATGTTGATTTATTCGAAATAGGAAAGCTTACGTTTTTACCTTCTTTTATTTATACTAAAATTTGGAAGAACCACGTTACATTAGTAGCAATATTGTTAAAAATAATAATAAAAATAAATTTAATTTTCATGGTTTAATTAAAATTTAAAAAAGAATGATTTTCTTAACTAATTAGAAATACCACATTCATGAAAAGCGCATACTGTGCTTTCCATTGTAAGTTTGATTGGCAGATTTAGGCCTATAATATTTCACATTGATCTAGTAGCAACAAATGTTTATAAATACAACTAGTTTTGAACTAAACACCATTATACGTATTCCAATGAATTAATTTTTAAGTTTTAGAAGGAATTAAATCTATATTTAAAAACATATGAATACAAAATCATACCTCCATAATGCCAGTTTTTGTGGCCGAAGGAAGTCTGCCGTCGAAGTTATGTGGTTTCGAAGGACGATGAGAAGTTTCTAAAAATTACTTATCTTAATGTATAAGAAATTAGTTGCGATACCTTTTCTTGGTTGAATCAAATTCTGCAATTCGCGTTTTGATTCCTCTTCTTCCAGAATCTTCCTGCGATTCAAAATGATTTGCTGAAAGTGAAATGAATAATAACGCACTAATAGTAGAATGAGCCTACATCAAGCTCGTTGCCAAATGGTGGAGGTTTTTTGGGAGCCTGAATGGCACTTTCATAAATGGGAGCTTTCAAAATAACACTTGAAAAATCAAACCTTTTGAAGTTGTCTTCCTCGCGGAGGCTCGTAAACCGCAATTGAATGTTTTAACTGGAATATAAAATGAGTTATTCTACTTTCTTCGCTTTGTTAATACGCGTTTAAAAAGAGAAATGTAAATTATTTATTTGAGTACCACTTGCTTATCCTACAGATTTTGAGGAGAAAGTTTTTAAAATTGTTGGTTTTGACAAAAACTCAAACGGAAAAATGTATTGAAAACAAATATATGAGAAACCCAGCTTCAGATGATTTGATTTTCAAACTATAAACTTGTTTGCATTTCACGTTTTTATATTACATCGATATTTTTCAAAAAGAAGATATAGAAACGAAAAATGAGTGATGCAATATTCAAGAGATGATTTGAAAATCGTAATAAGTAAAAAACAATGAAGAACAAGAAGAGGATATACGTAATAATTAATTGGTTTGACCGTTCTTTGATATCTTAACGACTTTTTTTTTGAAATCGAACCAATAATTATATGCAGCTGCTGCTCATATAATTGTGCCATTTCTCATCCGTGCTTCATAAGTGCATGTATAGAAGAATGAAATTCGATCAGTTTCTTCGAAATGAAAATTTTCCGCGATTCACATATAAAACACTATGTTTATTACGAATCATTTTTTACTATTTAATTCTGTCATAAATTTCGGAGAAAGATAGCAAAACATTTCATTTCGATTTGTAAAAACTCAAAATTTATCAAAGCTGCGAAAGCTTGAGTAAGCGAAAAATTTCAGATCGATCGAACTGAAAGGGCTAATTTTTCACCGATTAATTGAATAGTAATGTTTTTGTGGTGTATTATGTGTATCGTGGAAAATTAATCACCAACAATTATTCATCCATATTTTCGAAAAATCAGTTATTTTCTAATTGGGTAACAAAATTCACAGGCTATTTTTGTTTTGAATGAGATTATTACTCACCTGATATTAGCAACAGTTTTTTTCATATTGAGCTTTTTTTTCAGATTTCTAGAGATGATTAAAAAACTTTTTTCCACATTCTTTCTGATATTACCGTTGGGACACCACGTTCATTATATGACGGTCTTCTTGCAGGTTGATCAATGTTTAAATTTCCATTTGAAGCTTCTCGAATTGGTGTGAATGTTGACGCAAATGATGTTTGCTTTATTTGTTTTTCCGTAGCCGCTGTCTGAAATAAAAATCGCTCTTTAAATGAATCATTTGATTTTGTGGAACATTCAATGCTATTGATGGTCGCGGAGTGTCATGCGCTCTTTTTGGAGCCTCTTTGATGACATCATCAAACTGAAAATATTTTATATTTTCCAATGAGGAAGAGAACATGAATAATTACGTTATACAAACCGCGTTCGACAACAGATGGCCGAAGTGACAAATTTTCAGCATCTGGGTCCTTTTGAAAAAAATACGTTGTCGATGTTCCCAGTGTTTGCGTTAGCTGAAAATAAATGCTGTTTGAATATCTGTTGAACTTCTTAAAATCCACACCACAACACAGTCATCCGAGTTTTTTGTCACTATTCCTTTATCTGAAATTTCGGCAATAGACGTTCTTCGAGATGTTTGAATTGATGGTGGCTTGATTGGCAGCGAACTGTCATCCGATTCATTTCCATCGGTGTTCATTGACAACTGACGACTGCATTCAAGAAGTTTAGCAAAAGTATGCGAATTTCTACGCGACTCAACATCAGGAAGCGTTAAGTTCATATTCTTGAGGTCATTATCCCAGCTCTGAAGCTTGTATTTAAAAATTATCTCGAAAATTCTTACATTTGATTGACGTCTTTCACCAGAAGGCTTCCGAGATTGCTTGCGTGGAAATCTGGAATTCAAAATGATGCATTTCAAAATATTATAATACTTTTCTGGCATTTGCAAGCCTCAATATTTCACCAATGTTAGAGCAATAAATGCTTTCAGTTCCACAGTAAACTTCTCTGTTACTTTCGTACTGGTAACTTGAAAATACATGTATAAAAAGAATTATGTCTCAAAAAAATTGCTAAAATTTTGAAAAAGCGCTGCAAAAAGAGGCGAGCCTTAAATACCTAACGGTCTCGTTATTCGATTGAAATAGATACTTAATATTTAACTTACTCAACACAAAAATCGGCTGGTTGCATTTGTGACCTGATTCCAATGATTGAACAAATAATCTGCTTCAACGAACAATGTCAAGAAAACAAAACAAAAATGATTTGAAAAGCAATGTCAAACTGGTGAATCAGCATTTCTTCAAAATGAAAACGTTTTTTTTGCTTGTGCCCCTTTTTTCGTGACATTTCTTGTTGCTTCTTCGTCCCTTTTTTCTTTTTTTTGCCGCATTCGCCATTGTTGACAAAGCATAACGTGATTGGAACAAAAATATTATTGTTATCGTTTTCTTAATTAGCCCCCTCCAATTTGCTATACCAAAACCGTGTGCTGACTGGTGCACACGGTCACGACTTATAGATAATCCCTGAAAACGATCAGTAGCGGAAAGAACTGATAATGAAATAATGTATACAGTAGAGAAAGCAAAATAAATGATAGCGAGTGTCAACGTTTTGTTAACGATAAGGCTATCAGTGTGTTATTATAATCCGAAAGACCTCATCAATCAAAAGTTTGCGTTTGCAGGAGTTTGGTCAGAACATTCATTGGCTCACTGAAGGTTCCGGGAGAATGATTATCATGAAAAGAATGTTGAAATCGGGGGAAGTTTGTTAAAAAGCGAACAATGACAATGTGACGCTATCATCAACACATTACTCTTACAAAGCAGCTTAAACACAAAATAATTTATTAATTTAATTTGTAATAAACTATTTTAAGGTTTTTTGTCAGAAAATTTTCTTGGCTTTCCAATATACTTATATTATCAAAAAGAAGTTCAACTTTCGTTCGCGGCGCAACATCAAACAATCCCAAAAAAGTATCGAGCGTCAAAAGTTTGCGGTTTGATATGCGGATAATCCGACATGCCCTGTCGATTTGGTTGACTCCCTTTGTCGGCATTCAACACATGGCGCGTGCTCTCGCGCAAATGCTCAATAATATTTGCACGAGTTACTGTAATAATCAAGCATATTGGCGGCTTTCGTACCAACCGAATACGGTGCATGCGTATTGTTTGCCAACCGATAAATGACAGGATCGTCCGGGAATCTAGCGACGGCGGCCCTCTTCAGAATTTGCGCGCTCCGTCATCAAACGCCTTGTTAAGCCGTAATGAATACGCACGTTTATGGATCGTAAATTTGAGGATGATTGTTGCAAACAGTTTTAACGACTTGAGTACCTGTTCAAATATTCCATATTTGTTTCAAATAAATATATTGCTTGCGAAGAAATTGTTATACATTTTGTCATGATTCTCTGACAAATAGCGTTTGAAGTAGCACACCACCATAAAGTTCATTGCTGTAATTTATTATCACTAAACAAATATTACTAGAAGCTTCAGTAAACACAATTCAAATTTTTTTTACATAGAAGGAAACCATGTTTTATTACCGTCGAAATATAAAAGATCTGTGATAATCTTGTTTTAAATAGTTTTTTAATGTTGTCTGCTTATTGGCAATTGTCATCTTGCTATTTTATATAAACACCTTGTGCGCATTCTGTTAAATCTCAACAATTGAAAAACATGTAATATAAACAATTTCACTCGGTCCATTGGAACGAAATATCGTTTGTACAATATGAAATTTTGATTTATTTTACTTCACCCGTCAAAATTGTCAGTTTTACTTGAGTTTCACCATGTAAATAAAGTCCATGTTTGTTTATTGCATAAGCTATTGATATCATACTTTTAGAATCAAGTGGGGGGGGAGGTGGTTTCCATACGAGTTTCCAACTTTTGAGCAATTTTATTTACAATTTTTATTCAGTAATTCACTTCTCTCTTTTTATTTTTCTCACCTCAATTTATCAAATTCATTTTCAATTTGAAAACCCCATCATGAGAGATACTAAAATTAATGGCACCAATCTCGCGCAAGAATGAATGAGCATGTCGCGTCAAGTTTTCTCACAACCAAGTATCGTCTGTCGAGTCATAAAAGAGAACAAAGCTGTACTTCTATTACTGTACCAAATTCCCATCAGTTAACGAGCATGGCCCCCTTTGGTGTTCATTCTTCCGGCATGCATTCCAGGGTTTACGAACACAGAAAACTTGTTATTAGTTTTCGATGAGCGGCCAGATAAAAGAACAGAGTCGTTATGTATTTCCGCAACGTGAGAGCCTAATACGTTTTGTTCACCAACGGAAATGAGACATCGAAGTCGCGCCAGAGCTCCTCTTTTCATGAAGTTCTCGAAACAGATCAAGCGTGATATTAAAATCTCATTGATGCTGAACGATGGTATCAAATTGGAAATGTGCAATTTATGCTTTTGAAAAGAAACACTATCGTACCGTTTCATCAATAAGAACCACTTTTTTAAACTATGAAACGGTTTCTTAAAGCCCTTAAAGCCTAAAAAGTATATTATAATAGAGCTAGTTGATTGATTTCTTTTTGAAAACAAATTTTTGTTGATGTTGCTCAAAAGAATAGGGAGCAGTATAAAGTCCTGCGCAGCCCACTATTCTTATATTGTTGTTTAGCAATCGGTAATTTCTGTGAACGAGATTTGGTGTCAGGCTTTGGCGCACGTGTGGCTCACGCTCAATGGTGACAGATCAAAAGCGCGTGCCGACATCTTATTGAAGCGAAGCGCATACAGTGAAACCAGCTAGCTGCTATCATCAAACAGTAAAACGGGCCAATTGTGTTTGCCATTACCATTCATTCATGGTCCATTTCGCGGTTTCGGCTTGCTCAAAAGATATCGTTAAATTTTACGATAAAATTTGGGAAGCACACAATTGTGTCGAAAAAAGAAGTTAAGGCACTTGATAAGAATCGCTCGCCCTTAAAATTTTAAGTCCATACACAAAATTTTATCGACGCCCTTAACAATGAAACACTACAGTATCCAAGAAGCCTTTGTCCGTTTTATAACCAAAAGTATAATAATTTCCGCCACAGGAAAAAAATTGTTCACACGACGAATGGACTTTTTCATATCAAATAAGAATAGGGAAAACTGGCGAGATTCACTAAAAATTTATGGCTGTGACTCGATTGGGGCCCGTTTCAATTGAGTGCCAACATAACACCTCGACTACGGTAATTTTACGATAGAAGGAAACTTGAACTATTTCCGGCGGCCGCGACCGCGATTTGTCATAACCACCCATCTCTTGTAGTTAACAATCTCGCATAAATCATTCGCACCTCTCGAATTTGCGTATTTGGTCAAAACGCGCGTTAATTCACGTTTTATGATGTCCAATTATTCGCCAGCTTATTGGTAAATTGAGGCAAGTGAGGGAGGTCTCCGCGCAAGCAACAACGCGCGGCACAGTACCAGATGTGGTGGAAAAGAAAGAGCAAAATGGGCACAATGAACAGCTATGTTTTATGACTGAGCATGTTTTTATTTCGAAATTCGCATTAGCGAGAAAAACCCCCCGCGCGCGCACGGCAGAAAGGGGCACGTTCTAGACATCTGGGTTCCGTTTATTACGCTATGTTGATATTTTACGTTGAATAATTGGTTTCAACCGTCATCAAACTAAAGGTTGACATTATTTCATTAGCGCTTATTCATTCAACAGGGGCGATGGGAAAACAGTTGTTTTCAAAAACATTTACATTTTAGCACCTGTTTGCTATGAGATCAGTTTTGTCAATAGGCCAGATATGGTAATATTGTGTGCCAAACAACTTATCATCATCCAGCTGGTTTAGGCGGACAATCGAAATCAAATGTTCCTCGTGCCGCCGGTTACCTTTCATCTATTGTTCAAGAGTGTTCAATAACCCACAATCTCTTTCTTCTTAGCGAGTTGAAATACCGACACTGCCTCACCATCGGAAAATAATGCTTCTCATTGCGATGACTGTACCTGCCCTAACCATAGGTATTATGCACATCTCTTTGTAATCAATGAGAACCTAAACGTGCTGCTTCTTTTTGAGTAGCCGCAGAAACACCGGCGCATTCTTCATTTTTACCGTTCTACCTCCGCTCTCTAAATCATTTGAAACCGCCCCTCCCTTACCTGAATTTGTCATATTGAATAGATGACGAAGCGAAGTTACAAAACAATACCGCAGTTTCCCTCATTGCTCACTAATGAATTTTTTTTTGTCTCCGGGTACTATTGCGCGCCTCATTTGTCTCTTCAAATTTTTGTTGCGGCTATTATATTTGAGGAGACGGTCGCAATCAAAGGATCTGCAACATTTAGTAAACAAACCAAGTTAATCCCGGTGTTCAATCCAGGCGTCATTCGCGATGCCACACTGTAATATAACTCAATGTGTCGTCTTTGCGGCGTGTGCTCGCTGAAGGGTACTAAAATCATGATGTTTCGATGAATGTGAACCGCGATGAGCAGGCATCCATCGATGATGTGATCCATCGTATTATCTTCTTCTGTCAAATTGATAACTGTTTGTCAGCAGTATTGCTCCTCCTTGGTAAGCGGATTATCGTTGCCCAACTGCCTACTAAATATAAGAACGTATTGTTATCATCGACTAGTTGCAGGAATCGTAGGATTCCATTCACTCATTCATTCATTTCATTTTATTGAGTCATTGATAATTGATATCGTTATGCTGGAGTTGTGACCTTTGTCGCATAAAGGTGTTGTTCGAACGTAATGGCCATAAGCGGCTTCCTTTGTATTCACTATTTAAGTGGTAATAAAATTATTAAATATCGCGTGGATGAGCAAACGGACCTGATAGTACATGCGCATTCCTTGATAACTCTTTCCGTTGCGCAATATCACCCTAGCCGTTCTCTGAAATCACTATTTCATCGTACCGTCGACAAATCGTTTTTTTTCCTTCAAATTTTCAACGTTCTTAATATCTTTGGTTCTGAATCATATGATGATTGAAAGCATCCTAGTCTAAGCAGCATTAATAGCATCCTCAGCGGCCTGCACCTACCGTATATCAGACAGCAGAGCGGTGAGGGGCGTGGCCAGCCGCTCAAACAAAACGGAGGCCGCCGCCTGCCTGCTTCTGGGGTGGCATGCATTTCTCACTTGCTCTTCTTACCGTATCGAGTCGCTTCCTCTTCTCAATTTCTGAAATCAGTTTGTAGTGACTTCCACATAATTTTAAAAATCGTTTCTAAACATTCTTCCGAAAATACTTCTCTTCCTAAAATGCACTTTCGTAACATATTATTCAAACATGGAGCCGCGTTTAGCTTGCGATTTTCTCATAGTTTGCATGTAAAGGTATTCACCGACCTACGAAATGCCCAATCTTTATTGTTGTCAGTATCATCGTTCGGTAAATATAACACCATTGACATTTTGAAACGCTGCTTAACGTTGGTAGAAAAACGGAAACGGTGCCTTTTTAGTATTTGCCTATCACGCAGCATTTTTCTTCTAACTGCCATTTTGTTATTTGATCATGCGCATTGAATTTTCCTTCTTCTTCTTCTTCATCATCCTCGGGGTCGGCAAAAAAAAGTTTAGGTGAGGAAGTTGGTGATTCCATTTTATCGAATAGTATTGAGAAATCAAATTTTGTTGAAGGCCCGATTGTCATCTGATAAACAGCAGTTGTCCTCACCTCCAATGTCGGCAACGCCTTATAGAGCACAGAAGCTCGATTTTTATTACCCCAGCGGCAATATAATTGTCGGTGCGATAAAAGGAACCATTTGGTTATCTTTATTTCTAACTAGTGAAGTATTTGCAAGCCACCCATTTTCAAACATTACACACTGCTCTGCTGTATACCATTATACCTTTTCCTTCGTGTGACTTACCAAAGACGTGATCGTAAATCGTGCTCAGATTTCAAACTCGGTCCTATGCCGCTATAGTTCACCGCTGATAGCGAAGTCGTCCAGCTGTGACGTCTCGCTTTTGTTTATGATCCTTGCTCAGTGTTGTGTTCTTTGACGAAAATCGGTGTATTCTCGATTACAACCCTTTAAAGTTCACATCTGCATTATATGCGTGCCGCATTTGCGTTCATCTAACTTGGTTTTTTTCCAGTTATAAGCACCTGCTGTTTTCGGGGAAAAAAATTCATCCTGAAATGGCAGATGCCCCTCATCTGGGTGCTGATTCATTGCGTCTACTCATTAAATTTTGGTTGATAGCTATCCTCATCCTTATAGTCTTCTCATCTTTATACTGCGTAGTTTTTGCTTGATAAGGGGTGTGATTCGAACACAGTGCGTGTACGGTGTTTGCATGAGCTTACCGTTAAGCAGATAATACGGGACTCTTCCTCTCGACTGCATATTGTGAATTATCTGACAACTTTTGATGGAATATCGTAGACAAACAAAACGCAACAAGCAGCCATCTCCGGTCTACAGTAATCAGAGCACAGTGATGAAGAGCAAAAAAAACGAGAAAGGTGCTAGATTCGACGCCTTTATTTGGTTGACGGCTGCCTGTTCGACGCACTTTATCAACACGAAAACTCCGCTCCTTTTCTCGTTTTCGTTTTAACAAAATTCACTTTCATAATTACGATTATTCAGCTTGCTCTATTCAGGATGCTTCCGTGGCAAAGACAGACAGTAACTAGCTCAATTTTTCCACCACAAAATCAACATGAACAGTTCATTCGCCTGATATTAATGCAGCAACACATCCAATTCGCGTCGTTTCTTCAACAACAGCAGAAAAAGAATGGCGAGATACCCTCGCCTCTTAATGTCACGCCACCGCAGTCTGAAGAGGGAGCAAAAAAGAAAAAGTTTGATTTCACTCACATGGCGGAATCGATTGAATCAGAGCAAAACAACAAAGAAGTGATGCCGGTAAAACTGACGGCGACGCCGTTTAGACCCTTATTACCTCCACTTCCAATTGAGCAGCCATGGTAAATTTAAATTTTCTTTTTTGGTAACCTTATTTCTCTTTAAAGGTTTATGCTTGGTGGGCGCGGGCGCGCACCTGGAAGAGCGAGTAGACCGAAAAAGGAATTTATTTGCAAATATTGCGAGAGGCACTTCACCAAGTCCTACAACTTACTGATTCATGAAAGGTTCGTATCTAAAAGAAATATTAATCATGATTGTGCTTTTTTAGAACTCACACTGATGAACGTCCATATTCGTGCGATGTTTGCGGAAAGGCCTTCCGCCGCCAGGATCATTTACGCGATCACAAGTAAGCCTTGATTCAAGTTGTTTGCAAATAAAACCTGATTACTTGTTAGATTTATTCATCAAAAGGAAAAACCATTCAAATGCGAGGTGTGTGGCAAAGGATTCTGCCAATCTCGCACTCTTCTCGTTCATAGAGCAACTCACGATTCTTCGAGACATATTCAACTGGTAATTAAAATACCACTCACCTGACCCTTAATACAATTCAATTTTCTAGGATCGTTCCCCTCGACTCGATGTCAAAAGTGAAGGAAGCATGAGTCTAACCCCATTGTCGTCGCCACAAATTTCGCCACGTCTTGACAGCCCCTCGAATTCCAACTAAAATCGAACGCGGAATACACGTGTTTACGTCAAAACGGTTATAGTAGCCCTCACTTCATTTTTAAGTATTTTGTTAGGTGGTCATACGCAATAAGAATAGTCATTCAGTTTTGTGTTGCATCCTGATCTATTGCATCCTTTCTCTCTCCCTCAAACGCCATTTCAATTTACATTTATTGTATTCATTTGAATTCGTTGGTCCCTATTTCACTTTCTTCACATTATATGTGATTCGAATTTGTTCAAACATTACAAATTTTATTGTTGAAAGCAATTACATAATATAGGTGATCATATAACCAATTGTGCATTAATTTGCAATATTAAGTATAACATAATCCTTTCTCTCGTAATTTCAGTTTTTTTTTGAAATTGTTCATATTCTTTTTATTTTAGAGGTTTTGCCATGTCTTCGATTACCAGGTTTCTTTTTTTAAATAAACGTTCGGAAACTTTTCACTCTGCAATTAATTCTCAACTTGTTTCATAGCAGTCAAATAATCATAAAAGTGCTTACGAATACCATTCGTACTCGTCTTTAAAAAATTTCTTTGATATGAATCTAAAAATTTATGGTTGAGATAAAATTCCGCTAACCGAATGTAGATAACGAATGTATTTGCCCTCTGTGGTGAACTTCTGTGAAAAAAATGCGTGCTAAAGTGGGGAAAGCGTCGAGCACTACATCAATATTGTATAGCTAACAAAACCAAAAATGTTAAAAAAAATTATGAGAACTTGTTCAGCATTTAGCTATACAATAAGAAAATCAAAATAACAAACAATCTTTCATTAATGGACGGCTTAATGACATTTAGCGTTTCTAAATAAACATATTCAAGACGGATAAAAACATTTTAACACTGTGCAAGACATTTAAAAAGAGTCATATCAAGAAGATCTCTTCTATTTAACAATATTCAATACGACATTTTCCTATTATGGATCAGAATTAGAACAAGCATTGTTTTCTGTTTTAGTAAATAAATTTTGTGGCAGTAGTTATATTTGGTTTCCCTTTTTGTTCAAAGTAATACTTGGCGTTGCCAGAAATGGACGATGACGCGTATTATGCGCGTCGCGTCCACATTTTGCGCAGCATTCGCGCTCCACTGCCAACATTTGTTATCGCATATCTGCTCTTGTATAATGTTTTTATTCTTCCAGAATCATTAGTTTAGTCAGTAATGTATAAAAACGAGCAATATGTCGGGCCCAGGTTTCCACCTGGGAAGGAATTTTCGTTCGACGAAATCTTCGAGGAACATGACCTTGATATCAAGTAAGTTTGAAACAATATCATTAATTCAGAGCACGCCAACTTGTTAAAATATGTTTCAGGCACAACAAATTTGGTTTGAAACGAGATATGCGATTTATGAGTGAACGTATTATTATGGAATATTCGCCGGATGAATTCTTTTCGGTAGTGATTTTGGTGAAAATTTATTTTTGAAAATTGTTTTTTTTATAGGTTCGCGAAATTGTTCATCCAATGTCCGCAAATCGTACGTCACATCCATTCGCACAAGCAAAACTTGTGAACAGTGACGACGAATACGTCACTTCGCTAGATTTTCATGAGCAGCCAAATTATTTTCCATATGCCAAAAGTGATGGAGAAGTTCGCCTGATTCGCTACATTTCGAGTTTTGATGATTTTAATTTGTGAGTTTCTCCAATGATCAATCTTTAATGATAATTTTTCTTTCAGCGCAAAATTGTCTACGCAACATTTGTTTCAACTTCCGGGAGAAATAATCAAACATCTACGACATGGCAGAATGGATAAAGGCATTGTTGCCATGAATCATTATAAACTAAAAGAGCCGTAAGCAGTACTGGATTACTTTAGTTGAGAAATTTTACAGGGATAAACATACATTGACATGTTTCGACTTAATCCGACCTAAGCAGCCGATATCCATCTACCACAATTCGGAGCCATTCAACGAGGTTATTTGGTTGTATACGAATGAGGTGACCATTGCCCTTGCCGATGATCGTTCCATTAGAATAACCGATATTCGTGATCCAAAATCATATCGAGCATTATTTCTTCCGGTGAGCCCCAAGATCATCACAACGATAGCATCCAGGTAACTCAATCAAAACAAATTTATTGTCTTTAAACCATGATTGTAGAGTAAACGAAATAACTGCATATGCCGAAGGAAGAATTCTTTTATTTGATGTGCGACGTCTCGATTTTCCATGCCGACAATACCATTTAGATTTTTTATCTGATGAAGAGACTATAATCGATATGCGGTATAATCCATTTATGTCGAGAAAATTAGCAGTTCAAACGAGTTCTATGAAATTGTATGCATTGGATATAGAAGATGGACCAGAAATGACTATTTTTGTAATATTGATGTGTTTTGCTTGGTGATTAACAATTGAGTTTCAGGGCAAACACGAGAGAGTTATTAAAGAATTCAATCGCATATCATTTAAGCATCTTGACAGAAAATTGTACATGAGATATCACAAGGATTCAAGGGACAAATTGTTCGTTAAATAATTTAAAACAATTACAGATTTCAATATTTTTTTTAGGTTCTTTAACACTGGAGGGGAAATCGATTTTCTCAATTATGATGAACATTATGCAATGGCTAAAATTGATAGTGGTATAACCCTTCCATCGGCTTACGCGGACCCACTATCTTATAATACTATAACGGAAAACTTGACCGAAGAACAACTGCACGATCCTCATTATATGGAGAGAATTCGAGACGCAGCCCTTGCTGCCGAAGAAGGTGGTTTGCTGAAACCAAAAATTTTGCACTCGGTAAATGCTCATCTTTATTATAAAGGGACTTAGGACATAAATAATATTAGGGTAAATGAAAAAATTAATTGCAGAAAGACGATGTAATCGCATTTGATTTTACTTATCCTGGAGTAAGCGGAATTATGTCGTTGCGCTCAAGCACAATGGTATACGATCTGCAACATGTAATTAGCTATTTCTTGTAAATTTGTAATCTATATGTAATATTTTTTAGCTTCCTGAAGACATATATTATTCATCAGTGCGGAATGCCGAAGCAACGGCGTTTAAAATTCGACAGATGCAAGTACGCGAGGTAATGACTCTATTTGAATTCAAAGAAAAATTAATTAATTAATTTTTTAGATGATCCCTTCGTATTATCTTTTTGAAATGTTTCATCGCATTGAAGCTGGTTGGACTGCTTTGTACAAAGAAACCAAATTAATCAGTAGATAATTTCATTTTATATATCGACTAACATCGAATCTCTCAGATTTAATTTATGCCATATGTGAACAATACCGAAGCGATTTTTGGAGACATTGGTTAATGAATGCTGGTTATATGCAATATGGAGGAAACGGTAATAGAAATAGTTTCGTTGGATTGAATATTTAATCGTTCACAATTCAGAGTTTCGCGATTTGAAGGAACATCCAAATTTGCCAAATCTTCCTCCAGTCATGCCGAATCTTGGAGTTGCGCTTTTATCGCCTGATGAACAAGCCACTGCTCAAAGTGAAGTGCTGCGAATGCTCTCGCCATTCTTTCACTTGTTCTTCCCAAATCCTTCTGATGACATGATACAAGAGGAAGATGACTCCGAGGATGGAAACGAAGATAATGATTCGAATTTTGACGACATTCCAGTTAGAAAAGACGAGGAACTCAGATTTGTGACATCTGGTGGTTATGCTGTAGTTGGAGTTCGAAAGAAAATGAAATCCCTGTTTCGTGGTGCTTTTATGCATCGATTATCTGACGAAGACGATATTCTCCACATTGTATTAAAAGCAGCCAGAAAAAGCAGAAATTATTACAATCATATGCGGAAGCAACTTTTTCTTAATAAAAAAGTTTTCAAGCCAGTGCGAAGACCTCCACCAAGACGCCTACCGATTCCACCCCGAAAAATTGCGCCGCCGCCAAGTGCACATCCATTGCTTCAAGGATTGAATGCCGCAACCAAAGAAGTCATCAAGCTTATGTATGCCACTGAGCCACTACGAATGAGGAAATATGTACCAATAAGGCTCACGGAACGTTTTTTTATTGAGAAGCTGAGAAGCGCTACAACACGATTTATTGCAAATAAACGGAATACCGTGATGAATGGAATGTACCCAGAACACAATAAAAACACTGTGATTGACATCAACGAGAAGCATTGCGCCGACTTGAAGGTTAAAATAAAAATTTTAAAATTTATTTTTTCATATTTCAGACAGCCATGTTGCGAGCGCGAAGAAGTGCTTGGCCAACATTCTACGATTTCGACTTTTTCTATTCAAAATTGTGCAGGAAATCGCAACTGCTTATTGCTGCTGCCAATATGTACAACAAAGTCTGCCCATCGCCGTTTGTTAAAGCTAGAGACATTCAATCGGCACCAGCATATCTTGAAAAGAAGTCCAAGACTGTCAGAATTGATAAATTTGTGGTGTTTCGAGACCAAGTAAGTTCACATGTGTTTTATTTTGAATGTTTAAATTATTCAGCAACGCCTGTACGGGCGAAGAATAAGAGATGAGGCGTTGATCAAGAAAGTTCGATGGTCAGATATGAGGCACGATTTCGACGAACATAGATGGAATCATAGGCCTGCTCAACTAGCCGGAGAAATAATTTGCTGCAGACCTCCGTCAACAGAAGAAGATGATTCGGAGTATGAGAAGGACTGGGAGAAGCCATACAAGCATACTCTCTCAGTGAGGCACTACATGAAGGATGAAAAGGAATTTGAAATCACCAGAGGAAAAGTGATGGATTTTTTTGAGAAAACTATCATGGAACTGCCATGCGGAAAGTTTATGCAGCGAAAGAATCATCCAATAACAGCTGACACGGAGGTTACTCCGACGTCGTCCGATTGTGAGAGGCAGAAGGCAGAACGTCAAAGACTTTTGGACAGTCAAAAAGAGGCCGGAATGACGGATGAAACTGATCCACCACAAATGTTGATTGGAGAACGAGGATACGATACAAAAGGAGTATATTACGTGTCACCGAGAATGTTCAAAAAAGTCAACTATGTTAAAGAAATCAAACCTACGATCAAGGAAGCGAATCCAGTAACGAAAATACAAAGATTCATATCGTTCAACCCAGTAAAAGCTTATGAGGATCCTTTAGCAAAATTAGCGAATCGAGAGCCACTGTGGAAAGCGATGAAGAGGGCAAAAGAAAATGCGAAGAAAAAACGAAAGATTATATTGAAGAAGAGACCGAAAAAGATTGTGAGATTGCGAAATGTCATGAATTTTTTGAAAAAAGTGAAGCCCGTTTATATAGAAAGAAATCCTCGAAAGAAAATTGAAACGAAGAAAGTCGAAGCGAAACCATTAGAAAAAGAAAAGGACTCATCAACGAGAAGCAGACAGAAGCGATCAAAAAAAGAGGAAACTAAAAAGGAGAAGAAAAAGGCAAAAGAAACGAAAATGATGCCGGAAATACAAGCGTTTTTTGGAGCAATGGAGCGTAACTTTCCAAAAGTTGAAAAGAAGCATGTTAAAGAGAAGAAACCTGATGAGACACCTAAGAACAAGCCTGAGATGGATCTTTCAAAAAGAAAAAAGAAGCTCACCAAAAAAAGGCAAAAAGTGAAATTTGACCTTCAAAAACCGTGGATACGTCCTGAAGAACCTGAACCGCAGCCTGATGTCGATCCTAAGAAATTGGAAGCTCTTCGGAACAATACGCTTAAAGGACACAGAGCATCGGTGTTCTTTTTTTGCAGTTCTGATTCATCCCTTGAGGAAATAAAACCTAAGGTGGAAACACGGAGATTTGACGAAAACGAAGTGGTAACAATAGTTAGTAAGCCGGCATACAATTTACTGGTTCCAACCCGTTACAAGAAAAAGAAACGAGTGGATTTAACTAGTATTGATGAACTTGCCAAACGGTTGAAATCTCCGAAAAAGGTTAAATTAAAGAAAACGAGGCGAAAACGCGAAGTAACCAACGAACCATCAAAAAATGCAATTCAAAATCCGTTGCTTCGAAAACCATCGCAGAAATATCGCTTCCAACGCGGTTTTTGGAAACTCTTGCGAGTTGCTGGCCAGCAAGTCAATTGTACATTCGATCGGCCAAAATTTCCGCTACCTCCGCCACCAGAAAAATCAGCGATGAAGAAAAAGAAGCCTCCACTGGTTGAAGTTTATCGACGCCCTCCAATAACAATGGAATATCATCCGAAAAAGCTGAAGACGTTGGTCAATCCGAGAAGAGATCCACTGTTATTCATTGCGACGTACACTAAAAACATTGCGAAATTGTGGAACAGCATCCGCCCTACTGATGACATTGATGAACTGCCAGAGAAAAAAAGAGTACGACTACCACCTCGAGAATTTTTGAATTACTTCAAATTTGAAGAAAGCTCAGGCACCGATTCTGCTGATGAAGATCACCAACTAATAAACAAAAGAAAAGACAAAACGCGAGTGCGCAAAAAACTGCCTAACGATCTATCCAGTGAAAATTCCGAGGATGTTTCTCAAGAATCTTCTAGCGATTCTCACGATTGCTCTGTCGCAACTGATTCGTCTGATTCGACCGGTTCTACTGACTCTTCTGAAGAAATTGAAGCATTTTTGGACAAGCTTTCCCATGGATTCGTGAAAAATAATTTTGGCGAATATTATCCAGCATATTGCTCAAGAAATGGAAAAGTTATTCCGGTAGCCTCCTCAGAAGATTTTTCCGAGGATTCCTCAAGCAATTCTGTGAATCATGAAATGCTGAAGAGATCGAGAAAAAAAGCTCAGAAAAGTAGAGAGAAACGATGTGATTCAATGATTCATGAATCAGATGCTGACTCTACCACACAAATCGTCATTGAATCCAGTATAGAATCAGACACCGATTGCAGAAAAGGCTCAAGAAAAATCACTCGAAAAAACGTAAGGACTGATGGAAGCTCAGAATCCAGCACTGACACCGACAAAGTATCAATTACGGATTCGGAAGAAAATAATAATGACGACATCGGTATAAATTTGGATGCTTCTATGGATGTCGATTTGTGGATGGCGATAATGGTTCTTAAAAAGAAAATATCAAACTCGAAGGAACGAAAACGTCAAGAGCTGAAAAGAAAACTGGCATATCCAAATAATTATCCGTTTGTCTACGACCAATCCGATACTTCATACTATCCAAGGCTCAAGTACATGAAAGGTGCTGAAAAAGGAGAGTTCAAACGATATCTTGACCTACGTCATCGACGACTTTTTTCAAAACTCACGATAGAAGAATATCAAGCGAAATTGAAGAGGCAATATATTCGCAGAAGGAAGAAGATGTACGCGAGAAGGAAACAGAGCGTTGAACCTTGGGAAACCCATTCGCGCTATCGAATAGAGAAGAAAAGAAATCGCAAATTGAAGATGGAAATGAGAGAGAAGATCCGACAAGAAAACAAAGAGAAGACGAAGGAGTCGATCCTCAGGGTTAAAAAACTGCTCTACAGAGGCAAAAATGGATATGAGAGAGAGCCCGTGACTATCACACAGATTGATCAAAGACAAACATTGATCAACTCAATTGATGTCCAACTTCCCATTTCATACTGGGAGTCGAAACAAGAATCTGTGAAATTGCTGGAATTTGACGGATACAAGAAGCAATATTCTCAAAATATCAAGAAAAAGAAAGAATTTAACGTAAGAACTTAAATTGATTTATGAATATATTTATTAAGCTTTCTCTTACAGGCTTACAAAAAATATGGATTAAACCAATATACATATGATCGGGCGTTGATTCTTAAAAAGACGTTTGTTTCTCTTCCTGATGTGGTAATCATTTTTTTACGCTACATATTCGATTTTTACTATTATTTTTTTCAGAACTTATGCGATAGGTATCGCTTCCCAGTTAGCTTTTTGCGCAAATCATTATCATTAAACGATTTGACATATGAAGTTAGTGGCTCTTTAAATTTTTCTAAATTAACTTCTCGAATTTTAGGAAAACGATGAAATGAAAAGTTATTTGTCAATGGAAGAACTTCCACCCTCTCAGAACATCTCTGAAAATTTCCAAAGATGGGATGTAGCAGAACAGATAACAACAATGAGTGGAGCAGAATTAGACGAGGAAAATATTAATGGAGATGATGTTAGAGCGCTTGAAACTGAATCTAGGGCGGAAGAAGTGATTCATGAGGCGGAACAATCTCGACTTCCAGAATCAAATCAATTTATGGAATGTTCGCCAGATTATTGTCAACCTCTAGCATCCGGAACATCCCAAGATGTTTTCAAAGTGAGCTATTGCGTAAATTCCTGGTTAATAATTCACAAATTCAGAAGCCTGATTATCCTTTGTTGAGCAGTATGGAAACGGTACCATACAGCTCTGAAGAGTCGGAAAAATATCAACTGTCTCGCTACGTTCCGATTATAAATCAGTGGTATACCCCAATTATTCGAAATATCGATGAGAATGGTGTGAGGACAATTATCAAAGTAACAATTCATCAATAATACATTTTGTGTATTACAAATTCTCCGATTTCAGGTTTTACCTGATCCAGGACCGCCTCGTTTCCGTCATTATGTTGGCGATTTGGCTAATATTCCATTTAACGAAGATTCCGAAGCTGAAGATTACATGGTTCCAGAAGATCATTTTGATTATGGAAGAAGGAAACGCCGTTTGGAGGAAAAAGAAATAATGAAGAACGTTATACCAGAAGGAATGCAGCCAGAAGATCCAGAAGTTCGGGCTATGTTCGTCAATATGAGGCTTCATCTAGTAACGCAAAGCAAAATAGAATATTTCAAAGAAGTCGGAAAAAATATGCGAAGACTAATTGATTCCTTTAATAATGTGCAAATGTTGGGAAAACATTATTGTAAGAAAAAGTGTATATTGAAATTCATTCTAAATCAAATTTTTAGACAGTTCATTCACAACAATGTCATTTGAAGCCGTTTCTGAGCGATTCAACAAAATGCACAACAGAGTATATTTGACATTAGATGATCCTCCAAAGTATTACGACGATGAAGCCGAGTTGAAAGCGTTAAGGGATCTATGTGAAAATGAGTTTGCGTTGATGCCGTCGAGAGGAAAATGGTCGATAAAAAATGTTGTTCGCAATAAGGTTTATTACGATTCGTCGTCGCAAGAGGAAACACCAGCTCAAGAGTTTGCCCGCAAGAAGGCCGAATATCTTGAACGAAAAAGAAAAGCAAAACGTCTTGAAAAAAGATTGATTAGGCATGAAGAACAAAATCGAAAAAAGAAATTTGCGAAGCTTTTGCCTAATTCAATCCTTAAAACTAAAACAGTTTGGGCGTTGTTTGATGCGTTGGAGTTCTACTTAAAGACATATGATATGTTTGCATTTAAAATGTTAATTGGAAAGGTAATTAAATATGTTTTCATATCTAATTTGCCACAATGTTTCAGTTGAAAAAAAGGATAAAGGACGACAGGCTCAGATGCCCACACTGCAAACTATTAAACCGACCAATGCGCTTCGTACGTGGAATTTCTCACGAGTTTTACGATAAAATATTAATATTTAGATATGCATCAGATGTACGAAACAAATGGATATTCATGAATGCACAAAAATATATCGTTCGAGAGAGGTTTTGTTAAGATTGTCATTTGTTTGTGTCATACATCGTTCAATTGCAGATGTGCCACAAATGCGGCAATAATATGTTTACATACGGATGCGTTCTCCGACATGTTTCATGCAGATATAAAGATCGAATGATGCACTCCTTATTCAAATTTCGAAAATATCGTAGATGGCGAAAATCGGAAGCGGTGTGCAGAGATTTCCGAATTTACCATCCAGAAAACTTGATGCCGTTAGTTAAAAAAGCCGTGAATGAGTTGAATATGTGCTTACCGGAAGAACACTATCTTGGAGAGATTATTAGTGTTTGTTATCGACCTATATTTATGGAATGAAAATCTGTTAATTCAGGCCGTTGACGAATCGCAATTTATTACTGGACAAGATTTCTTTGTTGCTGAATTGATCAAACGAGAATTTGACTTTTGCGAGATGATCGCCCAGGAAGATCGAGAAACGGAGAAAGAAGTTGCTGATAGTTTCAAGGAGGCTATGCTTAGAGATGGAAATGTAAGTTTTAAATCGGTTTTTACTTCTTCCGAAATAACTCATTGATAGTAATAAAATAGTAAAAAGGAAATACAAATTTTTCTAATGCAGGAATTCAAAAAAAATACACATTTAAAAACATTTCATAAACAAGCCTATTAGCTTCTGCTTTATCTTTAAAAAGAATTTGAGAATTATAGAACAGAAAACAAAATTTTTGCATCTCAGAACAATCCTAAATGATTTAAATCAAGTTGTGCGAAAAAATGAAAATTCCCACGAATTCAAAAACACAAATTCAAACACCAATTATATTTGTTTTTAGCCAATGGAGGTCATAATGTACCAGAAACGAATGACCGAAGATAATGAGCTGGAGTTTGTGAAGTTCAGGCATAAAAAAACCGGCCGAATAATACGAAAGTGGGCCAACATGAAGCAGCTACGCGAACAGGCAGAGCAAGCACGGTTAAAAAGACTTGAAGCAACAATGCAAAAATTGGAAGACGTGCAACTCGCCGAAGATTTGAAGAACGACGATGATTTTTCCATTTCGGACAGTGGCACGAATGAAACTGTCATATTCAACAAATACGCCAACCTTCCTCCGTTGCGTCACAAACGTGTGGAAATCTTACGCCAATCTGAAAGCAAGAAAGAGTACAATGCTGACGTCCATTATCCCGTGATTCCAAAGGTTGTGAAGAAAAGAAAAAATAAGAAAAAACAGATAGAGTATTATAAGTGGCTCATTTATGATGAGCTGCATTATCTTTTACTCGAAAGCGACGCCATGTTTTCGAAGGAAGCTGTGACAGACATGCTAAATGGAATTGAGGACGATGAACTCCCAAACATGACAGATGAGGACAAAGTGTTGTGGAAGAAGGTCCGAGACAAAATCGAAAAGCCTGACCGAAACCGATATCCCGTGCAAAAGTTTTATCGGAAAGCGAAAAAGATTAGGAGAGAATATGAATCCGATCTCAACAATCTCGTCATTATGAGAGTTCACTTCAATGAAAACGAACGCGAGATTTTGAAAATTGAAGATAGATGCGAAATTGAAGAGGAGGACAGAATGAAAATCGAAGAATTCGAGAAGTTGCAAAAAGAGAGGACATTAAAAAAATTGCGAAAACGGAATGAAGACAAATTTGATCATTTGGTTCGAATGGTAAAAATCGCCAGACAAGCTGAAAAGACTCGCCGCATTTATGAAGGAAAGGAGCCGCCGCAAGAGAAGCGAAAACTTAAAAAGCCAATGCCAATACTGCGAAAATGTCATAGATGCCCTCTCGAATTTTTCATTACGGTTGAAAATCTAGAGATATTAAAAAGAGATGAAGAAGAAGCGGAAAGAAAAAAAAATGCAGGAGAAGAAGATGAAGTGAATGCTGAAAAAACAGAAGATGCGGCCAAAGTGGAAACCAAACAAGAAGAAGAGAAAGTCGTTGAAATAGTAGACAAACCAGCGCTTGAACCATCGGCAGAGGTCAAAGAATCAACACCAGAAACAAATTTGGCATTCTTAGACGTATACGAGGAAATACCGGAAGACTATGATGAGTCTGAAACTCAGAAGGACACCAAAAACTCTCTGCAACTCATTATGGAGGAAAGAGAGCTCGAGAATCCGCCGAAAAACGATGAAGAAGTTAAAGCTCCTGATGGCAATAGAAAAATACGTCACGTTTATATGCATACTGCGAATCTTAGAAGTCTCATGCTTCGTTCATATTGTCGCATTTGCGGCCAGAAGTTTCCAAAGCAATGGTCATATCTACCAAAATTCTTGCGATTGAGCATGACATTGCATTACTTCAAAATTTTCAAACCTCTCCCAGTGAAAAATTGCCTACAATTGGTGACGTTGCATATGCTTGGCGAAAATCATGCTGTTGTCGTGTTGTCAGATAGGCTTATCAATATTCGAAAGAACTGTTTGGATAAGATGAAAACTCGGGAGGAATTGCTTGAAGAAAAACGACTTGCTAGAAAAAGAAGAGCATTAGCATTAAAGAAGAGAAGAATCAAACGGGCAAGACAAAGAAAACGAGCTTTAGCTGCTGCAAAAGCTGCTGCTGCTGCACGGCCTGTTGTTGAACAATTACAATTCGCCCCCGAAGACATCATTGAATATATTGGACGTGTCGAAACTCCAACAATGGCATTGAAAAGAAAATTTGTTCCCATTTTGAGGCCTATCAAGAAATTCTTTTCACGTAAATCAAGGGACGCAGAATCAACGGTTGCAGCTCCGCAAAACGAAAACGAACCGCAACCGAGCACATCAACTGGCCAACCATCGTCATCGTCGGTTATCGTCGCAAAATCAGAGTCCAAATCAGCCCCCTCTACCCCGACTCCACTCTCGACGAAAGAAAAAGTTCCAGTCAAAATTCCGACAAAATCACAATCGCAAGGATCATCGGCGGAAGACATATTAGCATTGCTTCAAAGTAATCCAAATGAACTTTTGGAGCCCGTCAAGCCACCAGCGCCAAAACAACCTGAAAATCCGCCGCCGCCGCCGCCACCACCCAAAAAACCGAAACCAGCAGCAAAAATTAAAGATCCATTATCAGCGTCATGTGAACGGAATGGGCGTTTGTTGAGCACAGAAGAATATACCCAACTTTTACAAAAAATGCTAGCCAAACCAGTGAAAGTGTACAGGAAGCGCAGGAGAAGAAGGTGGAGAAGAAACAGACTAGGTCGCACTTGCTCATGGATAGAATCACAAGTTGGACCCGAATCAAAATTCAACAATCGGTACAAGTATGTGGAAATGGAGAAGTTTGAGCACAAAACAGTATCTCAAATATTGGATGAGAAATACGAACTGACGCAACAAAAGGATCCGGATTTTGTTGTCGGAAATTTTTTGGAAGAAATTGAAAACGAAATCGCTCGAAAACAAGAACTGCAAAAAAAGCTTGACGAGTTGCAGACGGAGGAGCAAAAAAATTTTTATCGATTTGCGAAACATTTTAAAACGAAACGACGTCGGAACAAAGTGCGTCACCAATGCACTCCATTGAAACGGCAGGTCAAACGAATTCTTCGAATCAGAAAGGAATGGAAAAGGAAATTAAGAGCATTAAGAAAAACCGAAGTGAAGGAACCAGAGCCAGAAGCTTTCGAATATAAACGAACAAAACCAAAACGAACCTTGTTCGAGCACTTTATGCGATTAAGCAAAAAATATACACGGCAGGCGATCAAAGATACACGACAAGGACGTGCTCCGCTCATGTATTACGGACTGAAAAGCATTCTGAGGCATAAAATGCACTTGTTCATGGAATATCGACGCTCCATTATTCGCAACTTTTTGATTTTGCTGCACTGCAACAACATTGTTTGGATCGATCGAAACTACTTCCAAATGACTTATAAGAATTTGAAAAAGGATAAAGTGAGCAAGAAATTGCTGAAATTGAGGGAAAGAATGGATGTTGCTGTTCCTCTCATTGCAGCAAATGCTTTGAAAACGGTATGACTGTATATTTTTTTGCATTGATAGATTATCAATGCTTCTTTCAGGCAATTCGCAGGAAATTGAATTACGGCGATTATGTGGAGATTAAGCATCGGGTTAATTCTTATGCAATCCAAAAATCGCCGGCGTCGATGCGAAGTTGGAGTGCTGATGACTTCTTTAAGATTCGAGATTTGAATCGAAACCGAATGTTGCCTAAAAAGGTAGGTTGTTTCAGGAAAACTTTGTATTAAGAGCATGAATTTAGTTTAATGAAGAAGAAAATCAAAGAGACACCGATGTGGATGTCACCCCAGATTCATCTCTAAACGAGACAATGTCACTGTATTCCGAAGAGTCTGAATATCCTTTCCCTGATCAACTTGAAGACAATTTCTGGAGTCAAAGAAGCGAGCAATCACTATTCAATGTCAAAGGGTTGTTATTTGATTTCAATGTGCAATTTCATCATTTCCATTGTTCAGAATACCAGGCCTTTTTTTCTTGGCACGGCTAGTTCATGAAAGAGTTGGAGAAGGTTCCGCTCGGAATTTTAAATTCACTGGTATTATCTTCCAAAACTATCCTCGGGAGGTAATTGATAAAATTCCCATTTCGTGTTTTTTTTTATTTCATGCTCTCATGCTTCTCTAGGTATATATTACTCCTGTTCGCGAAATGATGTGTCGATCTGTTGGAATTCGGTCTCCGTCGAAATTCAAAGCTGCGATTGTTGACTCGGTTACTATTTCAAGACCTCGAAAGATTATTCGCAGCCTTTTTGAAGCATTATGCTATGGAAGAGGATGGAAACTTTATCAAGTTAGTTTTGACTTTTTGGTGCTATAGAACAATGGGGAAACGACACATCTCAAATCTTCGAGTATTGCGTCAATGTTTTCAGATGGTTGACAAAATGTCGTTGTATCTTGGAGAACCATTGAAATCATATAGACCACTTGGTCTGATGGCTCAAACTTATGTGGTAATAATGCTGTTCAAAGAGTAAGACACACACACATACACGTTGATTGAAATCAACGTATTACCTTCAGGTTGTACCCAATCTTGACGGGTGAAGATAAAGAGGAGTTCGCGAACGAATTGAAAGATGATATATTTATGTATTATCCGGATATCTGCCCTGAATCGGAAAGCGAAGATGAAGAAACTCCTGGCGTCAATAAAAAAATACCTTGGACAATGAAAGATTGGCTGGGTTTTGTCGCACATTATTTGAATATTGCTAGAAGTATTTTTCATTTCAATTTTCAATTCCTTCTTTTATTTTCAGAAAATGAAAGGTATATTTTACCCGAAGTCATTGCATGCCTCTTGTTTATGCAAGCGGTTGCGTCCAACAAACCCATTAAAGAATTCGCCCCTGAAATTTTGGCGCTGGTAAGTTGGTAATCATTTGTGAATATTTGACAAAAATGGGATTCAGAAGCTACCAATATTGTTGAAATTGAGATTTATTATCAATTTGAGTGCTCACGATGAAATTGTTAATGATATGATGTATTTGTATGGAATGGTATGTGTGAAACATTTTCTATATTATTATTATTATTATCAAATTAAAAACATTAAGGTGCATGGACTAGATCGGCTACCATTTGTTGGTCTTGGACATCATCCCGATTCGATGCGGGTTCTTTTTGAGTTTGAAATTATGATACATATATTTATGAATTTCGTCTAATTTTAGAGAATCCATATTGCACAATGATGTTCAGTTGCTCGTGCACTTAATGTTAATTGGTCAGGTTTTGGATGGCGATTCAGAGGTTGAAATGGTAAATCCAACTTTGCAATTTTTTGTTTTAAAAAAGTAAATCTCTTTTCAGTGGCCGGAAGTTGGTACAGAACATGAAAGAAAAAGAAACATTGCTGATTTAATTGCGAAAATGCTTGGCAAAGGTGATATGAAGATTTCCGGGCCTCCTACTTTCGATCAAATATTCCCAATGACATTCTTGCCGGAGGATTTGACACCAGGATCTCCAAAGACAAGGTTGAACTGAGCTACTAATGTTTGTTAAACTTGTTTTCAGCAAAGATTGGGTTCCATATCTTCAATGTGAGATAACCAAGTACTTGGTGATGGTTGAGTATATGAAAGAAATTCCCACCATCAATGGGACAGACTTTATAGCAAACGGAGGAAATCAGGAAGCTGAAACTATTGATGTAAAGAGTTTACTTTGTATCATAATTTAACAAATCTATTTTTAGTATGAAATCCAATGTAACCTCTGCCATACAGGAGTTTTTGAAACTGCTCAACTTGGAAAAATTGGAGAAGAAATCACCATGGAACTTGTATGTTTTAGTTCTCGCGGTATTGTTCTATTGAAATTTTCAGATTGAGCCCCAAGAACGAATCAAACACAAAAAGAATATTATTCATTCGAGAATGTGCGCAATTCGAGATATGGAAAATATTACAAAAGTTCCATTTGTGTCGCCGATTTCGCAGATCGATATTAAAACCGAAAGAGATTTAGTAAGATTGTGAACTCATTGTTGTTTTTTTTTTCGAATACCCTGATCTCTAGAAATTTTTAACTTTTTTTAGCAACAACCTGTTGTTGGTCACGCTTGCCAAAAATGTCGAAGACCTCTGCCGCGATGTGTTGTTTGCTTGAATCACTATAATACTCCACAAATAGAATACTATCATGAATTAGTTCCAATCATAAACAATTCATTTGCCGTTTGCACTGTAAGTATCGACGAATAATAATATTGAAAATGTGGATTAAATCAGAATTGCAATCATGGAGGCCACGTTCGTCACATGATTCAATGGTTTGAAACTGAAAAGCAATGTGCCGTCAACTTGTGTGAATGCAGGTAATTCTATTGAAAAAATGATTGCTATCAAGATTTTCATTTAGATGCGCGGACCTGACATATTCATATGAGAGGATTGACAACCTCAAGAGAGGAATTAGGGAACGAGCAAACATGAGAGTGAAATCTCATATTTGTAATCCGGAGTGTGCTGACACGTCGAGCGAAGACGAACAAAAAGAAGACGATCACCTTGCTCTTTAACTTACAGAAATTCCAATGCCTTTGTATTTTCATTTAATATCTTGCCGTGAAAAATATTATGGGTTAAATTTGAATTCAAGTTGTATACATGCAATGTGCCTCTTATTTTTTATTATTATTGATGTATTATTAACATATAACAATACATATTTCTCAATCGAAGTATGACTGTATTAAGTTTTCGGTGGTGGGGCTGCCGTCGAACTTCCATCAATAATATTGCCGATTCTGCAAGCAATTAAAGATTTGTCTGAATTTAATGAAAAAAGCTACCGGCAGAATTTCGTCCATAATTCTTGGATTATATCGTTCTCCGATTGTGAGATATCAATTATATAGTCATCCTTATCAAGAACGGTTGTTTTATCGTTGTTGAAATCCAAAATTTTATAGTATAGATCACTGTCATTCTTAAAATTCATAAATAGTAACTTATCGCATATTATATTTAATTGTCTTATGCAGATTTTAGAAAAGAAAATTGAAAAAAAAACGATTAAAAAACGCTATCGCTGAAAACGTAATTTTTCAACAAGTTTTTTTCGCTATTATCCTTCTAGAATCTGCATAGTTCTAGGAGATACTTTTTTGATTTCATATCCAGGAATGACAAAATGAATATAGTTGTGTTTAAAATTGTCTGCTCCTTTACTCAGACCTCTAAATAAAAATTCCATTTGGTCGTAGATGATTTACTTACGCTGATTGCGGGAACCAAACCGCAAATTTCAACGTGGTGTTGTCGTTCGATCTGGCACAACTGCAGTCGCCCATCAAATTGTTATTAAACACAATGAATTGACTAAAATTGATTTTTTTGTCAATTTAAATGAAATTTATCTAACTTATCGCTGTATGCTGGAACTGCAGTTTTTGATGTTTTATAACGGAATTCAGTAAGTTGAAGATCAAAGTTTGAAGGGCAGAACTGTACATCATAGATGTATTTGTCATAAAAAATGAAGTTTGAAAATGCAGAACGCTCTAAAATTATTAGAAACATTTATTTTCTCAATCGTTTCTTCCGCTTTACCTTTGTAATATTCACGTATTGGCGAAGAACAAATATTATCAAGATCGAAAATTATATTGAATCCATTTGCCATACCTCTTATGATATTTTCAATCTGAAATTAATTTATTTAACAACTTGTTTTACTACTTTTTTGCCACCTTTGTCTTGTTATCAGGTCCAAGAGTATTTGAGTTGTCGATTCCAGCAATAACATTAGATTGTAATCCATAGGCACATGAGAGGAAAGCTGTGAAAAAAATTATTTTTTTACTTTCATAGTTTTTTCATAGTGTTTTTGTGAAAAGTTGTAAAGGTAAAAAAATGTGGTCATTTGATTCTAAATGCAATAACGTGCTCAGTGTCGCCAATAAACATAAATTTAACGTAAATAACTTACGTTTATCAGGTAATTTCACATTACTATTAGCTGTATTTGCTGCCAAGTTCGAAAGTGCATCGTACCAATTATTAATAGAAGTAATTTTGGTACTCAGCGGTTTTAAAGAGTCAGAAATACTGACGTTTTCAGTTTTGCCAATTTTAAGGTAGACTGTCGAACTTAATTAAGTTTATGATTATTTGAAAAAAATTCTTTTGCCCACCTGATGTCAAATGATCTTAATTGTGTAACGATATCTTTGGGATTATCTGATTGGGTTAAGCTAAAAATATTCAAATAAATTATGTTAGACAAAAAATTATACCCAATTTGCGTAAGGTAGAAAATATTGTTACTGACGGCTTGCGATAATGTGTTGTTTTGTTCCTCATACTTTTCAAGAATATTGGCAAGTGTACTGAAAAAATTTTGAAGCAAATAATAAATTTTTCTTTATTTTACTTTGTAACTCCAGTCTTTTCTTGATGAATGATGCGGATTTTATAGAACAAGTCTGTTCCACGTTTCAATTCATTCAGACTTGCGTATTTCCTATAGCCCAGTTGCAAAAATGAGCTGTTGAAATTATCAATCAAGAAAACATAGTGCTCAAAGTCAAACGCTTTCACGTATTCATGAATGGTGTTCTGAAAAACAGTTTTCTTTTAAATTACCAATGTGTTGAATTACAATAGAAGCATTGAAAGCGTAATCGCTGCTTCCAATTACGTCAATAATGAAAGCGACTGCTCGGACTTGCGGTGGCTTAGATGTTGTGATAACATTTGGAGTAGTCGAACCTAAACCAATAAAATAGAACATTTCAAATAAATCTTAAATTAATACTTTGTACAGGAGTTGTTGTTTGAACAAGCTTTTGAGTAGTCGCTGGAAATAATAGAGATTAATTTGTTTTTTTGATTGTCTTACTGATCCCCGGTGCCGCAGATGTCGAAAATGTACCCGAAGTTGATGTAGTCGACACCTCGGATACTTGAGTCGTTAAAATGGCTGAAATAGAATGCCATTTAAACATCTTTCGATATTCAAATTTTTCGATTTGGCGTTTTCAATATGCTATGTCTTTAATTTTTCAACAAACTCACATAAAACAAATAAAAAACGAAAATTCTAAAGATAGGAGAGTATATTTATAACTTTGATAGTCATTCACTGAAAAAAAAACCTACGATTTATTGTACTTGTGGATGTTAATTGAGTCGTTGTCATCTGCGAGATTGATTTCGATGTCGCTGAAAATTCATCGAGGATTTTCTATGCATAACAGTCACAAAAAAACTATTATTATGGGCCTACGTCTATTCTCTTCTGATACAGTTTTTTGAATCTTCAAATCATTCAAGAATTAGCTAGCTTTAAAAAAAGGAAAAGCGAATTTCTTGATATTATTATCATCTGCATGAATAAAAGTTTATGGCAAATTGCCTAACTTAATGTTGTTGAAATGGGAGTTGTTGATGCTGCGACAGTTGTTGTTACAGGCCCTAAACATTAAGACTGATAACCAACTAATAATAACACAAATCGAACCATTCTCACAGCGAACACCATAATATCCCGGCTTACACCGACACACCGAATCATCGCGAATTGCATCTCCGTAACAAATCGGCTCACGACAATTTATTCCTTTCCAGTTGTCGTCACAATGACAAGTTTCATTTACAATAGTGGGAGATTGAGGAGAGTAACACGAGGTTCCATACTCGTCTATATAATAACTAACGGTCTGACCGAAAGATGCATAACTTACCTGTACTATTATGGCAAGTTAAAACAATTTGTTTCTGCAACCTTGAATCATCATCGAATATAAGCTAAAAATCAATATTTTGCATAAAATGCAAGTAAAAACAATGTTATCACTTGAATTTGATAAGCCGAAACATCTTCTTCGCATTTTGGAAGAACAACAAAGTATTTGAATAAGCAAGTGTCCGAAGTGTCTTTCTGTGAAAAAGCCATGTCACCAATTGTTTGCAATTCACCGCCTTTAATCGTTTTCAATCGCAAATTTGGAGCATTTTTAACCATGGGTTCTGTATGGACAAATAGGGTATTGTCGTGGTTTAAAACGGCTCCGGTGACCAAGTCCGTATCACTTCCGTCCAGTTGTAAATTAAATTTATAGCTTGTCTTGAAATAATATTAATTGTTTGAACACTGATATCAGAAACCTTGAAGTTCTCCAAAATTTCGACGAAATAAGTTGCATTGGAATTTCCATTTGGTTCAATTTCAATTGTCTGTTCTCCTGAATTTGCCAAATCACTACATGAAACATTCAATTTCTTACCATTTAGATCTTTGTAACAAAAACCGGATATAGGAGATGTCAATTTACAAGCGCCATCTTGAACAAAAATGAACACTGTGTAACTGTTTTCGGCAAGCCCGATAGGTAAAGATATCTTTTGTGCAGTTATTCCAGACGTAAAGACATTAAGTACATGCGTATTTGATTTTTCAAACACGTTTCTGATATAGTATTCGAATAACTGAAAATTATATAATTGCGTCAAGCTTAAAAAATACGAAATTGATTTCTATTAAAATTATATTAGTCTAAAATTGCATTTTGTGAAATTTTCAAATTTTAAATTGACTGGAACGTTCTAAATGCTCAAATTAAAAAGGATTCATGTGGTTAAAATATATTCAAAACAAATTTTCCAATGCTAAATATACACACTTATACGAGAAATCGCAATTTTTTAGCAGAATCCTTGACTATAATCATGATACCCTACCATATTGACAGTATCAGAAACATTGCCAATAATTGGAATTCCGTTTCCTACAAGTGCCAAATTGATAATGTTCGGTGTTGAATTTTTCGCAAAAACGCGAATCTCTGCTCTTCGCTCAGCAAGTCGATTAATTGTCGATTTTTCAATGTTTGTAACATCTCTCTCAGTGATAAGAATAATCATTGATCGATCAGCCACCTAAATAAAATTAATTTAAATAACATAGAAAAAAATTAATGTTCGTAATACTTGACTGTCCAAAGCTAGATTGATGGCCTTGAATGGAGACACAGCTTCAAGCGGTTTTGAGCTAGTAGTTCCCTCTGTTGCATCAGTTGTTACCGACGTTGGTACCGCAGTTGTAGTTTGCGTAACAGCAGACTTCTTCAAATATTCATTAAGCAATCCTCCATTAGTTGATGAGAATACTAGTCGTTCACCCTTATCATCACCATCTGAAGTTTCGAATTATTATCAAGTTATAATTAAGATATTTAACAGTAAACGACAGCAATTTGATTTCCAGTAAAATCTGCGGAAGTTTTCAAAAGTCCATTCTCCGTAAGAGCAGCTGTGTCGACAACAAATATCAAAGATTGAAGATCGGAACGAAAATCGGGTTTATGTTCGCTACACGTGGAATTAGCTAAAAAAACAAACAATTTATTTATGTTTTGATTTTTGAACGTAGCTAAAATTACCTACCAATTGAAAATTGAACAAAAATATAGTGTATAATAAATATATTGTGTCAAATGACCTTGTAGTTACGGAAATTCAATTTTGCAAAATTTTGCAAAAACAAATTTTATTTAGTCGTTTGACGGCAACATATATTCATAATATTATTAGGTCTAGAAATTAATTTCCGCGTTTTTTTCGCATATCAAACTATAAAAAACTGGCAAACTTAAACAAAACATTGATTCAAATTAATTTCCGTCATTAATAACAACATTTTACCAGAGGTTTGGCAACTTATGGATTCCATCATAATAGAATTTTTCTGGTTTGGACGCACTCCTTTCATCTAGCCATTTATTGACGTCCTGATGATCTCGAAAGCACTGCTCCGCCATACCATGAGCCATTGTCCGGAAAAGATGATAATCAGACGGGGCAATGTCCGGAGAGTACAGCGGCGGCGGTAAGACTTTCCATTCGAACTGTTTCAGCGTATTCTTCACCGTTTGAACAACATGTGCGTTGTCATGAAGCAATATGACCTTTTCGTGTCGAAGCGCCCATTTCGGTCCTTTTACAGCGATTTCAAGCCGCAACTGCACTAGTTGACGTTGATAGCTATTCGCAGTGATTTTTTCGCCAGGTTGGAGCTATTCAGAGTACAGAAATCCTTGTTGGTCCCCATTATATGCACAGTAAGACCTTCTTCCCGTGGATGTTGGGGTTTGCGGTCGAAGTCGACTGTTCACCGGGACTAACCCACGATTTTCTTCGCTTCGGATTGTCGGAGTACACTTGTAGTGCAAAAAAAAATTTCTTTGAAATCTGTCCAGCAAGATTTGTGAAGTTGTTTTTTTCTGCTTTTTTGCGTTCTGAGAGCTCATAGGGCATCCATTTTCCTTCCTTTTGAATCTTCCCCATTGCTTTTAATCGATGAGAAATTGCTTTTTGCGTGACGCCGAGAGATGCCGCGAGTTGCTCCTGTGTTTGTGCCGAATCTTCATCCAACAAAGCCTGAATTTCTTCGTCTTCAAATTTTTTTGGCTGTCCTGATCGGTCCTTGTCGTTGACGTCAAAATCTCCCGATATGAAACGCTCAAACCATTCTTGGCCGGTTCTTATGGATGTTGCAGCCTCGTCGTATGCTTGGGCAAGCATTTGGTGCTCGTCAGTGGCTTTCTTCTTGAGTTGGAAAACGAAAAGAAGAGTTTCCCGCAAATTACGTTTTCCTGGCTTAAAGGTGGACATATGCTTAACCGAAAATAATGATTTTTTATAAAGTACGTAAAGATTGTTATATATAAGTAGAAAGCTGATAATATAGAGAAAATTATAACATAAAATTCGTTATATAAAAATAATTTCATTTTGACAAAATATCAACAACAACAAAAAACGCGGAAATTAATTTCTAGACCTAATAAATATTTTTTAAAAATTAAGATCATAATTAAAATCACTGTTTGGCGATAATTTAGTTTATTTTTTATATAGATAGTTTACTCAATTATTGTTTTGAAATGTTCTAATACTTATTGATCACTTTAATTGAATTTTTATTAAAACTAGCTATCCATCTTTCTATGAAATTTACCCTTTTCGCAGAATTGCCCGCTGAATCCAGGCTTGCAGTGACATACATTCGAAATATTTTCACCTAAAAAATAATACATTTTTCAAAACATTTGGTTAGATGATGAATCAATAACAAATGTTATTCTTCCAACCTTCATTTTGACAAACTGGAACACCACACGTTGGCCCTGACCAATGGGAAGAGCATTCGCAGGACTCACTCTTAAGTAATATTTACATATGTAATGTAGTTCAAAATGAGGGCTAACTTGCAATTGAGTTCCGCCATTCAAACATTTCGATGAACCAATAGAGGTGCATGTGAATGGGAAAGTTCTATACGGTCCCACCTAGAAATTTCGTATTTATAGTAATTGGGATTTCTTCAGATATATGAATGTATCCAATAGCTTCAATATCAAATGTCAAAAAATCACTAATCAGATGTGTAAAATGATAAATTACCCCACCTTTACGTAATATATTGCATCTTCCTGTGTGCACTCAAATGAATAATCGACTTGATAGGTAAAATTTTGTGATGGATCGCAGTCTGATGTTGTTATGCTTCCATTGTAAACCATCTGAAAAAATTTTTTAGCGGTGTTTTATATTTTAGTAACTGAAAATAAAATACATTGCTGGAAGAAGAATTGTCTGCATAAGTAATCACGAGTTGTTCCGCCGCCAAGTTAACATTGCTCCATATAACAGGTGTAAGTGAGCCTCCTGAATACCATTTAACATCACTTAATTTTTATTAAAATTGTTAGACTTGGTGATTTTTTGAAAAATTAAATAAGATTCAACAAAAATTGTTATATTTACCATTGTGTCGTCAAGGTAAGTGTTTAAATATTATATTTATGTATTTGACCAACCGTTGAACTGAATGTTATTTTGGAGGCCATTCTTTCCTTCAAATGCTAGGCTAATTTTTTCTGAGTTAGAGTTACGTCGTCCAAGAATCACAATGGTAATCTAAAAAAATTAAAAAACTCAATTCACTTTTGCTTGTAATCTTACATTTTCGGCTAACGAATTCTGAAATCTCAAAATTACTCTAGAGTTATGCAAGCTGCCAATTGCAAAAGAATGCAAATTGTTAAACGAGTCGAAATTCTCGTATTTTCGATCATCCACAGAAACGATTGCTAATATTAAAACATAACTAGTATGATTGATTCATCCTAAAATACCATTGAAATCAAGTCCGCTGTGGACGTCAGCAGTAATTAGCAATGTAATATTGGACAGTTGTGATGAGAATGTGCCAAGATTCACTCCAGGAACAAGATATTTGACATAAGTGGTTGCAATTGCATCATTCGCAGCCCACTTTGTGAAATAAGCTTCGAAAAACTATAAAATCATAGCATTGTTAAACCACCTAAAAGTTAAGCAACCTTGTGTAAATCGTCGTATCCTTTTAATGTAAATGAAAATCCTCCAGACCTTATTGCATAATTGTTCAAATAAGATTTTTCATCGGGTGAAAAATATTCGTAAGTTTCGATTAAAATTATGAAAAGCTGAAATCCAAAAGTGAAATTTTCCCTTTTTCAAAACTTACTCTTGCTCGTTTCGTCTGGATTTCTTCATAAATTGTTTTGTTAACCGATGTATTGAATTTTGTATTTACAACTACAATAACGTCTAAAAAAAGCAAATGAAACATTACAAATACATTACTAGCGAGAAACCTGAGAATGGTTCAGCATTTTTTAATGCATTTATAATGATTTTTGAAATACTTATAGAATCCGAAGATGAATGATTGGTGGCGTCAATTGCTTTATTTACAACTTCCGTAGTGAAAATGTCAAGGTCGTCAGATTCCTAAATAATGTTCTATGCGGTGGTCAAGAGAGTGATAAACACTATTTTTTAACAAACTCATGTTTACTATCAAATAAAAAATATTTTTAATGATTTTAATGCAAATATGTCATTACTAATAGAAATGCACTTACGATTTTTGGCACATCGTCTGCACTTGATTTATACAAGTAAGCAGTATACTTGTTATAAATTTCATGGTTCTGTCTCAATTCATTAAAGAAACTATTTGGATTAAGGAACATATTATCGCTTGACGATCTGAAATTCAATTAAATTAAATGTGCTTTTTTCGTTTTTACAACATTAATACATCCGCAACATGGGATTTTCCCACAGCAAAAATTTTTATATATTTCGAACTAAATTCTAACAGATTCAACTCACAAGGTAGTGTTTTCATCCTTAGTGTTTTGTGCTATGATAACAAAATTTCGATTCCCATCTCTCTCAATACTATCGGATCCTGCGCTGCATTTATCTATATATACATGTATATATATATTGTTTAACGAGCCTGAAAATTTTAACTAACTATCATTCTCAAAATTGATTCGCTGAATATCTCTTCGCATTCTGCTTGTTCGCACTTGATCATCAATGTCTACAATTATTTAATAGGCGCTATTTGTTGAGTTATTAAATGTCTTACGTTTATCGTGAATGTTTCCACAATATACAGGTACTGCAGCCCACTTCCAGTTTGAATGAAACTAAAAATAATTAAATGTTCTAATAAAATGAAATTGTTCTACATTAAGAACAGCGGCACCGTAGTTGTCTTTGCATACTGCATCCATTTTGATATTGAATTGGCAATTACTTCTATTGAAAAATGTTTTGCCAATTTCAATTTCGCCTTCAGCCCATGAAACAACATTTCCATTGATTTGATTGTGATCGAGAATTTGATTCTGATATTCGAAACGAGAAACGAATTGGTATTCGGTGTCTAAAACAAATTAATAAATAGCATTTTTCAAAATTAGCGTTACTAGTGAACGTGATCGGGAATGAAGCGTCGACGAGATCATCAGTTATAAAAGCTGAGAACGATTTCACTCGATCTTTTGTGAAGATTAAAGGTTTTGAGCTTTGTAAATCTGTTGACACACTAAGAGTACCCATTTCGGGTTTATTGACCCTAAATTTGATTTAGTATTTCACCATTGTCAAAAACTATTGAATTCTAAAACAATTTGAAAAGATAAGAACTTAGAAATAAGCATTTACACAATGTTTAATGCTTATTTTATATGGATAAACAATTCCAAAAAATGTAATTAACTGATTAAATTCACCTATAAAGTTGATAATAATCGGAATCGATAACTGTTTCGGTATCAAGGCTAATACTGACGTCTGAAAATTTCATATGAATTAATAACACAAAAACAAATAACAACGTTTTCCAAATGTTGTTTCCACGCTAATGTAAACATCATCATCACTACTGAATGGTAGACTTTTCACATTTTCACTGAAAACCGCGGCAATTCCAATGTCTTGATTCCAAAAGTTCGTTAGTTCTTTGACAACCTCAATTTTTTAATTCAAAATTTACGTTTTTGGAAAGCTTACTGTATTTTGGAATTCTTTATAACCTTCATTAGGTTTAACGAAAACGCCCATTGTTGAGTAAGCAACATTTTGAAGAAAATCGAGGCTCTTAATTGGATTAGTATACATTAAAACATTAATCTGAAAATCATTTTTGAATATTTAAAATTTGAGATTTTCTTGTACGTGAATCCTCTTTGCAATTGCGGCAGCAATAATTTGGCGACGTGTAAAGTCGTCGGTGATTGAAACATCGACGTTGGTGACCAGGAAGTACTAAAAAACATTATCTATAATTTTTGAGAGATTGTGTTCTATTCTTGACATATGTTTTGTTTTTGTTGTTATTGAAAATTTATCAACGAATTTCACTTTTTGATCTGTTTCATTCAATGATAGAAAAACCAATAAATCATGGATAAAAATATGGAAATCGCAGAAAAAAATTCTTTAAAAAATTGTTACCGTTTCAATATTGATTGAAAAAAAATTGAAATTAATTTCGCTTTCAAAATAATATGATATCAAACTTTCAAAGGACTTACCAGAGAATTGGAAGGAGCATTCAAAATGCTTTCCAAAATCTTGGTATCTCTCAAAGGCTCACATGAATCTATGACTGCGTCTATGTCTTCTCCACAATTATCTTCACCTTGATTTTTGACTTTTGAAAAACAGTCACTTTGATTTTCATTTGGCTTCTTAAATTTTTAAATTCAATTTTGAATGACAAAATAAGTCGGCCTGGTACTTACAATAGGTAATATAATATCGCCCAAGTAGAAATTCCGATAAGTGTCAGAAATATTACAAACACTTTCTAATACATTTGCGTTATTTTCGCTTATATAATTCACCAATTTTTTATTGTAAGATGCGTATATGATAACCGTTTTTTCATCCACTTGAGTTCCAAATATATTTTCTCCTTTGCTAATGCATTTCACTGAAAAAAAAAACATTAGTTTTATCACCAACGCACTATAATTTTTAAAATGAATAACATTAATTATTTCAAGACTAAACAGAAAACTTATTTCAGTAAAACGTGAAATTTCAACTTTATGTATAATTTGAAGAATAAAATTTTTACCTATCACGTTATTCGTATTTTCAGTGAAAAGAAAAACCTGGTTCACAATGTGTTCCGAGAAATCCGGGTGGACAAATACATCGGCTCTTTGTTTTCGAATCAAGAACTCCATAATTAAAGCATTTCCGTTTTTCGCAATAGTCTCCATCGAAGTTTGGTGTACATACACATTTGTCATCTTCTTGATACCCATCGTGTTGACAAAAATTACTCGCATTGGAAGCACTACCAAGAAGCAGTAGTATTACTAATGAATATTTCATACGCATTCCTAAAAAATTTGCAATCACTGTAATAAGAATCAGAAGTGAAAACACATAATTTGCAAGGGAAGCGGCATTCCTCTAGAATGTACGTTTTTATCATATAATCGCGGTCATTAAACTGAAAAGGGCGCGCCCAAAATGACTCCGCTCTGATTCTAAGTTTATATTCAATGAGTTGTCAAAGATAAATTGAATTCTTATCAGCGAATCGTGTCAAATTGTTCTGCTTAGTCGTTACTTAGAAAACAAGAGAAAGAACGAAAAATATAGTTTGTAAATTTTCATTCAACCTTTTTCGGAATCGGAATGAGCAGAAGGAATCATTTAACATTCAAATGACAACTAGCATGGGGTTATGATGGTGGATATTTAATTATCGCAACTGTATCAGAATTAAGTGACTAAGTGTATGAAAATCACAAATCAAACATAGCCCTGAATCTAAAATATGGTACAACTATTATATAACATTATTTGCAATAATACAATTCTCAATAATTCTCATATTTGAAATCCGGCTCCACTTTGCGAATTTTGGCAATTGTTGCAATTGTATCTTCTTCAATGGCTTTGATGTCTTCGTTCATTCGTAATATCTGTTTGTCGTATTCGTGACGAGATTCTGATTCGATCTAAAGCATAATTGTTTTTTTTTTCAAAATTGATCTGCTAATAATTAAACACCAATAAGAATTTTTGATGTAAAGCCAAACATTCCTTATCACAAATTTCTAACGTCATGAAACGACACATAAACTTCTCAAGTGATTAAAATTGTACTAGGAATATATAATGCATTTTTTAATTAAAAAAAAATGCATTAATTGAATTCATTTTGTCTATTTCTTGAAAGCTAGGATTGAATATTATAAATGTGGGGCAGCAAAAATACGACAAAGTTGAAAAGGAAATACTAACAAAGCAACGATTTAAATGCCATGTTTGTTATTCAAATCGATTTTACAAAATGATATTACTGTAAATAATTTCACGAAATCTTTCAATATTGGAATCTAATCATTGTTGTGGATGGACGAGTTTGCGAATTGAAAGCCTTGTCATTTGAATTACTCTTGTGAGTTTTGTATAACGTTAAGAAATTGCTAACAAAAGTTCCGAATGACGGAATGTGTACCAATATTTTTTGCGTGACAAATAATATTTATTGAAATTTTCAAACTCATTGATCTATGACAATATTTAGTTGGTTACAACATAAACGCTATGTAGTTGATTGTGTTGTCTCGGAAACAGTTTTCTTTTTTTCTCAAAAATAGTTCATACTAAAATTTCTTTGTTTCACAAAATAAAAATATTTATAAAAAGTAATTGTAATTTTATTCAAACTAATAATACTTTGGCCTAAAGCAAATTGAAAAAAAAGACAATGTTTAACAAAAAAGGTCGTTCCAAAAGAACAAGAATTACTTTTGAAGTGAAGCTAAGGAAATAGAAAAAAGAACATACCTGTAGATTTAAAAGCTGGGTGAGAAGTTTCGTCTCGGATGAAAGAGTAAGCGTTTCTATTATTTCGTAATAATACACTTGGATGCGCATGAATGTTTCTAATAGTTGTTTATCTTGAAGTGTTTCAACTTGCTGAATAATTTTGTGAACCATCATTGAATATTTATGATTTAGTATACCTCAGAAATCGATTTAAAAACAATATCGAAAGAACGTTCCAACGATAGATTCACCCTGTCTTGCCGTTTTTGAATTTCCGCTCTTTCCTCCCTTAGCTGGGAAACTATATTAATCAATATTCGTAAAACAATAACAACCTTTGCCAATTCATGTTCCTGCTTTCGCACAATATCCTCAACATCTCTGCACCGTTTTTGAAAAAGAGCCAAATTATTTTCAGCTCCATCGCAAATTTTCAGTTTCTGAAACATGCAAAAGTTTCATATCTGCTGGTACAACAAAAAAAAACATTACCAGTTTTTCACACATGGCCAAATCCTTTTCAGTTTCTTCAAAAAGCCTTGTTCTCTGTTCATTGAGACGCTGCAGTCTTAAATTATCTCCGTATGCTGTATTCTGAAAGATCTAATGAATTCAAACAAATCAGTGCTTCTCTCCTACATCCAATACTTTCATCAACTTTTCTAGTTCGGCTAGTTTTTCGCATTTCAGTGCATGAGCTGCTTGAAGATCATTTTCCATTTTATCATTCAACTTATCAATTTGCTCCTAAAAAAATCAAAAGTGTTTTGTAAAAAAAATATGCTTACTAGAATTTCGACTTCATACTTTTTGGGATCTTGCAAAGCTTCGATAAATAATGGATCAAATTCAGAAAGATTAATTTTCAACTCTTCAGTTTTATCAAGCATTTGAACCAGATCTAGATGCTTCTAAACATAAACAACGAGACATTTTTTTTCAAAGATGACACAAACCTCTTCATAAAAACGTTTCTTCTCCGATAATTGAGCTTTCAAATCATTCAGTCTGATCTTTTTCTCATCTAGAACACAGGATTTTTCCATAGCGGCTAATGTGGTTGGTGGTTTTGGTGGTGGGGCAGGCTTTCCTGTCAATGCTCTAAAATTCACTAAACATGGATAAACCATTATTTCAAATGACTCACCTCGGATATATGGCTTCCCACGAATCGTCAATAATCTTGGCAATGTTTTCACGTGGATCGCCAATTCTGCCATTTCCAATTGACGAAAATGTATAATATGTAGTCGAAATTGGCGGAAGCTTATTGAACTCTCTTTTATATTCTTCACAGAAATCGGGTGACCAAATTGAAACATTGTCGAAAACATTTTTTGCGATTGATAATAAAGTATTTGGCTTGTCTGTAAAAATTTAAGAATTATTTCAGGTTCAGCTCAAACCATTAAAAACAAAAATGAATTGAGATACCTTCAAGACTAAAAGAATTGTCATCGCTTGGAAGCTTCAAAAACACATCTATAATTATTTTTCGCAAATAATGAACAGAACCGTAAGCAAGATTTTGAAACCCGATCATACCACGTATATTGAGCTTCTGAAATAAAACATTTAGCGTTCGAATGAAAAACTTTTCCTAATCTTGCGAAAACATACTATTAAATATTCTGATATTTTTTTAGCAATTCCAAGTCGTGACGGTACGTGATTTGGAATTATACATGAAGGAATAACTGCTTTACTTGAGGGATCTATTTTCCAAACACATCTGCAATGAATTGTATTGTATCAAAGGAAAATAATTTCGACGAAACTAATAAAATGAACCTTATGAGCAATTCAAATATCTGATCATTCGTCAATTCATCTACTTCAACATTGATGTCATCGGCAAAGGAGCTAGAATTTCGTAATAGAAGAGAAATTTGAAGAAAAAATACGAACCATTCAAGTTTTTTACATTGTTTTATGATGAATGCATCTGCTTCTTCCATTGTCTAAGTAAATGATCTGCAAGATTGGTCTATTTCAGGAAGAAAATGAAAACAGAGCTGAAGCTGATGGACGGGTGCAATCGACGCGTTAGTGAACACGCCATTATCTTCTAAAGGTCGTGGCCGCGATTTTCGCAGCCACGGTCACACAATGCCTCGTTTGGCGATATTCACGAGACATTACAAAGAAACACTAAAATAAACAAAATGCAACAAACAACTAGTGATTCATTTAGAAATATTTATGCATAAAATAGTGATGTTCACTGAAAAAAAAATTAAATCTTAGTCCGGAAAAATTTCAAATCCGCAAAACGATTCCAATTTGCGTTTATAATCGTTCACATTGATGAGAACAATCATTGGAAATGCAATAGGAGTGAAATACATTGGAAGTTGAACAATGATTAGATAGATTCCAGCAGAATAGTTAATAATTATCAAAATGCCCATAACCGAGATAGGAAAAATATTGGATAAAATCAAATAATAAATCTGCAACCAGCTATTAATTGAAAAAATGTACTTCACAGTTTTCTACTAAATATTTTGATGTGAATCCAACTTGATTATCAGCGTTTGATGTTTGGTACATTCCCCTTTTACCGAAAAAATATAACCGCTTTATATATCTGATGACGAACATATTAAAAGCTGTTGAAAACGCAATAATGAAAAAAATAACGATAAGGAAATAGTGGAAATAGTTCTGAAGGTTTCAAAATAAAAATATGAAAAAAAGATCAATTTTACAATGTTAAGAACGAAATGAAAAAATTCATCAGATTCTTTCAAAATCCTTTTAATAAACATCGTATGGCTCAATTGTATGAATTTGGAGTCAGTTTGACATGTGAAGAAGATAATGAATGGAGAGCAAATGCTTGCATTCAAAATTATGTCCAATAGAATTATGCCAAACGTTTTAAATATGCTGATTTTTATTTTTTTGTAACAAATTTCATTTTCTTTATTGTTTTGATATCTTACTTACTTGACAACGAATAAATATCGGTTTAATATAATCAGCGAAGGGAAAAATATGTAACCGACTATTGAAAAGACATACAGAAAACCAACAACGCCAGATATTTCTTTTGTTTTGACCAACGCTCCGGGAAGAATAACATAAAAGTTTTCAGGAAACAAGGCAAATAGCTTAATTAAAGTGATTTAACGTCATAAAATCTGACATATGTAGAGTATATCATCAATTATATATATATATATATCATCAAATTTTTATTTTACCATTTTCGGCTGAGAAAAAAAGAAGTGAACAACTTCTTCTCTACGTTTCGTAGTCTTGCGTTTCGTATGTTATCAATTTATTAGAAAATAATTAATATGAAATAATCATATCAGATAAATCGTCTATAGTGTCTAAAAAAATAAAAAAATATATGGAAATTTTGCTTTTTTAATAACCAAATTGACTTGTTTTTTTTTCTTTTTAAAATCTGGCGATTACAGTTTCTCATACGGATTATTTCACTAATTATGATATACCCCATTCACATTTAGTTATCAAAAAAAATTCAAATTATCACTGACTTCTTTCGTTTTTGTAAAAAAAATCATCATGTGATCTTGTATCATGTTTATATAGAAAATTGAAATCTCGAATAACAAAAACAAATTAATTTCAAATATGCCCTGTTTGTTCCCGAAAACATTAGATGACTAAGACGGTTTTGAGAAAAATCAATTTTCAAGTTTTTAATAATGAAAAGGACTAAATGAACAAAAGTTCAATAGGAAAAAAACAGAGATTATTACTTCTTCATTATTTATTGGATATCTCTCAGTGCTTAATAAAAATTTTGTTTAGCAAAACACCGGATTGCTAAGGTTTGTTGAAAAAGAAGATTCTGGTTTTAATGTTCTCTGTTTACCATTTCGGTTTTTATCAATAGGTACAACTTACAGGGGCGGAGGTTGCATATAATCCACTGTTGAAAATGTTGATAAGGCATTGGTAAACAAAAAGCTTTTGATATGGTTTCAAAGTTGCCGTTGGGGGCCGAGAAATAATAAAGATCAGTAGTGAATTGAATATGACGGACACCGAAAAGAGAAAATAGAGAAAAATCGTAATAATTGTCAGTAATTGGACCATTGCGACTGGAAAACTCGCCGGATACACGTTGGGGTTTGAATAGACTGACTAACACTTGTAAGTGCAATGCGAAATGAAGTTTTTCGAAACTTCAATTAACGTTGGCAACAAAAGTATTATCTGGGGAATTGTGTCAACAATATTTTTCTACTAAGAACATTGAGTGTTATAATTAAGGAAAATGCGAGAATCTATAACTCAGTACTCGTTCAAGATGATGTCATATCGCCATATAAGGAAATCTATAGATCCCAATGGAAACTGACATTATTTTAATCAATTTCAAAATATGGTATTACTGAATATTTCGGAATAGTCGAGTGAAATACTTTAAACGCTAAAAATTCTCCCAAAGTTTTGATGACTGACATTAAAAACTAAAAACACAAGAAAAAGGACTCATTTTCAAAGTCCCCAATTAACTAAAAATTTGTTCTATTCCTTCAATTTCAAAAACTACATGCACACGGTTTGTTTGTTCTTTTTGAATATAATCGTTTCATAATTACGATTCTGATTCAACCAGAAATAAAGAGAGACTGAATGTTTGCTTAGTGGCGACTAACAGACTAATTATCCAACTTTCAACCGACTGTCTATTTTCACTTGTGCTGATGAGATTTTTACACAAATGGAGTACTGTAAAAATTTTATTTTAAAAAATGATAAATTTGAAACATGCCAAATTTTCGTTTTCCGCTGCAATTTTTTTATTCAAAATGTAACTATTTGCAAATGTGTTTCCCAAACCCAAATTTCAAAAAATTATCTTTCGACTTAAATAGAAAATAATTGTAGAGAAATAATGAAAATTGATAGTTGAATTATTGAAATTTGCAATTTCAAAGAACATCTGGAGATTTGCATTAGAATTGACTTTCAGACATTTGGTTCCAAGTTTGAGAAATGTTTTATCCATAGCGTAACGTCAGAATGAAATGCAAAACAGCGATCATTCGAGATTTTGCTGTGCTCACTCAGTCAAGTAGTTTCCCCAAAAATGAACACAAATCTAGAAACATTCCGCGCTAGATTCAAAGACTAGTTGTTAGCAACGACCCCATTCAAACAATAGGTTTTGATAGATGGAGCAAAAGAAGTGTCTACCCGTTCAACACTACAGTCTTGAGTTTTGGTTGTTGAACCAATAAAACTGATCCAAAACAATAAACTTTTATTTGTTTCGCGCAGGTTTGCTCACGCTTTATTCTTATTTTAACCGATTCTATTACAATGAACCACGTTTATGAGCTATGACCGATGAGAAATATTGTAGTTATAACTCAGGTACGGTATATTATTACAATCACATTGATTCCCGCCAACAAACATTCTTGCCATCATCGCTCTTCAAACATCAAAGTTCCTCAAAAAAATCATTCCTCGTCACTTTTTTTTTGTTTGAATGTTGAAAATAATAGTGCTAAAAGAATTCTACCGGGAGAAGTACGTAAATCCATTTTGGTATTGATAACATTCTTTTATATGACGCGAAATTGCTAGATTTTTTTTTCTGGAAAAAATAGTTCCAGTTGTTAGTTTTGATTCCTGAGAGTGTTTTCGACTTCCTTATCAAATTATTTTTTTTTCAGTGTAATGTTATAACTTTCACATTACATTCAAATCGAAAAATTCGAAAATTACATTTTGACTTTTAAATATTATATTTGGCCAATTTTTTAATTCAACCTTCATTATTTCTATTCAGATTTCTTGGAATCCTTCCGAGCGAAATTTTCTTGCGTGTCGAAAATACTTAAGCCAACAAAATAATAAGCATCTTGAATTTATCAGACTCTATTTTCTTTTTTGGAATGGAAATCCCAGACAATCTAAAATGATATAATACATTTTACACATTGAAAAAATAAATTCGAAAATTGAAAAATTAAATTATTGTAGGTTAATTATGAATTAACGCTTTGCTTGATTGTACTTTGCCATTTTAAGCGATATCTGACGTATTTTGTATTAAGTACTCTAATGATAGTCTGTAAAGTTTTAAACGCTCAATTCGTTTTGAATTTTTTTTAATTAATGGATTATTTTTTTACTAATAATTTAAAACACACTAAGGCGAAAATAAAACGAATCAAATTTTACTTCAAACAATTCCCATTATTATGCATTCATTTTTTGTTTGAACTTTGCTAAGAAAGAATTAATTGATTGATATAAATGAGTGGACAACTTATGAATAATTTTCTAAATCAATGGATACTTACAATTTTTTTAAATTCCAGAGTTTGTTTAAATGATCGAATTTTTCTGTTCTCAACTATAAATGAATAGTTTCGAGGCCTTATCTGAATCAAAGTATTTCCGTAAAATTACAACGTCAGCCCCGCAAAAATGATACGAAAGTTGGCGACATGTTTTATAGTGAAAGTTATGCGATTTAGCTGAGATATTTGAATGACGCTCTAGATTTATAGCAATCGGGCTTCAAAATCGATATTTGAACTGTTATTTTTTTGTCTATCGATCGCGTAGATATATTCAAGGCCATAGAGGAAAAGCCGTCGCTGCTAATTTTGACATAGTTGATGAATTACATGTTCCAAATTTCTGTGAAATTTTTTTTCGCGCGTGAGAGATAGAATTTGCCCGAAACATGGAAATCGTTTAAAATATGGTGCTAGACCTCCTAAATGAATGTATGAATAAGAGTGAACTGTGTAAAGAAGTGAATGAGCTTGCCAAATAATTTTTTGAAATAAAAATATTTTCAAAAATGATGTCACATCAAAAATTGATAGAAGCATCATTTTATAACATGAATATACAAAATGTATGCAAACTGAATTTTTCTAATAAATGATGAAGTTTACTTTAACAAAAACAATGTTTTAAACCTTTAATACCTAATTTTTATTTTACGCCAGCACCTTTTTAAAAACTACGTGGAAAAACTACTTGGAATCCATTGATTTTATTCACATTCATTTTTTCAATAATCCTAATCTATATACCGAACGTCTTTTTTCAATTCCCTTATTTTTGAGGCCATATATGTGGCTACCATCTGGAGCTAGATTAATGTAAACATAAATATATAATTTTTTATCGATAATTCGCATTATTTTAAATCGAGTAGTTCATAATAAGGCAAACGTCTGCATCATGGTGGTTCAATGTTCGCTTATAACTGCATTCAATGGACAGAAGAATGGTTACACATTTGTAAGCAAGAGCATCAAAAGTTGTCGCCGCCTTTTTTTAATGTTTAATGGTTCTTCCTGTGCTCATGCAGTAACACCGGCCCACAACTCGAGTTGGCATTTACTCGCGTATTCGCTCCGTGGCCTGTATTTTGTCTCTTTTCTTGGTGCAATAAATATGCTATTGCCACATTCTATTTTCAAATGTTTCAAATTTGCCATTCAAAATTGTACTTATTTAAATTTAATTTGATTCAATTCGTAGTGTACTCTTTATATCGTTACCCTGCACGATCTAATTGAATGGCAGAAATGCCACCGTTTTGGATAAAAACTAGATTTTTTGCATTCATCGACACATAGCCACCGTTATCCTCCGTCTTTATTTCTATAGGAGGCATAATTCGAAATCGGTGTGGCATTTAAAAATCCGAACGCGATACCAATGATGCCTCTTACAAGTGAGATTAACGAGTTGCGCGACAATTACCTACAGTATGATGTGCTCGAGTGACACTTATAACGAGATGGACACGGATTAGTTTCCCTCGAGAAGATGTCAATCATCTATACATCCATTAAATTGGTGGATATCACACGGAAATGACGACTTTGTTTTGGACAATAATCTCATTTACTGTTTTTTCGTCTTTTGGTGCTTCAAGGTCAGAACTGCTAATTTTCCAATGGTATTCCGTTATTCTGCGATTCTTCCATTTCCGTTTGCCAATAGTGCCATGAAAATGTGCCTGTGCGACTTGTGCGCCTTCTTTTTGGATAGAATACGGAAAGGTCTTTCTCATTCACTGAATCTACTTGTCGCAAATCCTCGTACCGCCGACCAGATCGGATTCATTTATAACTGGTATGGTCGTCTTGTGAATTCCAGTTGGATTTTGGATTCTGTATGTGTGTCCGTTTTGAGGTCCTCGCCATCAGGCAGCCTCTACAAGGCGGATTATCCTAAAATCCCCTTCGATCATTCCGCAAACTGCACAAGTATGCATGCCCACGGATTGTTCGACGCTGGGCCTCTCCGCCGCATACCTAGTATAATCATCATCATCATCCACCGGATTACAGTATGTGTGGTTAATTCCACATCCAACGATCCCAACTCGATGTTCCATATTGTAATTCAACTATTTTTCAACAATGGCGTTGGCTATTTATAGTAGATCTTACGCGCTTCCGATGTTTTCGCGTTTTCCATATTATTAGTTTCCGCCATGATAATTGAAAGAGCCAGAGACAATCAGAATTTTACTCTTGTCTGTCCATTCAGATTGTTTGCAGGATATCTCAGAGCGATGAAAATTTTTATTATCACAAAGAAGTGGATACGTTTCAAGGCTCTTTTAATAATGCACATCAAAGGCGTTCCGAATTCAATAAATGTGCATTGAAATGATATTCTTAATCAGGCATTATATGTATAAAAGAAGCGTAATTCGTCGACTCATATTTTGTTTTTAAATTTTAAGAGTCACCGAACTTAGGCCTTAACGAGCATTATGCATTTTCACGCAACACCAGAGTTGCTTATCGATTTTTATTACTAACATATTTTCCGCTTGACACCATTAATTTAATACCTTATTCGTTAGTTATTTCATTTTTTTATTGTTGAAAAAAACGTCAATGCAAGTCTTTGGATCAGAAAAATCATTTGTACTTCAATGTCGCGGGTTTTTCTTCATTCCTGCCTCTATTTTCTCCTTATCTATTGTAAGGTCATTACTATGTTCCAGACACTCTCAATTGCCTTCAAAAACCCGGTTTTTTTGCCATTGAGATTCTCCGTGGGGGTGCAGGGTGGTGGTTCCCTGAAAGAAATCCTTGTAGATTTGATTCGATTTTTTGTTGAAACATTCTATTCGTTTGTATCGATAAAAAACATCCATCGCCATTTGTTTTCATAACTAATTGTTTTGCTTATTATTTCCTTGAAGCCTGTTATATCCGACCTTCGACCGAAGGCGCGTGGCATGAAACGACTGACGGACTGTAGGGAAGAGGGGGTGCGCGAAAAAAAACCGAATCTTCCCCCCCCCCTCTCCCTTCTTCCTACCCTGCCATCGAAGATGAAAGAAGCGTATAGAATTGAAGAGAACGAGATGACGATGATGATTTTCTCCGATTTTTTCCTTCTCTTTTTGTTACCCCGATGGCTCGTTCTTACACACTGTAGGTGGTACCCCCCCACGAAGTCGAAAAGAAGGCGAAGGGAAAAAGCGAAAAAAGATGAGGGGAGTCTTTGGGGGCGTCTGCCATCGACAGTAGTATTCAGCTGCATCACAGCCCACCCTTCCTAAAAAAGCTTGTTTTTTGCCACCTTCACGGCCATGCCATTGCGCGCTATCTCTTCTTCTCCCACCCCCAGGCTGAAGGATTTCGCTGTCGAATGTCATTCATGAGACCTTTTCATTTTTTTTTTCAAAAAATTTTTCCATTGTGTTTGTGCGAGATAATCCGAAAACTTTTCTGTGATGCAATATTTCTATTCATACTGTTCATTTTTTTTTCATTGCCCTTCTACTACTTCCATACAAAGCAATGTTTTTCAGTTAGTCGTCGTCCAGATGCAGCCCAGAAGTCCATGTTACGCAAAGAACACGTCATTTTCTTAATAACATATGGAATAAGTTCTATGATGTGCTATGCCAATTACCGCATATGTCCAGATGTGATTACAAGTGGCTGGCGTTAGTCTCGAACTTACGTACTGGTTTCACAAATTACCGTAGCCGCTGCTTCTCTTTTTCACTTATACCAACGTTTTTTTCTCTTGCAATGCTTTGATTGGTGGAGGTTGCTTTGTTGGCGACATTGGTAACCAAATCCAGATGAGCACAAGCTCTGAGATGTTTGGACTAACCCGGAAACCGTATCTCCGCGTATTGCAAACAAGGTGGCGGGTCACTCTGCCGGTAGTGGCTCTCAAACCGTGGACCTTGCTCAAAGTCAACACTTCTTTTACCAAAACTCCGTGTTACTCGAGTTATTTTTTTTTTCTTTTTCCAGCATTGCGATGAAAGCGCTAGTAGCGTAGTTGTTAGCAAAAATCCAGGTGTCGGAAACGTGCCAATTAGATGAAATAGTATTTATCGATAATTACTAATCTTGTGGATTTTTACCTAAATTCTTAGTGACCAGCATAAAAACAAAAATTGGATAAGATTCCCGGAATCAACTACAGTCATTATTATTTCCCATTGTGCATTAACTTCATCCGTAAACATTTTTTGTTGTTATCAATGTCATCGTCTTCATCATCAACATAATGCGTTACATGTCTCTATTTTCATCCTTTCTTATTAAATATTGTTTTTGCTCCCGCCTGACAATACATGCGCACGTATACATTTTCGAATTTTTCTTTCTGCTTTATCAAGACCTTCAGATCGTCTCAACATGGATGAACTGAACGCGTGTACAGAATGCGGATTCACAACAACTGTTTTCTCCGAATTTCAAGGACATATCGGTAACTTATTTGACTTGGCGAACAAATTCAATGCCATTCATCCCCCCTTTCAAAAACTATTTGTTCCGTTCATTCATCGAGATTTTCCAGAAAAGCACGAAATCGAACACAGTCGATCATCCAGCGGCGAAATGTCTAACTCGCAGGTGAGCGTTATGAATCAATGTCTACGCATGGCTGGTCAATTATAACTTTTTTGTCACATTTAATGAGTAACTGGAGCAGTGACGAGAGCGAAACTCGTTTCACCAGTTTTATTAGCTCAAAATCTTGTCTGCAATTTTTATGGAACGCGTGTTGACTCATATCGTTTCTTATTATTCTTGAATTCTAGACCATTGAATGGGCGGAAGGTAGTCAGTCAGCAACGCCATCACCTAGATCCACTCCCCCAACAGATCCAACTCCGAGTCCCAGCGAACACACACCGACCACTTTGGACGATAATATTGCTGCCATCGATATCGCTCTAGTCAATAAAAGTAAGAAAAATAAACGATATTTGGGAATGCCGAACTCCAATAACATTTTCAGAAGAGAAGCAGCCGAAGGCTGTCCATGTGTGCCCACACTGCAACTTCACCACCTGCATGTCGCAACATATGAAAAGTCATTTGGTAAGGATCTAATTAAGCTGGTTTAAAAACCATATGCCTCGGTGGATTTATTTATCAAAACCCACAAAACCCCTCTATGAATTGCAATCACTAGAACTCTAATTTCTCTTGTCACGCGTAACGTCAAGTGACCGCAATCTCGGCTGCATTACCAGTTTGATGCGTACCATCTTATCTAGTGGTCAAACCAACGGAAGAGTCAACAAGTACTCGCGGTGCATCTGACTGACCACAGCGCTCTCATTCTGAACTACTGTGCGCGCTTATTTACTCTTGAATGGCGCGTAGATTGCACCCAGCCTAGAAGATGGAGTATGCTATTTCTTGGTTTGTCTTTCCGGACCGTCGGCGGTGGGAAACACTAGTGGGGGGATGGGTAGCGAGTTGTTGGCTCTTCCTCTTAAATATTCCTTCTTCGGCAAACGCATCCGAATATGGTTGACTTGTTAGAGGAAAAGGTTAAAAACAAACATGTCTAATCGAACAAAGCGCAGCATTGAGATTCAGAGAAACGTGGTGATTTGTTCATATTTCTCTTTTCAGGAAGCGCATGAGAGACACCAAGGCCAAATGTATCAATGCGACATTTGTAAGATGCAGTTCAGCCAAAAGGTATGATCAAAAATTAGTTATCGATTCAAATTCATCTACATCCATAATTAGGCTAACATGCATCGACATCGTATGCGGCACAGTGGAGTCAAACCGTATGAATGTCGATTTTGCCAGAAGCGATTTTTCAGGAAAGATCAGGTATGTCACAATTTATGTGGGGGGGGGGAGGCTTGAGACGTTGCCGTGTTGCGCAACCAAGAACAAGCTTTTTATCTTGCCATGATGCTTCTCCGTCTTTCTTTCTTCTTCTTCTTCTTCTTCTTATGCTTTTTTGGCAGCGCTATCTTCTTTTTGCGTAATCAAATAAAAATGAAAGGGAAATTTTGATCTTCGAAAAAGGGAAACCGACAGTTTTCGCTTTTTTCTCTTTATCTCCCACCCTCGGCGAGGGGGAAGCAACATTGAATGGTTATGCAAGTCTGCGTTAAGGTCGGTGCGGTTGGTTGAGATGCAATCAGTGGCAAATCGCGTTCAAAATTCAGGACTGTCATCGCGCGCATGCGCGGTAGGGCTTTCTTTTTCCTTCTAACGAATGATAGAATCGTCCTTGAAAATTGTTCCACCGAGCCTGAGGAAAACACGGAAAATCAATTGAATTGCGCGTTACGCAAGGAAATATGGAATAATACGCCAAAAGACCTTGACGCCGTGTCCGTGGACCCCACGCTCCTTATCCACCTCTCTCTATCTATCGACTTGCCAGCCGTAAAAACGCGTCAAGTCCGAGACAAAAAAATGGGCGGAAACAGAACCTGTCATTTGGTTTTTATTCGCCATTTTCTTTTCGATTTTCAACAATCCGCCTCTTTCAATCTGCAAATAGTTGGTTCAATACTAATCTGCGTCTCATCAAGTTTCCCGAAAAAAATGAAAGGTGACGGTGCCTCCGACCCTGACGGACTTCTTGGTAGTAGAGAGTGGCGAATTGTAATAGGAAGGCGGAAAAAAATCGAAAGTGAAAATTTTTCTTGGAAAGTTTTTTCCCTTCATTGAATCGAATACTTCACCTTCGGAGGCTGTTTGAAGGTAACTGATGGATGGATCATTTGGAAATTAATTACAACTTGGGGGAAATAGACGAAGAGTGTAGAATGATTGGGAGATAGATAAAACATGGGTCCAGTATGTGTGAATGGAGGGGAGAGGACTGATGGTACTGTAGGATTACACTACTCCGCTTTGAACAATGGTAAAACAGTAGTAACATTTCAATATTCTAAAAGACACGCACCAAGGTCGCTATAGAAGAACTCAGGATAGTGTGATATGACGAGAGCTTCCTGATAATGTGAATATGTTTTCCATAACTATTTTGGATTTTCACGTGAATTTTCGTGGATGATTGACAAGTGACAAAAACATAACTTTAGCATCCGCAAAAATTTCGGCCCAAACGTTAGATTATGAAAATGATGGTAGACAAAAAACGATTTGCAGCTAAATGTTGGGACTAAGATTTTTCTTTCACAACAATTCATAAAGAATTTCTGTATTCTCAGTAAGAACATCAAGAAATTAAATTTAGTGTATTAGAAATTAGTTGTCTGAGTCAGCGTTGGTTAGAGCTTATGTGAGTCTAGTAATATTGTTCACGAACCTCTTTATGAGCACAATTTGCTTATTAAATGATTAGTTAACAGCGTCTGATGTTTTCTCGTACAATTCAATACCAGGAAAAGAGAAAATGATTTCGTCGTGTGTCAGGGAAAGACTGCCAAGACGATGTTGAACCGCTTGTCGGCGGTTCCACTTAAGTAAAAAAATTTATCATACGATTGTCGCCAACAACCACCCTCCTTTCTCTTCAGGATGGCAAACTTGTCATTCGCTGAATTATTGTTTCCTTTTTCGATTCATTTTTGTTTCCATAACAATGCGATGTTTTAGATGCAAGAACACTCCATGACTCATATCAAAACGGGATTCGGATTTGACTGCCCTGTTGCATTGTGCAACCAGACATTCAGTCAGCATAATTCGTTGAGGTACTGGAGATTGAACCTATTATTCACGCTTATTTGAAATTATTTCAGAGCTCATCTTGAGGAAAAACACACTATTTCTACTACTAACCCAGCAGCTTGTAAACGTTGCACTTTATTGTTCGCGAATTCTCGCAGGCTTCTTCTTCATTATCAGACGAGACATGATGATGAGGTAGCAATAAAAGCGAAAATGAATCGGAACAATTGTTTAAAGTTACCTTTACAGAGTGGCAATCACTCGCCCCCAAAGAACGTCACACCGAAAAAAAGAAAGATCTCAAACAATTCAAGCGCTGTGATGCCGTTCGACGCTTCTCAGCTTAATTTAGAACAGCTGCAGAAGATGGTGAGCGCTGAACAGAGTCCACCAAATACGGACACTTCCGATCATTCTGCTAGTCCTGAATATGAATTGGTAATTTTATTAATATGTCATTTTTGCATTTAATACTTTATGTTTTCTAGCAGCAGCCACAACCGTTTGGCATGTCCAGCCAGGATTTGCTTCTTATGTGTCTTTCAAACGTTGCCCAATTTCAAGGGTTGGCTGAAAGTATTCCACGCGCTTTGCTAGGATTGCCGAATATTCCACTGCCGGTAAATTTTCAATAGAGTATATTCTAGAGGAATAATGATGATTGATCCAGGCTCTCCCGGTTGTCAAGGAGCCAATGCAGCTCTGGTCTGAGCATACATCAAGCTCGGTTAGCCTCAGTGCCCCAAGTCCAAGTGAACAATCGCAGTCTCCACAAAATAATGATACAGTCGTCTCGCGTGCCGAGAAAGAGGAAGCGCCTGTCGCGGAAAAAGAGGATTCCGTGGTAATAGGTCTCGACCGATTCATTCAACCTATCACAATATTGCAGGAGTGCACCCATTGCGGAATGTTATTCTACGATAATACCATGTACTTGCTTCACAAAAGCCTGCACACTGAAGGTGATCCATTCAAATGCGCATTGTGTGGCGTTCAATGTGGCGAAAAATATATGTTCACCACCCACATGATCTTCGCTGATCACAACTCTCAGCCAACCAACATGGCATGAATGCCATCATGCATAATTTCATGAGAACCCCAGTGACAAACCAACAGTAGAAATCCCAATACATTGTCTTCCCTGTTTCTTTCAATCAATGTCATTTTTTATTTATAAAAAATAACAATTTTCGCTAACATGGGAATTGAAATATCGTCGTTAATTTGTTTTTTTTTCTGTCATTCTCTAACAATACTTAGCCCGATAAATGGCACTCATCATACTTTCAAAACCTCATTTTGCGTTCAAATTGATATTAGTTTGCGTAGAACTTGTGCTTTCTATTGTTTTTTTTCTTCATAATCCTGACACTAACTACCTGCAAATTCCATGTTTCCACAGAACCAACTATTTCTGTTTTTTTTTTCTTGAACGTTTGGTAAGATAATTTTTCAGTTCATTTCTTTTCAATGGGTACAAATGATATTCATAATTCATTCTACCAATCAGTTTCACCCAAATTCCGTCAGAATTTGTCTTATGTTTCTTTTCTTTTCAAATGTTTCACATTTTTTGAAGCCAACGTTTAATTAAATTTAATTGTCGTGCGATTAGGATAAAGAAATGATTACAATCAAGACATGGATCTAATGAACAGATTGTGTCGCATTTGATTGAAACCTTCAGATGGCTTTAGTGTTGTTTCTCCGTCTCGCAAACCTATTGCGAATAAACATTTTTCTGTTTCCGGATACCATGTGATGACTATAAACAAGGAATACTCACAAACAAGTAGCCAATACAAGTTAATCGTATGTTGATTAACCTTGAAATTGTAAATGAATAATCACGCGATAGTGTTTGTCACGTATGAACTGGAACAAGTATTTTAAGCATAGTTTATTGTCAATAAATCACCTTTTGAATTGATTTTCGAATTGCGATAGAACACAATAACAAACAGTTTCATTGAGATTGAAAGAGATAAGATACGCTGCAGAAATCGCAACGATGATGTTTAGAAATTCGCAATATGAATAAGTCTATCTTTAATACTTTAATGACATATCCATAAATGGGAAAAAGCAATTGCTTGGGTGAATGGAAGATTCAAAATACTTCAATTTATTTTTATTAGTGGGAGTATAAAGTACATTAATATTGTATTTGTTGAATAAAAAAGGTCAAGGCCCAAATTTCACTGTTCAATTTCATGAAATATTTATTTATTTATATGTATAAGCTGATTATAAGGAAACATATTTTTGTCGGCACATATATTAATTTAAAATCTTCAAATTTATAATGAAAACCTGATGAAATTTTTCAGTTTTTGTAAATTTGCCGAATATGTCATTTTTTACCGCAATCACTTAAAATTTTTATTTGACGCTAAATATGACTACTTTGATGTTTTGCATTAATTAGATATGTAAGAAATTGATCTAAAACCCAATCTTTTCTGAATCATTTTTTCTTTACACAATTTTCCTTAATTTTTTTCGAAATAAAATTATTTGAATTTTGAAATGTGCACATTTTCAATAACACAAATTTGAATGGCATTTTCAATCTGTCATTTTCCTGAAAGTTTTGGTGATACGAAAATTTTGAAGAACAACGTTCTCAAACCACTTTTTTGCTCGAATTCGTGAAACGGAAGTCTGTGATTGACACGACGTTGTATATGGTTATGAGCCGTCGAGCGGGATGGACAACCAAGAGAGCTCACTACTGACTGACATTCCCGGTTCGGCAAAGTCCCAATGGAGCACCATGAAAACGAAACAAAATTGAAGCCCATCAACAAGGCGCTGTATATTTTTTTCAGTAAACTCGACTATTGCAGATTGATTTCGTCGCCGATTTCCAATCCAAACTGTTCGATTAATGTGCAAGTTCCCATCCACGGAGCGCACATTATCATAATCAACAAGAAAATGCGGTGACCATAAAAATGAATTATACAGAAAAATCGCGAACATGCGAACGGTGTGAACAACAAACATGGGGGCATATTCCCGAAATTTTTCTCCAGCGAAACTATACTGTTGAGCGCGTTCGTTTTTTTGTTTTGTTTTTGCATGCTCCACCCCATCTTTTTCAATCCTATCAATTTCTTCAAAACATTTCAATGAACCGTTCGTTTCTACTCCTTTGTTAATCACATTTAATTGTTATTGGGTCCTTCCAAACATTAGCTGACATAGAATATGATAAGGACCCGATAAGTCAGCCATAAATCACGATATTATCAGTTTCCTACGCAATTATGCTCATCATCGTTCGTTGCGCAACTGGATGAACACTGATTGATATTACGCATATTTGTCATTGCCACGCTCCCACTATATATTTTTAGTAAATTGAGGTGCATTGAAAGTCCTTTGTTCCGCTTCATCAAAAATTATAACCCATGAAACCGGAATATATTGTGTTTATGGCTCTTTTGGAATTGAAAAAAAAAGAGATCGCCTCTATCCGGTTCGAAATTGATTAAAAGCTATTGTCTTCTAAAATGCCCTTATACTCTCAATTCTTCTATTCTTTCGGTTTTTGAAGACGTTTCTTAGCCTATTGTACATCCATTGCAAAAACATTGCTCGGAAATTGTAACAAACTCCACCGCATAGGTGAAGTAATATTGATGATATGCCCAGATGATTGAGCGATGGTTTTCGTGCACAACTGATTGAGATGCTTGCAAAACATCTCAATGATTTTCGTGTACAGCTGACCCTAGAACATCAGTTTGTTCGTCCATTTCGCTCATTTCTCTTTCTTCCGCAACATTATTTATGGCACGCGTTTATCTGATATATGTGCTCAGTTCACATTGTTCCCGAATGTCCATTTAATAATAAGTTTCAATAAAAGAAGCTCCTTTATTATAATCATTATCTCAAAGACAATTAATTTATCTCTTCAATTCTCAACTATTAATGGAATTAATTATCGGTAAATTTTTCTTCATTGAAATTAGACAAAGAGCTCATTGTGTCTCAACGTATTGCCTCTTTATAAACCCCGAAATTATCCTCAACACATTATTACCTAATACTTGTGTAAAAAAGCAACACCTGCTTGTAAATTCTTATTATTATTACGGCACGCCTGCTCCCTCCCGTGATAACCTACATCATCTGTTACTGATACATTTACAACTAGTTGGAATCGTCATAAGTGTGGTGGTTTACAATCGCGAGTGTCTTTCTATAACTTACCAATTTGCCATTATCGAGTCTCGAGAATAATGTTGTCGGTGGGCAACATAAACTAAAAAAAGCTAATGAAACGGAATGTAAAAAAACGGAACATCTGTCACATAAAAATCAAAAAATATTGATCAAGTATTTCTTGTTTGCCATTTCATTCCTAGTATTTTTCATTTTTCTGACAAATTCAAATGCAGTGTCGAAACTTCGTTGTGTTGCGTTCTGTCGAAAAAGGCTTACAGACGTCTCGTTTGTCTCGGATGTCTCGTCCTGCCTCCCCCCTTCCCTCCTCTCGTATTGTGCTGCCAGCTCGCATCGTCGTTCCCTCCCATCAATCACTTAAATGCACTCGCCGCGCGCATTACACGACAGTTTTCAGCTCATTTTCTTGAAATATGTGCTTTTGAAACGCAACAGTCAATTGATTTGTAGCCGCTTGTCTCGCGAATTAGCGCTTCGTTTTCAATTAATCAAACGATGCTCTTTGAAATATCGCCACCCTGCCTGATTTATTAGCTGTGACTTCGTCGTGGCACCCCCTCCTAATCTATATTGTATTGCTCTCATTATCAGTAAAAACAAATAAAACTGTTCAATCACATAAATTATCAAGATTTGCTTGCAAGAATACTAGTTAATGTGAACATTCCTCAATTTTTTGATTAAAAACATTTCCGTCATTTTCGCTATTTCTTACAATGTCTAGCTCAAATCTTTAGAATTTCAGTGAGAATTCTTTATTAAATTTTCCCAATAGCCCTTGAGCTCATATCTACTATATTTGTGGCGGCATTATTCAAAACGAAACCCCAATATTGGTATCGAATATTCAAGTACTCTGACAGAAGATGCGCGAGTCGGCTGGGCTTAACGGCGGATCATATAGGACAGCTCATCTGGCCAATCAAGAAATGATCGATGCATTATTCTTCTTCGGTCTTCTCTTACATATGACCTCCAATGATCGACTCCCCTTTAATTATGGTGTTGTGGTTTTCTTTTCTTAGTATTTATTTAATACGCATAATTATCAACTCCTCGAAATAAGCAAATGTATCCTATCTTTTTTTTTTATTTTGTAAAAATTTATTTTTTGATTTTGACTTATGGTTCACATTATCAACTTATTTTTTGTTGTTGTGTAAGTATTCGATTCAAACGGCTTCTACAAAATTTAAACTTCAAACCTCCTATCTTCTCGCAAAGTTCTTTTCCTGGATATTTTACAATGGGGGAGGAGTCAAGCGTTTGCGCAATACTAACCGTGTGCCTGCTATTATTGACGAGGGTGGCGTACGTGGCCGCATTCAAATCTGTTCTCACGTTTTAGGCGCCGCGCGTCGCTAACCGCACCTAAAACCCATGGCAATTTTATTTTATATTACCGCCGTAATTTTTATTAGAAGATGTAGAACAAGAGAATAGTGATTTTGGTGGGTATTGTATATTTTCACACGCTTTATTAATGCCGAACCCGTAGAAACGGACGGCTCAACCCATCCACTATCGCATCCCACCCACTATTTACCTATATACTGTACATCAATTTCCCTCCAACGGCACTTCATAACGATTCGATCCTTCGCGTATTTGCCTTTCTGATCAATAGCCTCGCCCAAGTTCACCATTTCTTCACCAATCGACGACTCTTGCCATTATATTCTAAGTTTATCCAACAGGGTTTCAGGTGATGCCGACATCATTCCTTCTTCTTATTCTGCTCATATCGGGGGTACTGTCGGAGCCGATCTCAAGTAAGTCACTTCTGTTTTCTGGGAATTTCCTGTGTAGTATGTTTTGGACAAAAAAGTGTAAGCCCCAATTTTTCAAACCAACACCAATGGTTATAAATCTCATCATTGTGGTGCCTCCACTTTTTCTTCTTTTGCCGGTTTCGGCTCTCCTGCGATGATTGAGTGAAGAACAAGCGAAACGTGAAAAATGCGCTCACATTCAACTCATATTGCCTATACGTGAAAGCGCAATTCCCATATGAATCAGTGAGATAAATGAGCACCAAATGTGTCACGTCCGGAGACGAAACGCTTTTCGCTGTTTTCTTACGATCATCAGATAAAACTTGTGCAGGAAAAAATTCAAGTTAATTTGTTAGCGATGTCAGTCTATTTGTTTGCAGGCTTCTTCGACGGTCAGGACATTAGAAATGAATGCAAAACTAGGCTTGATCGCAGATTGACCGGTTGGATTCATATTCAGAATTCTCAGGAATAAGCGTTTTCTTTCAGGATTTTCTGGACTTCTTTACTCTCATTCAAAATATGGAAAGGATACTTACAATGCTAGCCGTAACTGTGTTCTTATGATCGTTTCACCGTTAGGATATCAAGTTCGGGTTCGCGCTCTCGAATTTGACGTGAGCCGCCGAAATGGACGTGCCTGTGATACAGACACCCTTCATCTCTTTGATGTAAAGATTGATTTGTTCCAATATATTCGAATCATATTGATTGCAGCATGAAACGAATATCGACCCGGAGAGCCCAATCCCGACACGCTATGATGACATAATCTCGCCAGGCCCGATAATCGGTAGGTGACTTTCATGTACATATAGACAAACTCCTTTCATCCTACTGTCGACGCTATGATGTAATAATGGCACTAATTATGCGCATTGCTGTTAGTTTCCCATATCAATTTTTGCGAAATTTGAGGGCCAGATGCTTTCTCACAGTCATAAGGCTCTTGAGGACGCTGTTACATGATCGATCTTGTTATGGTCATAAGTGCATTAAAGTGCGTATATTGCAGGACAGTTTTGTGGCGAAATGGAGAATCGCATACTCAATGAGAGCACGAACAACGCGATGACACTTTGGTGGCACTCCAATCCGACAAGTACTCGATATTCGAAAGGATTCAAGCTTCATTGGACTTCATTCAGAGTTCCGTCCAATGGTTAGGATATTAAAGTTAAATGACGGCATTTAATTTAAACATATTCTTCCAGGAGTTTGCAACTCTCGCGAGTTTTCTTGTGGAAACGGAGAATGCATTCCTCGCGACTTGGCGTGTGACAAGTATGCCGATTGCTTGAATGGCGAGGACTTAATCCATTCGCGACAACTGGCTGCGAATTGTCAAAGTGAGTCCTTCAGCGATAGCTATCTTTCCATATGGAATACGGTAGTGACACACATTAATATGCAAATTTGCGAATTGCTTCAATGCAGCAGCTTGCAGATATTGAACTGGATCCATTGACAACGGTGAGCGGTGCATTCGTTCTTCTTTCTTCGGCGGTTCTCATATTGTCATGCTGCTTTATCACAGTTTGTCTTTTCTGCCTCTGCAGAACGGGAAAGACCGAAACTTCAGTTAAAGGTGGGAAAATCGGCGCAATCATAATGCATAAACATGAAAGGAACCGCTTGCAGGAACGCCTCAAACCCAGACACCGTCGCCGGACTTCAAACCGGAGCCGCCACAGTTTTATCCACCATCGCCTCCAAAAATTCCCCCACCATCCGTCGCCAACAGTTACACCCCGAGAAAACACAACCACTTGTAAGTTTTATACAAAAAACGGCAAAAATATGGTAATAAAATTTTTTTAAATCATAAATTGTAAAATTTTGCAGAAATTCAATCTATAATTCTTCTTTTCCATTTTTTAACCTATTTATTTTCAGTGATGGCCCATTCACCCACAGTGATGGTAGCGGATTCCACGTTCGTGTTCCAATCCCACAATATCCACCAGAGGGGGAGTACACCTATGTGCGCAATGATGTCCACCGTAACCTCATCTAATATCTCAAATAATTTCCGCAGTCATAAATCCCCGGGTTTCATTTATCAAATTAAAACGCACGTTGTTGTGAAACTTTTTGAGCTTTTTTCCTTTCCATTTTATTTTATTTTATATTCCTTTTTATTTTCCTAACTTTCTTTCCCGGTTTTAATCACCGTTATTCATGTTTTCCTGTTGATCACCGTTCATTGTATTCTCGTATATTCCATATTTTCCTCTCTTTGTAAAATGGGTTCGTTTTACTTGTATACCATTTCTGTTTTTGCATTTAATGTTTCTCCGTTTTTCACATTTTACTATATTTATTAGAACTACACACAGTTTTGGTAAAGCAGGGTTTCGAATAAAATGATTAGGAGAAAATAACACGTAACTAAACTGTCAAACAGTGATGTCTAAAAAGTCAGCAAGGAATGTCGTTGAGTTGAATAACCCGAAATGAAAATAAAAGACGAAATAATATAAGTGAAACTGAAGTGATTAGAAGTCGCGGAAATAACGAGCGTAGCACACAGATTGTCCAGTGGTTCGAGCTGGAACATCGACAACTGGCCAGATGCAACATGTTCTCGAATTCTGAAAATCAGAAACGTTATACAAAATTTGAATTGTTGTATTGCACATAACCTTCTTTCTTCAGTAGACAACTAATAATAATTTTTTAAAAGTCCTAAAAAAGTTATTGCACTACGCACCCTTTCGCGGACTTGAGTTTCGTAACAAAACAGACTTATAAGGCTACAGTAAGCTATTCAATTACTCTTCTCACGGTTAATATTAATATAAACGAGGACTTTTTTGTATTAGCGTTTAGAACACAACTACGCATGTACAATATCTTTGCGTAGTATAATGATATGGTGATTGTACCGAACATTTCATCGTTTGAATTGTCTCACCTGGGAAAAGCTAACTTTGACATGAGCATTGGCATGAGCTTTCGATTGGAATTCCATGTAGAAATGTGTCAATTTACGTCGTTCGCATTCGAGCAGAAAGTTGCTTTTCCAGAACTCGTCGCAATTATTAAAAGTAAAATTGAAAAAGGAAGCGACCGGAAGTTGAAGCCATTCCTAAATTCCTTATTGAAAATTTATTTGATATAGCAAATTGGGGGTTAAACCTCGATAAAATCGCAAACATTTTTCACGGCAACTTGATCAATCTCGGTTAAATAGGTTCTCTTGTTCACATTATTCTTCATTTCCATTGTTATTTTTTGAAGTATTTGATCGCTAGGAAGAGGAGTCAGAGCGGAGGAGTTGATCCAGCGGAAATGGTCAAATTTCGATTTGGAGATATACGATTCATCAAAATTGATAGGAATTGTACAATTCTCTACTACAATTTTCTGGAAAATAGATTTTGACTAAAGCAATCATTTTTACATTTTTCAACCTCACAAGTCTCTAGAGCAGCGTTTATAAAGTGTTCGAACACTCCTAATTGTTGGTTTTTAAAATCCGTATTGATCAGGGTCAGTTGTCTAAAATAACAGTTTATTATTATATGAAGCTTTAAGCAGAAGCTTCACCTCAATGACGCCTGCCTTGTCTTCACATAATTGTCATAAACGAGTTGAAAAGCTTCCAAAGCTCTCGAATTTTTACTCAGATCAAAGTCTACTAATTCAATTTGCACAATGCTAATCTCCCTCCAGATATCAAAATCGAATTCGAATAGGTCCTGCAAAATTGGACCCTTACAATGCTCAACTCAACATTTTTTTTTTTGCTGATGATTGCAAAAAATTGTGTTTATTAGTTATTGAAATTTGATTAAATCGCCAAAAAATTGGTTATCAGCTCCCGCCTAAACTTTCGATTTCTCTCGTTTCATTAGGTGAAAGGCACAAACGGGGGCCGGACGCCAACCGGAGCAACGCTTATGGCACGCATCGGCGAAGAGAATTCGAGAAAACCGTGTCAGTCCACTTTTTCGACGACAAGAAACACTATCGATAAGGCGATTAGAAGCATTTTGTTTTTGAGCAACTCAGCGAACATATCAATTCGCATCGAAAGCGAAACGAGTAGGCGAGCTGATAACCTTTCTCCTCGCGATTAGATTATGACTTTCACTTGTTTAAACAAGGAATGAAACTAACGAGTTGGTGTTTGAAACTCCGAACCTTGGCGCAATCCGTCTCGTTTCCAGATTTCTTGTGGGCAATCATAATCTGACCATCTTCCATAAAAATCCGGATAATATAGGGCACGCGGGGCAAGTAAGGATAGTTTCTCTTGATTATTCGATTGAACTGAAAACAATTTCCGATTACTAGAAATTAATGAGAAGAATATTATTTTGTTGTTTTAAGCTATTGCACTGAAATTTTTTTTGAAAAAAACATTTGAATTTTGAAAGTCATTTGGATTATTAGAAAAATCGATTAACATCCATTCATCATTGTTTTTGAGGTTCAACTCGAACGTAATGTCCGAGCACGCCAGCCCCGGCCCGGACCAATCCATGCCACCATTCTCGTAGACCGCCAGGCCAATGGAGCCAATGGCCCTGGTCATATTAAGACATTAAAATTCACTTCCTTCTCCTAAAGCGAGGGTTTACTGTGATCAAATACAGAAAGATTAGATAAATGTTGTTTGAACAGTAATTACGAATTTTTCTGAGAAATCGCGGAATTGTCTAGAAGGAACTCTTAAATGTTGTTTAATGCGTGAGAACAAACACTACTTAACTTGTCACACAATGGACTTTGAGTTGAGCAAGAAAACATCACTTGGAAAACTATTCGAAACGACTGATGGGCTTAACAAAAAAAATTTCGCTTTCAGAATACTGAAGGATCTCGCGAGCAACAATGCTGCTTTTAGTTCATTGTAGGTATTTATAAATTTAAATTTTTCATAAATGCATATAATTTGAAACCGCTCCTTATTTTTAAACAGCCTCTATGAATTCAGGGCTTTGTCAAAGTTAATATAAAATTAAGTAAACCTGTAATATGAAATAGTATTCTTTATAAATTTGAATTTTTTTGAATGGTTTATTGCTATTCACCTTTAGTGCATTATATTTGAATGCGAACCTCTAATTAAAAAAAATCTCTGTGTGAAACTCACCGCATTGCATACAAGTCGGAGCCTGGGTACTTCCAGTGGATTGGAGAATTCAAAAATTTTGTGAATCACTTCGCATGGGACACAGTGAATCGAAGCCATGTCAAAGAAGCGAGCTGTCTTGATTAGACGAAGCGGAGTCTGAGTGCGTTCGGCAGTGTACGAAAACTTCGAATTTACTATCAAAACTCCTTATCAAAGCTTCACTCCTCCCCTCATTACTTTTTTTGTATGTTTTCAACCGTCTGCTGAATTCGCGTTTTCTCTAATATTTTCAATGAAATGTGGGCAGATTGTTAAAAATTTTTCACGGAACGACATGTGAAGTGCACATTTTGCAAGAAATTTTGAGTTGACTTCGATAACCAAACGAGTGTTCTATGATATGGTACACATTGGGAATCAATGTTCTTTACTAAGCTCATCATTGAGAAAATATATTATTTAATACGATTCATTTAAAAAAAAAACTTTTATGGGTAAATTGAAATAAATGAAAAACAATGTTTGAAATTTGTTCACGAAGCCATACAAAACATGTAAAAATGATAATGTAATGCAGTAAAATTGTTGATAGAAAACAGTACAATTTTGATATCAAACTGTCTAGAGACTACTGCTAACAACTCTTAAAACCATTGGTAAAAATACAGTTTTTGCTGGTTATTGTTTGATCTATAGGCAACAATATATCTATAGGCAATTTTTTAAAATTTATTTTTGATTTCCAAGATTTCTTTCTTTTATTTCTTAGTGTTTCGTTTTGTAATTTTACCCTCAATTTTGAAAATGAAATATGATGCCCATTTTCATTAGCGTAAATATTCCTGATGTTTAATAGTGTATATTTTTGGTGAGACGTTTTTCACAACTCTTTTCGATTTGGATTTTCGAAGAATTGGGTCTTAATTTTGCAAGTGCCCTTTGTGAAAATTTAATTAAATGTCCAGTTTTTTAATGCGTTTCAGAAAGCCCAAAAATCGATTTAGAAAATGAACAAAAGTAATTTTATTCAGAGTACTCAGAACGGCAGTCACAAGGATTGTTGTTCTTGTTTATCTTACCAATATCGTCAATAACAATATGACGCATCGCATCAAATGATCACGGACCATATATGTAAATCTCATTCAACAGTGTTTTTCGACATTACAATTGTCGTTTTAAACTGGTATAGTACGAAGGCAATATCGATCACACGTCACCCCATCTATAATCTAGTCTTACTCGAAAATGTTTATCAAATTAATCGTCCTCGAATTCAACGTTTTTTTTTTGAACAAATAAACTACGGTTATACGGGACGATTAAATCGTGTTACTCGGTCAAAAATGATACCTTGGATGACTCAAAATATTATAATCCAAGGTATTTTTTGGAGTGAAGATATGTGAGTGGAAAAAAAAACGATTCGAGAGAAATGGTATATATATACGATACGTGATGATACATCCCGCGTCACATAATTCACTCTTCATGATAAAATACTTAGAATGCTCTTATAAATCTTAGGATTCCTTATAGAGCGAATCGTCCCAAAAAAATTTTGCCACCTTGAAAAGAAACCCTTCAGTATTTCGATGTTTCGAAAGAAAAACCATTTCGGAGACATACTAGCTCACCTTTTGAGCCTCATACAATTCCCCAAGGTTTTTTTCTGCTCACTTATCTAAAGAAACACCTCGGCTTTTTTGATAAATATGTCACTAGAGACGACATTTCGAGCGGATATCGTATTCCCCTCTTTTTTACACAATCATAGTAGAACAATTTATTTATTTATTACGGAATGACTCAACAATATAGCAAAACATATACGTGCGATGACGAAATTGAATGTTAAATAATAATTTTTAGATAAAAAATTGAAGCGACAAGCTGTTTTCAGAATAATTACTCTTGCATCATTTTGACAAATTCCAAGAACGAGATTTTTCCGTCGCCGTTGACATCAGTCGCTTTGAACATCTCGCGAATCACCTTACGGTCGGTCAAGTCCGCCGTTTTTTGCAAAATTGACGCCATTTCCTCTAAAAACAAAAGGGAAAACTAAACCTCAGTTTGTCATTGTTTTTTTTTTTTTCAATTCCGGAAAGAACAAGACAAATTGCGCTTCTGATGTTGATAAATGGTTGGTTGAAACGAACGAAAACAAAGACAAAAATGATTTTTTTCTAATTCAATTGTGCTTTTAAAATATCGCTGTTTTTTCAATCACATGAGATTTTACTTGCTGAATTCTCGCGGGGATTGCTCAAAAAATTTAGCGTAGTATGAATATATTATTCTGTACCCCCATACAAACCTTCAGTTATGGCTCCATCTCCATCGGCATCAAACTTTCTGAATTGGCTCTCAAGTTCGTGAAGAGTGGTGCGATGAACGGGCGGAGACCTCATGTAGTTCACAAACTCCTCTTTGCTTATTTTGCCAGTCTCTTAAAGAAAAACCAATATTTTATGATTTTCTTTGATGTGCGTGAAATGTGTTCGCATTCATATGACCATTCGAAATTTAAAACGTTTCAGTGAATGTTCTCGAATAACACTTTTCTTGCCGAAAAAAATGCATTTATATTTAATTCCAACACAACGATGACATAAAAGAACAAAAGTCACTGAATGTCATTCATTCGCGCCACTTTATTGTTCATTCGATCATGAGGAATTTTTCCTTTGATGAATTGACTTACTGTCGGTGTCCATCTCCTGGAAAATAAAGTCGAGCTCAACGCGAGTTGGCTCAACATTGATAGTCCGAAGAAGCGACGCAATTTCATTGCGGGACAATCGACCATCCTTGTCGACATCAAGAAGATCGAAAGTCTCCGAGAGTTCTGGAAGAAATAATTTTATGAAATTTAATAAAGAGGCAATACAGAAAAATGAAAAAAAAGAGGTGAATTTCAATGCAGCAAAAAAAGGAAAAAAACGGAAAATGATTATTTCTCATTTTTTTCCTTTTTTCTGAATCGAAAAATTCTCTAGTTTTCTTTTTTTTCTTTTTCTGTAAGACCCTATAAAATAATATTAATCTTCTGGTTTTTTAAAGTTTTTTTTTTTAACTGATTATCCTTAAAACACAAATGAAAACCGTGAAGAAATTGCATTGTTGGGTTGGTTTTCCTTAAATCTTATTTGCATTTTCGGAGTTTGCAAAAATAACTGCCACAAACTTATTTCTTCGGACAACGCATGAGCAATGAAACAAAACTTTTATGAACTTTAAACTACAAGTAAAAACTTCAAAAAAAATATCGGCGCTGAATTTCGAATTAGAAAGAGGTATGCTGTTTTTAAGGCGCTCTGTAATTCTTTTACTTTTCTCTTAGATTTCTGTTGTTTCTAAGCAAGCATGAAAAACTTTTTCCATTACTTTTCCTAAAATTTTCAGGAACGTTTGAAATTTTTCCCCCATACGAAAAAAACCCGACATAATTGATTTAGAAGTGACTGACAGGACCTCTAACGTCATTTCATTTTTCCATTTTTGTTTGCCAGCTCCCCGAGCCAATTTTTGCAATGCATTTGCCAAAAAAAAAGAAATGCCATTACACAACGAACAACATAATTGGATGCTGCCCTACCGTATCTCTATTATTCATTATGTGAGAGCGTTGGCTTCAAAAACTTTAGTGAGCTCTAGTCAACGATGTTTGACGTTTTAGTTTGTGGGCCAACCCATTTCGTCTTGGGAAAACACAATCCAATTACGCAATTTCAATTCATTGCGTTGGCAAAAAAATAAAAAGGGTGAACCTAAAAGGTCATTTCAGGTTTTTATTCATTTTTCCTTGCAACTTTCGATAATTCTAGAAAATCTATCCTTTTCGAATTGTCTAGAAATCTCGGAAAAATTATGCAGACAGAGTCTCCTGGGAAGACGTTGAAAGTAGGCCAAAAAGTTTCGAATATTTTTGTCAATTTGAAACATTTCGAGAGAATGTGTGGGGGTGTAAAAGTGAGTATTAGTAGACCCGAATATTGCTCGTCGCAACACGCAAAATACATAAACTGCACATGGGATTCGTCGAAGCGCACCAAATTAGTCGTCGAAAAAGCAGCGGACCAGGTTCGAAGAATGAATATCTTCTTTTTGGGTGATTTTCAATAAAAACAGCCGGATTCCAACAACGTCAATCGTTGCCCAAATTAGGGTTTGACGTCGGGGAAATCGCAGCGCAAAAAAGTGGATGGCCGTGATTTGCACTGCTCCAAATTTGGAAGCGCATCTCAATTTTTCTTCGTTTTTTTTGCTGCTGGTTTCCAATCTGTCAGCAAGCCAATTTTGAATAGATGAGGGATGCAAAAAGATGAAGTGTCAGATTCGAACATCTATTAGTTTTTCCAGCATTTTTTGGAAAATAGATTGAATACAAAGATTGATCACATTTCTTATTGGAATTGTGAATTAAATTCCTCGAATATTTGGGCGTTTTGCTTCAAAAAAGATAAAAGAATTTTTATATGTAGTGTCTCTTTAAAAAATGGGGTTATTGCTCCTCTGGACGATTGACGACTTTGTTTTGCGTTCACTTTTGAGAATAATACAGTGCTCCACAAAATTATATACCCACCCTAATTTTGTCGAATAACTCGAAAACGCGAATACCTCCAGAAATGGTTTCAATTAGAAAAATATGCGCATTTATTATTAGTTTCATGTTACATTCACAAAATTCAACAAAAAATAACAATTTTAAAAATTTCGTCATTTTCACGAAAAAGTGGAAAAAATTATTCCACAAAATGATATACCCACTCCATTTTTTGGCGTTTTTTTCGATTTTTTTTCGTATATTTTCGTATTTTCGAATTTTTTTTGCAATTTTACTGTTCTTAAAGAAATGCCTCGTAGAAAGCCGCTCACCGACTTTGAAAAAGGTGAAATTGAAGCAAAACTGGCTCAAGGTCTCTCTTATCGGCAAATTGGGAATGATCTCGGACGCACTCATAATGTTATTAGCCGATATGCTAAGAATCCAGCCGCATATGGTCAAAAAAAGTTGACAGGTCGTCCTTCACTGCTTTCGGACCGTGATAAGCGCAAAATTTTGCGAAGACCGTCAAATTCGGTCGTGTCGTGCTCAACGATTCGAAGGGAATTCAATCTCACGGTGTCAAATGAAACCGTCCGGCGTGTTTTATCGAAGAGCAACTTCATCAAACACAGGAAAATGAGGAAGGCACCAATGTTGACTCGAATACATCGTGAAAAACGGCTGGAGTTTGCAAAAAAGAATCAACGAAATAACTGGAGACAAGTGAGAATGACTGCAACGTTCATTCAACTTGTTTTCTTCTTTCGGGTAGTCTTTTCCGATGAAAAAATGTTCAATTGTGATGGGCCAGATGGTTATCGTGATTATTGGCACGATTTGAGAAAAGAGAAGCTACGGTTTTCGCGTAGAATGTTCAAACGAGGATGCGTCATGGTGTGGGCGGCAATCAGCTCGCATGGAAGAGTCAAGTTGTGCTTCGTTTCGCCGAAGATAAGTGGTTCTGACTACCGATACGTCATAAGACGTGGTCTGTTGCCATTTTGGCGTCGAAATATTCACAAAAATTACTCTTTCATGCAAGATGGAGCTCCTTGTCATCGCGCTCGCCGCACCATCCAGTGGATACGCAGCCGTAGAATCCCAGTTCTCGACTGGCCAGCCTGTTCTCCAGACATAAACCCCATCGAAAATGTCTGGGGATTTATGGTGAAGAAGATTTACGATGACAACAAGTCTTTTCATTCAACTACGGATCTCAAAAAGGCAATCGTGGATGCCTGGAAGCTTGTCGATCAACAGCTTCTTGACAAACTTTATTTATCAATGGACTGCCGAATTTTTGACGTAACGCGACTCAATGGAGGTCCAGTTAATTACTAAATGTTCATTTTCGTTCAAATTCTAACTCTCGATGCCTTTTTCTGAGTTTTTTATCAAGTGGGTATATCATTTTGTGGAAAAATTTTTTCCACTTTTTCGTGAAAATGACGAAATTTTTAAAATTGTTATTTTTTGTTGAATTTTGTGAATGTAACATGAAACTAATAATAAATGCGCATATTTTTCTAATTGAAACCATTTCTGGAGGTATTCGCGTTTTCGAGTTATTCGACAAAATTAGGGTGGGTATATAATTTTGTGGAGCACTGTATAAATGAGTTATCCAGATAAACCAATAATTTTCCCATAAATAGAAACTTTTCAAAAAATAATTGTTGTGCTTCAATTATTCAATCTAACGAATTCGACGTTTTCACTATACTTTTTTGGTATCTTTTTTTAGTGGGAAAACGGGGCCAAGACAAATTGTTTATTAATGCTGACCTTTGCTATTTCGGGATCAATTTTTTGTCGCCGCGTGAACACACCACATGTTATTTTTATTTATTAAATGTGTGTAATTTTTGAACTGAAATTAGTGAAAAGACATTAAAAAACACTCACGCAAGTCATCAAGCACATAACGCTGACAAATAATTGAATGGCTTATTGGGCTTGCAATGGCAGTCATCTTTATATAGAAACAGTATTTGAAATCTCCGACGAAGCTTCTTTGGGGTGGGGGTGAGAGCGAAGAAAGAAAGAGGTCGGCGAGGGCAGATGCTCTTTCGAAAATATGTAGGACCGATGTTTTGCTCAGCGAGCTGTGAAAGTGGGCGTGGTCAAAAGAAGCAAAAAACACTGCCAATGCGGAGAGAATTCATTGCAAAGTCAGGAATGTCTTTATCACTCGCATAAATATGCAAATAATAAGAATGTTTGAGTGCCTATTTAATTTAATCCACGGAATAACATAATTTTTAAAATTTTAATATTTCTCGGATCTGAAAAAATTGCAACATCAAAAACAAGTTGCTGAAATAAAAATTTAGATTTTGCTTAAAATTTTATTTGGCCCAACAGTTTTTTTGTAAATATTGCTCAACATGATATTTCTATTTTCTCATCTTTGCATTTGAATATAGTTTTTCAGAAAGTTCGCAATGAAATTTCGTCAATATAGAAAGATTCATCATTTCAGCAATCGGTGTTTTCTAATTTTTTTATTTACACGTTCAATCCGTAATACTACATACATGATTTTTACTCGAGTGCTTGAAACATTGAATATTCATATTCATAAAAACTAGAAAATTACTTGCCAAGATATTTCTAGAATATTCTGTGATTTTAATAGCTCTCATCTGGTTATTTGGTGCATAGAATGACAACTGTTGTGAAACGTTTGCAATGATATTTGAGTTTTAGAGATATTTTTTAAAGATTGCATTCATGGATAACTCTTTTCTTTTATTTTTCAAAACTCACGTTCTGGGGTAAAAATCGACATCTGTGCTGCAATGTATCTGGAAAAATTCAAACGTTTATAGCGGATTGGAGGTCATTTGGTACTTACGACATCACTTTCAAGAATTCAATTGAGTTTTCGATGAACTACTGTGAAAAATTGTGAGAAATCAATGGCAAGTCATGTGTTTAAATAGGCTATAAGGTGGGACAAGGTATTGAGTCACGTTTTCATTTTAAAATGATAATGGGACGTTGTGCGAAACTTGTTTGCAGTCTTTGTCGCGCAGGAATCACTTTAACTCTCAATTAAACGAAAAAATACGCAAAAGAACAAAACGAAAAAAGTGGGTTGAAGAAAAGTTGGAAAAAATGGACTTCTCGAACAACAAAAATGTACCTTGGAGAATAGCAACGAAATAATGTTTCAAACTTTTTTTTTGTTTTCTTGTAAAGTGAATTAAGGCTATGCTATTCTAAATAAAAATGAGAATTATCATGAATAAATGCTAGAAATCATAGACCGGCAAATATCAACAGTTAAACGTTTCAAGTAAAGCAAATTATGCATTTATATATTCATCTTCGAAAAGCAAGCAGAATATATAAAAATTTATCGAAAACTTCTTACACAAGGCTTAGGCTTATTTATTTATTTTTTAATTACTTTTATTTATTTACTTTAATTTCAAAATTTAAATGCGTTTCTTATTTCGTGATTGTTTTTTAAAGAAAATAAAAAAATTTTATTCGCTTAAGTATTTGTCAAAGTCGTAATTGAAATTGAATAAATTTCCAGCAAAAATTTTTTGATAATAGATTAAAAAAAAGATTGTGTTTTACTTCTGATATGTTTGTATATTCTTTTTTTTAATGAAAGTAACATAAATTATAAAAAATAATTAATTCAAAATAATCTTAATTTTCACTGAAATGTTTAAGCAGGATTCCTGGTCTTTCCAATTGATTAGACCTGAATTTCGCGGCAGCGGAATTTTCCGAAAAAATGTCTCATCGGAATTTTTATCAAAAACGATTACTATGAATGTTTGAGAGAAAATGTGGGAAAACTTTAAAATATTCAGGAGCGAGATAAGAAAAACTGTAGAACAGAATTTCTTTTTTCTTTCCTCCAATGGCATCGGTTTTTGTTGGATAGTGAATTTTCTGTCATATTATTATTAAACCAAATTGTTTAATTCAACGCTAACAAATTTCTAAATTTACAAAAATTCCTCGAATATCATTTTTAGCTTAAAATTTTCAAAAATATTTCCCTCTTCTCAGTACTTCTCTGATTTGTAGTAGCTTTTTTGAAATCAATTTACGAATTGAGTGACATGTGGTGCGCAAGACTACTGATATGGTATGTATTGACACATCACAAAACGAATTTGTTAATTTAAAAAGTGGAGGTTCGAAAAATTTATTTTGTTACTGAACATTGGCAGAATATTAAAGTATTGTCCTGAATAAAACTCAATTACCAAAGATATAATTCATTATTCATGTCGTTCGTTCGTTCAATGCAGTCGTTCAATGTTTTTTTTTTTCAATTTAATATTGTTCAGAAGAGACAGTTGGCCTGAAGTCATTCAAAGTCAGTCATAATGTTTGCAAAAATCTCCTTTTTCCCCTTTGCATTAAAAAAACTTCCGTATAATTGGAAAAAATGCTCGAATCGTTTAGCTGTCACGACGACTGTCAAACTCGTCTTGTTTGCTCATTGCCGTAAACATGAATGGTCAGTGATTTCGATTAAACACATTTTTTGCCTCTATTCCACATATTAGTTTATCTGACGAGAAATAACTGAAGTGATTTGCTTAGGTTTCATTAAACATGTGGTCCAGTACAACGTTGCCGAGGTCGCGGCCCATGGATCCGCCGCCTCCTCCACCACCACACAAAGCGACAACATTACAGAGGCATTCATCGAAAAGTGTGGATGTGAACAAATTGAAAAATGACATTGAAATGGTTGGTAATTAAATAATTGGATTCACCTTTTTGCTTCTTAAAAACCCTAATTAATATTTTTCAGTTGTCAAAACAATTGGAAATTGTGAAAGCAAGGCTCGAATCCGCTTTATCTGAAAACGACGGGACGGATAGTGGAACTATCAGATCAAGGTTCGGTTTTTTGCGACTTTCTTTCCGAAATCAGCCAATTGCTAATTGCAATAGGATGCAAATAAACGAAATAATCGGTTTATAGAGATGACTCAACAGATTCGAGACTCTCTACTGCACTTTTTTCGTCCCCGTCGCAAGAGTCCTGTGGTCATACTCCTACGCCACAACCCACCGAGGCGACATTAGGTAATAGCCACCAACTTCAAGAAAACTTCGGAACTCACAAATTCGGATATCTGCTCGACAATGATGATTTTTTGAAAAATCGAAGATTCATTGGGCTTTGCAAACCTCTATCATTATCTGCTTCACATCTGGTACAAATTGACGAACAAAAGCAAGCAGTTAAAAGGTTGCAAAAAAGTAGAACTTGAAAATATTGATTTTTAAAGGTTGTCCGTATGTTTGCCGCATTCCTCAAAAGTAATGAATTCTATCAAACGGAGGGAAACTTTCAGCAAAATTGATGAAATTACAAAGGAAGTTCAGAACAGAATAGCAAAAGTTAAAAGAACTGGTTAGATTGCAATTATTAGATGATTTGCTTTCATTCTTCTCTTAGAGTCATTATCAATGACAATCGGAAGGAATCCACCTGTTCCTCCTCCAAAACCAAATCGAACATTCCTCGAGAATTCATCTCAAATCAATGTTCTAGAAGATGGATTCAAAAACCACACACTGAATAAAACGAAAGGTAAAATTCACAAAATTATATTATGAATATTTGACAACGTGATAATATGCAACGTTAATATCTATTTTTAAGCACATATATCCTCATATTCTATGTCATCTATTGCATTTTTGTCAATGTGCAGTCATCGTGAATTCGTCGATGCTATCAATAAACGGTTTACACAAGGACAGTGTTGGGTAATAAAGAAGATTTTGATAGTTACGATTTTTTCTCAAGTTCTCCCGCGGAGGCCAATTATTTTTTGTGAATCCGTTCAATGATATTTCGACACCACAAAGCTCCTCATACTCCGTCATTCCAACTATCACATCATCTTTATTTGAAACCAGAGACTCTTCTATATTTTTGCGGTATGTTTTTATTTAAAAAACGTTATTAACTAATTCATTATTCAGTGGGGTATCGGGATCTGGCAAATCGCATATTGCTGAAATGATATGCATTGATATTGTTAATCGATATGACACTAAGGGAAGTTTGACGGCCTTATTAAAACATGCCTTAAATGCCTTGAGGCCTTTTATTTCTGCAAATTCAGCATATAATAATCAATGCTCAAAAATGGTATTTTATCTCGCGTTTTTCTTTTATTTATTATATTTTAAGGCTCTTCATTATTATTTTCAAACTCGTGAGAATCGCTTAACCAAAATCCAATTTCGTCATTTCCCAATTGAAGCAATTAGCCGAGGGTGTCGAGCCAACATCTTTGCGATTGTCGCGAATGATTTAAAGGAAGAAGAGAAAGGTAAACGTTTACATTTTCAATGCATTATTCAGATATATTCAGTTGCTCTGCGAATATCTGGGTTTCGTCTTCGCGAGAATACTAGTGTATATGGCGAATTTGATGACATTCGAAATTCGTTAACAATTCTTGGCGTCAACGTTTCTGATATTCTAAAAATTGTAGCTGCATGCATTTTATTGAATAACATTAGCTTCAATAAAAGCTCATCATGTAAAGATATTGACAACTTAGCAGGTTCCCGGAACTTAATGAAAATTGCAAAAATGAGAAATTATTCAGATATGGAGGATGCAAGCGCGCTTCTCGGCATTTCCGCATTGGCTTTGTATAAACATATTGTAACAGAATCAACAGCAAAAAATTTAGAGGTTTCGAAACTGAAATAATATTTGATAAAAAGCTGTTCGTGTTACAGAGCAGGGTAGTTCGCGACAATTTTGTAATTGCGATTTATTCAAGAATGATTCATTTCTTGATTGAAAGAATCAATATCGTCTTGGACAACTTTTCAGATAGTTATGATCAGACAAGTGTTGTAACCGATTCAGGTATTTTGGTTTACAGCAATTTCAAGAACCCTTTCAAATTGAGGTATCAGTGTAGGAACATCGAACGAAATTAATCACAATGTTCACGTCATTGACCTTCCTGGTTACATACGAGGACCTCAAAACTCATTAAACGAGCTTCTCGTTAACTCATTGAATGACATCATACAGTGTACTGATTCTGACGCGGTATTACTTTGAATACCTTAACCGCATAATTAAACCCATTTTTGCCTAGATGCACGAATTTTTGCGAAGTGTCGATTCGGCGACGTTTGAAGCAGGCGAAGAGGAATTGTATGAATATATAATTCGACTCATGCATAATAAGTACATTTATATTTCAGTAAACCAAAAACGATGAAGCATTGCGCGGAAAATTTCGAAGTAAATTATGACTATCGTTCAATGATAGAAAGGAATTTGAATGTTGTGAAAAGCGAACTGGTAGAACACATTGTTAATTTTTTTTACTTATTTGTCTTTTTAGGTGTTCCTTTTTGATTATAGATCATGCACATTCCCATTTGCTGTTAGTCTCTTTGAAAATGATATTGAAAAAATGATAATTGAACCTGAATACTCTCCATCAGCAATTAATTGGCCATTTGACGGCAAGACAATTATTCAGAGACTTTTTGAAAATATTCATGCAATTAAAATGGAGACTATGAACTCAATCTCGCAACAGATTATATGCCTCAAAGTGATTTGAAATGCATTAGTTCAAACTATAAACACACATTATTCAGTCAAATGAATCACTTGAGTACGCGAAAATACACGACAATGGATTAGGATATCAGTTAAGCCTTTATAGAACAGTCGCTTCAAATTCGTGCTCATCATCAATGAGGTATTATTAATGGATTAAGACTACATATGGAAAACTCTGAATAATGAAAAAAACATTTTTTTTTTGAAAATTGAGAAAATAGATTATTTTCAGACCAAAATCCACTGTAAGTCAGAGTAGAGCATTTAAAGTTCCACCTCCAAGATCATATGCCATTCGAGCCGGAACTAAACACTATTTTCCTCAGAGAAGAAATATCCTTATTGATTTTCAAGGTGAGTGATGAGTGATGAAGATTCCTGAGACTTGTTTTAGATTCCTCAACTGGTGTTATGCTCCGAGCAGGAGAAATTGTCAAAGCATTGGGCTTCTCTGGCGAATGCTACCTTGTTGAGACTTCCCGTCGCTCCAGAGCTATTATTCCAATGTCATTTACAGAGAAGAGTGTGATACCAAAAAACTAAAGTTTCCTGAATCCGTAAATTTCCATTCATAAAGTTATTGAAGAGTATTTTCTATCTGTCACGAAAAAGAAAAACATGCAAAAAGTTTGTTCGTGGGGCAATGTAAGCGAACTTGCATGTCAAAGTATTCGCTTAATTATTCAAAAGAAATAAATTTTCATATAATTATGATATATTGATGAGCATGATGGATATATTCAAAAGTTACGCTCAACTGAGCAACAACTCTCAACTATGTAGGAAAGAGATGAAATGTTTGTATTATGTCGCTTGCAGCGAATTCGAAACCCCCACATTATTTTCCGGTGCCATTGAGAATTGAAAAATTCTCAAATTTGCCGTGAAATTCTTCAGAGACTTGTTCACAATGAACAATTGAGAAATCTAGAATGTTCAAGACGTGAGTCTATCAATTTTTGTTTGTTAAAATCATGAATACCAAATACGGATTGATGTTACGCCATTTTTGATATCGCGTCACATTGAACGACATTTCTTTCATGTGAAGATTATTAATATTTTTCTTTTTTTTTTATGCCCACGGGATGAATCCTTTCAACAAAAATTTGATAGGTATTACGTATGTAAAAAAGCTGTTTTGTTCGTATTTGTTCATTTACAAAAAGTGTTACAACGATATTAGTTGTCTGAAGTGTTTTCTCTTCGAACTTAAATTAATAAAGAAGAACTGAGAGTTTTCCGTTGAATTTTTCCGACCTTCAAATATATTTCCTTTGGCAACGCATCTTGAACAAAGAATCGAACTATTTAATCTCATAATCCGAACCTCAGTTCGCTCAGTTCTTTATATTTTATTAATGTTTGAACTACTACTCTGTTTTATAGAACTCCTAAGACAAAAAAAGAGCAAAATTAACACATACCGCCGCATGTATAAATGAAATATGCGAATTTTCCCAATATAGCTTCTTCAATTTTTCCTTCCTATTTTCTTTTACCGATTGCTATACTAAAAAAAAGTGAAAGGTTATATAATTTTTCCCCAAAATTTTTCTCATGACTTATTTAAGATTTTGATATTTGAAGAAAATGACGAACATGTTCCTTTATCAAAAAACGTTTTAAATGATTAATTAATTTGATTAAAAAAACACGAAATCCTTTTGTACTTTTTTTTCAATATTAATCATGTAAAATCATATCAGTATGAAGACTAGTTTCAATTCGTTTGAAATTACATATTTTCATGATATTGTAGCATGCATAAAGTGTGGTGGTGTGTAAAAAATTGAATGCATTAAAACAGTTTCATTAGTAAAATCACATTAAACCTCAAATTGGTATGAACATATATATCCATGTCAACCGATATTCATTTGTGCTGTTCATTTTAGAAGGAACAAATTCCTTAATAAATCGTTTACTTTAAAAAATTGAATTCACGTAGGTGAGAAAATTTTTTTGTTCAACATATCAAAACCGTGCCTAATTAAGTAATTAGGTAAGATGGATTAAGAAACCCTTATATTTAATCCATTTAATTTAATCTGATACGAAAGAGGAATCTCACAAACATTGCAGATAACAAACACAACAAAAAAAATAAAGTTTAAAAAAAACAATCGCACTTTTGAGCACCACAATTTGTTCCCAAAAATCATTTTAAAGATTGAAAAAGCGCTATAATATTACAAGTGCGATTTTCAAAATAATTATTTGTAGTTATTGTCAAAGTCTGTGATCAATTGAAAAAATAACCAGGGATGGTAACTAAACGAATAATTCTATGTACGCCTCATAGACTATGAAATGCAAATCATATGCATTATCCACACTTAAAAAAATCCCCCAAGTTCTTCGGTAAATTTCGCCGTACACAGTCATGTGAATTCGAGAACGTGCATTCATCAATTTGCAAAATCAACGTAATGTTTACTTAATGAGAAACAAATCATTCCCTTCTACAAAATATTATTCGCGCTGAAAGTAGAGTACGACCCATCATATGATCACTTTCGAAAAAGAACTTCCAAAACGAACTGCGCAAAATATTTGATTAAGCTCTAGCCGTTTTTTTCTTTCATAGAAAACGGTGAACTACATAGCGTGATCTAACTAATGAGCAATATTAGTTATTCAATACTGGAAGACTAATGATTGCATGACTTGTGGCGAATATCAACAGTAGTTGGAACTAGTTGCCATTTTTATCATTTTGTATATATTTATATATACATATATAGTCAGAATATCATTCTATTTTTTACTCGATATTCAACGTTGTTGTTGTGATGGGTAAACGGGTGAAAATTAGACGACTTACCCTTCTTTTTTTCAAAAATCCTTGTAATTTTCCACTAATTAGAGAAGGACTTAACTATGGTTCAGTAGAAAGAAACATTCATTTGTATGCTGTTCAACGCCTCAAGTCAATTCATTTCTTGGGTAATGTAGGGGGTAAAGAAATTGAAATTTGGTGCTTAATTTCATTTGAAATGTGAAACAAATTTGCCCTGTCATTCGGTTTATAAAGCATAAATAAAATTCCGTCACTTCTCGCTTCCATATCCTTAAAAAGTTTCTTTTCGAGTCTTACCAACCAAATTTGAATATTTGTTTACATACGATGATATTAATAGTTTAAACCCGTTCCTTAAACTACTCAACTCTGGGTAATCTAAACCATGTCAAGGTGTTTGAATGGCAACGCAAAGATTTTTCCATCTGGGACACCGAAAACAATATTTTTTGTGCCTCCAAGTTTTTCCGGTTCATAAAATCTTCTAAATTTGGTGCTTTCCCTTATAACACCATATTTTCTCTTTTTTAATATCATTCAAATATTTTTTGCTAGCCTTGTTTGTTTATATGCAAGCAAGTGCGTTGAGAAGATAATCGACTAAAAATAAACGCTCGCTAATTTCTTTTAAGTATCTTCTGCATAAATTCGTCTGCCCGCAGCAATATTTAAATAGATGCTTGAATTTTTCCAAAAGCTCCTAATAGCAGTGATTTGAGTAATCCTAATATGTCAGTAAACGCGTTTCAATCATTTCTGATATCAATCCAAACATTTTTCGTCTAGGAAGAGAAGGTTTTAAAAATCTGGTAATGTAAGTAAAATAAGATTTGCTTATGCTGGTAGTTTCTCACACGAGAAAAACTAGCATGATTTTGCTTTCCTGCTCAGCACGATTTTCTGTAAATTATTTCTCTGAAATGAGTTCAATCCACATTTGTATTCATATATCTATATACATTTGTCAGTCATAATTCTCATTTTTATTCAAGTGTTCCACATTTATCACGTATATATCGTGAATTTGTTTCCTTCAAGACACGAGGTGGAATTATTTGCATGCGTAGGATTTCGATTTGCATAAAATAGTTATTTGGAGTATCATCCAGTAAAGAGGGTGCGCCAGAGAGACCTTGACCAAAAAAACACCCACAAAATTATATGAAAAATTCATGACACAATGAAATCGGGCATATCCCCTCAGAAATCAATGCTGTTTCCGTCAGTCCAAAAAAAATTATTCGGAAAATTTTTTAGGAACAGCAATTCGCGCTCCATAATTTATTAACGTTCGCATTCTTCCTTTCATTATTTTGTATGAGAATGAATAATTATCGTCGCGTTTCAATTCCAATTTTTCCTGGCTTTTTTTTGTCTTTTCTCCCTTATACATACATCTTATATTCATTCACATACATTTCATTCCTTTTTTGCCGCGTCAATGTTTCATTTTCTATTTCTTTAAGACTCTTGTTCATTTTGTTTCAATTTCAGGAAAAAAAAATGGATGAAGTGAACGAGTCCGATTGCAGTGTGTACTGGCAGGCTTACCCCGACCCATCGTCTAGCCCATACGCAACGATTCCGTTCCTAACCGTCTATGTGATTCTGTTCTTTCTCGGGTTGTTAGGAAACTGTACCGTCATTTTCGTCACTTGCAACAACAAAGCGCTACTGGTAACGATACTGTTTTTCAAAACGAAATTATTGACATATTGCTAACAAAATGAATAATTCATTCGAAATGATATATGCGTCTTTATAACGCAATCTCACATGTGCTAATTATTAATAAGAAAGCCGTCTGGAAAATAGAAGACCTAACTGATGCTAGAACCACGCCGTGAATATTAATTTTTCAAAACGATGGAGTTTCATACACCTCAATTTTCTCAGTTTCGCGTTCTCAAACTGTAGAAATAAATATATGTACTCATTTTGGCATGTTTACGTTTAAATATGAAATAAAAAAGGAATTTGAAAAATTATAGCAAATTTCCATAATTTTCGAATGAGTGCAATGAGGCATAATTGCTGTTGTCCTATTCTAATATTTTGATTGTAAATTTCAAAAATTTTTTTGTTTAGGAAGATTTACCGAGATAAGGAAAAGAATTCATATGAACCAATTTATAGTCGGTGTCCAACCACTGATGTATGGGGTAGATTTACACGCGCTGAGTTCTCGCCGGGATTAACTGGTTATTTGGCATTAAGTGACAGATTTCAAAATTTTTTGATTTTTAAAACATTACAATTGCAAAAAAAAATTCTAAGTGACCAAGAAAAATACAAATAGTTGTTCTGAAGTTAACAAAATAAGTATTCGAACATGGCGAGACCATGACGATACGCGCGCTCGTAAATCTACCCCTATACATTAGCCACCGGACGCCGACTATGAATCTACGAATCAAATAACTTTGAATTATGCTAAGCTCGTATATATTTTAAAAAAACTATTCTATTTTAAGAGTGTTCAAAACATTTTCATTCTGAATATGGCTGCCAGTGATATTATGATGTGTTTCTTGTCACTGCCTATTACTCCAATAACCAATGTTTACAAAAACTGGTACTTTGGTGATCTTCTGTGTCATTTGATACCATGTATTCAAGGTATTCAAGAAAGGAATTTGCTCTAATAGCTTAAACATTTTCAGGAATAAGCATTTTTGTATGCACGTTTAGCTTGGCAGCTATTGCTATCGATCGTTACATTTTGGTAGTAAAACCACACAAAACACCACTTTCGCCAAAAGGGGCGTTCGTTTGCACAGTTCTTCTTTGGATCATTTCTTTCGTTGTCACGTTGCCATATGCATTCAATATGCAGCGAATTGCCTACTTGGTAGGTGCAAAAAATCAAGCCACCTAGGGGACTCGAACCCCTGACCTTAAGATTAAAAGTCTCACGCTCTACCAACTGAGCTAAGGAGGCCCACATGCGACAGGAAACGAATTTTATACATAAGCGAGGAGACAACAGTGTGAGCGACGCCAAAAATGTGTGTTGAGGACAGAGACGCAGAGAGGTTAAGGGCGCGTCATTCGCTCGAATAGATTCGATGTCAAAAATATTTCGGAAAAGCGTTTTAAATTTAGATGACTTTGTCGAGTTTTTTTTAGTTTCTAAAAGTGATCATAAAATTAAATGATTATGTAAGCTGGAAATTTGAATATTGGAAGCAAAAAATCGTGAAAATGCGATTTTATTGAAGTCAACAATGTGCACACTTTACACCAAAAAGCAAAAAAAGTTTAAAATATTGTTTTAGTTGAATGAATTTCGAAATTCTGCTGATAAATTCAAGAACAGACGTTTTGTTTAAGAACATCCACAACTGTCATTCATTTTAGTTGACATTGTTTTTGTTTTTTTCTCTTTGAGTGCTTATTCATATGTGGCATGCGTACTTGCAAAAACTTGATGAGTATAAGTGTTGATTGGTGTTTGTGTTCATAGGAAATACATAGTTTATACATCAAGTTTGTAAATTGAAAGAGCTGCTTGTAATTTATTATTTATGTCAGTCGTATTCATTGAATAAATGCACCGTACTTTTCAATCCAACTATCTTCTATTTTGCAGGATGAGCAAATTTGCGGATTCTTCTGCACCGAGAAATGGGAATCTGCAAAATCGAGAAGAGCGTACACATTAGTTGTTATGTTCTCTCAATTTGTGCTCCCATTTTCGGTAATGGCGTTTGCTTATTTAAATATTTTCGGAATATTAAATCGAAGGGCTCAGGTTTGAAGAAAACGACGTATTATAGAATATCTTCAAAAAAAAAAAATAGGTCAAACTACGTCGGCTGGATGAAAGATCAATTGCTCTTGAGAGCTCTTGCGCCTTTCCATCTGCAGGAATTGTGGAGAAGGGAGTGTTGAATGAGGTAGAAAATGTCATTTGATATTAATCAAGAAATTCAAAAATTTTAGTTAAACACTTTTCTCGATAAGCAAGAAAAAGAAAAGCAACGTTTGGTTCATCAAAATAGAAGGTTTTTTAATGACATTTTCCAAGACGCAGGAATAAATTTAGAACAACAACTATATTGGTAACGATGGTTGTCTGGTTTGGTATTACGTGGCTTCCCCACAATGTCATTTCCCTCATTATTGAGTTCGACGACACTCAAGATTTTTTCCAACTTTATGGAAGAACTGACTTGGACATTAGCTATTTACTAAACCTCTTCACCCATTGGTATCTCTTTTATGTGTCTTTGTAATATTGTGGGGTAATTTACAGCTTTGCGATGTCAAACAATGTTGTTAACCCCGTTCTGTACGCGTGGCTCAATCCGACGTTCCGCCAGCTCGTTGTAAAAACGTATTTCGGCAGAAAACAAAAAAGCTTAAGGCGCGCAGTTATTTTTTGCCGAGATATGTTCAAAAAAGACATTTTTAGGTTCAATAATAAATCAATCGTGCACAGAGAGCCGCGAGTTCATACGGGACCCAACGATATTGACGAGCAGAGAAGATTGCGAAGACATACAAGTAGTTTGAAATACCTCATTATACGTAAATGAGAAATACAAAATTTTAGGTGGCGCGAACTTCTCCAATCCGCCATTTCCTCCAGTTCCGGAATTTTCTGAAGAACCTGAAATGTAATATTCCGCAAAAACTTCTAATGAAGAGTATTATTTCAGAAAGATGATCGATAACCCAATAGAGTTTGATGTCAACGACACCTTTGTTTAATAATTTTACGTAGTTTCAACTTTTTTGGACTTAGTTTTAAAATTCAAGATATTATATCATTAATGCAGATTAAACGAAAAATTTAGTTTGTCCTTGTATATAAAATTTGATAAAGAATGTGTGAAATAAAAATAGTTTGAAACAATAAAAAAAGTTGTTTGAAAAAAATTAAGTTTCAGAATTTCAGAAAATTTCGAAAAAGAAATTTTCCCAATCATTTGTCAAAGGAAGGAGATTTGATTGATAGAGATCATCTGTGAAGTTATCTACTTCCGCTACAACCTGTTCACGACTTTCCCATGACTCCATTTTTTTAGTGCCAATTGTTTCACGTAACTGCGAGCCACAACGAATCTCAACGTATTTGCCAGCCGCCTCAACCTACGGGAAGTCAATCAGCTCACACCTGTATTGGAGGTTCAGTGCGAACATGGGATTACCGTTTTGGCCCAATTTGAAGGATTAGCTATGGTCAATTATGTGATATGCAAATGACAAATCCCCGTTATACGTATAATTATTGAAAGTGTCAGAATTTCGATTCCGAAGCATAACATTTTCATTAGGCACAATATGGTCAAGATTTTGAATAATTTACCATGTGTTTTTAATGCATTCCCTTAAGTTAATTAAATAGTTGATCATAAGGAAAAATTCAATTCTTTGTTGAGCATATGTGTGCACAAGTCCATTATTGTTAACCATATTGCTAATTTGACATTTACTCAATGCGCACATCCGCTCAGCGCGAGCACCATCCATTCACTTATCTTGTTTGGGATGACACACTAAGAACGTTTTCTGAATAATTGGCTAGAATTAATGGATCAATTTAATCCACCACACTTTGAGAAATTGTCAATGAAAAGTTACCCGAGAAGAGGAAGAAGTATCAAATAAGACAAAAAATAAAAACATATTTTAACGTAAGCCGAGACAAGGATAATGAAATGTAAATGTGCGGAAATGCCCTTTTATATTTGTTAAAGTGCAGTGTCTGTAATCTTCTTGATATTGAATAGTGTGAATATATGATGTTTTTAAATATCTCATTGTCAAACGCTAAAAATATTTAACGAGTTTTGGTAAAACGTTTTACTCTCACAAAAGTTCTTTGTCATTTATTTTTCTTCGGCTTTGTGAAGACATCAAAATACCGAAAAACCAAACTTTGAGCATTCCAAATAACAGGTGTGTCTTTCAGAACATTCAATAGGTATAATTGTAAGAATAATAAGTTCGCTGGAACTCTAAAAGAAATAGCCACACTGTTTTATTTTACTTGTTGAGCCCGATAAAAAGTGCCTCATAATCACATCTCCGATAATAGAAGATGTTTTAAAGCGATTACCCACTTGCCACTAAACGGCAACCACTAAAATTGTGCTCACTTACCAAATGCAATAAAACAGATTTTCACATTTTCGGTTTGCTACTATTAAAACTGATTCATATTTTTGACTCAGTGTACGATTTTCAAAGAGCTTTGACAAATGTTTTCCATTTCCATAATTGGGTGTTTTTTCCATGTTTGAGATACCATCATTGTCGGATGCGCGAGTTGATATGAAAAAAAAAAACATCTGTCGCGGATGCGGGAAATCTTACCGACAATGGCGAAGGTGGTAATGGATTTCTATATTTTAGCTACCGCGAAGTCATTCTCTTGTGACGTATGTTGTTCATGCTTGCTCATTCATATTAATAAAAGGTATTGAAAACAAATGCTGTTAGCTGAATCAAAGATTCTTCTGTGTAAGCATAAATATTATGAAGTTCATTAAAATATTACCAATACCAAACGTTTTTTCAATATTGCATTTTTTAAATAAAACAATACACATTTGACAGACGCTTCAAATGCATTCTCAAACATTACCTACAATAGAAAATTTTATATTAACCACGACATTAAAATTTTCAAATCTTTCGAGATACCGTAGTCTTCAAATTTATGACCAAGACCTCTCACTGTCATTATATAAACTTCACGGACGCTTTTGAATGTTGACATCCTCATCTTTGTTATACTTTTCGCTACGATATCACATTCGGAGAAAAGTCTGCAATAAATTTTGTCGTCGCGCGAAAGGATCATATATCAGAGAACTATCATCCGGTATTATGGCTCCAACATATGTATACGTAAAGATTTGAATAGCTCTCATTGACTCGTCATTGGCGGCATTCCTTGCAATAGGGACTTGCCTAAATAGGGTCATATCTATTGCACTGTTCATGTTTTGTTAATGGGTCTATGAGATAAGCAAACACATCCGGTTCAATATCCTCAGAAGTAGCACCTTGAATGTCGCACCTCCTGCTGTGACAGTATGACAATACTCATTACATGAATCATTTGTAATAGAGGTGAACCGGATGCTCACTCATTTTTTGCGGCCCTCTCGTTTTTTGCATCATTTTTTTTCTCGAAAAAACTCTTCTCATCATATGAAGCTTCACAGATCGATGCTAATGCGAAAATCCAGAAATAACAACATCATCTGTTTTTTTTTGCTACAATGAAAATTCTAATAAGGCTATTCTATTACGTCGCGCTGTTTGTTCATTACACCTTCAAGTCTCGCTTTTAATGAGATTGGCGAATTATTTCTGTCGAATGCAATGACTACCGTAACCAACTCGCATCCCTCAAGTAGGCGGAGCGAGTAATAGGAGTTACTTGTGTGCACATATTCCATACAGTTGTTATTCTCGTGTTGACTCATTGGTAACAAACGATTCTATATAGTACGGCTATGAAAAGTTTTCTCTTTGCTCATTTTACTTCCGTAATATTATTTAGGTTAGCAACACAAAAATTTCAAAATGATTATAGCACCAAAGCGTAAAGATAATTCATTAGTGACTTCTTCATTGAATTCGTTGCAAAGCACGCTCTTCCATTATTCCAATTACCTCGTTTCAATCCAAGCATTGGTTGTAAATTTGACACCAAAATCGTTATAAGCCACGCTTGACCTCGGTTATCTCCAGTCGGCTCCCATTTCCACCTATACATAATGGGCGGCATTATTTGTTACTACTCATTATGCTTGCCCTATTTTAGTCATCAGTCGTCTCATAATTTGAGAGTTTTGTTATAAAATTGATTTTCGAAATTCCAAATGTCTTGCGAAACATTAACATCTTTTAATCGAAATCGATTTATTTGTTCTTGCATCCTTTATCTCTAATGTTTCCAGTCCATTGATCCGTCCTTCATTTAGACGAGGCATACAACACACGCGAAAAAATTAATGTTGTGATTAGCGGTGTTAATCAAATATATAGTAAACCACTTAAACGAATTAGTCGCTCAGGTTGCGCGTCGCGGATTGAAAACAGTTCTCACACTATCTCGTCTAATTTCGATCAATTGGCTTTTAGAACGGATTCAATGATTTTTTTTCGTTTTCGCCGTTTTTTCCTTAATTGTCTTCGTTTGATTTGTAAATGCCAATATGGATGAATACTACCGTAATCCGCATCGTGCTTCCCTCACAGCAGGCTACTAGGGGTGGATGGGCGGAGCCTAATTAGCATTCTCGCTTAGCCTCTTCTTTGCCGGTCACTAGTTACAAATATTTCTTTACTGCTTTAAACCTTATTATTCGTAAAGCTCAGCTTCATTTTATATTTCAATTTTTCATTGCTCCTTTTAAGGTATGAGCCTCCCAGTTGACATGACAACCGCTGCAATTGCGAACCCACAGTTGGAAATGAAAGAGGATAAGGAGTTAATCGAGGCACCCAAGAACAATGGTTTCAATATCAGCGAAATACTCGACAATGAGCAAAAAACGTGATTTGATGAAAGACATTTCAGGAAAATGATTTTAAAAGATTTTCAGAAACCATCAAAGCTCGCCATCGGCTTCATCAGAAGATAGCGGAAACGACGCAGATCAGCCAACAGTTAACATTGCATTTGATCCTCGGGTTTCATTCCCATTTGCGGCTCTACTTCATCACAATCTGCTCACTGCGGCAACTCCGAATCCATTGCTCGGAGCGATCCCAATGATTCCATTCATGGGTTTCCAGCCACAGAATACTTTGATGCATTTCAAAAACATGATGCCGCAAGGTGAGACAATGGAGTTGCATAAGTTGACCGTCGAGTTTTCCCCGGTATTTGAATGGGGCCTCTAATTAGAAATCTCGCCGGGTGTCACAAAACAATAGCGAATCATATGGATTTATATTTCGGTAGTAATATGAGAATGGTTTGGTGGTTTTGATCCAACGCGCCGCATGCCCCTCATTTGTTTTCTTTTCTGGAATCGGTGTATTTAATGGATGACCCGTTGTCGTGCAAGATAGTTACGAAATTAGTGATGCGCGACTCATTAACAAGTTAGTTCTTTCAACACAAACGGGAATGGATTAGGCAGACGAGCGGATGTGTTCATATTGTTCGCCGCATGCGGATAAGATCAGGCAACCGTGTGAGGATGCGGCCAACTCACACACAATTACCTTTGTTGGGCAACCACCGGCATTTGCGTACTCAAAGGGAAGCGCATGTCGGTAATTGGTTTATACTTGAGCATATGGTACCACATTATTATCGGTGGATACAAAAGACGAACAAGGAAAACTTTAATTTTAGCTAGATTTTTGTTTTGATTAAAGCCAAATAATTGTTTATGCGACTAGCTGAAAATCATCTTATTCATCTCAAATCATTTTTTTATTTAATGAGAGCAAGAGATCATATTGAGCTGTAACATAGTTGACGGCTTCAAAAAAATTATAATCACCATAATAGGCATCATACTAAATAATTGCTACTGTGGATGGGCACATATGCTAGGATAATTAGGGCCTGTCACTTGATTCAATGTGTCAATTTTTAGAGTTCGTCACACGAACGGAGGAGTCTCACGAAGACAACAAAGCAAATGGAAAGCCCGAAGAGCTCAGAGATTCCACCGGTGGTAGTCCATTGGAATCAGATGTCGACGATGATGACGAAAGTAAGAAAATTGGTCAAAGGAGTTAGAACTAACACATATTTAAGCAGCTCGTGGAAGCGATGATGATGCAAATTCAAGCGATCCGTCGATTCAAAGAAAGAAGAAAACTCGAACTGTATTCAGCCGGTCACAGGTCTCGCAGCTTGAAATGACGTTTGAGATGAAGCGCTACTTGAGCAGCCAAGAGCGCTCGCATCTCGCGCAGAAGCTCAATCTCACCGAGACTCAGGTATTCATAGGTCCTTAAATAGAAAAATACTAAAATGATGTTTTGTAGGTGAAGATTTGGTTCCAAAATCGGAGAAACAAATTCAAGCGTCAAGCTCAAAGTGACGATCCAAACATCTCGCTTCAGCTTCATCGCGCCAACATGTTCACAATGCAATCAAACGCTTCCATTCAGAATGCGTACGTGCAACAATTTCTGAACATGCGTCATCGCAATCCGAATTTTTAGAATTGCTCCTCCAGCGAGCAGCTCTCCTATCAATGTACGTCCTGCTCTTCCGGCTCATCTTGATGCTTCAGCGGCTGCTCGCTTTCTATTCAATTACAGTGCCCTCGCCGCCCAAGCACAGAATCTCATCTAATGTATTCAATATCCATATATTTCGTCATTTTGAACAGAACCCCTGTGAGTTGATGTAAAATCAACTTTTCCTCTTTTTTACCTCAAAATTGATTCAAATACCCACATATTGCTTGTTACCACTCTTGATATTACCATATAATATATATACTATATACTTCATTTGTATCCCGTTTATTGATAGATCCTCAAAATCTTCCTCTTGCCCATCTCGCGACATTATATTTATTACAATTGTAATATAATATTTTGTGTCATTTCTTTGTCTTGATTTTTCATTCTATATCAATCAAATATACATAATAAATTGTGTGCAGTGCATTTGATACAATTAAAAAAATGTGAGATTTATTATATGTATACATATATAAACCCTTGCATATTTTTAATTAATAGCTGCTTAACCTTGTCTGCCCTAGAACTTGAAAAAGGTCGCGCGACTGCGTATGGCGCGTTCTACTGTAGAGTTGCGTCTCCCAACACAAGTGTCGATTTACGCGCGGGATTTTATGATTTCCGTTTAGACAACACGTGTCTTGTCTTCTCAAGACCATTTCTCGCATTGGGGCAATTTGTCGCAGTCGCGCAATTTTGACAATAGTTTATTTCCGAAAAAAAGTATTTAATAGAATCGGTCGCCTGAACGCAAAAAAACTGCGTAAAAATAAAAATGAAATTAAAAAAATCAGATACGCTATAAAGCCACCGAGTTTGCGCTTTTCTGCTCAATTTTTTAAATTTTTTATATCCGAATATCAAAGAAATTTTTCTAAAAAATTGAATAATTGAAATAAATAAAATAATCGGTTGAAGGTTCATAGAGCCTAAATTTATTTGGGTTTTGTGGCATCTGATTCTGGTAGCTGTTTTTTTGAAAAAAGATTATAATTGTACGTTTGTTTTACAAGAGTAGTCTATCTTCCATCTATTCTTCTCGCAACGTGTCGAACCCAGGTTATATGAGTTGGGGGACCGCGAACTTTGAACATGGCACGGATGTTCGCTCAGTTAAGATTTTACTCTCATTGTTGTGATAATGTGAGGCCAACCAATCTTCGCTCAAGCGCCACGTGACTCTTCAGACGGAGTGGCGGCCATGGAGTTGGGCACGGTCAAATGGAAGGCCTCCGATGAGATGGACGGAGTTGCTTCAGAAAGGGATCACCATAAGAGCAGCTTCCGGAGCCGTATTAATATCGTGGGGGGAAACGCTTGGAATGCTGTGATTTGCGCCTCAACAGGCGAAGGACGAACTGATCAAGTGACTAAGTAAGTAAGTTACAAAGACCGCGTGCCCATTTTCTCCACTTCGATGTTTTCATCAGAATTTGTTTTACGATACACCCCTTAAAAAATAATTGCGTAAAACGTTACTATCTATTTAAATAATTTTTTTCAAATTATAAGTAGATGATTATCTAGCATTATGCTCTAAAATTTCTTATCCGAAAATGGTTCTAAAACGAGTCTAAAATTACTTTAGTGACCCCCGTTATGCCGTGAGTTGCGTAACGGAATCCCCCGCATAATGCATGTTACTGTACTTAGCGTGCATAATTATTGTTCGGCGAGTGGACCCTTTTCAAACGAATGTTCATTTTATTGTTATTTCGGATTCTTTAACGAAGGCGAGAAAGAAAAATACATTTCGCAATAAAATTTGCATAATTTTTAGTCTATGAAAAAAATTTAAATTATGAGGATATTTCAATCGGAATTGCAAAAAAATTAAATATAAATTTTGTCACTTTAGTGAAAAATGTTAGTTTCTCCGATTCAGTTAAGAAAAACATCAGAAATTTCTAACAGGTAATGTTTTGCCCCAAGCTATGAGCATTTAATTTTTATTTAACTATTTGCTCTGGAATAATTGAAAATTCATTTTCACGAGAAAAGAGATTTGTTTGGATATTCATGCATCTTGCAAACTGGTCTCTATATATATTTGTAGATATGGTCCTTCGACACTGCACCAAAAATGGTTTAAACCTATATTTTATGGTGTGCCTAAGTCTAGAAATATTTGAAAATTTCTATACCAAAACAAAACAAACATATGCAAGTTTTCCATTTTGCGGTATTGATATTCCCTCATTGACACTTGTAACTTTTTTTAAAAACATATTTCTTAACAAATAATAATAGAAGACTGAATCTTGGAACGATTTTTTTTCAAAGTGTTATATTCATTTTTCGCCCACTTCATTATTCGCCGCCAAGTGTCATCAATTATGCACATGATATAAGATCAAAGAAAACGTAGTCAACGACAGGCACGCGCAAAAAAAACTGGCTAGAGATATTTTAGTCAAGTGAGTTTATTTATGTGCCTTTATATGGATGATGCTAGTCTCTATGAAAATTGCTTATTTCTTCTAATTTAATTCGTGTCGAGGTTTTTTTTAGTGTTTTCAGTAATAGAAAATAGCTCAGCAATTCTTTCATTCTCTGTTTTTTTTTTCGGATTGTTTTATAATCAAAATGAGGCTTGCCAAATTTGATTCCCAACATTGAAAATGTTCCATCAAAAACTATTCATTTACTATCTTATAATCTGAGGAAAAGGCTTTATTAGCATTTTGTTTTCGTAATATCACGTATTATCGCGGGCGCGTGATTCAATCTTAACGAAAATTAGAGAGATTAAAAATTCGCTGAAATCAATAAAAAAATTTAATATTTATTTGAATGAAAAAATATAATTTTAAAAATGCAACAATTATATAGATGCCTGTTTTTATACTTATAATGAACTTTCAATATGGAATTTTACTAAAAAATAATACTTTCTTTTTTTATTTGAATAAACGAACGATTCATATCTAGTTTTCAAGAGTATTGCTCATCAGAGATTATTGATCTTCTAAAGGTTTCTCGAGATTTTTTGTAAAGACATGAGCTTAAACACTTCCAATAACGTTTGATTATTAATAGCTAATCTCATTTTTTAATTCACGACCTGGCCCATCCATTTCTCGATTTTATCTCTTTTTTTTTCAGTTTTCAGTCAATAACAATATGTTATTCCAGTCAAGTTTCTAAGACTAAAAATTTGTTTTTTAGAAAACTGAGAGTATCCTATTCCAAGACTACGCAATATTTTTTCGAACACAGTGCAATTTTCATAGTTTGATGTATGTTCTTATCGCTGTGTAGAACAAGCGAACGTTATTTATTGGTCGAAATCCCCAAAGAATATTTTTCACTTTCAAATTTTTTCGTGCAATTCGTTTAGTAGACAAAATTTTAATGGTCTCAAGCTTTTTTTGCCGGTTCCCCATAGATTCAAATGCAGAAACGGAATCGTGTTGTTTCAAACAGCCAAGTACATTTCTCGTTGTCATGAGTCATATGGTCATATGCAAAAAAAACATATTTCGGCATTTTGAATTGCTCATCGTAAATCTGAGCATTAGGAACAACATTCCACCGGAAATTAAATGAAACCGGACAACACTGCAATATGGTATAACTTTATATATGCAAATCTATTTCTCATTTCCTTTCTACCAGTTTTCCTATACTACGTGTATAAATGACTTTACAAATGTGCAGTTCTCCGGAATTGTTCTCCTTTAGTTTTCTTTCTGCTCACTTCATAATAGTGTAGCTGACATATCTGCCTCTCCCGTTCAAGTCTACACACAAATTCTCATATAAAGCGTTTTCAATACGTAAACCATTGAAAATGCCCCCTTAGTTCACTTATTGTTATGTTCTTCTATTTTTAGATTCAAGATATTGAGTAAGTATCATTTGCAATTGAATTAATAGTATATTGTGTAATACAACAATTAAATAATGGAACGGATTATACAATTTTTTAATTTTTAATTAGTTCGGGCGTACGCATTTACTTTTTTTCGGGAAAGTGTATACATCATTTCATAAGCTGAAAAATGGTTAAGTGCATTGTGTATGAGATAATTGAGTTTTCGCAAAACGGGGTCACTTGTTCAATAACTCATAAAAAAACGAACAAGAATTCATATTATAAAAGGCTTGAATAAAAAATGTTTGCCACACACGATTGTGTTCGCATTTTTTCGCATTCAATTATCGAGGCTTGACAGTTTGAAGAGGATGATACCTTGATGAATATTCATTTCAAACATTAATTTCAAAATTTTGAATATAATTTTTTGTCAATGTGACTAAAAAGATACTTTAAAAACCAATTTTGTATTTGCCTGCGTCAATTTTTAGAATTCTTTTTTCTCTTCGCTATTTCATCAAAAATCTGAACTCTGCATTCTATTAGGTGATATGATGAAGCACAAGTACATATTAAACAAGACTATTGAAACAGAGTTTGCCGGGAGTTTTTATTAAGTGGTTTGCATTTGCAGACGTTCAATACTCCATGTTCGTAAAGGAAATGTCCAATTTTTTTCTGTTTTAATTTAATTAGTTTGGTCGAAAGACGAGTAACAAATGATTCGCGAACATTCAAAACTCGTTTCCCAAGAACTATTTGATTTACACTTCTCCTGGAGATTTTGGTTATGGTCCAATTCCATTAATCATTATTAAGTAACGGTTAGAGATTAAACCCCATCATTGATACAAGTGAGCTTAAAACAAAACCTCATTAATCCGTTTTCTTTATGCCGTTGATGCAAGCTGTCACATTCATTCCCATTCCTTCATCTCCGTCAGAAATATCTATTCATGAAAATCCCCAATTCTTTTTTTCTGTTTTCTTTCCATACGACTTCAATTAACTTTTCAAATTCCTAGAGTCTCTATGAAGATTATGAAATCGGCTTCGCCGTCGACTGCTCCAGTTCCAGTAGTGAACGAGACCATTACAGTGATGCCAGGAGATGGTTATGGAATGTTCGACCCCTTTATTGGCAAGTTTTATTGAAATGCTTCAATATACCATCGCTTCAAATATGTGCTAGCCTTCATTTATTTTTCCACTTCTTCAACAAGATCTCGTAGCGCTTATGATATATTACTTCCTGAATAACATGCGTGTGAAGCCAGTTAACTGATACACGTCACCGTGCTTATAAATAGCTATGATTGTTATATGGTTCCCGTGATCTGATTAATTAAGGATTTAATGAAGACAAATGAAACATTTATTTCATGTTAAATAATACGGCAATGTGGCTCTGTTGCTCTTTTAGTTTCAATTTTATTAATTCAAGATCAAATCATAAGTGAATAACAAGATTTGTATCAAATCGTTTTGTAATATTGCACGAGTACTTGATAATCCGCAAGCAAGACAATAGGTAGAGTACAAACTATAAGAATGGATATATATATATATATCCATTCTTATAGTTTGTACTCTACCTATTGTCTTGTCTATATATATATATATATATATATATATATATTAAACAATAGTCTTTTCAGGGCTCTTTAGAATATTAAATTTGACTTCTTTTCTTATGAAAGATGCACTTTTATCACTTATCAAGTGTTCACTTTTCCAGCATCGTCTGATGCAGTCTTTATTGCCGATTGGTCTTGGTTAGAACTTCCGAGAGTATTAATATTTTAAGAAGAGTCGTTCTTTGTTATAGTATTCATTAAAATTTTGCGTCCGGAAGTTATCTACCATGTTCATTAACATGCATTATTAAGACATATGATAAATCATTATAAATTATACAACTTTCTTTATAATCCATTATGTACATACATAATCGATGAAAGTTAGAGAGGAAACTTCCGAGAAAATAACGTCTGAACATACACAGGACACGCATTTGAATTTCCGTTCGACATTAGTTACAGCATAAGATCTCCTCACATGTTCAACTGATATTATTCTGAATAATGGCGTTTTCAGATGAAACGTCTGATGTATTTTTTCTGGTGTCGGTTGTTGCACCGCTCCTATTCTGCTGCTTTGCCATATTTGTATGCGCTCTGAACAGCATTTGGATGACTCGCAGCAAACTACAGTAAGCTTTATGAGAAATATACATGACGTTGGTTCTGATAAACATTCTAGGGCACTGACATTGATCGCAAAACAAAGAGAACCGACTGAGTACACGGAATTCACCATTGATTTGACCACCAAAGTTGACTCATGTGTTGAACTCTCATCTCCACAAATAAGTTCAAAAGAGGTATCATCAAAAAATTGAATTTATTGAAAGAAAAACAATTTTCAGGAATCGGTACTTCTGTAAATCAATACAACAATTCTTGAAGAATATGTAACAATAATAATACTGGTTATACCATTTATTAAACAAAATGTGTAGTTTGATTATGTGAAATAAAAATATTTTTGCGCATATACTGACAAAATAAACATGATTGGTTGTAAACATTATATAAAAGTCGTATGAAATAAATAAATATTCTGGATTTTAAATTCAAGGAAGATTCAGGACTAAGTTACAGTAGTGAAAAAAAAACATATTCGAAATTAGAATTATATAAAAACCACATTCAGTCAATACATGAATATTTATATCTTAGCAAACGACTAAAAATTAAAAATTTTGAGCAAGTTTTGTTAATCATTCATTAGAACAAATTGTGTAACAATTTGTATATCTCCTACAACATTCTTCTAGTAGCACTCCGAAAACGCTCAGTTTTCTGCGAGTGTCACTGCTCTTCATGGTCGTTGTGAAAACATCTAACCGTTCGGAATACATCGAGGAATTTGTAAGTTTGTCTTACATTATACATTATATTCAATAAATCCAAATTAGCAATTCAATAAAAATGGCCGTGCATATATCACTACTAGGACTAACTATTAGCATTTTTACGTAATTTCCTGATTCGGCAATTTGCATCAATTACATTTCGAAAAATATTTGTACATCTCCAAATGATACTTTTGGACTTATTCACAACTTTTATTTACCTTTTTTTCTGAATTCATTTGTTGAAAAGAACATTATAATATGATTCGAGCAATTAATCCCGAATAATTTGCTTCGAATTCTGGAGTCCGATTTCCACATGAACAGACATCGCATTGTTACTAGGGTTCCTTCTAAATTGGAATTATATGAACTCAGCATTTCTTGGAAGTATACATTGTCAATGAATGCAAGCAAACAATAACAAATGAGTTTCAATTCCTTCGTAATAGTTTTTTTTATTTATTCTGTTGGCAATTTTCATAGTTTTTCGCAAGAACAATTGTATACAAACATCAAAAACATTTTCGTTTAGTATTCAGTTAGTTTTTTTCTGTTATCGAGCGTTAAAGGGCAATTAAATCACGTGTTGAACGACAAACCAAGCAAAAGAGCCGTTTGCAGCAATTTCAGAATGTGCACAAGTTTCGTATTGTATTATGTACAGTCTATGTTGTGTTGGTAGTACGGCACCTCAATTAGTATCTGTAAGTGAAGAACTATTTTTATGGGCACTTTATGTTTTATGCATAGTAAAATTATAGATTCCGATATTCGATCAGAAGAATGTCATAAGGTGACCAATTTCATCAATCTTTGGTAATTATAACGGTACTCGCCTTTTCACAGCTTAAGTTCAATTTTTAATTACTGCAAATAAAATGCTATGCGAAGGTAAAATGAATTAAATTATTTCAAAAAGTGGTGGCGCGGGTTTAAAATATATTTCTTTGCAATTTATTTACTGGAGCCAAAGTTAATAGTGCACCTCATATTTTTAATGTGCAGTCCTCAAAGAAGTTTTCAGCTTTCAGGTATTTTTTTAAAACTATACTGATGCTTTATAATTAGATCAACTCAAGTTGCCCATTTTTTTTTAATTTGTATTTTTTCTCTCGCAAAATAGTTGCTGTTCCAAGCTGCATTATTTTCGCGTATGTTCATCCAACAATGGCACTGCCGAAAAAAACCTATTTGCGATATTCCAATAATTCGCAACTATGCAGTGTTTGATTACCAGTAACTCAATATTATATACACATATACCACTGCATGTATTTCTCTGAAAAAACTACCATATATGAACATTTTTTATTTTGTTCTCTTCCAGAAATATCATTAAAACATGTCAATTTTCAGTCGCAAACGTAAGTTCGTATTGTAACTCAACCAATATTGTTTATTAATTTTATTTTATTAAAAAATTGCATATGCTGAACTTCATTAAGAAAAGAAAATTTTTTTCAACAAAAATAATAATATGCGGAAGAGCATTTACCATTAATAGTTTTTCTTCCCTACGACAAAGGTCAAATGCAAAATGATTCAGATATTTCTGGAAAAGCAATCGTGATAATTTATTGTATAATTATTTGCTGGGAAACGAAGATTCCAGAAAACATCATTGACTCGTTCAATTTTGCATAATTTTTGCGTAAATCATTTACATTGAACATTAATGTCTACTCGCAAACATCAAAGATGCCAGTAAAACATCCTTCGAGAAAAAAATTTTGAAAATTTGTCAGGAAAATATCAGGAAATTTTTTTAAATTCGTTTTCGTTTGATTTTCAGCAGTTTCATTTATTTATTTTTATTGAAATCGCCATGTCGAAAACCAGTTAAACCAACAGAAATTGTGGATATTACAACAGAAGAGGCAAAAATTAATGAAACTCTATTCATTTTTTTACGATTTCCCAGTTTTCTGGTCATTTTGCGGAATTTTTTGTTCTTTCAATTTGAAACTTTTACTATTTCTACTTCGTTTTGTCAACAATCTTTTGTATTCCCAAAATCTCGCAATAATTGATCTAGTAGTAAATATATAGCATGTTAGAAAAAAATCAATTCCTCATCGCACCCATAAATCCTTGATATTTAAAGACATTGAAATTTAATTTTTTAAAGGACAGGTGAAACAAAGAAATCTATGTTGCCCTTTCAAAAATTAAAATCTTCACGACTTCAAAAAATTAAGGCTCAAGGGCTTTTATACACCAATTTTCTCATTTGCACACTCACTTACATACTTTTTTTTTCTGAATGAATGTATGACCAAATTGCGTGTTTATATGTTTATTCATTTAATAATGCCTAAATAGTCATCACGATTAGTATTTTTACGAAGAAAAATGATTCTCCTAAAGAAAAAAACCCTCCTCCCTTCATCAGCAATTCAAAACGTTTTCTCTATTCGTGAGCAAAGTTGGCGTCATTGTCACACTGAAACGTCTTCGCTTTACACAATGAAACAATGAGAGAACACATTCATACTCCGCTTAGTTGCTCATAAATAACTAAAGCAATTTCAACGCTTCTCTCTAAACAAGGATTCTTAACGTTCATCGGATTTTTGTGTTCGATACGCCCGCCTAACGTCGAGTTGCACACAATTTCCCCCGCGGAGCTGTTCTTCCTTTGTTTCTGACTGCAACACAAATAGTTGAGAATCAGTGTTGTTGAGAAGGCTCCGTTTCTCCTATATTCTCTCCATTATCTTCTAATTCATTATCACGCAAAATGCAAATGATTGTGACAAAGGTATTTTTCGAGGTAAGCAATTTATGCCTTTAAAGGAATCATGATAATCGTATTTTTTATGCGTTCATTCAATTTTAGGTTATTAAAATCACTATAAAATGTTGCATTGTCACATTTAACTAGAATAATCTAGACGCTGTTAAAGATTAAACGTTCTCTTGATTTTGGTTTTTTTTTCGTTATAAATACCCTTTTGTTTTGTTTGTACACTGAGCAATATCTTCAAAATTAAAATTGAAATCCTTTTGGAAAACACGCAAAGCAAATACCTCAAGGCTATATTAAGTGTGATGATTGGTTTCTAGAATTTTGATCAAATACTATTTTTTCCAAAGTTTACGTACGTAATACAATTAAATTTTTTTATTTTAACGCCTCTTGGTAATTTTGAATTATCTTTGATTCGAAACTGCGTAGCCCAATTAAAAAAAAGCGGTTGATCCAAATATGCCTATGCACTCTGATCAAGAAATGATGAATTACGCATTTGTTAAAAGAAAATAAAGTGTATGAAACAAGGAAGAACTAGGAGAAGGGATATGTCAAGTAGCGATCAAATCATGTTACTATAATCTAGTTTCTAAACGTGCATGATCAATTTTCTTCTTTTTTCCAAGCAATTTTTTGTGTTTCGGTTTTGGCTTTGTTCATTCAACCGCACAAGAGAAAATTATTATTTAGGTTTTCAATCTAATTTTATTAACTTAAATGGCACCCGCGATGCGACGTATTTAACGGTGATTCTGTTTATGGCGCGATTTGAAAATGAAGCCAATCATTTGAGAGACATTCAGAAAACTACAAGTTAATCGCACACAAGCCACCTCGCGTAGCGTTTTATTTTTCAATCGTTTTCAAAGCTTACTTAATTTAGATTGTCGCAACTGATTGTCTAGTATTGTGATTCAATAGCGATTTAAGAATCCCAAAGAATCTTTGCTTCATATTTGGGACTTTTATTTGAAAATTATGATGTCAGTCTGTCGCAATATCTCATGCCAACAATATATGTATTATTGAAAATCTTACTCACATGTTTCCGACAAATTCAATTTCTTATACTGTGAGTTTGAGTGCAAGGTGAACTTCTTACAAAGCAATGTGTAAAAGTAAAAGCGCAAGTTTTACAAAGGACATGTTTATGAGAAAATTGAGTTTCTGCAAAAGTGCAAAGGTTATAACCTCAGAAAGTTTAGTTCGATAAGTGGATGGAAATTGAAAACCAGAACGATTCAAAATTGATCACTTTTATTCAATATTTAATTTGGCATTGTTGCAATTTTTGTTTTTCTTTAATCACAAAACTAATATGAAAATTCTGCATTATACCAGACGAAGTTAGTTTTTTTCTTTGAACTTTATGAAATGTTTTCCAAAAATAATTTTTCAACAAGTAGGGGTATGATTCTATTCCTATATTTCCTTGTCAACATACAATCCGCCAAATAGTTATTAATTTTCTTTAATTTTTTTTGAAATTCTTGATGAAAAGTTGAACTTTCTGGTTTTTTATTCTTTTTTATTCTAAAAATGTCATCCCAAGAATGAGGATCAAACATGTTATGTGCAGAATACAAATTTAGGCAAGTAAAAATGAGAGAGAATATATTAACAAATTATCATTTTAAGTTGTTTGACGGTAATTCATTGTATTCGGCGAAGAATTTCTTAATTGATGTTTTTTCAAAGCGAATGAATCGAATGAATAATTTTTGAAAATACCGCGTATATCATAATGCCCCGAATACGTGATCCAGATGTAGGAGCTTTCTGATAAAAATGTTTATCCGAGACTTGGATTAATTCTTGTGCTTTCGTTTCGAGTCTGTTGGAAAAAAAAGTATAAGTATATTAGCCAGTATGAAAACGAATCAAATTCTTATTAAATTTTATTCAGCAAAATAGAATTAAAATATAGATTTTTAAAGTTTATTTTTTGTTTAAGAGCCCTGAAAAATATAAAATTACTCAAAATTTTGTGCTATCATTTTGAATTTTATTGAGTTGTGTGAGAAATGCAAATAGTGGGCAGAATGGAAAATTGATGCCTGATCAGCATCATTTCAAAAAGACATGGTTAGAGATTGGGTAGAATTATTAATCAGTTCCTTTTCGGCTATTCCGTTTCGGAGAACAGAAATTATTCATATAAAGGTTTTCGCCAATCTGTCATATACACAAAACAATTCTAATGACTAAAGGAAAATCGTTTTACGTGAATTGTATGTTCGCCCAGTACATAATTTATACATTTAATGTATTATTGAATGTTTCATTTTTTTTTCTTCCGAATGCCTCACTTGCATATTCTATGAATATGAGTCACATTACCTTTCCCATCGAGTTTTTTTTTTTTGCGTTCGTCGATAAAAACAATGAAATGCCAGAAATATTTCATCTGAAAAGCAGGCACTGAATGAACATCCTCTACTGCTTAAAGATAGGTTTTTTTTACAAAAATTTAATATCTATAATTTGATCCATGATAATGGCCCGCTTATCACTAAACATGGTTTATTCAAAAAAATGTTTTCTTTGCAATTCTTTCTTTTAAGCTGCAAAACGGGGAAAGCAACAATGGAAATTCAATTTAATTTACGCTTTCTGTTTTGCTGTGTTTTATGACGCGGTAAAAATTATTCCGTGTTTTTTTTATTTCCATTCAATGCTCAATAGAGGAGCCGGCGAAATTTTAAGAACTTTTGAGTTTTAATACTTTTTCCGCCTACAATATTCAAAATTCATACGCAATTTTTTGGCTGCGGCTCTCTTCTTTTTTATTTATTTTTTCATCACTCGTCATTCGCTTGACTCCGTGTGACAATACGCATAAAACATTAAGGTCCCTTCATTGGGGTCAACACATTCAACTTTTATTCTTGTACAAATGGGTTTTTGGTTCGAAATGAATTTCCGAATGGAATGAATTTTTCTTTCTCCTTCTTCTTTTTATTCTTCTAAGACGAAAACAATATTGCAATATTTTCAATCTCCTGCTGAAACGTGCACATTCGAACACTTTAAATGAAAGTTTGGTTTTTTCCAGTTAATATCAACTTTCTTCCTTATTTCTACAGCATAGTTTGAATAGGAACCTTCTTTCTTCATATTATACACTCTTTCATTTTTTGCCCACCCTGAAAGCGATGCAGTATCAATTCGATTATTGTTTTCAAGGCGGTTTTTTATTCATCCTAGACTAGTCGGCAGATTTTTGCAAATGTAAATAAAAAATTCTTTTTAAAATACTCGTAAAAATCAATGGCCTCTTTTGTTCGAATTACGATAGTTGTCGAATCAATATCTTAATCAAAAAATTTCAGTTCATGAATATTATAAAAAATTCCGTTTTTGATAAAAGAGGAACCAAGAGTTGTCGACCACGACCCTGAGAGATAATTTTTCAGATGTTTACAATGATTTCGAATATAGGCTCTTCTTGCAGAATCATGGGTATTCTATTGATACATCCATGAGTTGTGCGCACAATTTTTTAAATTTTTGTTTTCTCTGCCAGAATTACTAATTTTCGTCTACATTTCCAGCTGAGATGTTAGGTTGAATTATCGATGTTTTCTTTAATTCAATGAGGAAAATCGAAATATTCAAGGGAAATTATCGGAGATTTATATTTCCTACTAATGTGACAAATGGTTCTAAGTTAATTACTTAGTCATTCTTAGAATTGATTTGCTAGTTAAATCGTTCGTATCCGTCAATATATTATCATATTTTGAATATCTTTGTCAGTTGTTTCGTCTATTAATTCAAGCTGTTCTTGTTCGTAATTTGATCCTTCAATGTGTAATTGCCTTTGAGACATTGCCTGATGAAAAACAATGCATCACAGTTTCATCGCTGTGTTTTTCAAAAAAAATAGTTCCGCTTATTCTAGAATAAAGTATTTAAAAATCAAACCGCGATAAAAGTAAGAAGCATTAGTTTTTTTTCAAAATCGTCTTTAATATCAAGAATGCATTAAATATACATATTTATGATCAATAATTCATATTTCGATTTGGATGAATATCCGATTTAAATGTTTCAAAAAACAAACCTAAAGTATAATATAACATTTTTTGTTTAGGTAAAATCAATGTATGAGACTAAACTTATCGAAAAAATTATTCTAACAACGCGCAATATTGAATTATAAATGTTTGAAGCTAGCTATTTTTTGGTTAAATTCAATATTCTTCTGGATATTTTTTTAGAAAAGTTATTTAAATGTTCTTATCTAAATTAAACAGTTGATAAAATAAAATATTTATTAATAATTACTTTCTCAGAAATTGATCCTAATAATTCAATTTAAAGCTTTTTCAAGTTTTAAGCTTTATCGATTTTGTGTACCGATTAATCATCCACTTGTCTGTCAGCGGTTTTTTTTCTCATACTTTCTCTTGTCACCTGAGAAAAAGCGAAAATTTTCTAGACAACTTTAAAATGTAGCATTCGGCATGATCAACTCAACCGAGTTTCGGCGCAATTTGTCTTGAAAAGCGCCATCGGTACCCCTTAAATAATTATGTATACACATGCATATAATATATGTGTATGTTTCCATTTTTCTGGAATGAGAAAAACCGAACAAAAACATAACGCAATGCAGCAAACATGTTTTCTTCATTTCATTACTGATTTATCCTTTCTGAATTTTGAAATAAATCCTGTTTCCTAATAGACTTATTCATTTTAGGGACATTTTTGTATAGTTCTTTTTTACACTATCAGCAGCACACAGTTCCAATTAAAATTTATCTAAAGAATTAAGAATTCATTATTTTTTTCCAATAGCAGATGACACCATTTCTTTCCTTCTTCTCCATATCAATAGGTATTCGGTAGGTACAAATGGCATTGCCCGAAATCTTCGAGTTACGTTGCCTTATATTTTTTAGCTTTTTCTGATTTATGATACGTAAAACAACTGTTCAGGTGGTTTCAACCCACGCGAAAAAAAATTTTAAAAGTTAACAAAAAGTCGCAGAGTATTGAAACCTTGCTCATATTGTTATAGTGCCATTATGGGGTTACCACATTGTGTTCTTGAATAAATTTAATAAATATAACGTCATATTGCACTAGTAAATATGTATGGAATCTTTCCAACCGAAAATTCATATTTTGAGATAAGCTATTTATTTTTCAGCTTCTTTTGCGCAGCTTCTTCATTATTAAAAATAAATAAAAGTGTTTTTTTTTTTTCATTTTTGACAATAATATCAAATGGCTCATTGAGAACTCAATAAAGTTTTGAGAAACTCTCACGAACGTGTATGTCAACTCCACAGTTCCATTTTAACATCCTAATATCAAAAAATATATGCATCTGATGTTTTTAAGAAAATATCATAGAAATATACTGTCGTTTTTTTTGTTCGTACAATGCTTAATAACTGAAAATTGTGTCGTGTTGGAAACACGAAAAAAAGTGCTGGTTGGATCTAATTCATTTCGTTTGAAATTGGCGCTGACTGAGCATGTCCTTTCTATATACACCCTTACACAAAACATACACGCATATTCATCGCAAAGACGCGTCTCAGCTATTTTAATTGTCCCCCGATTCATTCACATCTTCTGCTTCTTCTCTCCATTTTTCTTCTGACATCATTCACTACGTGAATCCAATTTGACATCAAGAATAATAAGATTTGCCGTGTCAAAACATTTTGAATTTGTTGTTTTTTTTTTCGTGAACACAAGACTCGATGCAACAATGCGTCGTTTAATTAAAGACATAAAGAAGGATGATTAATGTTTCAGAATTAAAGATCTTACGCACATTTCCATTCTCAAAATCTGTTTATCGCTTTAACACACCTTATAAATTTGCGTAATATAATTTGCGGGTGATTGCACATTCGTTCCAGCAAGTGTTTATTACAACATAACAGCAACTACACTAAATAGTATTAACAAATTTTTTCAGCATGCGATGAGTGATTCATCTCAACATCTACGGTTGGCATTAACCGTGACCCATTTGATGCTTGTTGCTCTGGGTTCCGTCAACCTCGTTGTGATTTTACTGATAATCACGAGACCGTATGAAGTTAATAAACGATTAACGTTTTCAAAATCTTACAATTCCAGGTATCTTCGTTCTATTACAAATGTTTATATGATCGGATTATGTCTAGCCGATTTTATTTATCTTGCTGATCTTATTTTGGTAGCTGCCACGTCGTTAAATGGAAAAAGTTGGCCGTTTGGCGTCACTGTCTGTCATCTGTTCCATGGAACCGAAGCTACTGGAAAGTATGCTTCAGTTCTTTTTGTAGTTCTATTGGCTGCTGATAGATATATTGCCATGTGCAAAAGCGACTTATGCGGACGGTACAGGTGAGTAATGTCCATTCTTCACACCTAATTCTCGTTGAAGGACCTATCGAACTGCAATCCTGCTTAGTGGTCTTGCTTGGATAGCTGCCCTAATTTGCAGCCTACCCTTATACGTATATGCAAATGAGGTTGGTTGTCGCGTTATCTCATTAATAAAAAAAATCGTGGTGTTGAAGGTCAAAGTTCGGATAAGGTCTAAAAATGCAACAGACATGGTGGAAAACAACCATACATTATGCATTGCACATTGGCCAAGTCCTCCGCACGCACAATGGTAGGTTGCAGATAATTTATTTAATACGCCTGATCCTGTTGTTCAATTAATACAATTCATTATCAATTTTTTAGGTACATCTCGGTTTGCTCTTTGATGATTTTTATTCTACCAGGACTTGTTATTTTCTATTGCTATTATCATGTGTTCTGTAAACTGCGCGAAGCCGCTAAAGTATGATTAGTCTAATTACAATTTTCCATTATCGAAATGGAGGATTTTCCAGGGATCAAGAAGATTGCATCGAAGCAAAACACGATCGTCTTACCAGAGAGTCACTCGAAGTGTCCAGCGAGTGGTGCTCTTCCATCTTCTTTGCTGGTATTTTCACAAACACAATTTTCGAAAAAAAATTGTTATTTTTTTCAGGTCACCATTTTGGCTCTTCAATCTTTTCTCGGCAATATTCCGAGTCCGCATCACTACACAATTGATGCGAATCATTGTCAATATTATTCATCTGTTCCCATACGTCAATTGTGCATTGAATCCCGTTCTGTATGCGTATCGTGCTGAAAACTTCCGCATCGCTTTCAAATCGCTATTCTTTTGTAGCCGGAGGTACGTCATTCAGAAATGTTTGAACTATGAAAGCGTTTTTCAAATAGAAAGGAATCCGCTAATCTTATTCGAATCTTAATTAAAACTTACTTTTACAAACAAACATTATTTTTTTTTGAATTCCTTGCGCCCGGTTCTTTTCACCTAATTAAAAAGAATGAGTGAATTAAACAAAAATTTTGTTTCACAATAGTTTCCGTGTGGGCATTCGTACTCATTAAAACTTGTGAATCATTCCATGTCGAACTTCGAATTGAATTTGTATGTTTCCAGGAATCGAGCAATTCCAGTTCCCGAAGATATTCGAAGCGCAACACATAGCACGTACTACCGGAAAAGTAGCAAGTATGCTATTTTTTTTAATTAAGTTTAAATATTGTTTTCGAATTCGAATAAATTCAGCCTCGATGGATTGAAATCTCAAACATCCATCAAATCACCAAAAGAAGCACAATCGATGTATCAGGAAGAAGAAAATGAAACTGAGACGATGAAAATGGAAAAGTGAGAAATTTAAATATATAGAACCAAATTTAGTTTTTTTTTCAAATTTTAAAAACGTGTAGGTTTTAGATTTAAAAAAATTACTGTATTTCATGTAGTATGGAAAACCAATTAATATTTTTCTAAATGTTTTTCAAGAAGTGACTACACAAAATCGCTTTATTTCGGATTTTGTTTTAAAACGTAATGTTCATAAGAAATTCATCTAATTTTAATAATCCGGCTTATCCCTCTCATCCTTAATTCAATGGCGGTATATATCACGTTCGCAAACAGCCAAATGCCCCAGATCACATAGAAAGATTAGGAGATATCTCAAATTCCTTTTAATGTGAAATTTCCTACGACTTATTTTTTGTTTGCGCATATTCATAGATATATTTTTGCAATCGACTCCGATTTTTTTCGCTTTTCGACTTATTCCCATGAAGTAGGTAGGAATGAAACGAAAACAATTTTTGCAAAAAAATTATGATTATGTTTTAGTTTTTAGCGGGGTATTTTTTAAAAACTATTTTATTCACTTTATGAATTTTCAGAAAAAAGGCTGAACTTCAACGATGGCGTCCTTACGACGGATCCAACGGTGAAGGATTAGAAGTTCAATTCGAGAGCAACGCTGCTCCGTTCGGAGCCTTATTATTCCAGCAAGCAATGTTGACGAAGGAACTAAACTCTAAAAGCATAAATGAACATTGTGCAGAAATAATTAGTCTACATTCGGGTTATTGGTTTGCTTGATATGATATGTTTGCCCATTTTTTTTGCTTATTTACGATGTTTCCGAATGACGTGAAGCTATTTCTAAAGACGATAAGATATCAAACTTTTTCGCAAATTTGATACTTTCAACTTTTAGATCACAAGTTTTTCGATCTCTTTCCGGAATTGTCTAATTTGCCATCTTGTAATTCATTTTTGTTCGGGTTTCAGCCCGCAGTTGTTTGAACAGATATTAATTTATTTTATGACGCTTTGCTGCATTGAGAATAAAGTTCAACAAGAAAGACGAATTAAACGACGTTAGTAGATGTAGTTTGTGTGGGCTTATTTGCAACAAATTGATCCTGGAGATGCCGGATCCTAGAAAATGAATATTTAGTGACGGATAAACGAACAGTTCAACGACACCACCTTGGTGAACGAAGTAACGCTAGGGACGCAGGAAAGTCCAGCAGGACAACCATCAGCACCGTCGGATGGATCGCAAAGCACTGGAAGGCCACTGTATGAAGTTCCAGCAGGACATTCTGAAAAAAATCAATTTTTAAAAAACATTTCTAGAACTTTGAGGTCAAGTTTTTGCAGAGAAGAATCGGCCATCCTGACTCACACTTGTTAAAGAACATTGGGAATGTTTTGAAAATCTGAAAGAGTTAAAAATCTTAAATTATTTTCATTATATTGTTCCAGCTTCATCTTTAAAAAAATGTTATTTTTGAAGAAAAATAATTCTAAGTCGCATCTTTACCCGGAGCTACTGTTCCAGGCTTGTTTTTACAGCAAACGCGTTTTACAGAAGAAACATCCATAACGCAAGGATTTCCACCGCAGTCCGCATCCGACCCACATTCGCCACCGGATTCAAGAAATGGGAAATAGCAATCCGACACTAGAAAACGTTAAGGAATCCTGAGTAAATATCTGGAACTCACAAGATAATGCGAAGAAGGTGGAAATGAAAGCTCCGATGGTTAAAAATTTCATTCTGTCGCTGACGAATGAATGTTTCAGAATGTTTCAAGTTATATATGCAAGTTAGATTATTTGCTCAGCTTTCCTATGGCAAGTTGGCGTTAGAATGACTATCTGTTCCGATTTTTTGGAATTCTTTGTCGAATTCAATGTTTATTCACATGCTCGTTGTTAACAATGTTGATTTTCGAATGTTGACCCCTTTCAGGCACCAAGTTCCGTTGTGATACTGGACCATCACATCTAAATATAGACATGGCAAGTAAACATTAATAATAGTTTTCAATCCGATGCGGATCGCAATAAATAAATAAATACATAAATCCAAAAAAGATGTTCAGGCTGAAAATATTTTTTTGCATTGTGTTCCTACAAAAACAAATAAATGAAACAAGGTTCTGACGTCATACCACTCAATGAAATTTTTGAAACCATGAATGTGGGAAGCATTGAAGCAATTATGTGTTTTGTGATTTTGTCGTAAAAAAAACGTTATCATTGCGATGTGCACGTAACATACAAAATTGGATAAAATTTCACATAAATAATTAACGGACATGTATTATATTCAAATAGTATTTAAAAATTTTAAAATTATTAGTAGCAATTATAACTTTCCAATTACTAATGATTTCCAAACGAGAAAAACCAATTGTTTCTGTAGGGCAAATAATAAATGTTTTTTGTCCATAAAGAACATCTGCCCGATGTTCTATTATTTCCGTTGCGACTTTGAAAACAAAAACGTCAATTAGAAATGAAATTTTTGATGGGAAAATCCAATTACATAAAGTTCATAAAAGTTGCTTTCTCGGAAAGTGGTGCAGAAAAAATAATATCGGCTTCAATGTATTGAAATCTAATTTTATAATCGTCATCATATTTACAATAGAATCTCAACAATCGCAAGCCAGAAAAGGAGAGCCATTTATATAGTTGAAGAAACTTTATCAGTAAGCTCAAGGATATATTTTATTCGAAGAACGTGGTTTCTTTTTTTTTTTTCATAGTATTTATTTTAAAAAAGATTAGAATTTCAAATCTAACGTTTTTTAATTGTCTTCTTTTTCAATATTTTCTCTCACAATGAAAAGAGCATGTAATCCAAACGTATATATATATATATATATATATATATTCACTTTCATGTGTATATCGCTTTTCATTTTACTGCTCTCACGTGTTCGCTTCGTGCCGAAACAGAACGACTCGAAGCAATACTATTACAAAGCATCACACTATTGGGTGCATTTTTTCGTAAAAAAGAACTACTTGCTCTAGGCTTCTTCCATTCATCCTCTGCAATATTCGCACTATTTCTCAACTTCTTTCGCTATAGTTAGCAGATGTGCCAGTTTCGTATTCCTTTTCGTTTTTCTTCGTTTGTTCTTTTTTTATGCGCATTTTATACTTTTCTCTTCTCCAGAACGTGTTTCAATCAATTGATAATGCATTCAGAGAAGTATTCATAATGAATATTCCCAAAATTTGCCGTTTCTCAAAAAAATAACTTGTGGGTGGGCGGTTGACATTTATAACTGCTGCGAAGCGAAAATTTAGTAGGTAGGTTTTTTTTCGTGAAAAAGCATGTACGCTTTGTCACGTATTCACTAAGCGATAAATCTCTGGAATGCGCTTGTCAACGAATATTTAACAATCCAATTTGCCTGTTTTCATCAACCCATATCATTGTTGACGATAAGTGTTTAATTCGTGACGAAACGGGTTTATTACAATTTGTTTATCTTTTTTCTATCGTCAGGTGAATGTTCTGCAGAGTCTCCAGTTTCAATTGATATCAGAACAATTAGATAGACAATGAACTTTGAGTACAACAAATAATCAAAAACGATTATTACGAGCTCTTGAAATACTATTTGTGAGATTGAAATCAACGTCGTGCACTTGACTAACGTCAGGCTGTGTTGCATGCACTTTAAGGCATTTTGAAAACAACTACTTGTTCGTTTTATCCCGAGTCACACTTTAATCAGGCAAAAAAACCTAGAAAACAACAATTACCCAGATGATAAAAATCGGAAAAAAATGAAATCAACCATTTTCGTGATCCCATGACTCAGTCACGTGTATCTATCATATAAATGTTACTATCTTTCTGGATGTTTCCTTTTCCATCATATTTAAGAAAATGAATTGTTGCAAAGACCAAAAGTGTTCGCAATTGCTTCCGATTTTTTTCTCGTCTCACTTTTTTTCTTTTCTTTTCTTCATGAAACGCCAGTTTAATGAATGGCTACGAGGGTGTATTTAGAGGTAGAACATACACTTGGACAGCTGCCCCGCCAAATGTGACTGTTGCCATCCAACCCACACACTTCAACAAAATTTTTTTCACGACAAGAACAAATCAGTCACGGAGACAGAGGCTCTTTGATATTGATCATTTCTTCTCTCAAATCTCATTTGTCATCGTTGCTTCGCATTTTTTGTAGCACAATTCGCTTTTCACGTAAAAAAACAAGAATTTGCGTAAAGCTCGCCAAATTTATTTGCGGACATTCCATTGTAGGATTCCCACCGTTTCGCCCACACCGCATAGAACATTAACCACCAGAATTCCTTTTATCTCAATCGTTTCCCATCAATGATGCAGAAAAAGAAAAGTTTAACGATATTGTCTTGCAAAAGATCGGCATGAAAAAAACCATCGTAAATCTTTCTTGCCTTCCGTCGAAATTGTCGAAATTTCAGCAGAAAGCAGACATTAATTACAATTAAACTCCGCCCAGCTCGTAAAATCGAAAATACTTATAATATCATTTTGAAAAAAAGTTCCCTCTTTTGTCATTTTTCGCGAACATTTTTATTCGTTTTACGTTATACATTGTTCACACGCTCTGCTTTTTGTTCTTAATAATTTGTCTCTATTTTTCAGATAAAAAATGTCTGAGGCTTGGGTTACTCTAGCAACAAATGACGATTACGCTCAAGGAGCTTTGGTTCTTGTCCACTCGCTTCGAACCGTCGGGACTACCCGAAAAATTCATTGCTTGATTAGCAACGAGGTAACTCATTAGTCAGAGAACGAGCAACAATAATGATCACAGGTGTCTGAAGCAGTTCGTCAACAATTAGTGGATCACTTCGATGATGTTACCGTAGTCGATGTCTTCAACAGTAATGATTCTGTGAGCTGTCACTGATGAATAGCGAATGAATAATTTTCTTTTATAGCAAAACCTTGCTTTAATCGGACGCCCAGACCTTGGTGTCACCTTCACAAAACTTCACTGTTGGCGTCTTACGCAGTACACCAAATGTGTTTACCTAGATGCTGATACCTTGGTAAACTTTTAATTTTAAATCAATTTAGTATTAGGTAATGTACTATCGACGAATTCCAATGAGTAATTGAAAGTTTAACAAATTGGCAATGATAAATCTCTCAATTCGATGTGACGAGCGTGTGTTGTGTCCGTCGTTTGAATCCGACAATAAAAATTCCATCAAACGATGTCAACAATAAATTCTCAGAACTGCACCCAAAAATAATTGTATAGGACTTGCAAAACAGAAATTTGCAACATTGATAAGCAGCAATTTGTGAACTGTTGCACTTTCAAGAATTAGTTTCTCACAATTCTCACGTAATTTCGCATTGATAGCTATTCTCGTATTGTTGTCACATACGGCTTTTAAAACAACAATTTCAGGTTCTGCAAAACGCTGATGAATTGTTTGAACGCCCTGATTTTTCGGCTGCTGCTGACATCGGATGGCCAGACACTTTCAACAGCGGCGTTTTTGTTTTTGCACCAAACCAGAAGACTTACAGTAATATTGAATAACTAATTAAATTGCTTAATTAAACTATTGAAAGATGCTCTTGTGGAGTTTGCTACTACCCATGGATCGTACGACGGCGGAGATCAAGGATTGTTGAACGACTTCTTCTCCAACTGGAGAGATCTTTCACCGGCTCATCGTTTGCCGTTCATTTATAATATGACATCTGGCACTTTCTACACCTACGCTGCTGCATACAAAAAGTATGTTTGATTCAAATCTCAAAACAGGCTCATTTCAAAATTAGGTACGGCGCCAATACAAAAATCGTCCACTTCATCGGCCCAGTGAAGCCCTGGCACGGGGCTGCCGCCGTCCACACCGGCGAGCATTTCCAACAATGGCAACGTATTCATCAAGCTCATATGGTTCATACGGTTTGTTTCAAATTAATATATATTGTGCATGGTGTGACGTGTTGTGGCATGTCGGAAATTTCAGAAAATGTTGTGCGATGAACGTCAGGCGACAGAGTCACCTGAGCATTTGCCGCACCACGGGATGTCCTGTGTTGACATCGTAGCACATGAATTTATCCATGGTGAAAGTGTCATTGAAAACAATGATATTCGTGAAGTTGCAACTGATACATATGAAAGACATGAACATCATCATCACCATCATCAGTATGAAGAATCTTCGAGTCATGAACATTTTCATCACGATGAGAATCAGCATCATGATCCTCAGCAGGAACATCAACATGAACCTCATCATGAACATCAACATGAGCATCATCATGAGCAGAAAGATTGGAATTCTAGCAGCGATCTTAATTATCACGAGCATGAGCATGAAAATGAGCACGGTGTTGTGAATAGTTATGATGTAGAAGATCTTGAAGTGCAGCAAATTGTGAGTTATCTTCCTACACGCGGCAAAAACCTGATCCTGAACTAATAGTTAGAGAGAATGGTCTGTAATTAAAAAATGTCTAGATTATAGTTCAAAAAATTCCTGGTGTACATCACTTATGTTTTCAATGGTAATTAAAACTTCATTCGGGCTGGCTATTACTGGATTTCCATCAACAGTATGAAAACAGAAAGTAAAAGAAAATTGTATTCCAAAATACAGTTATGCTGTTTCTCCAATTTTATATATAATGAAGCCTCAGCAAGAGAGATAACTTTTCACCTCATTTTCAATAAAGCCAACCATTGAACCACCTCACATGTTATTTTTGAGCTTTATTGCTTAGCTAGCAGAATATTATTACCTTCCATTAGTGTATATATACTTTTTCAGTTATGATCGTTTTTTTTTTGAGTGAAACTTATATTTAATCGCGTTTGAGTGCTTTTTTGCAGACTAACCAAACTCACTGCCCGACCTTTGTGTCAGAGAAAGAACGAGAACAATTTAAGGTTGAAATAGCTAAAACGTTTTGAAATTTTGTAATTTTTCGTTTTCAGAGTCCATCTCCATCTATGGATGATCGTCGTGCTGCATGGGAATCCGGCAACCCCGATTATCTAGGAAGAGATGCTTTCATTCACATTCAAGAAGCATTGAACCGAGCCCTCAATGAATAAAATGTTGTTTAGCTCTCCTCAGTCATTTGTTTTAAAAATCGTCGTAATTCACCAGTCAAGATTACAGTCATGATATTGAGGAAATTCACGATGTTATCGCGAAGACTGTCGTTTGTTCATTTACATTTCATGCAATGTTTCAAACTTCGACTTGTTACCAATATTTTCAATAGTCTCAAACTGTTCAAAACAAATTGTTCTGATTTTCTCTCGCTAGCTATAAAACTTTACGTCAATCAGTTGCGCAAGAAACTCAGCAGAATATACACTATACTATTGTCTTTCGCGTCTACTGAATTGATGAACTGTTTGTTGTTTTATCTTGGAATAAATCTGACGTGTTTTATTGGTGGTTTAAATGTGCGAAACACAAGCGGAGGGCAACTATTTGATGGTGGCCCATCAAACAATTATGGGAGACTGAGCAGGTGCGAGGACAATGTCAACAATCCGGGCGGACAGACGTGCAGAACCAACGAACGCTGCCTCTGCGTCTCTAACCAATTTGAATGCGGTCGCGGCGGGAACGCTCGCTTTTCAAATTTGCAACCCCCAATCGATTTGCTTTCATGCTATTGTTATTTCCGGTTGGTACCCTAAGATATTTGATTCATTTTCGCTTTTATTCAGTTCCAACTTTATGTTCCACATTTATTTAGCATTTATTTTTAATTCGGATTATCGATTTGTTCAATTAAGCTCGATATATTATGCCAATTAAAAACGAAAATCCTTTCTTCATGGTTCTAAAACATATTTTATTCTGCTCTGTCATTTTTGAATTTAAATATTCATTAATATATTATTTGATTAGATTGCTTATAAGGCGGATTGCATCCGTTGTACAAAAAATTATCAATGAAATACATTAATGAAATGACGAAATGACTATGCTATTTCAAAGTCCAGTAGATAAGTTATGCTCATTTTTTTATTGACAATCATTTTAGAATTATCTTTCATTTTTTTTTTCGATTTCGTACAAGAAATATATCCATATTTTTATTTCAGTATGCAATGCATCAAACAATTTGCTTTCAAATATTTCTTTCTTAACAATTATTCAGTATCTGTTTTTAATTTAAATGCAACAACATAATCGAATTCTTATAATCCCAAATATTTTTGAAAGGTAATTATAACTTGTTTAGTATACTCATTGCGGGTCGCATTGTGTTATAGCGAGCACAATGCATGAGTAACCATTATTAGACTGTCTTGTGGGAACAGTTTTCATGGTGAGGGGTTCCATTCAAAATTCAAAAAATAACTAATTATGTGTAGTTACGTCTAGAAAAACCATTTGTAATTTTACTTGTGAGATCTTCTATGAAGTGAATTGGGTCAACTTTTCGCATATATCCTTTTCTTCCGTTCAGCACATATATGCCATTAGATAGACAAATTTAATTGTCCAGAATCAGTTGATGTCGCAGTTGAATTTTTAAAGCGCTGTATTTCTCTTCAGCCTCTTTTCCAATTCATTCTGATTTTCCAAAAAGGTTTGCCTTGCAGAAAATTGACCGATTGCCAAAAGAAAACAATGGCAGTGGTCTTGACGCAAAAGGATAAATATAGATTTACGGGTCTACGCGTAAGAATAGGTTAAAGGCGCACACTCCGCACTAAGACATCGACAATGTAAATGTTTAATATCTTTGTCATTAAACCTTTTAAAAATGCAACGTAACATATTTTTACAATAGAATAGTGAGTAGGGCGATTGCTAGATTTTGAGGAATACGCCTTTCACGTGTCGTGTGGACTGATTAATTAGTATTCATATTTCTCATGCAAATTGTTTTTTCAAATGAAGCTGAAATTACAAAAGATAAGCTCGTACAACTTAAAAGTTCCCATGTAAATTTTTTCAAAAAAAAAAACAATCACATATATGTAACAGAATAGCGAAAGTGCATTATCACAATTCTAATTAATAATATTTGCGGTATAATTGATAGAAAGCTTTATTGAGAAATCGTTGAAGATTGTCGGATATGTCTTGACTAAAATTTCGAAAATTTGGATAGGTGCTAAAGTGTCAAAAACGATATAAAAGTACGCGTATCTCTTTTCATTTTTTTTTTCAAATGTATATTGATTAGCTGAAAGTGCAGCCCTTAATCCAACAATATTTGATGCTTACGGGGAAATGAAAAGTAATATAAAGAACGCGACCGGCTGCGATGTTATCAAAAATTGCATCATAACTGGCGCCTTACATATAATTATTGCTGATCCTGGTAGCCTTGGTTATGCATTTGTAGTTATACCCGAAATGTTGTGACTGTTACGTAAGTTTACGGTCCAAGTTAGCATGCATCCTTTAGTATATGCCGACATGCGACGGGTCATAAAACACGCCATCGATTAGCCAGTGTTCGCCGCACCAAGCCAATCCTTCCTCTGCCCATTAACTACACCTTTACGGAGCCTCCATCGCTTTCACTATTACCAAATTCGTGCTTCCGTTTCATTTTTTGCTGCTACTAAAGATGTTCATCAACTTGTTATTTTCTTCTTTCAGATGCACAACAATCACGTGAGGTTGAATCTGCACAAGTATAAGACGGCTGGAATGTGCCAGTTCAACATCGACAAACTGTCTGATGACGATGATGACGATTTCGATGAACACTCGTCAGAATTCGAATTCTCCGATTCGAATGAGTCTGATAGCTATCAGGACACCGAGTCGACAGGGCCATCAGAAGCGACTACTGACGAAATGCAGTATGACAGGTAGAACATATTCAAAACCATGGGGACACTGTTCAAATAAATCCTTTAATTATAATGAGGGTTAATTGTTTGAGTGACTCTCCCATCAATTTACCACCTATTGTACTTAATCTCACCACACTTTTATGACTGTAACTGTTAGGCACCCCGTCGTGAGAATTGGCGAAAGGGAGATGGGTATCCGAGTTCGGACACGCCTGCTCGGATTGCCCATACAGTTGCCAACCACGCAATCGAGTCATCCAATTTGTGTCGTCGTTGCATAATACGCATCATTTGTGCATAAGTCAACTGGTGCACTTCCTAGTCATCCATAGATTATTAGATTGTATTTTTTTTTATTTCAAACATGACAATTCCCGGTTCTCCAACTCTACGCGGTTTAATGTATGTTGTACACAAATTTTATGACGACTATTAACTATACGATTTGCGACTTTAAAAACTAGATCAGCTGTTACATCCAATCTAATTTTATCATTGCGAATCAAAATTTAATTGCAGAATGCGTGCACCAGTTCTCGGCATCACGGCACAATCACGACGAATGTCCCTCGACCTTCAGCAACATCGCAAAAGTCGACCGAGCCAACCATCAATGGCACCACGCCATCCATATTACCAATCATATGACGATCTTCGCCATAATGGAGATGAACTATATTCCAAAATCGAACGTCGCGATGGTCGTGAATACAGAAGCAGAGAATACCTTAGAGAGAAGAGGGAACCATTCCGACAGCCAAGACAACCAACAATCTCAAATTATCGAGGAAGTCGCGGACTTGACATGATCGAGGTTTGTTTTTAACATTTTCAAATCTAGGCATGACGTGAACCATCAAGTGAAATTCGAATCGCCCATAAAATAATTGGCAGATGATTATCTTTTAGGAATTGTCGCCAATTCGCTCTGATTCACTTTCAACAGTTAGCAATGAAGTTCCTCCAATGCCACCATCGTTAAGAAGCAATTCGGAGTGGAACCCTCAACTCACTTCCACGACAACATCGTTCCAGGTAAAATTAATAATTCTCTGTTGGTAATTACTGCCATCATAATTCCAGCCACTTATGCCATTGTTGCCGAAAACAAACCCTCACATTGGCCCAAAGTTGATGTGCTCAACTCCTAGAGATTCAGGCAAAGAGAATAATTATAACAGAAGATGTTTACGTAATAAACAAATGGAGAAATATGGAAAGCCGGAAAGTTTTTCAGTGGTGAGTTGACAATATTTGTTGACATTCTCACATTCTATGAATTATTTCAGGATTCCGATGGATCCCCAATTCCATGGAACGAGCCAAATTTTCAGAATATACCGACTGCGAACACAATTTCCCGCCCAGAACACTATGGACTTCCATCGGCTTTGGCCAAAAATCTTTCAATTAACGGCATTTTGTTCCTGAGCATGTCATTGTGCAGCCGAAGATTGACCATCAATATTCAGAAGGGAGTCTATTTCCGGGATATGAGTCAATCGCAAGTCTGCTCTTATGTTCGCGTAAGACATTACAACAAAAGTGCCCCAGAAATTAAGGGTGTATGTTACAGGCTGAATTGCGCCATCGATCAAAGTCGCACAGCCACCCAAAACGGCATTGCGCATCATCGCTCGCCAGACAGACGCGTTATGAGGAGACGTACCGTACGCGTCTTGTAACAACGACAAACCGACCAAACTTCCAGGAGACATTCAAATTGTAAGTAATGGGGAAAATTGAAAAGTTCGTAGTTCGAACCATACGACGATACATCTTATCTGGCGCATTGATCATTTTCACACACCAGCGGCTGCGCGTAAAAGAGTAATGGCTCTTGCAAGGTGAAGATGTTTATTTGCAATGGCAACTTACGTATTCCCATGGTTTGGTCTTTGCGGATTTTCCTGAATTTGTTAATACCTTTTGTGACCCATCAGAAAAGCAACATTTTTGTATTTTGCATATTCCCAATGAAGCAACCATTTCAATCTAACAATTATATTATTGTGTTTTCAGTGTTGCCAAACTTGCCAAGAATTTAAAAATTAATCTCGTGGTGTTTCCATTTAACTTGTCTTTTGTTTCAGTAAACTGTCTGAAAATTGCGGACGCGACTATCTTGTTTTAACCGTCTATGCTATGGATGCCAGTGACACACAGTGAGGGAATTCGTCATCCTTTTTGGCTATAATTACTTATTTCAGACGTAAGAAGGTTCTTGGATGTATGGCATTTCCAATAAGCAGACTTCTTAAGAAAGCTCGCCAAGTGGTATAGCAACATAATGAAACTTTTTCATTCAATTTACGCTTTCAGAACGCTGATTACTTCTATTATAGCCCGGAGACAGAGAACATGGCCGAAGAAATTGAAATTAACAATGAGGGCTATTTTCTCCTCGATCCGAAATACGGCGAAAAACGTAATCTACCGCAAAGCAAGGTTGCAAACTTATCTCTGAGCGAACAAATATTACCCGGTTTTTTAAAGGTAAAACGTCAAACGTATTACAACGATCCGACATTGTCTGGAACATCTGGATCGTCTTTCAACTCACAGGGAAAGGTTAGTAAAAAGACAAAACGCGTGTCTAAAACCATAAACGCGGTCTGCCTTATCGTTATGTTCCTTTTCAATGTGTGCTTTATCAGCTTTATTTAAAATTAGTGTCTAGTTCCTCGTGATTTCGTGCACTCAATGAAAAAAAAGGTAAGTTCTAAGACCTAAAACACCTAAAGAAAACCGGAATTTTGACCAGCTTTTGGCTTCAAACTCTTTATTTTTGACCAACACTGTTGTACAGCTGTCCATTGGGATATCAAATGCCCGTCGACTGCACTGGTTCTCTCTTCACACCCGTTGTGTTGTTTAACTGATAATTCACGCTTTGTGGTCAATCCTACTTTTTCCAAATTATTTTGCAGCAGACTCTTTCCATTCCATGTAATTGCATGTTGAAGAAATTTATGGAATCGAAAAAATAATAATATTTCGTAAACAACATTTCGAATAATAGAAATGGCTTTTGTAGTTTTATGAGGTTTTCGTTAAATTACATATTCACGATGTCCTAAAGAAAACAGATATGTCAAAAAAATGAGGAGAATAACTGAATGATAAAAGTAGTCAAAATTGTTTCGATGCCGTTTTATAGCAAGTACAGCTCAGTTTTTCAAGATTCGATAAACTGCAAATGTTAAAAAGTGTACTTTTTATCTTATTCAAAATAAAACGGTTCCCCTGTATCCGAGACATTAGTTTGGGCCAAGAAATCTGGTACATTAATGTGTGCCAGTTGAAAACAAACATTGTGGCATCGAATGCTCGCGATTAACCCAACGCCAGAAACATTGGATTAGTTTCCGCGACACCTCTTCGAGCATTATTGTCAGCACACATTTATTTGTTTAGAAGCATTACTGATAAGTACAATTATTCATTATTCGTTGAATATTTATTGTATTTCACGTACGAAAAAAGATTCCAATTGTCAACATCGTTGTGTGTTTGTCTGTGTGTTGGTGATGTGTTCGTCGTTTTCCACTGGAAAGCATTGTCTTATAAGTTTTTTCTTTCTCGGAGTGACTGTTTGGCTTTTTCTGAGTTGCACGCGCAAATTCGAGCTGAGTGCACTAGAATGGTTTTTTTGTCGTCTGAGCAAACCCCATTGCCAATTTCCCTCAATCGTTTAGCACCTTCAACATTGTTTTCGATAACAATCAAATTACTCAATTAGTTTTAATTGTGAGTTTGCTGAAACATACTTGTTGTGAACAACTTCATTAATCAGAACGCTATTCGATCATGCATTACTCCGGAAATCATATTTCTCGTTTAAGATGACGGCTGCTTCATCTCGGCTATCGGTGCCAAACGAAATGACAATGGGTGACTACTATTGCACGACCGGAGATTTGCATATTCGTCAAAACCCCAACCACCTCGACTACACATCGGCTTCATCTAGCACTAATGGATCATCTGCAGCAGAAAAAATCATTCCATTTCATCGTGCACCCGTTCCGAGTATTACAACAACAACGAGTAAGTTATTTGTGACTTGTTAAATTTTGAGAAAAGAGGTTTCCAAAAAAAACACAGTGCCCTGACAACACACCTATCAGATAATCACAGCCCTTTTTTCGAATGACACAAACCCTATTATTAGTTGCCAAGCGCTTTTGAATAAACGCGCGAACACCTTGTGACTTGTAAGCGCTTTTTAACCTCGCAACTTTATTTATTCGTGATTTTTTTATTAATTTGAGAATTTTTACAAACGCTGCATGTTTTCAATCGAACTTTAAAGATTAGCTCCAAATGTCGGATCGCGAGGGAGGTAGAGTCACGCGCATAAGTTATATCAAGGCTAAGCTACGTGGAAAATGGTCAGAAGGCAGTTCGCTTTTACGTGGAAGGGCGCTCAATAGTCTTGATAAGATCGCATCAAGTATGAATGTTAAAAACAAAATGTTTTTGATGTCCTCTGTTTACCCAGAGAGAGTTATCAATGTGATGGCAACAAACATTGTGCAGAGCTGAACAGAAATTAGTAATTTGAAACGTCAGGTTCATGTTCATTTTTTCAGGTGAGAACACATCGGATGACGGCCGTAGCGTAATGAGTCCGAATGAGAAGACCAACAAGGTGGATTACCATTATTTGTGTCCGGAAGATGGCGGCGTTTATGGCGCCGGACCAATTGTGGAGAAAAAGAAGGAGAAGGTTTGAAGAATTACTTCAATTCATTTTCAAAATAAATGGTTTCAGTTGTCCTCCGGACTATCTGTCCGCCGTGCTGCTTCATTCACCTTCTCGCCAAAGAATTCATCCGCGAAGAACAATCTTCGTCCACAACAGCTCCGCGAGTCTGACGAGAATCCAAAGGAGAAGCGGAAGTTATTGTAAGTTGTTAATGCTTTAACCAACGTCCACTGGGAAAACGAAAAGTGCCAAGTCAAGTAAACGTTTTTCTTTGCAAAAACGATGTTGCTCTGATTGTGATTCCTTCTTAACCTATGTCAGCGATTGGGTTTGCGTCTTTCTAGTTCCTCATTTTCTTGTATCTGTGAATTTTGGCCTTCATTAGACGACACAAGGCATGATCAAAAAGCAAGACCATTACTCCATTTATATGGAAAATCTTCGGCGAATTTGCTAATAATTGCGAGCAAGCCATCATAAGAATAGCTCTTGTTTACTATTAAAAAATATATATATACCCACATATGATGTCAGCGCAGATGTGCAAAATTTTTCTCGAAAAAAAAAACGTTTGAACCGAGAAAAGAACCCATGGACAAGTGCAACTGTTGTTGTTGAAAAGATCAGAAACCGAGACAATGTTTCTCTCATCCTTATCGTCGACTAAACTACAGCGAAGAATTCCGGAACAATAGTAGTGTTGTTGTTCAAGTGCTTCGAGTAGCACAAAGCGTGCCGTGCAAAAATTATGAATGTCTTTGGTTTTCATTCTTACTGACTTATGATGGGCCCACTTTCTAATCTTGTCTTTAGTGCGCGACGATTGATGAATTGAGCAAATCTTCTAAACACGCTATTAGGCGAAAACTGAAATTTTGCCAACTTGCGGATTACGGAAACGAACCTCGACGAGGAAGGAAATTTTAGACAAAATTCTCGGAATTTGACTGATAAGTGGGATGCCATGGGCTTTTGAATCGTTAATGTGGTTCTTTTTGTTTCAAATTGTCAAGGCCGCTGAAGCGTTTCTAAATTTTTTTGTCGCTTCACGTGAGCGCCCTCCGAAATTGGATGAATAAATTTTCGGGCCTGCGTTTGGTGTGAAGGTTCGCGCTATTTGGCGGCTAGCGAATTTTCAAATTTTCCATGTTTTTTTTCGGTCGTCGACGTCTTCTCTTTTTGCTTATTCGATTCTATCCAGTCATTTTTTTTCGCTTCTTTGATAGAACACCAACCATTATTCGCTGGTGCACATTCACCGGGACCCGCTTTTCCCCTTCATCTGCATCTTCAATTTTTCTTCTTTGCCTTCTTCTTCTCCATCTTGTTCATATGCATTAACTCAAAAAAAAAAAGTTCCGCCCATGCAAAAAGCCAAAGGCGGCATAAGCAAAATCTTGAAGACATTGCCGCAAAACGGCTTCTGCTGAAGTTTTGTGATTTTGACGTCTAATTGCTTACTCGTTCTGCCGCTCTCTTAACTTTTTTGTCAATCGTGAATTTGGAAGAAGAAAAACATGGATATTCGCCGAAAAATTAGTGTGCCGCTACCTGTCAGCGCCTCAAAGCGCATTGTGCACAAATGGGCTTCAGTTCGCGAGATGGAGTCGTTGAGTATTTCGCCTCCAGTTGCTTCAACCAGGCAAGATTTTCTTTTTCACACCTTATTATCGTAAAATATTCAAAAATATCGCAAGTGCCTATTGTTTATGTCGCTCGAAAGAACCCTAAACCCTAATAAAATGCAAGAGAGCCCTTTGTCAACGAGCGCCTTTGGGAAAAATTTGAATAGTACTGACCGCGCTGGTCTATTCTTTCAGGAACGTTTCGGAGGAATTTATTGTTTTTTTTTTGCATTATCGAAAGTAAACCAAGTTCCGTAAATTGAAATATGATTCACCGCGGTGATCAATTATTTACTAGCAAAAGCTCCTCATTTTTCAGTATTAATTCAGTCACATGTCGCTAGTGCGGCAAAATCGCAAAACAAACCACTAACTCAATGCGGGTATTCAACGAACGTGGGAAGGTGCAAAATTCAGATTACATAATCATGTAAGATCCGCCTATCAGATAATGAAAAATAACACATCTAGGTGTCGAGTTCGCATTTGTTTTTCTTTGATCTTGCGCGCCTCACCGGCGTCATGGCTGAGGCATGAGAACTTACAAACAACATAATTTGATATTTCTCATCAAAGAATGCTTGTAATAATTGCGGCTTTACTCGAATTTCGAGACATTTTTTTAATGAAATAGACTAATTAGATTGTTTGCTCGATTTAAAACATGACAAAGAGGTTTCTAATGCTTCATGTTTCCCATTATGACGTGATCCCTAATTAGTCAATGATGAAAACAGAAAAATAAGCCTATTTGGGCATTAAAACTGAACATGTATTTAGGTTATTTGATAGAAGATTCAATAATTAGACAATTCGTTACAAATAGTAGAACAATGTATGCGCAACACTCATGAGAAAAATTTCACAGGATGTCATCCTAGAACAAAAAGCTCGCACCTATGCTTTCACACATACTGTAGTTGTCAATCAAGTGAGGCTTGCGTGCCTGAGCTCTCCTGCTTTTCGCCTTGTGCTTAGCTTATTCCCACTTAAATGTGCTAACCTATCACACGTGTAGCTCGTGTTGTATTACAAGGTGACATGAAACGACACACGTGCCAAAAATGGGTGGAGTAGGTGGATCGGTCGACTGACAGGCTCCACCCCTTGCGCAAGACGGTTACTCAGTCAGTCCAGTTATTCTGCTTATACTGTCCAGTCGTCTTCTGTTAACCATGCGTACTTTCGATATGTTGCGCTCGAGTTTTCGCTTCAAGGGACTTGAAAGCAAAAACGGTGGCAAATATCATGCCCTTGAACCGTGTTGCTCTTCAATGCACCCGAATCCGAAACCATCTCGACCAATGTTCGCAAAGAAAAGACGCATTTCCGATTTCGATCTGCAGCTTTCTTGTGGTATTTCTGAAGAATCGTTTAGTCGCTTATCTGAACCACGAAAATCATTGGGTCCTTATTCTCATCTTCGGTTAGTTTACTTTAAAAAAATAAAAATGATTTCTAAAGTTTCATCAAAAGAAATATTCCCTTATACTTTTTTTCACTTTTAATTTTTTGTCTTTGTTTCAGTGGACCAATCTCCAAGACGTTGTCCTACCTCCGCAATAAAATGGACACTGCTCTTTCCACCTCCTCATTGTATCCGACCAAAGAAGAAGTCAGACAATGGGAAACGTGCTTTGAAAGCCTATTGACCAATAAATGTAAGTTTTTCCAGACACGTCTGTTTCCACAAATAAATTGTTTTTTTTTTTCAGTTGGTTGCGCACTGTTCCGCCAATTTTTGAAAAAGGAATTTAGCGATGAGAATGTTGATTTCTGGCTCGAGTGCGAGGAGTTCAAAAAGATGAAGGACGGAAAAAAGTCGACCACACAGAAAGCTATGGAAATCTACAATCTTTTCGTTGCTGAGCATGCTCCAAAAGAGGTGAACTTGGATTCGGATACCAGAGCCGCGACAAAAGCAGCGCTTGAGAATGGCTGTCGTACGGATACCTTCAGTTTGGCACAGAATCGTGTTGAGCAGTTGATGTCCAAGGATTCATACAGACGGTAAGGATGGCAATTTATTGAAATTTCATATTAAACTATAATTGTTTTCAGGTTCCTCCGCGATCGCCTCTTCTTGGATTTACTTGAGAGCTATGAGGATGAGAATGCGCCGTCGAGTTCAAAGGAAAAGTAAACCGATGATGCAACAGTCGTTGCGCTTTATTCTAGATTTGCTGGCTTATGTTCTGTGTCGAATATTACTCTAATGTGAACTATTTTCGCGCTGTCATTCCTTCCAAACCATTTTTCTTTTACATGTTTTTTTTAATAATCATCCAACACAAATACCAAAACTATATTTTATTGTCTATTTTGCCCTGTATATAGTCAGGCTCGTCTGCAAAATTGCATTTGCTCGGTTTCTTAGAACCCAATCGGCCTGTTTTTTTTTCTTGAAATATACTCCCTGAATATCTTTATTTTTTGTAATAATGTTTTTTTTTGTTTTTTGTTTGTCAAAATTTATGTAGATTTCACTACCATTTTGAATAATTTTGAGATAACCCACAAGAAATCTTCAATCTACAATTTTCTCTCTCTCTTGTAAATGATCTCTTGTTGAACATTTTTCCATTTACTTTACATGTCGCCACAATATTTTTTCTGGAAATCATTTTTTGTAATGTTTGGGCTAATGAACTTGAATCGACGAATCAAACCGTTTTATAGAATTCGCTGAAGAAAATTCTGACCGAAAAAATCCATATTTAGTAACTTTTTACAATGATGTAAAAGAAAACGCTGAGTTTTTTTTGCCTGATAATTTCCTTCTAGCAATCTGAATGATTCGTTGCGGAATAGATCTGCCGTCAATTTCTTCCAAAGATTAAAATTGACTTTGCCGCGAATTGACATGTGATTGGACAGAAATTTCAATTTCAGTATGCTTCTTGAAACCTTAAAAGAGTAATCAAAGAACGTCCAAAATGATAAAATAAGGACGATCTAAACTAAAGTTTTTGGCAATTTGAAAACAATATATTCAAGATATATGCATATTGGATGAAGCAACAGTCATAAAAATGTAGAATTTAATTTTCCTTTCAATATCATCCTTTAGTAAAATTCAAGTTATTCGTTTGTGTAATAAGCATTATCAATTTTCAGAGAAATATGAGCTAATTAGCTCTCAGACATCTATGTTTGTTTACCACAAGTTATGATGCGTCAAAAAGAAAAAAGCTTTGTCCAATTAGCAAAATAAACACGTATCTCATTTCCTGGGTCAATGACAGTGTAGGAGTTTCGTTTTCTGCCATCAGATAACGTGGCAAAAATCTCCATCATATAATATTTAAAATTTTACTGTAGTTTGAAACGATCAACTTGATCGTTTAAAAATTTCCCCAAACTGACAATCCAATTGCTCGAATAATGGACAGTTTCGGTGAAATATGCTTTCAATGAGTGATAACGCCAAGATTGACGTGCTTATTATCTCAATTTTTTGACGTTTATCTATAAACGTCCTGAAGGATAGGTGTCAATTGCAACTGTTTGGTGCGCTATAAAAGTCAAGACCGGGGGAATGTTAGTCACTTTGCAATGAAGTCGATCGTCTTCGCTTCCCTCATTGCTCTGGCACTCGCTGCCAGCCCGGCTTTCGAGCGCACCTTCGAGCCAAAGAACGAGTACGTTTACAAGTTCAATGGTCTCTTGCTCTCCGGACTTCCATCGACTTCAACGGAATCTTCGCAAACACGCATCTCATGCCGTGTTCGCCTCCAAGCCATCGATGACCGCTACATCCATCTTCAATTGAACGATATTCTTGTTGCAGCATCGCACCTTCCAGAATCTGAAAAGATGCCACAATTGGAGTCTTTGGAATCTCGTGAACTCGTTGCCGAGCACAGAGAGCTTCTTGAGTTGCCAGTCAGAGCTGCCATCAGAAACGGAGTCATCGCTGATCTCGAATTCTCCAACGAAGATTCCGAGTGGTCCAAGAACGTGAAGAGAGCCGTCCTCAACTTGATTTCATTCTACCCATCGAAGCCACTCGATCAAGAGGATAGTGACAGCATTTCTGGTGAACTCAACTCCTACTCGGTTTTCGAAAAGACCATCGAAGGAGAGTGCCAAGTTCACTACACCATTGTTCAAGAGAATGAAAAGACCATCTACACCAAGTCGGTCAACTTCGACAAGTGCACCACCCGTCCAGAAATCAACTATGGACTCCGCTTCTCGACCGAGTGCAAGGAATGTAATGAAGAAACTCGCGTTCTTATGCCACAAACCGTTTACACCTACATTTTCGAGAATGAAAAGCTTCAAACTGTCGAAGTTCGCTCGATCTACTCGTTGAATGTCAATGGAAAGGAAGTCATGAAGACCGAAACACGTTCGGAACTCATTTATGAGATCCAACGTGAAATCAGCAAGAAGATCGAAAAGGTACAGAAATTGGGTTTTTTCTAGTAATTCGTAAATGTTCTCAGGTCTCTGGACCAAAGGAAGAGCTTATCTATTCTACCCGCTGGGAAAAAAGAGTCGAGGAATTCTTCAAGAACGGAGATGAAGTGAGGAAAATGCCATTCGTCAAATATTCGACTGAGAAGAAGATGGAACAGATCAACCAAATCATTACCGAGCTTGAGAAAATTGAAGAGAACAAGCCAGAGAGTGCCCATTTGTTGGCTAGACTTGTCCGCCAATTCCGCATGCTCACCATTGATGAGCTCAAGAAAGTTCACGTCGAAATTTACAAATCGGCTGAAAAGAAGGTAGTTTTACAAAAACTGTTATAAGATCAATATTAATCGATTTTCAGACTCAGATGATCATCGAGAATGCCTGCGCGATTGCCGGAACCAAGAACACCATTCAACATTTGATCCATCACATTGAAAAGAAAAACATCAAGCCAACCAGAGCCGCTTTCCTAATTAAATCTGTCCAGGAGACACCATACCCATCAGAGAAAATTGCCGACTTGCTCATCCAGCTCGCCAACTCGAAATACGCTGAACAGGAAGAAGTTCTCCGCCAATCCGTCTGGCTCGCAGTCGGAACTGTCGTCCGTGGAGTTACCTCATCGACTCTTGATCAGCCATTGATTGTTGAAAACAGCCGCGAAATCAAGAAGAAATACATTGAAATCATCAACACTTTGTTCCATGACTCTGAGACGACCTACGAGAAGCTTTCGGCCCTCAAGGTACTCGGAAACGCTGGAATCGATCTATCTGTCTACGAGCTCAACAAAATTATCTTGGACGAACGTCAGCCGCTTGCCATCCGCATGGAGGCTATTGACGCCCTCAGACTTCTCAAGGACATCATGCCACAGAAGCTTCAAAAGGTCCTTCTCCCAATCTACAAGAGCCGCAAGTTCGCTCCAGAACTCCGCATGTCTGCTCTTTGGAGACTCATGAACACTCAACCAGAATTGAAGGTTCTCACCCAAGTCGTGTCTCAAATGAACAAGGAATCGAACCAACAAGTCGCTTTGTTCACCTACCAACTTCTCCGCCAATACGCTGCTTCCACCAACCAATGCTACCAGAAATTCGCTTCTGATTGCAGCACCGTCCTCAGCTTCACCAGATACCAACCAGACGAGCAATTGTTGTCGACTTACTATCACCTCCCGCTCTTCTCCAAGTATCTTGCCTCAGGAGCTCAATTCAACTTTGCATCCATCTTCGGAAAGGATTCCGTTCTTCCAAAGGAACTCCATGCTTCCCTTGACACCCTCGTCGGAGGAAACTTAAACAAATACCTCGCTCAAGTCGGATTCTCCCAGCAATACGTTGACCAACTTCTTATCAAGGCTCTTGACAAGTTCGAGACCATCGAGAGAAGGTCACCACTCGTTCGTGGACGTCGCCTCACCAACGGAAAGAACATGCTCAAGGAGCTTTTGAACAAGATGAACGTTCGCGCCCGCGTTCCAGTTTACGAATCCAAGAACGCCCACGCTATTTTCTACCTCCGTTACAAGGAAATGGACTATGCTCTTCTCCCGATCACTTCTGAATGGTTGGAAGACTGCATTGAGAAATACCTCAACGAAGGACGTCTCGAGATCAGCTCTCTTCTTCGTCTTCTCAATCTGAACACTAACTTCGAAGGAAACCAAGCCGCTTACTTCTACGAGGCTACCCGCAAGATTCCAACCACTCTTGGATTCCCACTGATCATTACCGGAAAGATCCCTACCGTCTCATCCATCAAGGGAAATGTTGAGGTTAAACTCCACAACTTGGAAGCTCGCTTGCTCTTGGACGTCGAGCCACACTTCGCCGCGACCCATGTCGCTGAGATGCGCATCTGGACTCCACTCTTCGAACAAGGTGTCAAGTCCCTCCACCAGACCCGCGTCATTGCTCCATTCAAGCTCGAGACCACCATTGTTATCAAGAAGACCGTTGAAATCAACACCAAGTACGTATTCCCGGAAAACAAGAAGATGATCGCATCGGTTGTCGCGCGACCAGTTGTCTTCCTCCGATTCCCAAGAACCAACAACTACGACTACGTTCCATCTGAGGAGAAAACTATCATTTCTAGATACCAAAACCAATTCCAGGAATTCGAGAAAGTTTCGAAAGTTCTCGGACTTGAAATCACCACCCGTGGAAATATCTTGAACCAATGGACTCTTGAGAACTGGCTCTTCAACGAGAATGTCTTTGAAATTGTTGTTGAAAACAGAAGACGTCCAGTTGAAATTAACGCCATTTGGACCATCAGCTCTCTTGAGAAGACTAGCCTCAGCAACATCAAATTTGACAACATCTTCCACAAGAAGTTCGAGATTGAGCGTGAAGAAGAGCGAGTCGAGTACCACAACAAGATGATCCGTGATATTCAGAACAAGCCAGGATACAAGCAATACATCACCCTGAAAATTGAAGGACCTGAAGACAAATACTTGAACACGGAGCTCACCACCATCTGCGACGAGTCCGTTCGCGTCTGCATGTTCAACCAGCAGATCCGTCGTTCCCCAATTCTTGAAGAGACCAAGGAGTGGAATCTCAATTGGGAACTTTTGCTTACTCGCCCAGAGACCCCATCATCTCTCCGTCAGCTCCACGAGCAACCACACCGTGAAATCCAAATTGCCTTGAAATCAAAGTGGGGAAGCTACAAGAAGAGCGAGATCAACTGCAAGGCTCAACTCCAACAATCGGTCGAGCAGCGAAAGACTCTTCGCAACTACGAGCGCAACGTTAACGGAATCCCAGAGTACGAGCTTCTCGTCAAAGCTGCCCGCTTGAACGAGCTTGTGGTTGCTGCAGATTACAAGCTTACTCCATACGTCGAGAAAACCATTGAGAAGTACTTCAACCTCTTGAAAGCATATAACTTCTGGGCTGTGTCCGACTATTTCAAGACCAACGACCACCGTGAAGGAGAAGCTTTGTTGAAGCTCACCGTTGAGCCAATCTACCGTCAATACATCAATCTCACACTCGAGACCCCAGAATGGACCACCCAAATGCAGAATATCCAAGTTCCACGTCTCTATCTTCCATCTATTGCCCGCAGAAACATTCGCTATCAAATTTCTGAGAACACCGGAGTCTCATGCCGAGTTGAAGAGTCCAAAGTGAACACCTTTGACAACGTTCTCTACAAAGTTCCACTCACCACCTGCTATTCTGCAATTGCCAAGGACTGCACTGAAGAGCCATCCTTCGCTGTGTTTGCCAAGAAGGTCAACAAGAACAGCGACAAGCTCATCGTCAAGATCTACCGTGATCAAGAAGAGATCCTTCTTGAGAAGCGCGACGAAGACTTCTTGGTCAAGGTTGACAACAAGATGATTTCTGAAAATAAATACGAGCAATACAGGTAACGTGAACAGGTTAGAATCACTTTAAAAAAATACAATCTCTCAGAATTGAAACTCTCGGAGAAAATTTGATCATTGTTCACTTGAACAACGGAGAGGTTCGATTCGATGGTTACACCGTCAAGACCAACTTGCCATCGTACTTGCTCAAGAATCAGCTTTGCGGCTTGTGCGGAAACAATGACGACGAAAAAGAAAACGATTTCAAGACCGCTGACAACTACGAGACTGAAGATATCGAGGAGTTCCACCGCTCCTATCTTCTCAAGGACGAGGTTAGAACAATATGAGGAATTTTAACATATTGAGATTTGCAGGAATGCAATGTCGAGGAAGATCGCCTTTCCGAGAAAAAGAACTACAGAAAGCTTTATGATGACGAAAGCGATGATGATGACAGTGAAGAGTACGAGACCGAGTACACATTCAACAAGAAGTCCAACGATGAAGGTAGGCATTAATAATGAATGAGATTCCATATTAACATATTTTTTTCAGAATTCGTCAAGAGAACCCTTGTGAAGGAGTACTCGCACCGTGTCTGCTTCTCTCTTGAGCCAGTTGCTGAGTGCCGCCGTGGATTCGAATCTGAGAAGACTGTTTCGAAGAAGGTCCAATTCACATGCTTGCCACGTCACAACTCAAACGCTCGTCGCTTCTTGAAGGATGCTAAATCGGACATTCTCCGTTTGGAAGACTATCCAGTTTCCTACGTCGAGGCCGTCAAGCTTCCAGTTGCCTGTGTCGCCTATTGAGCTTGATACATTCAACTTTCACCAATAGTAGATATTTTTTTTTATTTTAAATAAATGCTTTAAGAATTACATGAACGTCTTTGCTCAAACAATTGACAAAACAGTTTGAAAATAAACTCAGCCATATTTTTCTCCAACAAATTTTTTGAAAATTACTTCAAACAATTTCTATGAACTGTTATCTATGATTAAATAATACCATTACTATGAGATGAAGACTAATAGCAATGATCTAAATAGCTCTTTCAAAGCACTGATTTTAAAAACCAGGATAAAAATAAGAATAATTTTATCATTTTTATTTATTCGGAGTTTTAAATAACTATAAATGAAATTGTTCTATTACAACCGCAAAAACAACGAGCACCTTCGTTACCGTAGTTAATGAAAGTTGGTGAGTAAGAAGTGATGTTCTATTTATTCGTAGTGCGGCACACTAATTCCCGCTGTTTAACTCAAAATTTTTATTATTGCATAAAAAACATAAAAATGGTTCGGAAAGCACAGTGGCTCGTTTCTCATGGCATAATTTAAAAAAAATAACGTGGATAGCATATCGTTTGGTCTTTCTGGTAATATTTTTTCTTATAATACATGATGCGCTTTTTAGAGATGATGTCATTGATCTACATTTTCTTCGACCATTCTTAAATTCGTTAAAAGCTGTTGACCAAGCAAAAATCAACAACAAATTAAGTTTACATATCGCCAATTTGTTTTATCGGATCCTAGTACTATAAATGGTCGACGGACAAATGAAGGATGAAGAAACGTGGTGGAAAATACCCCAGGAAAAGATGAGTAAAAAAGTGAAATTAAAAAAACGTAAGAAGATAGTCTTCTTTTGCTATTGCGCAGGAAATTTTTTTCAATCTATTAGACGTCCCAAGTTTAGCAACATTAACTTGCGTAAATTAAAATTTGGATCCACTGTTTTTATATTCTCGTTCAATATTAATTATTTGAATAATTGACTTTATAGTCGGCGCCAAGCGACTGCTGTATGGCAGTAGATTTTACAGGCGCTGTTGTTTCTCGCGGAAAAACTGATTGTTAATTAATTAATTTTTTACTTATTTGAATCATTTTTAATATATATATATATATATTAAAAATGATTTCAAATGATTAACAAAATATATAATCTTAAAGTGCATAGAATTTACAAATTGACATTCACACGTGTTGAGACCATGACGAAAGGCGCGCTTGTAAACTTTATATAAATTTGTCGCGGGTCTCCGACTATGTAATTATTAAACATCCATTTTGTTGTATTGACGTCGAGCCGAGTTTTCGTTGTTAATAGAATTTTCTGGAAACAGAATAAATTTTTTAAAAATGGATATCGAAATCATTTAATATTTGACTAAATTTGAGGCCGGCCGAAAAGATAAGCTCCGGTCAATGCTCTTCCGTTTAATTTAATTTGTTCATAAACCTTGGAACAAACCGTGAATTACTATCAGCAATATATAATTGAAGAGTTTCCTATTACTGCAATAAATGAACCCTAGATTTTCAGATTTTCTCATTATAAGATTTCGGGCGGGGTTTGATATATATATTTTTAACACACTGATCAATATATACCGTAGTTCAGGCAATCAGTTTTTACGGTTTTGAATCGTTAATAACTTGGCATAAAATGTTTGATGAGTGAGTAACGTTTCAATCAGCACTCCTTCCTCTGCAATATATTGAAAACACTAGAGGGTTGTTTTTGATTTTCATTAAACCGTGCAAAATTTGCCTCTGAAATTTTCATTTTATTAGTTGAGGGCAATATTTTAGATTACCTCCCTTGGCAAATATTATGTGCAAGTCACAGTTCACCAAAAAAGATGACATTTTTTAATATTCCTTTTTTTAATTCCTTGCACTCAAGTCATATTGCATCATAAATCACGCCAATGGAGCCATTCTTTTCAATTATCATTCCATCATTTCAATTCTTTTTGAATGGCAAGCAACTTTTCGCAGATAACAGAGCACGCGTGCCCGCAACTCTCAGACATGCAGACAAAATTCTATGTTTCTCATCATTAAACACGCACTATCCAATTAGTGAGCATGTAAGCACATGAAGGGTTTACATGCTGGGGAAAATGATAAAAAAATTCGGTAGAGTATAAGCATTAACGGGGTGGGACAAGTGGAATCAAGAGGACACGTCGACGGGCCTTGCTTGAGAACAGCTCCAAAGACAGGCCAATGATAACACACGCCCTCATCTTTATTCATTTTAGGGTATCGAAGGTATAGCAGCAGGCAAGTAAAGTTTCTTCGTCACGACAGTACCCTCAAAAGCTCGTTAGAGAATGACGCATTCAAGGAAGTCAGAGAGTTCCGGGTCTCGAGGTAAGTTATCAATTTCTGTTGTTGTTTTGATAAATATATTTTTTTAGACAGTGAACTCCCAATGGATACTGTCAAGGTCCCTACAAAAAAGATGTACACATCATGGCCAGATATGTTAAGACATTGGCCAAAAACAACATTGTGCATCGTTTCGAACGAATTCTGTGAACGTTTCTCATACTATGGAATGCGAAGTAAGTCTTGTATTAAATTTATTCTCAAGTTCTACATTTATGTTTGCGAGAGTTGAAAGCACTGAAGATAAACTTATCAGAAAGAATGTCATTTACTCCGCGTTGATTACCCAATTTTTATTAGCCATAAATTTCAGAATGTTGGAAGCACGCTTGTTTTTACGAACGTTATCAGATTTTAATATGTTGAAAGCTAAAGAACTTCAATGATTCTCCAAAAATCATTTGTAAACTATCAGAAATGAAGTTTTAGAGTATGAAAGATTTTAATGATTATTACCATAAGCAAGTTTCCAAAATAAATTACATAGCATGTACTGGTATTTACAAATAGGGGATATTCATTACTTTAAACATTTCCTTGTTAGCATTTACACCTTTTTATGGTTTTCAAAGTTCATTTTGTTTATAAAAAAAGTGAAATTTGAGATAGCCGCTTTTTACTGATAACATTTTTTATCAAAAACTTTCGCTACATTCAATTCACATGACGAACATTTTGAAGTACATTACGTCGTCAATTTGAGGGTACAAAGAGTGAATATTTTGAATACTTTCAGCTGTGCTCACATTCTACCTTCTCAATGTACTTCAATTTTCTGAAGGAGGATCAACTATTTTCTTCAATGGATTCACTGTTCTATGCTACACTACACCTCTTCTAGGTTCAATTATTGCTGACGGATATATCGGAAAATTCTGGTTTTTGAAATGATTTTTGAGTTTCTGGAGATATTCGAGTTCAGGACAATCTTCTCGGTTTCAATTTTATATGCTATAGGACAAGTCATCCTGGCATTTGCGTCAATCAGAAACTACCAATCATCAATCCATCCGTTAGTTTGCCTCCTCTTATCGACATTTATATATAAATATATGTGGACGGGAGGAATTATGTGATAAATTTAATGGAAAAACTGATTATCGCAATCATGGTGTGATTTATGGACGAGCCATTAAATTGATACGCTTATTATAATTAGGAACATACATAAAATATATTAAGATGGTTGGATATGATCGGTTTATTGGTTATTGCATTCGGTACTGGAGGAATTAAGCCTTGCGTGTCAGCTTTTGGTGGAGATCAATTCGAACTTGGCCAAGTAGGAAATTATTTTACGGGGTTGAAAATGTAAAGAATCGAAATAATAGGAAAGAATGCTCTCATTGTTCTTCTCAATGTTCTACTTCTCGATTAACGCTGGATCTATGATTTCAACCTTCATCTCTCCAATCTTCAGATGTAATTAAATTTAACGTCTCAAAGAGTGAATTCTGATTTCAGCCCAACAATGTCTCGGTCAAGATACTTGCTATCCGTTGGCTTTTGGTGTTCCCGCAGTGCTAATGATTTTTGCTACATGTTGGTTAACCATAATTAGGCGAAAAATTATAAACAACATTTTCAGTGGTATTCATGGGTGGATCATTTTGGTACAAGAAGAATCCGCCAAAAGAAAACATTTTTGGAGAAGTTGCCCGACTTATGCTTGTGAGTCATTACAAACAACATTTTTAAATCGGATCGTTGATGCAGGTTTCTGTCCGCAATAAATCAAGATCCTCTTCAACTCCAAAAGAGCACTGGCTTTTGCACTACCTTACCACTCATGATTGCTCAAAGGATCCAAAGTAAGAACGACGTTTTTGATGTAACCAAATCAATTCTTTTAGATGCATTGAACTTCAAACGTTGAAGAAGAATAAGAGTCTTTGTCAGAAGAAGCAATTCATCGATGATGTTCGCTCCTTGCTCCGCGTTTTGGTTATGTTCCTTCCCGTGCCAATGTTCTGGGCTCTTTATGACCAGCAAGGATCGGTGTGGCTCATTCAAGCAGTTCAAATGGATTGTCGTCTTACCAACAGTCTTTTAATTCTTCCGGATCAAATGCAAACTCTTAACGCCGTTCTCATTCTCGTATTTATTCCAATGTTCCAAATTATTATCTTCCCAATCGCTAGCAAACTTGTGACATTGACGTGAGTTCAAGAAAGAATCTCATGTGAAATGTTGGAAAATTTAGGCCGCTCCGAAAAATGGTTGCTGGCGGTTTCCTGGCTGCTCTCGCTTTTCTGATCACTGGATTTGTTCAACTTCAAGTCAACGTATTTTTAAAAGTTGGAAGTTCTTATAAAAATGCATCTTGTAGACTACTCTTCCCCAACCTCCCTCAAAAGGTGAAGCTTATGTTAGCTTCTGGAATCAATTCAATACTCCTTGTGCGTTCGATGTCACGGATGGACATACCACAAGAACTCTTATTCAAAATGCGGTAAGAAAATGCTCATATGTAAAACCCACGTGTGGGAAATATCGAAACGAAGAAAGCTACTTTTTACAGCTTAAAACTGATAAGAAGAAATTTCGTCTTATCAAATTTACTATTTCCGTTAAAACGGATTAATTTCGACTATCAAAAATTTCACTAATTGTTATATGAACTTTAGACGCTTCGAGAGGACACGAATGACAAGAAAGGTGATCACAAACCATTCACGACAAAAGGAAAGGACTCATGGGAACAAAAGTACACACTAAAGTATACTGGATCAGGATGCCCTGCGGTATCGATAAAAAATATTAAATCAGAAAATAACTAGAAAAAATTTTAGGGTCTTCCAACCACGTTTGTTGTTCACGCGCAAAGCAAGAACGTTCATTATGTTGGAGTTGGAAACTTTGGTATTTACGAAAACATTGCCAAGACTGACAAACCAACTGACGGAACTGGAGAATTTTCAATGGGGTTTAAAATTAGAAATGGACATTTTCATAGCGTTTATTTTATAGAATTATTACCGCACTCAATACTCGATACGCTGGTAATTTCGCCATGTGCCGAATGGATGCTAAAGGATTCGACGCAAAATATCCGTGCAATCCTCGTAGCCCTGCTGATTTCTATTATTGGGAAACCGACTACAACAACCATCATGATGATCGCGTTTCGAATTTGACTGTTACTGGAGGCAATGTTCAAGCGGCTACTTATTATAAACACAAATCAGTGAAGCCAGGACAATGGGGACTTTTCTACTTACTCGATACACCAAAAGATGTACACAAACAAACAGAAGACAAAACGAAGGTTCAGATTCAAGACACTGGAATGAGAACAGAAATCCATGAACAAGGAGGAGTCTACGTTTTTTCTTTGACTGGAGAATATGTAACCTTATAGCGTATTTCGCTTCTTTAAAATGTTTATGTTTTCAGAACAAACCAGTCGTCCACGTTCTCCAATTGGTTGAGTCTAATAAAGTCTCGATTCTTTGGCAAGTACCTCAAATCGTTGTCATTACTGCTGCTGAAATTCTATTCTCAATCACGGGTTACGAGTTTGCATATTCTCAGGTATATTTTTGCTAAATTCAATTTTTATTTGCACAATTTCAGTCCGCTCCATCGATGAAGGCAATGGTGCAAGCCTTGTGGCTTCTAACAACTGCGTGCGGTGATACCATTATTGTTATTATCACAATCATCGATCCATTCAGCAATATGGCCACAATGTTCTTTGTTTATGCAGGTTAACAACGATCAAACTCTCGAAAAAGAAAGTTGCGTGATTTCAGGCGCTATGGCATTTGTCATCTTTATTTTTGCCCTCCTTTCAATTTTCTATTATGAATACAACTATTATACCACTGGCGATGATGACGATGAAAACGAAGACAGTGAAATTGAACCTTCAGTGCGATATTCACTCGACAATAAAGCTTTCGACGCTGAAAAGGAACTTGAAATTATGGATATTCACTTCTAAATATTTTAATATATTTCACATTGTACTTATTCGTTCCAATTGTAAAAACCTTTCGCCTACTAATAAAAATTGAACATGATTGGGTACAAAGGAAACATGAATATAAGATAGACGATTTGGAAAAATGCAATAAACTCGTTACGTTGGAGCAAAATTTTAGAGTCTCTGCTGGCTTTGTTTTGAATAATATTGCGAGTAAATGTAAAACGTATATATAATTATTCTTGCAGACTCATGGAATCTGCTTTTATCAGTGGTTCTTCGAATAGAAAATATACTAGAATATATCAAGTGAGTTAAAGAAAAATTTATTACATAACATCAAACTATAAATAAAAAGTGTGTGTTGAACTTTTTCTAAATTGAAAATTGTTGCTTTGTATACCAAAAATATCAAGTCTTCTAAAATGTAATATGGAAGTATCCCCCAAAATTGAATTACCCAAAATTTTTTTTTGAAATGCAAGAAAAAATCTTCAGCTTTTTTCGAATAAAACACTATTCGTTTCTTTTTTGCAATGGTACTGCATGACATTAGTAAGAATTGTTAAACGAGTCCAGTTGAAAAGCGCGACATGCGATCCACCGGAACCGTAGATCCGGCTGGTCGTTTGTCAGGCTCACACCAAGCACGTCTATTGAGACACATTTCGATTTCAACATTTGAGTTCGCGCATCAACTCTCAGAGTTTTAGTTCAACATTATGGCAGACGAGTTGACTTCGCCCACGGTAAAGTCTGGAAATGTGCTTGCTTTGCTTAATACCTTGTATGCTTCGGGTTTTGCGATGGCCTCATCGAGTACACCATTATTAAAAGGTAAATTTCATATTCAATCTCTTTTCGTCAATATTTTTATTCGTTCAGGCAAAACATTACATACCCTATACGCCTTATCCTTTGTGGTTTATGTTATTAATACCGTTTGCTCATGGGTACATGTTTCATTTGTGGTGAAGGTAAGCACTTTTAACGTTTTTTTTTATGCTAGCAGTTTTTTTAGGGTTACGTTACTTCATTTCCACTGAATAATTGGATTGTAGTATCTTTGGTTATTGCTTCAGTCACTGGTTCAATGCTGACCTGGCTTTTATTTGTTAGTAATCCAACAATTTTTATCCATTCTGTATTTTCTAGGTATTATGCATCGAAAATGCGTTTGCTCATCGATTAGATGTGAAACCTTACCGTAGTGGATGTGCATTGCTATTCGAAGCATTTATTGAATGGACACAAGCTTTTAACAACTTCAGAATGTCGTTTCTTATAATGTTACTTCACGATGCACCCATTACAATATTCAATTATTTTTATATAGCGGCTTGCAGGTGTCCAAGCCCAAAGGTTTGATCGAATTCGTTACAAACATAACATGAAAAAATTAGGTGCTTTCGTGGCCAATTGTTGTGTCGTCAATCAGCTGCACCGCATCATTAATGTGGAGAATAACAGTGTTGTACTTTTCCTATAGGTTTCTTTGTTTTTCTTTTATGCAGCTGTTTCATTCTTTATTTAGGAGAATGCTTTTTGGAAAAAAGAAGAAACAGGTGTCTGGAGTTGCTGTACAAACTCCTACTAAACAACATTTTCAGCAAGCAATAGATACAAGGTATCAGTTGAATTGAAATTACAAAATTGTTCAGTCAATTTAAGTTCCGCTTCAAATGGTGGAAGATTGAACGAATATGACGAAACGTGGCCAATTCGCTGGGCTAGAATAGCGACACTAGGTCCACATCCAGATGTATTACACGTGCATCCGTTTCTTTAAATCTATAATTTTTCTAGAAAGATACGCAAATTGAACAAAACGGCGACCTACCTCAAAACGATATACATGAGGCTGTTCACTTGAAGCCTGAAGAAAAACTAACGCAGCGTTTAAAGGAAAAAATGCATCAGTTTTGTGCCGAATTTGATGTACGTAGTTTTTTTTTAATTAAAAATTCATATAAGCGTTACAGTTCTTTTGCTTTTGCCGAAACGTTATTGGATATTCGATGTGGATAATTCTCTCGATCATCATTTACATATTGATGACATTTATTGCGTGCATTCCTTGTATTTATCACTACACGTGTAGACATAATAGTTTTTATCACAGGCACAAACTATGCAGGTCATTTATAAGGTATGATTTCGTATTCAATTCCGATGGCAAAATGAAGACAAAATGATAATTTATCAAAAACCAAAACTGATAACTCGGAAATTTTTGATGATAAAATCGGTTCGTTGAAACCGATGGATCATAATTTTCGAATTGAATGAAAAGAAAATGAGGGACTTGTGCATATGGAAAATAATTAATATTTAGGTATTTTTCAATGGCATTTCACCGGGTCATATTCGCATCTTCGTTGATTTTCTCTTTACTATTTGCAACATTGAATATAACGCTGCTATCATCTGTACACGGATTAGGTTCAAACACGTTTCCACCGGAGATCGATAGAGTAAGCCTATCAAAAGTTATATTTACAATTGCAGTAATTAAAATTTTCAATGCTACATTTGATTTATTTAATTTCAATAGAATTTGTAATATTATTCGAATTCAAACCTTTTCTCTTATAATTCCAAAACCATCGAAAAATTTAGATATGTGTTACGATAACTCCGGAGTCAAAGACCATTTACACAAGCATTCTGCCTCAACCCGTTTTCCAAAGACCAACTGAATTCAAAAGAAGCTTAAATCGGTATTATATTATCATAATTTTAAAATGCGTATTTGATTTCAGAAAGTATGCTCCAAATGATAAACACTCTGTGACCGAGTGTAAACCGTTGTGGGAGGACGGAGGATTAGGAATTGGATTAGCTAGAAGAGAGGCAGGCATTTGGGAAATGAGAACTCAACTAGAGAATCTAATGCTGGTAGGAGGATTTTAAAACTACAACAAGACCAAATATATAGTTTAGTCAGTGGCAACTCATGTAACATTTAACAACACTGATCCTCAAAATCCCGCGTTACGACTAGAATATTCGCATACGATATTTATTCGTCATAACGAAACAAGTGATGAGCGATTTAGTTGCATAGGAGAAAATGGATGGTTAGAATGATTAATGGGAATTGAAATATAAAATATATTTAGGAAAGTGATACCCTCGGTGGGTGAACTCTCATGGCCATATTTCTCGGCTTGTTCACAAAATTGGCAATTCGGCGAAAATTCGGATCTAATCGAATGCAATCAGTTCTTGAAATATCGCAAGCATCCGACAAGACATAGCATGCATAATCTGCGAACGTACTCAAAATAATACTTCATATCGTAATTGCTCTCAAAATGAATTTTCTATGTATTTGTGTTCTTTCATGGTTTATACTTCCATGCGGATATATTTTATCTTTTCTTTTTGTACAAATGTCCCGAGTTTGATGCTGAGGCACTCGAAGACCCAGCTGATGACGAGGATGCACGTTGGAAGTTGCTTAAAATATGAGCTTCTGAAAATTAGAACTAAAATAGAAATGTTTGTCCATGTCAACTGTAACAACCTCCATTTTCTGTTATACTCGAATGACTTTCCACTTTTGTATTATCGCCGAACGCTTCTACTCGTCCATATACGGTTCCATCTAGAATTCAAATGCAATAATAAATGCAGCGGTTACTTACTATTCGATATTGAATGTGAACCAAATGTGAGCTCAGCATTGGTCTCTGCAGCTGAAGGACCTTTTCCACCACCAAAAGCCTGCAAACAAAATGTTGAATCTGAAACACCAAGATAAGGAACTAACATGCATCATTGAATTTCCGTTTGCATTCGAGTTTGAAATATTCTGTTCAACACTTCCAGTTATGTTATTATTTTCTCCACTTGCAAACCCTTTTCCAGTTCCAGAGGCAACGAAAATTTGTTTATTTTTTATTGATTGAACACATGTTCTAAAACTTACTATTGATTAGATCTGGCTGATTCATAATATTTCCAGAAACGTTTAAAATCAATGAAGAATTCTTTCCGTCATTTGATTTTGAAAGGCCTTCTCCTTTTGACAAAACACTTAAAAATGATCTTTCTTTTTAATATCCTTGCAATATCAAACTTCATTTCTCCGTTCTCTGAGTAGCTTGTATCCACCGTCTGTTTAGCATTCGAAGATTGATCGCTACCTGATCCATGAACTTGACCACTTCCGATTGCAACTAATTAAAAAGAATATTTAAATTTAAAACAAAAGCTAATTATACCAGATTGTCTATGCTGGTCCCCAATTTTTAGGCCGTTGTTAATCAATAGGTCATTCTCTGCACCTTCCGCTGAACCCTTTGCAACAATATGTCCGTTCCCATTTCCACCCTCAACTCCGGTTTCCGAATCGAGATTAATTGAGCTGTTTTTGTCGGAATAGGAATTGATATTGGCAAATGCTTTCACCTCTAAAATTCGATTTTAATATCATTTTCAAAAATTGACTGACTACCTTCAGCACTTGTATTATTACTCTTCACATCCGAAGCGGCTATCAAAGTTGAATTCAGTTTTCCAACGATTTCTCCATTCATATTTGAGCTTATATCATGTTGCTCACCATCAACATTTCCATTGCCATTCACCTATAATACTAAGCTTAGTATTGAGAAAAAAAAAACAAGTTGAATACTTGGGCGTTTACAATTCCTCCATTCACATTATTTCCCGAAACTAACCCGCTTATCATCAAATCTGAACTGATAAGTTTTTAGGAAATGACTTGTAAGGGGCATTAACTGTTGTCATCAGTTCCTTGTACTAAATCCAGGTTTGCTTGAGCATTTCCAGAACCCTCTGCAACTGCAGCGGCAGCCAATTTCGTCATCAATGAATCCCATGTTAGCGTCTTAAATACGTATTTTTTTGAAAATTAAATTTAGCAAAAAAAAAACTTCGCTTGACATTAATTGTGATTGTGATCCAAGTGAGCCAGTTGCTCCAATTTTTCCAGTTTTGAATAGATTTTCTCAAATAAAAAAGCGAAATATCCATTTGTCTTTTTTTGTTCAAAAAAAATAAATCGATTCTTACTGGTTTCACCATGTGAATTAATTGAACCACCTCCATTCACATTTAAAAACGTTTCTCCTTTCCCGCTAGCTTTTCCCTTTAATTTGAATTATTTCAATTTTACGATGTTATTGTTTAGCAACCTCGTGCATACTTTGCAATGTTTTTTGTTCACCTTCTACAGCTGCGAATATATCGGAAAATGAGTTTGATTCATCTCCAATAGATTTAATGTTATTTTGGCCACTGACCGCTGAAATTCTCCACACTCTACTTTTTTTCAAAAAAAAAATACTGACATTGACTTCCAACTGATCCATCAACAGAGTTTATAACAGAAGATGATCCATTAGCCTTTGAATGGCCATTGGAAGTCACATTCATTCCAACAACTCCATCAACGTTCTAAATCACTTTTAAAGCAGAACTTTTTCAGACAAATTTTACTTTATAATGATGTGCTGAAGCATCGGTATCTACCAAGTCACCAACTCCATTTGTATCCGCATTAGTATTCACAGCTGAATATATATCTCTCATTTTCATATTTAATTTACCTGATACCTATCTGTCTTTTGATTCTGAAAACAGATCCAATAATAACCTCGAATCCACATAGCAAAATTAATAGTTGAAACGGGTGTTTCATTGTTGCTGCCAAAAACGATACGAAATTCTCGTCAATTTTTGCTTTCCCTTTTGTTTATGCCGGCTTTCCAATCAATGTGTTAATTCTAGGCAATTTAGTGGGATTACATAAAGACCGTTCACTAATATGGAAGTTCAAAAATTTCAAACAATCGCACTCTATACAAAATTCGATCAAAAATTCACATTATTTGTGTGTTGATGAATGGTAGAAAAATCCGTATCAAAAATTGATCATTATGTTTGACACTATGCTCAATAAGATAAACATGAATATTTGGAAATATTTCCCGATAATTATAACCACTAAACAAAATAAAGATAATTGAATCAGTTATTGTATCATATTTCAACTTTTTAACTGAATCTGATATTTTCAGTATACATGCTCAAATATGTATTGTGATATTCATGAGTTAAAAATCCAAAAAATGTGCACAAATATACTTAATGTAGCCAGAATCCGCCGACTTTCCCTATAATATTTTAAAAACTCTAATGTCAGTTTTTCTAAATGTAATCATGTTTAAAATAATTTATTTATTAGAATACATAAAGTTTATTAAACATGGAAAAGACGTGTTAATAAAAATCTGCAATTTAATAATTGATATGAAAAAATCATATACATTTTCATAGATTTTCTAAAATATTTTATAAACATATTCAATTGTCGCTAATTTGTCATAATACTTCAGATGAAACAACCCGCGTTTAACGTTAATTCTCATTACGCAATTTTGTTGAAGTTTCCACGGAACATTCTCATGAATGCTGAACGGAATTGGCGGTTGGCCAATGCGTACGCAAATGGATTTCCACTGCTATTCAAGTAGCACATATAATACGAAAGAGTGTAGAGGAATGATGGAATGCACTGTCCTTTGCAGAAACCATACACTGTTGCCTATAGATGAGATAAGATATTGAAATGTTCCCAAAATGAACTTTAAACAAACCATAATGTAGTAAGGAGACCATAAAATTGCAAATAAGCCAACAATGAATGTAATTGTCCTGAAACATCGCAATTTTGTACTCAACGATAGGCGCCATTATTCTTGCCTGAACGCTTTATGAGCTCTCTTCTCAGCTTTTGTTTGTTTTCTTCCACGATTGAAGACAGCAATTGGTGCAAAAATCGACGAAATCACTTTCTCGCGAGTAATGGCCGTCGAGATTGTCGAAATTTTTCTGGAGACTCTATAATATATTTTAAGTGTCCAAGAGTCTACAACCAAGGAGCATTTGCAAGAACCCAATAACCCAAGCGGTGAGTGGTGTGCGTCATGAATTGTGAACTTTGACCCACCCTGCAGCACTCAAAAATGTTTCGGTCTTCTGCGGTTTTGCTTCTTCTGCTGCTGGCGCTGGATTCTCTTCTTTTTCCTCGTTAACCGTCAACTGTGGGATTTTCAAACTGGTCTGTCGGTTAGGCTGATTAGTTTCGACCTCGGAAGAAGAATCGCTAAAAATGAAAATATTCACTATCATCTGCCCATTCATTTAAACGAGAATTACTCGCTATTGCTGGTTTCCTCTTCGCGTGTACTTCTACGACGTGTCAACGCTTGAGCAATTCGTCGTTTCATTGAAACCACCCAACGTTCAGTTCTTCTAACTTGAACATTGTCTGCATTATCTTCAGTCTACAAAAAATCAATAAAAACAAGCTACTGACAATTCAATTAACTGTAATTAAAGCTCCTGAAGTGGAAGGTTCCGCCTCGTCGGCGTGTCGTAGTTTCGGAATACGTTGTGAAGCAGAACGGGTTGATCTACGACTGCAGCGCTGCCTTTTATTCTACAATACAAAACAGTTCCCCCCAATATGCATAAACGTGAACCTTCTTAAATTTCTTGGTTCTTTGCAGAATTACAGAAGTAGAATCGGAATCGTTATTCGAATCGGGAGCAGTTTTTTGCTTTGCCTCTTCCTTAAAGTTCAAAACCGAGGTTAATTCATCATCAGCAAAGAGTTTCCGAAGACTATCAGCTTTTTCAATATTTCCTTCCTCCTCATGCGTAGTTGTGATGCTATCAGATGCACTGTAGCGCGATCTTAAAATTTCTATTTTTATCATAATTCTGAAAAAATTTACTTCAACGAAAGTCTTCCGTACGATTTAATTGGTCTCGTGACAGTTCCATCTTCTTGGTTATGATTTAAAAGGGAAACTCGCTCCATTTCACTGCATCGTCTAGAGTTGTCAGCAGTTGGATGGGGTCCCGGGTAGTAGCTCTCATTGCTCTCTCTTAATACATTTATTCTTTTTCCGTATATAGTGAAATTAATCGATTCACCTTCTAGAATAAAATCCGCTTTTCTCTTCCTCGATTACTCCCAAGTTTTGCTCGCTGTCTGTATTACCTGATCCCTATAATATGAATATACTGACTGAAATTAATCCTCCATGATGTACGACGTTAAGAGTTTCTAAGTAAACATACATGTCCAAAACACATTGAAGCAACCCGATAAGGTTAGACAATTCTAATATAGATGTACATATGAATGTTGATATGTTAAACGCAAACCACAAAATTCCAATAAAAAACAATCTATTTCATAATGCGCTTATTTGGTCTGCTCTCTACTACATGCAGACAGAAAATATGATTTTTTTGATATCATGCAGTTAGATCAAACACTCAGACATTGTTCAACATGAATCGTTCAATTAATACCTCCGCGGTTAAAGAATTTTTGGTCTCAGTTCGGTAATTACTCGATTCGGGTTCGGCAAATCCGAATCTCCGTTGATTTATATCCTAAACATTGCATGCGGAGTTGGATAGCACTCAGATTGTGTTATGACTTCCGACAACTTAAGCTTTCATAGGGGTTGGTGTATGCTACTCTAAATTGGTTTTGTGCATGTGTTGCACACTAATGACGACTTGCTAGGGATTTCATGCTTAGGCAGAGAATTTTATAAGCACCCCTCATTAATTTATTCCGCTAAGACGAAACTAACCCCTGCTTGATTATTGCTCTCATTCTGAGCTTCCTCATTTTTTTCCTTTTCCGCTTTTGATTGAAGCATAAGCGAGACTCCGACCTGAATGTGAATTTTTTATCTTTCAGACTAATGCTTTTCGAACTTGAGTTCCGAGACGTTGACTAAGAATGAGTGCGATGTGACGTCTTTCTTTTGCCTTTGCCTTCTTCTCTAAGTTTTTGGCAGCCTGATGGATTCCCTGCAATTGAATTTCGTAAAACACGTCCCAAAAATGGCATTGAAGACAAAGTTACATTAATTTGTTCCAGTGAGAGATCAAATTTTTTGTATATAAAACGGGACAAACCTTGCATAATTCACGAATTGAATAGTCATTTTGGTGTTTCATGAATTCTTTATTATAAATCAAAATTCTTTTCCAAACAATTGTGTACGAAAGAAAATCAAACCTTATAGAGAATGAGCATTGCCACTAGGGTCGTCCAGTAATATGCAACATACATTCCCATGTTTACATACGGGTTGCTCAAAAATGGAGCCGAACATTCGGCACCACTCATGCTGAAAATGCATTATAATATTCAAATTTCTAGAAAATGAATAACCTATTGGATTGTCCAGTCATAGCTTGCCATCCGTAAATCATTATTCCGAAAATAATTGAAGGAATGAGCCAGGAAAGAAGAATCAAAAGTTGCGTTTTTGTAGGACTTTGCCATTTAAGATATTTTGCCGTGTGACATACTATATTATAGTTCAATAAGTTATTTGGTTTTCAAGTTTACCTGATAAATATCGATCCGCCGTTATGAGAAGAACAGTTAAGATTGAAACGAGACATAGGGTGTAATCAAGGAACAACCAAGTTTCACATGCAACCCAACCCAAAGGCCAACGTTCGCCTGGAAATTTCTGATATGCACACAGATTAACACATCAACAAACCATTCAAAACGTAAACCGTAAAAAATGGGAACCCCTCAATTCCAATAATTAAATCCGAAATTGCCAGTGAGACTATGTAGCGATTGCTCACCTAAACGCACGAGAATTGAATTTCTTCATATACAGTTTATTTTACTTGTTTGCTGATATTCCGTTCAATTCTATAAGCCACTATTACCATCGCGTTGCCGATGATCGTTTCCAAGCTCAGTAGAATAATTACGAACCACACGAACATCTTGAAAAAAAAATGTGTTACACAAATATTATAATATGGGTGTGTCGAAAAACGGGAAGCTGATATAGATCATTTTAGACTACGGTATTGATTTTCAGGGGATTACTATAATGGCTTTTATAATCTACATTACTTGAGTCGGTATGCTGTATGGCGAATTCCAGCTAGTATCGGCGAGCGTCGCATTCATTGTCAAGCGTTGAAATCCGTTGTTTTGATCACTTGCCAGTTACCAAGTTGAAGTATATTCCTGAAATAGAATAAAAGTACGATTATTGACGTATATTATCTAGATTAAGTAAAATAAAAAGAAATAAGAATTGAATATTAGACAAAAGAGTGGGGGGGGTGGGAGAAAGCCGAAAAAATAAATGGGCGGAACAAGATTTCAAGTTCACAAGACTCAACGTTTCCACTGAAAATCTGTTCATGCATGAAATTGAACTACACGATGAGAAGTATGAGTCAAATAAAAAAAGGGTTGGCCTTATGATTCGAAATGTGCGAACATACCATTGTCGAGTATGTACTCTTATCGCATATTGCTTTAAACGCGCGCGCGATTTTTAATCAAGCAATTCAATAAGAAACCTAAAACGTGACTTGTTCTCGTTCTCGAATTATTAAGAGTAGATTAGAAGGAAAATTGCAAATTTGTATGCAATATATGCTGATTTTATGACTATTATGAAAATTGAATTGCAAACTAAGCAAGTGAATGCACAGAAAACACTCACTAGATTTGTCTCTTTGACTGTTTGAAGGATATTTGAATAAATGAAAAAATGTAAATGAATGCAGCTCCACCGTAATAAAAAAAAAAGATCTAAATATAAGATATATGTATTCATTTATTCATTAGAAATTATACATTAGCTTGTTAAAATATATGAAAATTTAAGTAAGAATTAATTGACAATTATTACATTGGATACGTTTAAGTTCAAGAATTGTTTCGGTGATAATTGAGCAAACATATATGAAAATACATGAAATTAGTATTTGCGTCACTTGCCAAAAAATAGTCGCCTAACTATAAAACATGGATTTTCTAAAGCTGCTTTGCGAATGTGAAACCACGGAAACCGTGTTATTTCGAATATATCAAATCGCGATTCGTGAAAGAGAAAGAAATAAGTCAACATTTTTTTGCAAATTTCAAAAGCTAGAAGGTTATGGATTCAGACGTGTATATCTCAAAATAATGTTGTTTTGTGGTTTTCAAAAAAAAAAAATACACCCACACCCCAATTTTGAAGTCGATTCAAGCAAATGTGTATGCGCAACCAACGACGCCTAAGATAGTAAATCTAGAAAAAGACAATAGCGTCGACATATTGCGCCCATGAATTTGCCATCAAGATATTGCTATTGTCGCGACCAAGAATTTCATTCCACATTAAGCTAAAGAAAATAAGAGACGCATATTGGACTATAAATGACCAATATGTTTAAAATAGAAATAAGAACCCCAAATAATATTTGCTTGGCTGCATCGCAGACGTAGCGATCTAAAATTAGTTGACTGGTAGGAAACAAATACCAAAACTTTACCAAACGAAAGTTTGGATGATAGAGAAGATTTTTTTCAATTCGCAGTTACCGGAGAATAAGCAAACACTATCATAATCTCAAAAGATTATTATAAGAATAACTAGTCCATAAAAATAGAAGGCAATATTTTTACTTATAAGAATACAGAGCAGTATTTCTACATATTTTAATCCCCCTTAAATGTACATATTGTGTGAAATCTGAATAGATTAGCTCAGGAGATATTAATTAATAAACAAAGTTCAGAAGTGTTACTGAAATATTTATAACTCACGTTCGGAGGTTTAACAAATAGCTGCTCGCATCAGAAAAAAAACACTCAAGATTTTTATTCTTAAGAAAGGATTTCTTGAACACACTTTTTTCTCATTCAAAAACTGAATGATGACAGAAAACCTTCAACGGATTATGTTCATAAAAAGAGAGGAAAACGACTCTTAGAGAAGAAAAAACATTTTACGTTCTGTTACAAATGACTTTTGCATTATTTTTCAATTAACAAGTGCTAATGGGATACATTGGACGCTCAATAAATTCTCGTAGGAAAATTTATAGGTGCAAAATGGATTAGCACCTGATAAGTGAACATTACGCATTTGTAAAACTTATTTGGCGAGAAAAGGTGTGATTTCGAATACTTTGAATAAAACATTCCGCGATATAATAAAAACAGAAGAACACTTTATTTATTAACCTCTCTTTCTGTTCAGTAACTTTTTGCACGTAAGTCGGATCGTGGCTAGTCCACAAATGTTGACCGACGTTTTTCTAACATAAAGTTATTCTTCTCATCTTATTGTACACTATTTGTTGTAACATAGAGAAGTATAAAAGAAACCAATAATTTTGCAGGAAAAAAGTTGTTGAAAAAATGAGGATGAAAATTTGAATGGTGAAATTGCTCCGCAAATCCGGAGAAACCTGACGATGAATGCAACATACATAAGAACCCTTTGCCTCGCTGTGGTTGGAGCAATTTTTCCTTTTTTTTTCGAGTTGAGTTGAACCTCGTCAAAGAGCGCAACGTCGTGACCGACGCTGCTCAAGTGTATCGAGCATCAATGCTCACACGCATAAGACGTTTTACTTGTTCTCAAATCAGTTTAACGCATCCGCAAGGCAAAAATTTTTCAAAACGCGTTGAAGGCACCAACTGAAACAACTTCTACTGCTCACTTTCCATTCCATCCTTTGCCGCTCAAATTACTACATGGTCTTCAAACAATGAATCGCACAAATTTATGAAAATAGCATTTTTGGCTTAATAATAAAAAAAACCCACTAGTATCACGCGGGTGTGAGCGCTTTCTCTGAACATATTCGCTTCAAATTTTGAATGTGAATTTGTTCTAATTTTAGAAAACTACTAAACTTTTGGATAATGAATTCGACATTCGTGTAGAAGAGATCAAAATTACGAGAATAGGCATAAGCCGTGATCTGAAGCTCCTCAATTTGCCACTTCGAATCAATGATTTAGATTGTTAGTAGAAAAGACCAAGGAAGCCTTGCAATCAACATAGAACAAATTATCGTGTGAAACGAATAAGTTATACATTGGACCTTTCTAACTGGATGTCTTCAAATCATATTAAGACAAATAAAAAAGAATCGCACGACTTTTACAAGGGAAAAAGGAATTAGGTTCACAATTAAAAAAAAATTTCTTAAACTTATTTATACTTCTGCGTATAATTTGATATTACTGAGTATTTTGTAACCATTTAAGCGTTATAAATTTAACTGAACTTTATTAAAACAAATTGAACAATTAGACGTTTTTTTTGGCGAATCATCTACCCTTTAAACATTCACAATTTTTCTTTGCCGACATTTCTTTTAAGATAAAAACATGAATATTTTGGAAAACGGCAGCAATAAGAAATTATTTTTAAAGAACGGAAGTGACGATTGTTTTTGAATGGTTCTTAGAAATTTCAGCGAGCTGGAAGATTTATTACCTTAAAGAAAGCCTTTTCAAACATCGCGATCCTACTTTCAAATGTGAAATATTAAGTTCGATTGCAAACGATACTAGGTGACGAAACCACATGATTTTAGCAAAATATAGTTGCTTTTTGAGCAAGGATAATAAGTAAAACAAACATAGATTTTTGTTAAGTTTTCCTAGCTAATTTCAAGTATTAAATTTTTTTTAATATTTTAGTATTAGACACCCCCACCGGTTTTTTAACATTCATTACCCAGATGAAATATATGCATATACCCACTTTATTTATCTTTTCATGTTTGTTAGGCATGTATATAGAAAGTCACCAATCTATGTGCTTTTTGGCAATGATGGAATACACTAGAATTCGTTAATATTGAATATCCAAAAGGTCCGAAAAAGTGAAAAAAAAGAGAAGAAATATTTTATCATATATGCACAGTCGGAGCCACTAGTTTAACTCATCAGTCATTTGGCAACATAATGCATTTTACGGGTGTTTGTTTCTTTACGAAATATTGAACATGGAGAAAAAAACCAACATTTGGTTGATTATGACGAACTTTGGAATCAAAATATGCCAAGACAATGTGAACAGGAGAAGGTCTTCCCTAGACACCAGGTTGAAAAAACGGCGCATGTCGATTAATGTACGCAGTGTTTTAAATTGTTTTCAGAACGAATTCAAGCGGAAGTTGCGAATTAGAAATTGATAAACAAGCTCTCAAAACACTTGTGATAAAATTGCTTACGATTAAATTGAAAAATTAGTAACGGAAGTTGCTTGTTGATTTTATTGTGTTGTGGGGTTTCCAACAATAAGAATTGAAATTGTTTTCCTAAATAAGAAGCCATCTGTCATGGAGTTAACTTTAAAAAAATTCAACGTGAAAAATCCCTTTCTCTTATTTCCGAGAACGACGAAGGAAAAAATTATTACTTATTGGTTTCACGGAATGATATTATTATAAATTTTAGAGGATCTTTAACATACAGTTTTTTTCAATATGGACATTCAGTCTGACTTTACAATTACCTTTGTCGGATATTTTTTATTTTTTAGGCTTTCTTTTTGATTTATATACCCGCGACGTTGCTCGAAATATTCATAAATCATTCGAGCACAAAGTAATAGAAAACAACTAACCCAGATCCAGAAATTGGGAACAACTGGAATGTTTTCCTAAAAATTGGTCGAGTAAACGTCTTTTGTTCAACAAAATCGGATTTGTATCGCCGAAAGATGTGGTTCTATAATAAGTATCAGTCTCCGACATTTTTTTATATTAAAGGAAAAATTTATTCTCCTATATACTGAATTCAAACGAGTTTGCAATTTTTCAGAATATTTGAATTTTATATGAATTATATATTTTTAATAACTGTTGCTTATTGTAACAATCATTTCGAACACTTCAATGAAAATTTGCTAGGTCACAGAGACATTTTTTTACCAATCAAGTGACGTCAATTTACCTTAAAAGTGTAGACAATAGAATGAATTAAATAATGTATAAAGGTTTAGATAGTTTGAGGTTTGGTCGGTTAGAACATTTACTCGCATCATTGAGCATCTACAACCTGCTTATTGTTTCCCATTTTGTTCTAGCACTACAAAAAATGGCTATATCATAACATTGACGTAATGGTTTTATTATATACTTTCATCCGGGATCTAGAATATT